ACGTGATTGTTGTATTCCTTCATGTTATGTTCTCTCAATATCAATCTTTAGTTATAATTTAATTAGGAGGTTTCATGCCTGTCTAGTTCCAGCTCCGTTTCCCAGTCTTTGAACTATCAGTGATTAATGTAATATGTTATTCCCGCCTTGTACCTATGTTAACCAATCAGCAACAAGATGCTTTGTGTTTGTATCAGCCAATCAGCCACAAGCACACCTGTGGCAATGTTTGTAATATTCAATAAAAGAGAGTTCCCGGGACTTGTCCCGGCAGACGTCTCTCCTTTGACACCCACCACTCGTCTGTCGTGATTTCAACCCAACACATAGCCATCACCTATTGAAACCAGTTGAAACATATATCGGCTGCCTTGCAGAAGGCAGTGTATTCTCTCTCTTTTTGTTCTTAACAATCTCTTTTATTCGCAAATACCCCCTTCCTCCTAGCAAAGGCTACAGGGGCAATTCAGTGGAGTGTTAGCAGCACTAAAAATCCATTACATACTGTGCTTTCACATAAAGCTTAGCTTTACTTACTCGAGGGAGGCTAGTGGGGCTGAAAACTAACCCCTGGCTGTTATCTGGCTCTGCTGCTCATCATCCCTGGAGCCAGGGGGCCCTAAGTTAGGATTACTCCCTCTCTGCCCATCTTGCTTGGTATTGTGCAGAATGGCAACAGCATAAGGATCAGCAAGAGAAAAGGGGGCAGAGTGAGTTGAGGACACTATTATGATAAGGTATACAGTGGTACCTCGGGTTACATACACTTCAGGTTACGGACTCCGCTAACCCAGAAATAGTACCTCGGGTTAAGAACTCTGCTTCAGCATGAGAACAGAAATCACGCAGCGGCGCAGCAGCAGCCGCAGCGGGAGGCCCCATTAGCTACCGTAAAGTGGTGCTTCAGGTTAAGAACAGTTTCAGGTTAAGAACGGACCTCCAGAACGAATTAAGAACGTAACGAGAGGTACAACTGTATTTGGTTGTAAAGCACTTTTATTTATTTCTGAAAGTACAATGGTGGCACTTTATAACTAATACTCAAAATGCTTGTTGAGTACACAGGGGTTGCTGATACAACTGTAAAGTAAAAAAGGTAAAGGACCCCTAGACGGTTAAGTCCAGACAAAGGCAACTATGGGGTTGTGGTGCTCATCTCGCTTTCAGGCTGAGGGAGCTGGCGTTTGTCTGCAGACAGCTTTCCGGGTCATGTGACCAGCATGGCTAAACCGCTTCTGGTGCAATGGAACACTGTGATAGAAGCCAGAGCGTACAGAAACACCGTTTACCTCCCTGCCACAGCGGTACCTGTTTATCTACTGGTACTGGCATGGTTTCGAACTGCTAGGTTGGCAGGAGCTGGGACAGAGCAACGGGAGCTCACCCCATCGCAGGGATTCGAACTGCCGACCTTCCGATCGGCAAGCCCAAGAGGCTCAGTAGTTTAGACCACAGCACCACCTGTGTATTCATACATGTATCCATACATGTACATACATGTTTGTATGTATACAAGTACTCCATCGCAGTCCAGGTCAGCCCCAAAGAGCTTGCTGTCATAATAGCAGAGGTGCCATTTGCTATGCAACTTCAGCCAACATGACTGAGCCAAGTGGACCACACAGTGTGGTGCCATCACCACGACAATGGTGCAGTGCCAGGTTCCCAAATATATTTCATGGAACTGCCCTGAGCCCAGAAAAAGGAGCATGTGTGGCCTAGTCTACTAGCCTATTTAAAGCCAGTGAGACCAGGAGCCAAGGAAGAGATGTCCAGGAGCACAGAGCTTGGCTCTAGGAGGGGAGAAGAGCAAAAGTTAATTGTGGATATCTAGTCACATAATTCCAAATAAATATGGGGTTACATGATGGGCCATTACTACATGCTGGTCATTATAGCTCCTTATTAGCTGTCATTGCTGTGTCACAGTCCTTATGACAAAGACTGACATTTTGATTTATATCTCTACAGAGCAGTTCAGCTCTTGCAAGTTACCTTATTTCTTTTGGAAGCATACTTGACTTCTCAAGCACATGACAAGTTTGAAATGGGCAATAGAATTGCTTTCAAGTTGGTTCAAACACCCTCCACCTTCCCTAATGGGTGTTCTCCTTTTAGCCAGTGCATGAAAATATGACATTTCTGTTCAACTTATGAACAGGTGGCAATCTCTGAGCAGTTCCTGTGCAGGCAGGGCTCATCTTGAGTTTAAAGGGCTCTTTTAGAGTAATATGTCTTGCTTGACCAACGTGTGATTTTTCTGAAGGTACTGTTGTGTTCTAGGAAGTGGGTTGCAGGAGGAGTATGCAACTCAAATCCTATACTGGGAATGGGAAGTGCCCCCATATCTGGAGGTGAGACAAATCATTGGCCACTGAGAAGCCTTTTCAGTTACAGTGCCCCATTCACCTCTAGAATGGAGCAGATGGAAGATGGAGCAAGCTTCTTTCCCCCTGCTATTCAGGTTACAAGAAAGAAGATTCTGACTGAACATTGGGAAGAAATTTCTGACAGTAACAGCTGTTTGACAGTAGAACGGTCAGGAGAACCTCAGGAGGTTGTGGGCTCTCTTTCACTGGAGGCTTTTATGCAGAGATTAGATGGCCATCTGTCATGGATGCTTTAGTTAAGATTCCTGCATTGCAGAGGATTAGACTAAATGACCCTAGGAATACTCTTCCCAGTCAGGCTCACCTGACACCTATTCTCATTTCTTTTTTGATGCAAGGTGAAGCCCTTTTAATTTTCCCAGACATCTAAAAGCTGTTCTGAATTGGCTTTATTCAGCTGGTATGCTGGTATGCTTTTACTGTACTGCTTGGCTAATTATACTTCTTGGTAATTTTATTATTTTAATCTATTTCAAATGATTTGCTAGCCATTCTGGAAAAAGTAATATTGAAGTGCAGGGTAAAGTAGAAGTGGAGGAGGAGTGATAGTCAAGTACATTGCACAACTAGGCTTAAGCAGGGGAGCGCAGTGTACTTAAACAATATGATGCAATTTACACTGATACCTGAGATTAGATTGGAATCACTTTGTGGGTGATCTCAAAAGAGTCTGCTATGGTTAGGGTGGTGTCTCATAATGGAAGTGGTGTGACACCTTGGTGAATCCAGGACTGGGGTGTTTTCTGTTGTTTCATATTTTATTTTCTGCCTAAAAATAAATAAACCAATAATAAAAAAGAGTCTATTTGGGAAGAGTTTACATAAAAGGTTGTGAGCAATCTTATGATTGATTTTGACGTGCTAATTATAATCATAATAAAGTTTGTGTGCTAATCAGGGCCTGCCAGCTATGAGGCAAGGTGAGGCAACTGCTTCAGGTGGCAGGATCCACAGGGACAGTAGATTCCAGTGCAGGATCTTTATTTCCTCCCTTGTTGCTGATGTAGATCTTGACTCACCCCTTCTTTCCTGGAGTGTGTTTGGGGCATTTTGTGGCTCACTTCTGTTGACAAAAGTGTCTCAGGCCAGCCCTGGTGCTTAACAGCAGTACATTGGTGTAGGTATTCCCAAGGCCAAACCAACAGCTGCTATGGACCTCCTCCAGCAGAAGAGACACTATAAACATCTGCTGGCACGTAAGAAAAGGCAAGCCATTAAGAACACCTGAACATGATTTATTCAGGCAGTTAAATCCAATGATTCAGCCACATTCTGACATATCACATCTAGCCCACAAGGCTATGGCCCAACCATGGTGGACTGTCACATTCCCCCAGGGACCTGGGAGGCACACTTTCAAGAACTTTACTCGGACAGTTCTGCTGAAAATGGAAGATCTAGGCAAATTATAGGAAATCTGCCTTTGTGGGATCCAGTGATGGTGACAGATATTAAGAACTAGGTAGCTCAGCTAAGACTGGGGAAGGCCCCAGGGGAAGGCCTAATCCCAGCAGAGGCCATTAAAAACAATTTGGACTTCTGGGCCCCCACTCTGGCTTCACTCTTGACCTGCATTGACACCCATGGTCAAGTCTCCAAGGACTGGGGGCTTGCAATCATTGCTCCTATATATAAAAAGCTGATGAGATAAAACAAGATATATAGTCAACATCTATTTCTGTGTGGAATGGTGACATTTCAGTGAGAATACATACATTATATATTACCGGTACCTGTAATCCAGAAACCCAGCAGGCTGCTGCTGGATGGACAAAACACTGTTTCTTCTCCAGCAGCAGATTGCATTGTCGGGCTTCAGAGAGAGGAAGAGAAGCCTTCAAGTTACACTATTCATACTCTTTAAAAAGTGTGTTTAAGATAGCCTCCTCTATTTTTTTAAAGAAAAGCAGAAACGTGGGGCTCCAATTTGCAAAGAATCTGGTTCAGAAAGCGGGACCAGGCCAATTTCCTGCTAAAAATCACCCTCTAGTTGCTGTTTGTGTCATAAACCCAATTGCTTTACTCTGATAGTGAGACCGAAGTACATTAACAAGTAGAGGCTATAGATCAAATCCATATAGTACACTTTATTTAGAAGTTTTATGAAATAAAATAAATATAAATATCCTCCCCCCCAAAGGACTATTTAGGGTCTAAAGTAACCTAGCTGCACCATTGTCTTTACCTCTGCAAGTATATTAAATATTTCCAGGCTGTTTGGACTGGGATTCAGTCATGTACTGGCAACTTCAGGTTGTACAATGAAATCAGATTTGGATATCTTGCATAACAAAGCCAGTTTCCCCCAAGACTGGATTTTTTTGCAATAAGTATAGTGTTGGGGAAATGCACTGGAAAGTGTGGGGTAAAAATTGCTTGATGCAACATTCTACAACCTCCCTCCAGATAAATCAGGATGAATGCTCAGTAAGCAGCCTGTCACTCTCTTGGTTGCTCCCAGCTATTAGCATTTGCCAACAGGTGGTGTCATAACTTTCAGTTCTTGTAATTCGTTATTTCTAATCATGTGGCACTCCTCCCACACCTCTCACTGTTTTATTTCTCTCCGTCAGTGGAGAAATTTCATTTGCAGAGGAGAAGTTTTCTACAATGTCAGCTCTCAGGTTTGGGTTTCTTAATTTCACTAGCTATCCTGTAGGCTTTATTAACTTGTTCTCAGAACCGCAAGTAACATTTTGCATAGGCCACATGCATTTTTGTATGCAATACTGAAATACAAGAAGGGGACAAAACCATGCAGGTTGCAGTCCTAACCCCACTTTCCTGGGAGTCGGACTTACTTCTGAGTAGATTTGGTTAGGACTGTACTATGTGTAGATAATTTCTAACCTAATTTAATATTTGACTTTTTGCTGCACTTTTATTATGCTGGAAGCTGCCCAGAGTGGGTGAGGTATAAGTAAAAAAATATTATTATGATTTAACATTCATTGAGGTTATGATTAATATCTCCTTGGCACACTGAAATGTTGTTGTTGTTTAGTCGTTTAGTGGTGTCCGACTCTTTGTGACCCCATGGACCAGAGCACGCCAGGCACTCCTGTCTTCCACTGCCTCCCGCAGTTTGGTCAAACTCATGCTGGTAGTTTCGAGAACACTATCCAACCATCTCGTCCTCTGTCGTCCCCTTCTCCTTGTGCCCTCCATCTTTCCCAACATCAGGGTGTTTTCCAGGGAGTCTTCTCTTCTCATGAGGTGGCCAAAATATTGGAGTCTCAGCTTCAGGGCTGATTTCCTTCAGAATGGATAGGTTTGATATTCTTGCAGTCCATGGGACTCTCATATCTACAATTATTGCATGCATTGTGTGGCCCCCTCTCCCTTTCCCCCTCTCTCATTAATATGCTCAAGTGGGCTCTAGCACTTTGGGAGATTTGCTTCAGCCCTCCCTAGTGTCATTCTGAAGGCTAAACTAAAAAAAGTTGCTAGGAACCTTTGGGTGAAGCCATGCGCTTTAAATGTATGGGGCAGATGTGACCTTAGGCTGCAATTGTGAGAGAAAGCCTTACTGAACTTAATGGGTATTATTTCTATTATTTCTGCAATTGTGCTACGGAATTTTTCCCTGGCTCCCTGTTGTTATGTATTATCTGCTATCTCTTTTGTCTGTATTGTCGCACACACCAAAATTTTTGAGCAGCAATACATTCCAGGGAGTCTGGTGCTAGTTAGGTGGTACCATTTAGCATAGCCAAAGAAGTTGATCTGTGCCATAGAAACCAGCCTTTCCCCTCGCCTGGCTGGTAAGTAGAAGAACAACAGCCAGAGTTGTGTGAGGGAGCTGGAAGCTGGGAAACAGAGACATGACTTGCTCTGTGCTGGACTTTGGGGCTTCCCTAGAAACCATAGCAAGATCTATGGTTGCTAATCCTGTGAGCGCCTCCATCTTATGCTCTAGTTATATATGCATATGTGTCAATAAAACCATATATCCTAACAGCACCAACAGTCTCCATTGGCCTTCACTCCAAGGAAGCAAATCCTTGGGAAGCACAGACACCTCAGGAGTCTCTCACTGCTCAGAGATTGGGGTGGTATGTAACAGAAAGTTAATGGCTATTGAGCTGTAGGATATACTATTTTCTTTATGCATATATACAACCTGAGCATAGGATGGCATGGCTCACAGCATCAACACTCCAACAGATCTTGCCTCTCCATTAAGTTCTTAGCCCCCACCATTCTGCTGCATATCTTTGGATTCAGCACAGCCTACGGAGTCTAGCTCAGACAAACCTCAAATACCAAAACTAACATCCCTGGCCTATTTGTTTTCCTTCCTAGCATAGCATGGCATCCAGCCAGGTAAGAAGGATGTGGGAATACCTACCTGCTCTTTGAAGCATCTACGGTAGTCATTATGGCAACACATCTATTTCCTACCTAACTTTTTAAGGTGTCAAAGCCATTCTGATCCTGATTGATTGATTATTGTTGTCATCGCTACTTATTATCTGCCCTACACCCTAAGGTCCCAGGGATGGGGGTGGCTTACGACATTTAAAATGCAATTATTGCACAAGATTAAAAACAGATCGAAACAACTTATTTAACCAAGGAACCAGTTTGACTGCTTCACCAGGTTTCCTCTTGCAGAATATAACCTCACAGACGAAAAATCGCAGGCCTGCAAGAGATCCACATATATCATCCAGACTCATCTCCCAAACCAGTAGCAATATTCTTTCTTCAGATTTTTGCTTAATTGGTGTTATATTTTTTTCATTTAAAGGGATTTTTTACCATGCTCTTCCGTCAAAAAGGCTCGCTGGGTGTCTTAGAAAGGAAAGTCTCTGTTCTCTGGCATAGAATCTGAGGGTGCCCCCAGATTATTTTGTGGGAAAGGAGTCAAGCACACTCTGGAACTTTAGAATTCTACAGTCTAAATCCAGCTGCTCGTTGTTGTTATATTTTTTAACAGACTTTTTGTGGTTTGGAAAATGATGTGGGAATGCATGAGCCAGAGGAGCAGGTTAAAGGATAGAATCACAGAATTGTAGAGTCGGGAGGGATGATGAGGGTCCTCTAGTCCAACCCCTGCAAGCAGGAATCTTTTGCCCAATGTGGGGTTCAAATCCACAACCCTGACATTAATAGTCTCATGCTCTAGCATCTGAGCTACCCAGAGGAGCAGGCCAAGAGAAAACCTCTATACATACCAAAATAACATTTACGGCTGCGCTCTCTTATGTTTTAGGAAGTGGTTTGCAGGAGGAGTATGCACATCAACAGCTCGGCTGGATGGAAAGGTGGCCGTGGTCACAGGGGCTAACACTGGCATAGGGAAGGAAACTGCCAAGGACCTCGCACGAAGAGGCAAGTTGTCTGTCCATTCATCATCCACCACATGCCAGTCAACCCAAATTGAGCGGGACATCTATGAATTACAGAAGCCATCCTGTTTTTTGGTCCAGTACTCTGCTGTGAGTCAGCTGGTTTGTGCCAGACCAAAAGACACTCTTTTTTGTTTTTGTTTTTGGTTTGTTTGTTTCATGCTCTCCTGCAAATTGGCTCTCTCACACCGGAGCGCTGGACCAAAAGACACTGGCTGCCACGAGAGCACCCCTATTTTCATCAGACGGATGTTGCAGAGTATGCCACCATCAGGGTTTAAATGAATAAAGGCTGCCTTAACCATTTTTAAGTGAACAAGCAAATTTATAAGTGCCTTAACTCTTTCCTTAAACAGAGGGTTTCTGGTTCATAGGATTTATTTTCATTTTTTAAAGGAAATTCACTGAATTACATAAGCCCCCTGAAGGAGGCATGTTGTTGTTTTTTTTAAAAAAAAAACACGCCACAAGGGCTCTGCAATAGCAGCTGCACTTTAATATGTAAGCTGCCATATCTATTTTAACTATATATTTCCCCTTTGGCTCTAAAAGCATACTTGGCATACAATGTAGTTCTTAGCCACACTTCTCTGTATTCACTTTTTCTATACAATAAATAATTTTAGAAACCTCTATCATGCCACTTTCCTTAGGCTGCAACCTTACACACTTACACACTGGAAGTAAGTCCAATTGAAGCAAATGGTCATTACTGCTGAGTAGACATGTCTAGGAGTACACAGTTGTTGCTTTAAAAGGCCAAACAATGTGATCCACATGCAATTCTTTACCACAGGGATGGGGAGCCAGTGGCCTTCCAGATGTTGCTGGACTTCCACTATTCCTCAGCATGGCCAGTGGTCAGGGGTGATGAGAGCTGTAGTCCAGCCCTCATTGGTGGAATGAACATTTGACTGCATCCCATTGGAACTGCAGTCTCTATATATTTAATTAACCATGGTTTAGCGTTATATCTGAATACAGCCATTACATTTGGGGTAAGGGGGGTGTATTTATTACTATGAATGTATGTATTCTTTAATTCTGTCCCCTAAAATAACTTTAACCAAAGGTCATTTACATTTTTAGAAATACATTCAAGTGTATTTTTCTTGTTCATAGTAATGGTCACTGTATTTTTCGCCCTATAGGACGCACCCGCCCATAGGACGCACCTAGTTTTTTGGGGGGGAAATAAAGGGGAAAAAAATTATCCACCCCCCAGCTGCGGCTTCAGCGCGCCCCACGCTCTGGGCAGCAGGCTGCTATCCGCAGCCTAGGGAGCCCTGCAGGAACTCCCGCAGGGCTCTCTAGGCTGCGGATATCTGCCCGAAGCGCGGGGCGCTCTGCTTCAGCGTGCCCCGCGCTCCGGGCAGCAAGCTGCTATCCGCGGACTCCCCAGGCTTGCTGATAGCTTCCTGAAGCCTGGAGAGTGAGAGGGGTCGGTGCGCACCGACCCCCTCGCTCTCCAAGCTTCAGCGAAAGCCTGCATTCGCCCCATAGGACGCACACAGATTTCCCCTTCATTTTTGGAGGGGAAAAAGTGCGTCCTATAAGGCGAAAAATACGGTAGTTAGAGAAGGGCAACTACTTCAAATGCTTGAGGTGAGCTTAAAAAAGCTGAGTATTACTCCCCTCCCACAATGATTCACAATTCATTGCTGCCTATAACATCTGCTGGCAAAAGGGCTTTTACATATATTTATATTCACATATTCATATTGTAGAATTTTTATATTATTTTATATTTTGTTGCATTAAAAGAAATTAGTCTAGAAAGACAGGACCAAGTTTAGAAACAGCTTGTTTGCCTTATTCCTCTTTTCTATTAATTTCCCTTTTGAAGGTGGTCGTGTCATCCTTGCCTGTAGAGATATAGCAAAAGCGGAAGCAGCAGCCCGTGAAATTATAGCCGAAACAGGGAATCAGCAAGTTATTGTGAAAAAACTGGACCTGTCTGATAGCAAATCTATACGGGCATTTGCAGAAGATTTTCTAAAAGGTATGACTGACTAAAAGTTGGCACCTGTGTAGTTACTGGTCCTAGAGATAATCTGTGTGGAGTCAAGAGTTTCATAGGTTTTGTTTAAAATAGAGAGGTATTTGTCTGGCTTCCCTATGTGTTCTTTAAACCAGGTATCAGAATTTTAGACCAGGGGGCACATTTTGAATTTTGAGAGAGTACTGACTGCTCCAGTCACAAAATTGCTGTAATGGGGGCCATGGCTTAACACAACATGGCTGCCATGGCATAACACAAAAGAAAAGAAAAGAGAGAACAGTCATTGCTGATTTTCCATCCTTACCCCGCCCTTGGACATCCTCATGCTTAGCACAGGAAGCCATCTATGTCCTGCTGGTCCTGATTGTAGTGACACAGCTGTTAAAGGCAAAAGATTCCTGTTTTCTCCATTTCTAAACAAAGCGAAGGCTGACATCCTGTAGCCATTTACCTGGTGTTATAAGTGACAAAACTGCTCCTTTCCCCTTATGGGGTACCCAAGAGCCCATATAGAGTCCTTTCGTAGGTTCTCTATCAGTAGGAGAAAATAACAGAGACCAGCCAGAGAATATTGAGAAGCAAAGCAGCTAGTAAGCCTGATCTTTATTGAGTGTTGCAACAGGGTGCTCCCCAACACGCAGGAGAGAGGAGGAGGACCCAGAACAAAGGTGTGTCCGCCCTTATATAGACATTTTAGATTGCCCGCCCTGGAGTCCAAGACCACCCCCAGAAACATCATACATACATCACAGAAGGGGTGTAGCCCAAGACCACCCCCCAGATACATCATACCTACATAACAGAAAAGGCGGTCTACAACAAAACTGAATGAGTTGTTTATCTCCTGGCAATCTACCAGATTGCATTATCTGAGTTTTGGCCACTCTTTTGTTATTATAACTACTTAATTCCTGAATCTAGGTCACAGGCTCACACCCTGTTCATATCTTGAATGTGCCCTTAAGACAGGATTTGTGAGGACAGGATTTGTGAGGAAAGAGACAAGGGGAAGGTTTCTCACTTTGACCTTGCAGAGAAATATTTGAGGTCAATTTGTTCAGGACCTTGTCTATGGGGTTTCAGACATGTGGTTTATATATACAGTTATCAAAAATTATTTATTTCATATAAGACCTAATTTTTTTTTTTTTATAACACTGGGAATAACTCCCACTGAACACAGAGACATCTGAAGTAGAAATGTATCCCATTATACTGGAAATTAACAATGCTGTGAATTCTTAATAAGTACTTGGACATTAGCTTCTGCACAGCAGGAGACATGCCTGTTTTGCAAATTTCACATTTTGTATTTGCCATTTGAGGAGGGAATTACCGGTATTTAACGCCAACCTGCATTTATTGTGTAGTATTTACAGAAGCGGGTGGCGCTGTGGGTAAAACCTCAGCGCCTAGGACTTGCCGATCGTCAGGTCGGCGGTTCGAATCCCCGCGGCGGGGTGCGCTCCCATTGCTCGGTCCCAGTGCCTGCCAACCTAGCAGTTCGAAAGCACCCCCGGGTACAAGTAGATGAATAGGGACCGCTTACTAGCGGGAAGGTAAACGGCGTTCCGTGTGCTGCGCTGGCTCGCCAGATGCAGCTTGTCACGCTGGCCACGTGACCCGGAAGTGTCTGCGGACAGCGCTGGCTCCCGGCCTATAGAGTGAGATGAGCGCACAACCCTAGAGTCTGTCAAGACTGGCCCGTATGGGCAGGGGTACCTTTACCTTTACCTATTTACAGAAAATAACTTTTAGCAGGTACCTAATCTTGAATGAGTCCACTACAGAAAAGACGGGTCCTAGTTGCTAGGGAAAGAAGTTCAACCTATGGAGATTCCAAGAACTGCTAGAAAATAAGACAGAAGCAGGAAAAGTACAGTAAAGGGGAGGGGTAAACAGAAACTTTTAATGACCTCGGGGATTTCTATTGCCTGGTGTCCAAACAACTTACTTTACAGTCACCACATTGACTTTACTAATTGGCCTAAAAACACTGGCAGGTGGGAGCAGCTAAGCCCATTCATTTCACAGAAATCACTTAGAAGGGAATCTGCACATTTTGCTTCATAACTTTCATTCTAAGAGGGCTAGAGACTTAATTTTTTAAATAGAAGCTTAGAGTCTAAGGAACCCGCCTGAGGTCACCAAAGAAGGCCTTGGGCCTGCTTGGCGATCTCCACTTTAAACCTTCCATGACAATGTTCTTGCATTTAAGAGGAGCTAACCTTTTGCTTGGAAGCTTTCCCTGGAACCTTTCTGGCACTTTGAAGCAGGAGATGGATCATTCCACAGCTTCCATTTGAATTTTGAGATGTCTTATATAAAACACCTGGCAATGTTAACTGTCAGAGACATGGTAGATGGACCTTAGGTATGACCCAGAATAGCTATTCTTATAATTGTCTCATTGCACTCTTGGGCACTCTTACTTGTAGGTCTGATTAAAAGGATGATATGCTTTTGAGTAAACACGTTTAAGCATGTATGCTACATTTTGCCTGAAAGGGTCATAATATATATGTGTGTGTGTAGGAATGACTGTTCAGCTCCTTAGATATAATAAACCCTGCTAATGATAGTAGTGTTCTATCCAAAACATGTGTCACTCAGAATGGACACAGGGTATATTATGTATTTAGTTAACAATAAAGATTTAGAGATAATTTTTAAATAAATAATAGTCCGTGAAAGTGGACTACTACAATTGCCAAAACCCATTCAAAATGGGTATGCATGCACTCAGATACTTGAGCAATAAGGATACATATAATATTCACTGGAAATTACTCTAAGGTAATAGCCCATTCATATAATCCATTTCTTTCCCACTAGTGCTTCCATTTATTTATTTATCCTGTCACGTGGTCCAACAGATGGTGGTATCTCACTATTTACCTAAACTAGTAGGAGATCTTGGCAAGAACCAACCACCCTCTGTTTGATGGAAGTTTAAATTCCCTCCACCTGTCGGTCCCGTTGGTTAAACTGTAAAGTTTTTCTGTAGACTGAGTAACACAGTCTAATATTTCCTCACTTAGTATTTGCTAATTATTTTAATCAATTTACTATACTGTACTTCCTTGTTCCCAACATATATATTCACAGTAACCTTAAATCATAGAATTGTAGAGTTCAAAGGGATCATGGGGGTCATCTAGTCCAACCGCTGGAAAGCAGGAATGTCAAATAAAGCATCCATGACAGATAGGTGGCCATGTAACCAAATGCTAGTTATGATGACAGTTTAATAAGAGCCTTGCTCCTTAAAACATCTCAATCTTCTTATCTTTGGTATTTTCTGCTTAATACCCAATCTCGGCCATTATTTCCTGTAGAGGAGAAGAAGCTCCATATCCTCATTAACAATGCAGGAGTGATGATGGTTCCCTATTCCAAGACTGCTGATGGTTTTGAAATGCATATTGGAGTCAATCACCTTGGTAAGATCATGAGACATCGATGTGATAAATGGATGTATTACCTGGCTTCTCTTTGCCTTTGCTTATCTTCCCTGCTCTTTTCCCCAGATTTCACAGATTATTCCTGTATTTGTAAACCTGAGTTTATACAGGAAAAGCATAGAGACAGGCGTTGTTGAGGGTAACACCATGAGGATTACACAAATTAAATTTGAACGCAAAAAGTTATAGACACACTGTAAACTCCAGTATGGACAGGCCCCAAGTCACAGTCCCCTGGAGATTTAATTAAATTATTTATACTGTGCCCATCTTGGTTGAATTTCATGTATTCATTTGAACTAACTAGCCAATTTTTTGGTTATCTATTTCTAGTTGATTTATAGTACAGTAAAATTAATGTCATTTTGTTTGATTTTTTAAAAAAAACATAAAGTGTTTACATTATTGTGAGTACCATTTTTGTTCTAAAGGTTAGTTTTACATTATACATATGTGTGCCCATAAGCTCTAGAAAAAGGTAAAGGTAAAGGACCCCTGACAGTTACTGTAAGTCCAGTCACAGACGACTCTGGGGTTGCGGCGCTCATCTCGCTTTACGGGTTGAGGGAGCGGCGTTTGTCTGCTCCGCAGACAGTTTTCCCTGGTCATGTGACCAGCATGACTAAGCCGCTTCTGGCGAAACCAGAGCAGCGCACGGAAATGCCGTTTACCTTCCCGCTGGAACGGTACCTATTTATCTACTTGCACTTTGACGTGCCTTTGAACTGCTAGGCTGGCAGGAGCTGGGACCAAGCAACGGGAGCTCACCCTGTCGCGGGGATTTGAACTGCCGACCTTCTGATCGGCAAGCCCAAGGCTCAGTGGTTTACACCACAGCGTCAGCCACGTCCCTAAGCTCTAGTAAATAATCGTAAATCTCCTCTCCCTTTAGGGCATTTTCTCTTAACATTCCTGCTGCTGGACCGTTTGAAAGAGTCAGCCCCAGCTCGGATAGTGAATGTGTCTTCGCACCTCCATGCTTTTTGGCACATAAACTTCAAGAACCTGCAGGGAGAGAAATACTACAATGGGTTCCTGGCATACTGTCAAAGCAAACTGGCTAATGTTCTGTTTACCAGGGAGCTGGCTCGTAAATTGCAAGGTGAGCTTTAAGAATGAAATGCTAATGGCGCACAACCACTCATATGTACGTATATAATAGGGTTGCCCATAGCCAAAGCCTGGATGTGAGAGGAAGGGGGAAGTCACAGATTACTGAAAGGTTGCAGAGAGACACCCGAATCTCGAAGCGGTGAGAGACTCTAGGGATACCAGCACTTACCCAGTGTTCAGCTTTCTTGGAATGAGGTCAGTGGAGACTGTGGTGTCTTTAAGATATATGGTTTTATTTACACATACATACAATCTCAGCATATGATGGAGGGGCTCATAGCATTAGCACAGCATAGATCTTGCTTCCTCATTTATTTGCTGGGAGCCCCAAAGTCCAGCACAGAGGTAGACATGTCTCTCTCCCAGGCGCTGCAGCATCTCCCCACTTCCCCTCTCACTCGCAAGCAGCTTTCCAGCTCTCAGCTCCTTTGTTGTCCTTTTGCTGCTTTGTCACCTAGATGCAGCTAATTTCAACATAGCTCATTCCTTTGAAGTGAAGCAGAGCACTACAGTGGCTGTCTGGTCTTTGAATTCAAAGAGCTTGCCTGACTGGCTCCCAACCTCCCCCAATCTCGTAACCATAGCTGGGTTGAAATTTAATGGAAGCATCAGAATGAAATGACTCTGCATTTAAAATTCCTTCTGGGAAAGCTATTAAAAGTATGATTTGGAGCCGTGGGTAGAGAAAAGGTTAGGCATCACCACATCACTTCTATGTTTCTCACTGCTCCCAATGAGGAATTTTAAATATTGCACATTGAAAGGGGCCATTGGGCTAACCTGACATGCATTTTGTAGGCGTTGGATGTCTAAATTGTCCTAATATTGTATCTTACCCATGCCATTGCCAGTGGCTTCTAATGTTATCTAAATTAAGGGTTTTCAGTGATTTATGAATCCACTTTCCACAGTCTCAAATGCTTCTTTATCCCCAAGGATGTTTCAGCCAAGCCATCTCACTGCTGTCTTTCCTCTCAGTTCAAACTCAAACTGGTTCCGAAGTGCTTATTTGCTCCCTATGGCAAGCTCTGATAAGTGTTGCTAGTTCCCAAACTGTGCTGGGCATTGCACTTCAAGACTGCAGGGAGAGAGGGAGATCCCCAAACATCAAGACAGATTAACATTCTGTTCATTCCCCCCCCCCAAATATGTAAACCATTCATTTAGTATGCTATAACAGATTTCAATTTAAGAGATGTTAACTTTTTGCTGTTTTATTTATATTTTTTTGTGTATTTTTTAAAAATGGCTTTGTTAAACCCTCAATACTAATTGAGTGCTGCACAAGGTTCTGTGCATTGCAATGATATTGTGTGTATTACAGTGAAAAGGGTGGTCCAATACTAGCTGCCTTACAGGGTACATGGGAACAATATTAATCCTTTCCTTTTAAACCTTTGGATTCATATATTTTGGTTGATATTTCTGCTTTATGTTTTTCTAGGCACTGGAGTTACTGTCAATGCTTTACATCCTGGTGTGGTTGATTCTGAATTGTCGCGTTACTCATATTCGTCAGGAATTTTTAAAGCGCTGTTTCGCTTCACGTTGAAGACACCAAAAGAAGGAGCCCAGACTAGTATTTACTGTGCAGTGGCAAAGGAACTGGAGTCAGTGAGTGGGCAATATTTCAGGTGGGTCTGGGATTGTGATTTGCAGTTGGAATACAGACATCTGGATTCAGCACATCTGGATAAAGTTTTCTGTGGTAATGCTCAGAGGTGCCCACATCAGACCCAGAAGGCAATATTAAAATGGCACATTGCACATTAAAAGAAAGAGATCATATGCAATAGCTCTAACTTAAAAATAGCAGTGTGGACATGGGTTGTGAGAAGTCTTTGCCTCTGGTACAGCAGACACAGTGCAATTGCTCCTGTCATAAACGTAGGGGTTGCTCGTGCGCAAGTTGGTGCCACTCCTGGCTAGGTTGCCTTGTTAAACCTTTTCTGTCTGGACAGCCCTACACTTCGTGGCTGTTCAGTTGCCATCAGAATCTGTCAATGGGCGTTTCTTAAATCTTTTCCAGCATAAAAGTTGTTTGACTCCAAGTCTCCTAATCTCCCTGCGCGGAAGTCTTCTGCGCAGGGAGGACGTGGGTAGCGGAGGACCCGTGCTCTCCTCGCAGATCTCCCGCGAGGAGTCCTGGAGCCCCCTCGCCGATTCCCCCATCTGCCCCCCTTTATCCCTGGTGTTACGCTGATTTCCTTCCCCAGCTGGTGAGCCGCCTCTCCCCCTGCTGGGCCCGTCTCCAGCATCGCTTGAGAGCCTAGCCTCCGCCTCTGGCTCCGATGTCAGTTCCCTGACAGCTCCTTTGAACTATTAAAGGTAAAGGTAAAGGACCCCTGACAGTTAAGTCCAGTCATGAACGACTCTGGGGTTTTGACGCTCATCTCGCTTTACTGGCTGAGGGAGCCGACGTTTGTCCGCAGACAGTTTTTCTGAATCATGTGGCCAGCATGACTAAGCCGCTGCTGGCGAAACCAGAGCAGCGCATGGAAACGCCATTTACCTTCCCTGACAGAGCGGTACCTATTTATCTACTTGCACTTTGACGTGCTTTCGAACTGCTAGGTTGGCAGGAGCTGGGACCGAGCAACGCGGGGATTTGTCCTAGGCCCTAGGCCCAGTGGTTTAGACCACAGCGCCACCCACATCCCATCTTCGAACTATACAGAAGCTATACAGAAATAACAAAGCTATTATCAGGAACATCCAGACAGAACAAAAGCCCTTTTCATACATAGTCAATTGGGGGGGGGTCATATACAGTGGTGCCCCGCAAGACGAATGCCTCGCAAGACGGAAAACTCGCTAGACGAAAGAGTTTTCCGTTTTGGAGGTGCTTCGCAAAACGAAGCTCCTATGGGCTTGCTTCGCAAGACAAAAATGTCTTGCGAGTTCCTGCGGTTTTTCCCCCCTTTCCCCCCCCTTTTTCTAAGCCGTTAAGCCGCTTATCTGCTTATCCGATAAGCTGATAAGCCGCTAAAAGCCGCTAATCCGCTAATCCGTCAATGGGCTTGCTTCGCAAGACGAAAAAACCGCTAGACGAAGAGACTCACAGAACGGATTCTTTTCGTCTTGCGAGGCACCACTGTACCAAAATTTGCCCCTTACTTTTTCAACGGTGGGCAGGACAGCTTCTTTATCTTGTGAACTGCCCTGAGTTTTTCGGATGAAGGGCAGTATATAAATTTAATAAACAACACCAGCAATAATAATTCATTATTATTTTTTGTAACTTGAGAAATGACAAGCAGCTTTGCTGTCAGTGGGCTGGCCACTAATTCCTTCACCCTCAAATGATTCGGATGCAGCTTCATTTTGGAGTGGGGTGGTGGTGGGGGCAAGCTGCAACAAAGCCATAGTGTCTCCTTATCGGCAACCGCCATGTTTTGTGGCAACTGTCTCAGCCACCAATGACTGAAAAAATTAGGCAAAGTGCAGTGGACAGTGCCCCATACAAAAACAATGAAAACATCCCCTTTGTTCAGGAGTTTGAATTTGCTCTGATATGATCACTCAGTTAATAGGTTTGGATATTCCTCGTCTTACTTGTCAACCCTATTGAATTGTCTGAGACTTACTTCTCACTAAACATGTATAGGATTGTGCTGCTGGGGTAACCTTAGCCCACTGTTGTCCATAAACCCAATTTGCTGTCATATTGATTTGGGAAATACGCTCAATGTTTAATCAGAATTCTGATTCTTTGATGGTTTTGAATGGCTTAACAAATGATTAACAAAGTACCTAATGAATATTTATTTTTTTCTTTCTACAGTGACTGTAGACCAGCCTGGGTTGCTCCTCAGGCTTGTAACAAAGAGACCGCAAAAAAGCTCTGGCAAGTCAGCTGTGAGCTGATGGGCATCCAGTGGGAGTGAACTGGGATGGGTCTGTGGTTGACATTCGTAGACAGAATGTGAAGGCAACCAGAACGAAATAAACTATCCTTATCTTCTCATGTGTAGATGTCAGTGTCTATCAGGCACTTTATAAACATAGATTGTATATTAATAAAATATGTTCTAATCAACACTGAGTTCTACTCTTTGGTGACCTGAAGACAGTGATACTTAGCTGCAAACACATAACTGCTTCCCTGGGGGGGAAAAGTGAATCTACCCTAATTGGTTTGTGATATAACTTTCACATGTAAACCTGTTAGATTGGTTGGATTTTGAGAAATTATCCCTACATAGAGGAGGGCAAAAGTATTATTTTTTTTATGTGCGGAGTCAGAATCTTCTTCCTTCACTTCACATTGGAAACTCTTTTTTAAAAACCCACAAAACACTGCACGCATTATCTGAAAATGGAAGTCTGTAGTCACATCCACACCAAACATTTAAAGCATTTTGACAGTCATGGCTCCCCACAAAGTATCCTGAGAACTGTAGCTTACCCACCAAGCTACAATTCCCAGCACCCTTAAAATTACAGTTCTCAGGATTCTTTGAGGAAAGCCAAGCTTAGGGTTGAACCAGTGAAGGTGGTGAAGGTTCTGTGTGAGTGCCTGGAGGCGGTTGGAGGATGGATGGCGGCTAACAGTGAAGGGAAACAGTTAGGGTTACCCCAAACAGCCCTAAAAACTGTTTGTGAATTCTCCCCCCCCCCCCAGCCAGGCCTCGCCTCAAGCATTTTAAAACTGCATTTCCTCTAAGACAAAAAGCATTAGCCAAGCATATTCTGCTTGCTGTAACTAAAAAAGGTAGAGAACAGTCCATTGTTTCCCAGGCCTTTCTCAGGCTTTTGGCCTTGCTAAAAACCACATTGCAACTTGCTCTCTGTCCGGGAACCATGCCAAAGCACAAGAATGAAACAACTGGAACACTCTGAAACCCCCTCACCCCCTTTCCTGGGAAAAGTCCAAAAATGGTCCCAAGACAGAAACTTTCTGTTCATGCTCAGGGGAACTCATGGGCAGGACTCTTGAAGAAGGAGGAGAAAGGGGGAGGGAACTGGAAGGGGATATATACTCTGTGCAATGGCTGTGAACTTCGTGCTTGTTTTGTGACTTATCACACTTGCTCCTCTGCCCACCCGGGTTGGCAGAATAAAAAGCTCTTTCTCTGGATTTAACCCCTTGGTGTCGTTGGCTCCTTTCGTCCCTGCTCGGGTGCAACATTTCCCTACCCATGGTTTAAAGGGCCTAGAAAGGCTACATTTTCTGGTGCATTGGCCGGGAAAAAGCACGTTCCCCGGAGTTGAGGGACAAAGGTGCAGGGCGTCACTGCGAGGCGAACAGCTCAGGCTCCGGGTCAACAGTTCCAGCGTGCATCCTGCCAAGTTCGTGGGAGGGACTGGCCACCCGTTCCTGAGTAGACACGTGACAAGCGACGGAGAGAAAAAGCAACGGCCGTGCAGAAGGAAGGTACCTCAAGGAACAAGGTAGGCTCCACAGGGTTTTAGGTGGGAGCAAGAAAAAAGAGAGTTTGATCAGCTCCACCAGTAGGGCAGTAAAAGGTGCCACTGGTTTTTGGTTTGCCCAGAAAAGCAGTAGAAAGGGTGCTGCTGGGCACCGGTCGAAGTCTAAGCGCTGCCGGTTGTGGTTTTGGTGTTGGTAAAAAGGGGGTTGGGGGAGGTGCATGGGTTTTTCTGAATGTGCGTGTGGGGACACTCCAGTGAATGTTTTGAGTGTGTGAGACGTTGGGAGCAACGTGACTGAGTGAAAAAATAACTAGGAGGGCGGAGTGTCCCAGTTTCCCAGTGTCCAAGTGTCCAAGTGTTCCAGGGTCATGGAGAAAAAGCAGTAAAACAACTCCCATGACCCCCCTGCAATGTTTCCTGAACAAATTGGAAAGATGCCACTCAAGTAGATGATTGAGGATTTAAAACTGAAGAAAAATAGACTCCAACACTTATGTGAAGTTCCTGACCGTCCCCCATGGCTTAGGAAAAGTAGAACTGTGATTAGCCGAGTCAAACTGTGCTCAGTACAATTACAAGTTAAAAAGCCAGCAGTTTTGCCAGTCCCAGAAGAGGAGTAATTTGGCCCCCTCCAACCTATGCACCAACTGCCCCCGTTGCTGCACAAGGGTTGCCAAATCTGGGAGCAGGCGAGGGTGAGGGCACTGGTCCTTTTCCCCCTGCCCAGAAGAACACTGCTCCTTCCCCCCCTTGCACAGGGTAAGGATCCCCAACTCCCAAGAAAAGAGGAAGAGAAGGAAAGTGAGGAAGAAGGTGATATGGAAAATTCAGAAGGAATTTAGAAAGTGGACAAGCAGTCCAAAAGAGTGTTTCAGTATGTAGAACCACATGTGGCTTCTTGGGATAGAAGCAGCATAATGCAAGGATGAGCATTGACAGAAAGAAACAGAGCAGAAGGCTTTGAGAGCCGCATGGGACAGAACTGTTAAAAAAAAGAGAGAGACAATTAAAAAACCCGAGGGATTAAAAACCCTAGGATTACAATACTGACCATTGAGGAAATCCGCAAGATACATGCCCTCAGGGCAGCGGACAATACTGACACTGCAGTTGAGGTCTCTTACCCCAGGAACACGCCCCCTTGGGATTACAATACTACTGCGGGAAGGGCGGCCTTAGAGACTTATCACAAAAATGTTTTAGAAGGCATGAGAAGGGCAGCGAAAAGACCTACAAATATGGCAAAATTATCTGAGGTTTTTCAGCTGCCCAGTGAGCCCCCAGGAGTATTTTTGGAGAGATTAAAAGAGGCATTCCGCAAGTACACCCCCGTAGATCCTGATTATGAGGCCCAAGAGGTGATTGTAAAAACTACCTTTGTGATGCAAGCAGCTCCCGACATAAGACGAAAAATCCAAAAGCATGAGAACTTTATGGGGAACCGTCTCGAATGGATGTTAACTCTTGCCCAGACAACTTACAATCAAAGGGGAGAAGAAGCAGAAATGCAGAGAGAAAAATACCAGACCAAAAAATTAATGGCACTAAGAGCCGGCCAGCAGCCAGCAGCCAAAAATGCAATCCTGGAGGGTGTCCACGGGAGGGGCAGAAGACACCTAGGGAAGAAACCAGTGCACCATCTGCAGGCAAGAAGGTCACTGGAAAATGGAATGCCCACAGGCCCCACTCCCCCGCTCCCCACAGGCTGGGAACAGTAACCCCATGGCCTGAACCCCACCTCACCAGCCGGGAGCACAGGCAACGGCCCAGAGAGACGAAGAAACTTACCAGGATAAACCAGGCCCAACAAACGCAGGTTCCCAGAAGCTGCCTGGCCCTGGTCCAACAATGGTTGCTCAGCACATGGAATGAGGTTTCTGAAAATGATCCCCCCCCCATCTATCTTGCTAAAAGACTGTTGCAGTGGAAAGCATGTGAACAGACTGTTTCTAACATTCATTCATGCAATAACAAGACATCAGCTTTTTTTTCCTTGAAGCAGCTTCAGAATAAAATGGAATGTGAGGCATGTTTATCTCTTGGCAGCTATCTCAGAAGGACATTGCTGTATTCTCCCCAGCCAGCTTCCCTGAACCCCACACTGTCTGGATTTACAGTCAAGCGACAAAAAACCCCAGAATGCCAAGAGTTACCCACCCCAGCCCCAAGTACTAACCTGAAGAGTGATTTCTTAAAAGCAAGTGAATGCTTTCTGTGAACTTTGTCAAAAAAAATTCTTTTTAGGATCTACTGAAGAAGCGCAGCATGCTCAGATCAAAACGCTGCTCCTATAGGAATTTTGAAACTTTGAAACTTTGGAAGTTTGCCAGTGCACGGGAACACTGTGCCCCTCCTGCTTAACACTGACAAACACTTGGCAGATGAACTGCAATTTGCAACATGGCTTTGCAACATGGCTTACAGGCCGCAAAAGCTCTGAAAAAATTAGAGTGCAGAGAAAAAGACTTTTAAAAATCTCAGCTGGCAAACTTAACCCAAGAAAAAAGGACTGTCATCCATCTGTCATGGATGCTTTAGTTAAGATTCCTGCATTGCAGAGGATTAGACTAAATGACCCTAGGAATACTCTTCCCAGTCAGGCTCACCTGACATCTATTCTCATGTCTTTTTTGATGCAAGGTGAAGCCCTTTTAATTTTCCCAGACATCTGTTAGAACCCAAAACTAAGAATTTGTCAAGAATGTACAACTTGCTGCTGAAATGGAATACTCAGGATGAAACGGTAAAATCGGCTATGATTAAATGGGCACAGGACGTTGGACATAATATTATGTTTGCTGACTGGGAACGGTTATGGACCACAGATATGAAATTTACGGCATGTAATGCCTTAAGAGAGAATATTATGAAAATGATATACAGGTGGTACATAACCCCAGTCAAGCTTGCAAAAATCTATCACTTGCCCGATAACAAATGTTGGAAATGTAAAGAAACTGAAGGTACATTTTTTCACCTTTGGTGGACGTGCCCAAAGATTAAGGCTTTCTGGGAAATGGTATATAATGAATTAAAAAAGGTATTTAAGTATACCTTCCCTAAGAAACCAGAGGCCTTTCTCCTGGGCATAGTCGGCCAAATGGTGTTAAAAAAGGATAGAACTTTCTTTATGTATGCAACAACAGCAGCAAAGTATTGGAAGACACAAGAACTTCCCACGCTGGAGGAATGGCAGATGAAACTTATGGACTATATGGAATTGGCGGAAATGACTGGTAGAATCCGTGACCAGGGAGAAGAGTCGATGGAGGAAGATTGGAAGAAATTTAAAGACTATCTTCAGAAACACTGCAAAATTAAGGAATGTTAGAGTGATGTTGGACTGAAAACAAGCGGTTTCCAGCTGTACAGGTTAAAGTTAATGATAGACTAAGATTAAAGATTAAGATTAAGGATGTTTAAAGAAATGGAAATCTGATATTAAGAGGGAAAATTTTAACGTTATATGATACTAAGACCAAAGATTAGGTTTAAAGAAGTTGAAGTTATATATTTTAATATCTTATTAAACTAAAGATTGGGATTAAAAAAGTGGAAAAGAAACTGCTGAACAAACAATTTGGATTGGAATACAAAAGAGGGAGGTATGAGGAAGTCCAGAAAATAAGTAACTTAAAAATGGAAATGGAAAAGAGATATTGTTTTTAATGGTTATGTGTTTTTTTTTATGGTTGAATTTTGTTTTGTTTTGTGTGTGTGTTGTTATATGTATTGCATATGTTTTTCTTTTCTTTCTTTGTTGTTTAAAACCTTAATAAAAATTATTTTAAAAAAATAATAATAATAATTTTCCCAGACATCTAAAAGCTGTTCTGAATTGGCTTTATTCAGCTGGTATGCTGGTATGCTTTTACTGTACTGCTTGGCTAATTATACTTCTTGGTAATTTTATTATTTTAATCTATTTCAAATGATTTGCTAGCCATTCTGGAAATAGTAATATTGAAGTGCAGGGTAAAGTAGAAGTGGAGGAGGAGTGATAGTCAAGTACATTGCACAACTAGGCTTAAGCAGGGGAGCGCAGTGTACTTAAACAATATGATGCAATTTACACTGATACCTGAGATTAGATTGGAATCACTTTGTGGGTGATCTCAAAAGAGTCTGCTATGGTTAGGGTGGTGTCTCATAATGGAAGTGGTGTGACACCTTGGTGAATCCAGGACTGGGGTGTTTTCTGTTGTTTCATATTTTATTTTCTGCATAAAAATAAATAAACCAATAATAAAAAGAGCCTATTTGGGAAGAGTTTACATAAAAGGTTGTGAGCAATCTTATGATTGATTTTGACATGCTAAGGATAATCATAATAAAGTTTGTGTGCTAATCAGGGCCTGCCAGCTATGAGGCAAGGTGAGGCAACTGCTTCAGGTGGGAGGATCCACAGGGACAGTAGATTCCAATGTAGGATCTTTATTCCCCCCCCCCTTGTGGCTGATGTAGATCTTGACTCACCTCTTCTTTCCTGGAGTGTGTGTGGGGCATTTTGTGGCTCACTTCTTTTTGTGGCCAAAAGTGTCTCAGGCCAGCCCTGGTGCATAAAAGCACTACATTGGTGTAGGTATTCCCAAGGCCAAACCAACAGCTGCTATGGACCTCCTCCAGCAGAAGAGACACTATAAACATCTGCTGGCACGTAAGAAAAGGGAAGCCATTAAGAACACCTGAACTTGACTTATTCAGGCAGTTAAATCCAATGATTCAGCCACATTCTGACATATCACATCTAGCCCACAAGGCTATGGCCCAACCATGGTGGACTGTCACATTCCCCCAGGGACCTGGGAGGCACACTTTCAGGATGTTTACTCGGGCAGTTCTGCTGAAAATGGAAGAGCTAGCCAAATGATAGGAAATCTGCCTATGTGGGCTCCAGTGATGGTGACAGATATTAAGAACTAGGTAGCTTAGCTAAGACTGGGGAGGGCCCCAGGGGAAGACCTAATCCCAGCAGAGGCCATTAAAAACAATTTGGACTTCTGGGCCCCCACTCTGGCTTCACTCTTGACCTGCATCAACACTCATGGTCAAGTCTCCAATGACTGGGGGCTTGCAATCATTGCCCCTATATATAAAAAGCTGATGAGATAAAACAAGATATATAGTCAACATCTATTTCTGTGTGGAATGGTTCATTTCAGTGAGAATACATACATTATATATTACCGGTACCTGTAATCCAGAAACCCAGCAGGCTGCTGCTGGATGGACAAAACACTGTTTCTTCTCCAGCAGCAGATTGCATTGTCGGGCTTCAGAGAGAGGAAGAGAAGCCTTCAAGTTACACTATTCATACTCTTTAAAAAGTGTGTTTAAGATAGCCCTTTCTATTTTTTAAAGAAAAGCAGAAACATGGGCTCCAATTTGCAATGCACATCTGGTTCAGAAAGCAGGACCAGTGTTAAGTTGTGGGCGAACATGTCACAGTGATTCTTTAAACAGCTCTTCTTTATTCAGATGCCAGAACAGAACTAGGCTGAGGAGCTCAGTCAGGCTGCTTATATAGAGTTCCAGAACAATGCAACTGTTGCCATTTTCTAAAACTATCCAATCACTGAACTTCACTTTTCGATCCTTCATTTGCATAACTATCTACAGGGTGAGAACTTCAGTACATAACACCCCTCCCCACCGAGATAAGGCGTTAAGTTACAATCGTAATGGTTTCCTTATATACAGCACTACACGTAATGGTTCAATTAGGCACAAAAGCATATCGGTTACATTTCACATACTTAGACCAACAGTGATACATGTCCAACAACATAGTCCTTTAAATAAGTTGGGCGCTTGGAAACTCTGTCAGACCGCTGGGGACTGGTAGCCAAGTCCAGGGGGCCACACAATTCTTGCTGAGGCTGTGGTGTGACCCTAGGTGGCGTTGAAACCAAATCCCCTGGATCCGCTGCTGTGGGTGGAGCCTCCACAAGTGGAGTGGTCTGAGCCTGTGGTAAGTCTGGCAGACCCTCTGAAGTGGCTTGGTTCGGCTCCACGCTGGCAGTTTGCGAGGGAGGTGTAGGTGGAGCCTCGCCATCTGTAAGTGTTTCTTCCGGAGCCACGAGCGCAGTTGGGGGCACCACGGTAGTGTCCAAGTCCCCAACCCTGCGCCTAAGCTGTCTATGTGCCGGCGCCACAAGCGTCCGTCTTCGAGTGCCACCTGGTACAAGCGAGGTCCAGTGACTCCCACTACTGTGGCTGGCACCCAAGGAATGTCCCCCACATAGTTCCGGGCAAAGGCCTGGTTTCCTGGAACAAATGACCGTGGCGCGTTGGCACAGCCTGGGGGTTCGGCCACAGCAAAGTCCGGGTGCAGCTGGTCGAGCGGTGACCTGAGGCGGCGGCCCATAAGCAGTTCAGCAGGACTCCGCCCTGTGGCCGCATGAGGGGTGATGTGTTGCACGAACAAGTATTCAGTGACCCGCTGGTGCCAGTCTCCCCGGTCCAGGCGTGCCAGTGCCTCTTTTGCTGAGCGCACCATTCTCTCCGCTTGCCTGTTGCTGGATGGATGAAATGGTGCCGTTAGGGCATGGCGGATGCCCAGTCCCAAAATATACCGCTTTAAAAGTGCCTGACGTGAACTGCGGTCCGTTGTCGGAGACAAGGACATCAGGACACCCATGCATCGCAAACAGGCCTCGCAGCACCCGGATGACGGCCTCGGTACTGGTGGAGGACATCAGGGCCACCTCCAGCCATTTGGAGTAGGCGTCTACTACTACCATAAAGGTCCGGCCGTGAAAGGGGCTGGCCAGATCAATGTGCACCCTCGACCAGGGTGTCTTTGGCGTCTCCCAGGTGTGTCCCTTAGCTGCCGGTGGTGCAGGTCTCGATTCTTGGCACGCTTGACAGGCAAACACCCAGGCAGTGATGGCATCGTCCATGTTAGGCCACCAGACGTAACACCGAGCCAACGCCTTCATTTTGATGATTCCCGGGTGGCCAACGTGCAGAGCCTCCAGGACGCGTTGACGGAGTCTTTGGGGAATCACGACGCAGTCTCCCCACAGTGTTGTTTCAATATTACTGACAATTCTAGAGCCATTCAAAGCCAAATCTCTCATTTGCAAAATCTTACACATCACATTAAACAGGACATTGGATTTTCTGGCCTCTGGGATTCACCCAGTGGCTTATTGCTTGGCTGCCTAACCTTACTTGGCTTCGTAGTCTTTTTCAATATGCTATTGTCATAATTTGTATTCTTATCTTGCTATGCTGCTTCCTTCAATGCGTTCCTAGCCTCATAAGTCTTTTCTCTCGGCTTCTCTCTCCCCCTCAGCCACCAAGTAAACTCCTTGCTGCTTACTTTGCGAAATGGCAACACCAACAGTAAACTTTAGGGGAGATGTGGGCGGACTTATTTTGGGCATGCGCTGGCAAACCACGTATCCTGAAGTACTTTTGTCCCATCGACCCTGGCGAACTTATTTTGGGCATTCGCTGGCACACCACTAATCCTGAAGTATTTTTGCCTTATTTACCTAGAACGCCTCGCAAACAAGAAAAGAAAGGGGGAGATGAAGGGAAGTTCTTTTTCTGCAGTTCTCTTACTGCACATAACTGTGTGGCATTGTGGGAAGTCTTGCTATTAGAACTATTGCTTCTTTTCTCTTGCATTCTGGGAAGTCTCGCTTCTGCTTCTGCACATACTGTTCCAAACACACCAAGCCTAACACACCTAGACATTCTCTCATTCATCAGTTCATTTTAAGTTCATGACCAAAACAATATGGTCTGTTCTTAATGCATAGCTGACCACATCTACGGAACTTGATTATTATATTCTTTCATGTTATGATCAATCATTAGTAATTGTTTTAGTCATGTTATATTAATCTTTAGTTATAATTTAATTAGGAGGATTCATGCCTGTCTAGTTCTAGCTCCATTTCTCATCCTTTGATCTATCAGTGATAAATGGTTGTATGTAATTCCCGCCTTGTACCTATGTTAACCAATCAGCAACAAGATGCTTTGTGTTTGTATCAACCAAACAGCCACAAGCACACCTGTGGCAATGTTTGTAATATTCAATAAAAGAGAGTTCCCGGGGCTTGTCCCGGCAGACGCCTCTCATATGACACCTACCACTCGTCTGTCGTGATTTTCAACCCAACAGACAGCTGCGATGAGCCGAGAGTTCATGTTGTCTGGTTGCGAACGGTTGGAACTCTGATGCAAAAGGCCCTTGTGGCCACCCCCTCCACACCCAGTTGAGCATACGGCTGATGGTGCGATCCTCGGCAGATGCGGAGGCCACAGTGGCAGCCGATACAGGGGCTGCTGGAAGATCCTCAATCAGGAGGAGCGATGAAACTGGAGCCGGGTCTTCCACAAACACTGGAAGAGGGCAACGGCTGAGGGCATCGGCATGGCCCATCGATTTCCCCGGGCAATGGACGAGCCGGTAGTGGTAGGCAGCCAGGAAAACAGTCTATCGCAGCATGCGCGGCGAGAGGACCGGTGGAGTTGGACCATCACCGGCAAGGAGCGGCTTGTGGTCAGTGATGAGGTCAAAAGTCCTGCCATAGAGGTATTCATGGAACCTCTTCACTCCAGCCACAAGTGCCAGTGCCTCCTTATCGAGCTGGCTGTAATTCCGTTCAGTCAGAGATAGCGTCCTGGAAAAGTAGGCGAGCGGTGCTTCTCTTCCGTCTGGAAAACGGTGACTAAGGACAGCGCCGATGCCAAAAGGTGAGGCGTCGCAGGCAAGGACCAGTGGCCTGGCTTCACTGTACTGTATCAGCACACTGTCCGATGAAAGGAGAGCCTTGACCGCGTTGAAGGCCGCCGTCTCCCGATGACCCCAGGACCAAGGCGTCTTTGTGCTGAGGAGTCGGTGAAGAGGCTCAGCCACTGTGGCTTTGTGGGGCAAGAACATGTTATAAAAGTTCAGCAGCCCCAGGAACGCCTGCAACTCCGTCTTGTTCTTTGGGATGGGGGCCTGCTGGATAGCGTGGATCTTGGATGTGGTCGGGTGAAGGCCGGAGGTGTCGATAAGATAGCCCAGGAACTCCACCTGTGGAACAGCGATCTGGCACTTCTTCCTCTTTGCCTTGAGCCTGGCCTCTTGGAACCTGGTCAGCACGGCACGGAGGCGCTCAAACACTGCTGGTGTGAGTCTGCGGGCACTAAGACGTCATCAAAATATGGTACCACGCCCGGAAGCCCTTGCAGGAGACGCTCCATAAGGCTTTGGAAGATGCCAGGAGCCACACTCACCCCGAACTGCAACCGGCGGCAACGGAATGCCCCTCGGTGGGTGACGATTGTCTGGGCATCATCGACGGGCAGTTGTTGATAGGCTTGGGCAAGGTCCAGCTTAGCGAAGACCTTTTAAAAAATAATAATAATAATATTTATTAATTTTCAACCATTTAAACACAACAAAACAGATAGACAAAAGAAAAAAAGAAAAAAAAAGAAAAAGAGAAAAGCATAAAACTAACAAAGCAAAACACAAACCATTTCAAACACAGAACAATTTAAATGTCTTATCTTTCATTCCCTTATTTCCACGACCTCCTCACACCTCCCTTTTTGTTTTCCACTTCTATTAATTATTTCAGCAATTCCTTTCCATCTTCCTGTTTTCTATCCTATAATTATTTTAACATATTCTAGCCTTATTTTCCCTTTAATACACTATTAATCTATTTATACTTGATTCCTTATAGCATTTCTACTAAACCCATATAACTTCATTCCAACATTTTTCTAACATTCATTATTTTTACAGTATTTCTATAAATAGTCGTAAACTTTTTCCAGTCTTCTTCCACCAGCTCTTCTCCCTGGTCTCAGATTTCTGCCAGTCGTTTCCGCCAATTCCATATAGTCCATCAACTTCATCTGCCATTCTTCCCGAATGGATAAATCTTGTGTCTTCCAGTACTTCACAATGAGTATTCTTGCTGCTATTGTTGCATACATGAAACAAATTCTATCCTTCTTTAACACCAATTGGCCGACCATGCCCAGGAGAAAGGCCTCTGGTTTCTTCAGAAGGGTATATTTAAATACCTTTTTCATTTTGTTATGAATCATCTCCCAGAGTGTCTTAATCCTTGGGCATGTCCACCAAAGGTGAACTCTAATCCTCAAATTCGTCTGTTTTTCTTTAAGTTCAGTCATAACAAGCGTCAACTTATGTTCATCAAATTGCCTCTGTGGGGCTGGGGCTCTCTTTCTCTTTCTCTCCAGTTGTGTTACTTTACCCTCAGCAGCAACAGCTTTTTCCCTGACTTCCTCCACAGTTTGTCATATCAAAATAGGTTCTTGTATCAATTTCTGGGTGGTTTCTGTACTGGTATTATTTATACTTTCTGTATTTAAGTTAATTTTAGTAATTGAAACATCCACTTTTGCATTTATCGTGTCCATTTTCCTGTGAAGCTGATCCAATGAGTCATTTATCTTATATAATGCAGCCACTAAAGCCTCTTCTGTCGACATTCCTCTTGGTTTCAAATATACTAGTACAAAGACAACAACAGAAAGAACAGAAGGGCCTAATGATAGACCTCTCCTGGATTGTTACCAAGTCCTCCCAGACCTTAATGTTTTGTCAGCAGTTGACTGGTCTGTTTTTCCTCTTCCATTTACCATAACACTTAAAAGATTCAAGGTCAGTCCCAGAGTCTCACGGTTTTTAACTTGCAGCTGGAAATTCCCCTAGTCCAGCTCTTGTAAAGCAACCGGTTTCAAAGGCTTCCACTAGGGGGAAACAATTTCTATTTGTAATAGTCAATAATATCCTCTTTTAAACAATCCAAAATTAGTTTCAAATTAGTTTCAATTTTCAGTTACTTTTACTCCTTTTTAAAGCAGCCGGAGACAGTAGAAACAATGTATTTCTCTTATTTAACTAGCTGTCAATGAACGTTCTAAACGCTGTCAATGAACATTCCAAAAGACGTCAGTCCTACTAGCAGCCCGTTTCCAGGGTCAGAGCGGCGGTGTTTTAAGTCTCTTCGCTCTCTCCCACAGGCATACTCAATCCGCAACCCCCCCTCTCTTCTCCTGCCTCCAAGAGGGGGTTTAATGTTCTTTACCATTGGAAATTTGATCTTTTACAAAAGACCTTCCAGGACTCCAGCTTGCAACTTCATTGCCACAGTCTATTTACAAAAGGGGAAGGCGGACTTCCTGTTTTGAACCTCCCCGTTACGGTACCAAATTAAACATTTAGAAATCCAATTCTTCCGCTTCAGCTCTACTCACGGGTAATTACTTTAAAGTCAAATTGTCCACAGGAAAAGGTCAGCACTCTCCGGCAACAGCTATGCGGCTTCGCTCCGTGGAAGAAGCAGACGATTCGATGCACCGTGCCGCTCACCCCACGTCGCTCCGGAGCCCCAAAAACCGGGGTTCCCCGCGAGTGGGGGAGGCGCAAAAGGTGCCTGCCGAATCCCACGTTCACAGGCTTCTCCCGCCTGTGATTTTAACGGGTCTCCGCCTTCGCCGTGGCAGCCAGACCCAGATTTCCATGGAGCAGATTCCTCCCGGTCAGAGGAATTCCGCCATTACCGGAGGCGCCTCCCCGGAAGTCCCAGCTTAGCGAAGACCTTACCCTCACCCAGGGAATGCAGCAGGTGTTGGACAACAGGAACCGGATAAGCGTGCTGCTGAAGTGCCTTGTTGATCGTGCACTTGTAGTCAGCGCAGATTCTCACCGACCCATCTGGCTTGACAGGCATGACGATGGGGGTTTCCCACTTGGCATGGTCAACTGGCTCCAAAACTCCTTGGGCGATCAGCTTGTCCAATTGTTCGTCCACCTTAGCCTTGAGAGCAAAGGGAACCCGGTGTGGCTTTAGCTTGATGGGGGCGACTTGTGGATCAAGGCTAAAGGAGATGGGCGTACCTGTATATTGCCCCAAAGTGCCGTCAAAAACCTCGGCAAAGTCTTTGACCAGACCCTCAGTCTCTGCGTTAGAGATGCAGTTGATGCCGGTGACTTCCAGGCCGAGGGCATCAAACTAGTCTAGCCCTAGGAGGCTTGTCCACTGACCTTCGACCACCACCAGTCGGAGCAGGCCTGAAAAATCCTTGAAGGCGATCTGGATCCGGCAAACGCCTACCACGGGAATGTCGTTTCCCTGGTAGTCTCTCAGGTGTACGCGGTGAGAGTCGAGTTGCCTTTTGGACACTCTGGGTACCAGTCTTTTGATGGTGCTCCAAGACACGATGGACAGGGCAGACCCGGTGTCGATCTCCATGTCACATGGAGCTCCTTCAATGAGCACCGTGACGTTCAGCTTGCGTCGCGTAGGCGAGTCGGTTTGGCCAATCGTGGTTCCAGACGGGCAGCGGCAGTTGGTGAGAGCGAAACAGCTTTCCTTGGCAGGCTGGAGTGAAGACTTGGACTTGCGAGTTGGTGAAGGGGGGGTGTCAAATGAAGCCGATCGGCAGACCTTAGCGATGTGGCCCCTTCTGGAACACGTCCAACAGATGGCGTCTCTGAATCGACACTTGGCACGGGAATGGTTGCCTCCACAGCCGGCGCATTCCGGTTGGCCCTTGGACTTCTGTTGGCACTTCCTGCGCTCCCGCTTTGTCTGTTGCACATCATCATCTTCACTGGAGGATGCCTCATCACTGCTGGCCTCTCCGTGATGCACTGGAACTGGCTCCCTAGCAAGACGCGGGCTGCTGGCCTTGCGGATCAGCAGCTTCCAAGGCAACAGCCTCCTCAATGGCTTTCTGCAGCGTGAGGTCTGGCTTGGCGAGGAGACGCCGTTGCAGATGGATGTCCCGGACCCAGCAGACGATTCGATCCATCAGGGTCGGAACTCGCAGTGCATTGCAGCCTGTTGCAGGGCGGTGGTGTAGTTGTTGATTGACTCCCCCTCTGCCTGGTTCCGGTGGTAAAACGCATGGCAGGCAGCAATCTTGGACGGCTTTGGTGCGTAGTAGTTGTGGAGCGTCTCTTGGATCGTGTTCCACGGTGTTGCCTGGACTGCTTCAGGCGCAACCAATGCTCGGGCCGTCTCAAACACTTCAGGCCCACAGAGGCTGAGGACTAGTCGCCTTTGATACTTCTGTCAGCTCGTTGGCTTGGAGGTAGCAGTCGAACCAAGCGAGGTAGGAGTCCCATGATTCAGAGGCTGGCGCAAACGGCGGTAGAGGCACAACTGAAGCCATGATTCCGGTCTTCTGGGTTGGCGCCATCGGCAATGGCGGAATTCCTCTGACCGGGAGGAATTTGCCCCGTGGGAAATTGGGTCTGGCCGCTACGGCGAAGGCGGAGAACCGCAAAAAATCACAGGCGGGAGAAGCCTGTGAACGTGGGATTCGGCGGGCACCTTCTGCGCCTCCCCTACTTGCAGGGAAACCCGATTTCGGGGCTCCGGAGCGACGTGGGGTGAGTGGGGCGGTGCTTCGAATCATCTGCTTCTTCCACGGAGCGAAGCCCCATAGCTGTTGCCGGAGAGCGCTGACTTTTTCCTGTGGACAATTTGACTCTAAAGTAATTACCCGTGAGTAGAGCTGAAACGGGAGAATTGGATTTCTAAATGTATAATTTGGTATCGAAGCGGGGAGGTTCAATACAGGAAGTCCGCCTTCCCCTTTTGTAAATAGACTGAAGCAATGAGGCTGTAAGCTGAAGCCTTGGAAAGCCCTATGTAAAAGACTAAACTTTCAACGGTAAAGAACATTTAACCCCCCCTTGGGGGCAGGAGAAGAGGGGGGGAAGTTGTGGACTGAGTATGCCTGCAGGAGAGAGTGAAGAGAGTCAGAATACTGCCGCTCTGACCCTGGAAACGGGCTGCTAGTAGGACTGACGTCTTCTGGAATGTCCATTGACAGAGTTTAGAACGTTCACTGACAGTTAGCTAAGTAAGAGAAATACATTGTTTCTACAGTCTCTGGCTGTTTCTAAAAAGGAGTAAATAGTAACAGAAAACTGAAACTAACTTTGGATTGTTTGAACTGTGTTTAAAAGAGGACATTATTGATTAATACAAAATAACATAAATAGAAACTGTTTCCCCCTAGTGGAAGCCTTTGAAACTGGTTGTCTTATAAGAGTTTTACAAGAGTTGGACTGGGGGAATTTCCAGCTGCAAGATAAAAAACTGTGAGACTCTGGGACTGACCTTGAATCTTTTAAGTGGTATGGCAAATGGAAAGGAAAAAACAGATCTGCCAACTGCTGAAAAAACATTAAGGTCTGGGAAGATTAGGCAGCAACTTAGGAGAAGTTCAATACCAGACCCTCCTCCTCCGGCTGCTGCTGTGTCTATACCAGCACAACCAAAATCAAGAGGAATGTTGTCAGAAGAGGTATTAGCGGTTGCATTAGGTAAGATAAATGAATCATTGGAACAGCTTAATAAGAAAGTGGATGTTGCAACGGAAAGCATAAACAATTTGGGACTAAAGGTGAATACCAATACAGAAACTATTCAGAAATTGATACAGGAATTCACTCTGATACGGCAGACTGCGGAGGAAGCTAGGGAGAAAGCTGCTGCTGCTGAATGTAAAGTAACACAATTGGAGAGAGAGAGAGAGTCCCAGCCCTACAGAAGCAACTTGATGAACGTAAGTTGACGCTTGCTATGATTGAACTTAAAGAAAAACAGACGAATCTGAGGATCAGAGGCCTACCTGAAATTGAGAAGGAAAGTTTGATAGACTTTCTTACACAGGAATTTGCTAACTTTTGGGACTTGGACTTGGGACAAGAAGAGTTTAGAATTGTGAGGGCCTTCAGACTTGGAAGAGGAGGGAAAAAAGAGAAGAATACAATAAGAGACTGTTTGATTACCCTTCGAACTAAAGAAGAGAGAGACAGAATTTTGGGTTGGCACTACCAGAAGAACCTAGAAGTACAACAGTCAAGAGTGGTAATTTTTAAAGACGTCCCGAAATATCTTTTGGATCTTAGGCCTGATTACGGAGATATTGTTGCCTTGCTGAGAAAGAATAAAATTATCTTTAGGTGGGAGTTTCCCCAAGGTTTATCTTTCAGTTTCAAAGGTAGGAAAATAAAAATAAGATCAGTAGAGGATAAAGCGAAGTTTCTGTATAAATACAAAGAAGATCTGCAGAAGGGATTTGGAAAAGAGCCAAGAGTACCGGACAGAAGATCACCAGATAGAGGACTAGAGCAGAGAGCATTGAATAGAAGATCACCAAACAGGGGAATATTGGATATATCAACACTGTCTTTTGGATTGGACTCCCCAGTGAACGTGCCACCATTACCACCAACAGAAGAAGAGCAAGCATTGGGTGCAGTTGGAGGAACATCAGCGTAATTACATGATGGCGTTGCAGGTCTTGAGCTGGAATGTGAATGGACTGAATTCCCCAGAAAAAAGGCGGAGAGTATTTCATTTATTGAAAAAAGAACATTTGGACTTGATTTGTTTACAAGAAACACATATGATAAGGCTACACAGGAAGATATTGAGTAATAAAAGATTGGGCCAAGAATTCATTTCATCAGACAAAGTTAAAAAAAGAGGAGTGGTCCTTTACGCAAAGGAGAGCCTATCACCAAAATTCTTATTTAAAGATGATCAAGGAAGATTTGTAGCAATTGAAATTCAATCACAAGGAGAGAAATTCTTGATTCTAGGTATTTATGCACCAAACGAAGGAAAATCGGAATTCTTTAAGAAGTTACATGAGACTCTGATGGATTATATGGACTATAATATGATTTTGATGGGAGATATGAATGGAGTGGTGTCTACAAATATGGACAAGGCACAGAGACAGGTAGTCACCAAAGATGGTAGGCTACCAAAAACTTTTTTTGACATGACTGAAAATATGGACTTAGTTGACATTTGGAGTATGAAGAACCCTCTGGGAAGAGAGGGAACTTTCTTCTCTGAGGCTAAAATGACATGGACAAGAATTGACCAAATCTGGGTAACCAGGGGATTGGCTCCGAAGATCAGCAAAGTGGAGATTTGCCCCAAAACTTGTTCTGACCATAATGCGGTGAAGATGGAAATGAAATTGACGCCAATTGGTTCCTTTAGATGGAGGATGAATGACACTTTGTTTAGGAATGAAGAGGTGACCAAGAAGGCCCAAAAAACTCTAAGAGATTACTTTGAGATAAACATGAATACTACAGTGGAAAGAAGAGGAATTTGGGATGCAAGCAAAGCGGTTATGAGAGGATTCCTAATACAACAGAACGCAATTAAGAAGAGAACTCAGAATGAAAAAAAGGATAAAATCCTGGGAAAGATAGAGGAAGGAGAGAAGAAACTGAGAGCAAAACCAAAGTCACAGGAGATTCTGAAAGAGATAAAGTTATATCAAGTACAATATGCGAAGCTGATGAATCAGGAAATAGAATGGAAGATTAAACAGATGAGGCAAAAGACATTTGAATCGGCAAATAAATGTGGGAAATTGTTGGCCTGGCAAATGAAAAAAAGACAAAAACTCAATACTATTACGAATTTGGAAGTGGAAGGAAAAAATATACAGAACCCAGTGGAGATTAGGAAGTGTTTCCAGAGGTATTTTAAACAATTTTATACACAGGAGAAGCAGAAAGAAATGGACATTGATCGATTTTTGAAAATAAATGGACTACATAAAATCTCTCAGGAAAAACAATTAATGTTGAATTACAAAATAACAGACCAGGAGGTGGAAGGGGCTATCCAGAACATGCAATTAGGTAAATCTCCAGGACCAGATGGTTTGACTTCAAGATATTACAGATCTTTGAAAGAATGGTTAATACAACCATTGAAGGAAGTGTTTAATGAAATATTGGAAGGGAGAAAGGCACCAGAATCGTGGAAGGAAGCTTACATAACACTTATACCGAAAACAGAGACTGAAAAGACACAGCTCAAGAACTATCGCCCCATATCACTGCTAAATGTGGATTATAAAATTTTTGCATATATTTTGGCTAAAAGATTAAAAAAGGTGTTAGTAGAAGAAATTCATACAGATCAAGCGGGCTTTCTCCCGGGCAGAAATTTGTCTGACAATATGAGGAATATAATTAATATTCTAGAAAAACTTCAAGTCAATATCAATACTAAGGCTGTCTTGATATTTGTGGACACGGAGAAAGCCTTTGACAACATCTCCTGGAGCTTTATGAAGAAGAATTTACAGGGGATGGGGGTAGGTCAAGGTTTTGAAAATGGTATAGGTGCAATTTATTCAGAACAAAAGGCAAAATTAATTGTGAACAATGTAGTGACAGAAGAGTTTAAGATTGAGAAAGGGACACGACAAGGTTGCCCAATTTCTCCACTGCTTTTTATATCGGTCCTTGAGGTTTTGTTAAACATGATAAGAAAGGACCAAGAGGTCAAAGGTATACAAGTGGGAGCTAAACAATATAAACTGAAAGCATTTGCTGATGATTTAGTATTGACCTTACAGGAGCCAGAATCCAGTACAAAAAGGGTATTGGAACTGATTCAAGAATTTGGACAAGTAGCAGGTTTTAAGCTGAATAAGACGAAAACTAAGGTCTTAGAGAAAAATTTAACTGTGAATGAGAGAGAGAAGTTTCAGGAAGAGACAGGACTAACACTGGTTAAGAAAGTGAAACATTTAGGGGTTAACATGACTGCTAAAAATGTGAATCTATTTAAGGATAATTATGAAAAATGTTGGATTGAAGTGAAAAAGGATTTAGAAATATGGTCAAATTTGAAATTATCATTGTTAGGCCGAATTGCTGTGATAAAAATGAATGTGCTGCCAAGGATGTTGTTTTTGTTTCAAACATTACAAATTTTGGATAAGATGGATTGTTTCAAGAAGTGGCAGAAAGATATTTCCAGATTTGTTTGGCAGGGCAAGAAGCCTTGAATAAAATTTAAGATATTAACTGATGCTAAAGAAAGAGGTGGATTTGCCCTGCCAGACTTTAAACTTTATTATGAATCAGCGGCTTTTTGCTGGCTGAGAGAATGGCTGCTTCTTGAAAACACTGACGTGTTGGATTTAGAAGGTTTCAATAATGTATTTGGTTGGCATGCATATTTGTGGTACGATAAGGTAAAAGTACATAAAGCGTTTAAAAATCATATTGTTAGAAAAGCATTGTTTAATGTTTGGATAAGATATAAAGATTTGTTAGAAAAGAAAACCCCAAGATGGTTGTCACCAATGGACGTGAAGGCACAGAAAAAACTCAATATGGAGGCCAAATGGCCGAAATATTGGGAAATTCTGGATCAAGATGGAGACAGAATAAAATTGCAGAGCTTTGAAAAATTGAAAAATAAAGTGCGAGATTGGCTCCATTATTATCAAATAATGGAGGCATACAATTTGGACAAAAAAGTTGGTTTCCAGGTGGAAAAATCAAAATTGGAAACAGAATTGTTAGATTCAAAAATTAAGAATTTGTCAAAAATGTATAACTTGCTGTTGAAATGGAACACTCAGGATGAAACGGTGAAATCAGCTATGATTAAATGGGCACAAGATGTTGGACATAACATAATGATGGCTGACTGGGAACAGTTATGGACCACAGGTATGAAATTTACGGCATGTAATGCCCTAAGAGAAAACTTAATGAAAATGATTTATAGGTGGTACATGACACCAGTCAAGCTTGCAAAAATTTACCATTTGCCCGAAAATAAATGTTGGAAATGTAACGAGACTGAAGGCACATTCTTTCACCTTTGGTGGACATGCCCAAGGATTAAGACATTCTGGGAGATGATTTATAACGAAATGAAAAAGGTATTTAAATATACCTTTTTGAAGAAACCAGAGGCCTTTCTCCTGGGCATGGTTGGCCAATTGGTGTTAAAGAAGGATAGAACCTTCTTTATGTATGCAACAACAGCAGCAAGGATACTCATCGCAAAATATTGGAAGACACAAGATTTACCCACCCGGGAAGAATGGCAGATGAAGTTGATGGACTATATGGAACTGGCGGAAATGACTGGCAGAATCCGAGACCAGGGAGAAGAGTCGGTGGAAGAAGATTGGAAAAAATTTAAAGACTATTTACAAAAATATTGTAAAATTAATGAATGTTAGAAAAATGTTGGAATGAAGTTATATGGCTTTAGTAGAAATGTTATAAGGAATTAAGTACAGATAGATTAATAGAGCATTAAAGGAAAAATAAGGTTAGAATGAGTTAAAATAATTATAGGATAGAAAACAGAGGAAGATGGAAAGGAATTGCTGAAATAATTAACAGAAGTGGAATACAAAAAGGGAGGTGTGAGGAGGTCGTGGAAATAAGTGAATGAAAGATGGGATAATGAAATTGTTTGATTTATTTTATTGTTTTTGTTTTGTTTTGTTAATTTAATGTATTGTGTTGTATTGTCTTTTTAGTGTTTAAGTTTTTGGAAAAATAATAAATATTATTTTTTTAAAAAAGGAAAAAAAGCCATGATTCTGATGCCGGCGAGAAGGGCGATGGATGGAACACCGTGCTCTAGCCAGAACAGTCAGCTCTGAATTGGTTCTGTTCAGTGATTTCGCTCAGTGATTCAGCTCTGCTCAGAGGGTGGCTGCATCTGGCTGTGCTCTGATGTCCACCGATCCCATCCTCGTCGCCAGTGTTAGGTTGTGGGTGAACATGTCAGACGACACAGTGATTCTTTAAACAGCTCTTCTTTATTCAGATGCCAGAACAGAACTAGGCTGAGGAGCTCAGTCAGCCTGCTTATATAGAGCTCCAGAACAATGCAACTGTTGCCATTTTCTAAAACTATCCAATCACTGAACGTCACTTTTCGATCCTTCATTTGCATACAAAACTATCCAATCACTGAACGTCACTTTTCGATCCTTCATTTGCATAACTATCTACAGTATCCCCCTGCTGGCCCAGGGTGAGAACTTCAGTACATAACAACCAGGACAATTTCCTGCTAAAAATCACCCTCTAGTTGCTGTTTGTGTCATAAACCCAATTGCTTTACTCTGATAGTGAGACTGAAGTACATTAACAAGTAGAGGCTATAGATCAAATCCATATAGTACACTTTATTTAGAAGTTTTATGAAATAAAATAAATATAAATATCCTCCCCCCCAAAGGACTATTCAGTCTAGTGTCTAAAGTAACCTAGCTGCACCATTGTCTTTACCTCTGCAAGTATATTAAATATTTCCAGGCTGTTTGGACTGGGATTCAGTCATGTACTGGCAACTTCAGGTTGTACAATGAAAGGAGATTTGGATATCTTGCATAACAAAGCCAGTTTCCCCCAAGACTGGATTTTTTTGCAATAAGTATAGTGTTGGGGAAATGCACTGGAAAGTGTGGGGTTAAAATTGCTTGATGCAACATTCTACAACCTCCCTCCAGATAAATCAGGATGAATGCTCAGTAAGCAGCCTGTCACTCTCTTGGTTGCTCCCAGCTATTTGCCAAAAGGTGGTGTCATAACTTTCAGTTCTTGTAATTCGTTATTTCTAATCATGTGGCACTCCTCCCACACCTCTCACTGTTTTATTTCTCTCCGTCAGTGGAGAAATTTCATTTGCAGAGGAGAAGTTTTCTACAATGTCAGCTCTCAGGTTTGGGTTTCTTAATTTCACTAGCTATCCTGTAGGCTTTATTAACTTGTTCTCAGAACCGCAAGTAACATTTTGCATAGGCCACATGCATTTTTGTATGCAATACTGAAATACAAGAAGTGGACAAAACCATGCAGGTTGCAGTCCTAACCCCACTTTCCTGGGAGTAGGACTTACTTCTGAGTAGATTTGGTTAGGACTGTACTATGTGTAGATAATTTCTAACCTAATTTAATATTTGACTTTTTGCTGCACTTTTATTATGCTGGAAGCTGCCCAGAGTGGGTGAGGTATAAGTAAAAAAAATTATTATTATTTAACATTCATTGAGGTTATGATTAATATCTCCTTGGCACACTGAAATGTTGTTGTTGTTTAGTCGTTTAGTGGTGTCCGACTCTTCGTGACCCCATGGACCAGAGCACGCCAGGCACTCCTGTCTTCCACTGCCTCCCGCAGTTTGGTCAAACTCATGCTGGTAGTTTCGAGAACACTATCCAACCATCTCGTCCTCTGTCGTCCCCTTCTCTTTGTGCCCTCCATCTTTCCCAACATCAGGGTGTTTTCCAGGGAGTCTTCTCTTCTCATGAGGTGGCCAAAATATTGGAGTCTCAGCTTCAGGGCTGATTTCCTTCAGAATGGATAGGTTTGATATTCTTGCAGTCCATGGGACTCTCATATCTACAATTATTGCATGCATTGTGTGGCCCCCTCTCCCTTTCCCCCTCTCTCATTAATATGCTCAAGTGGGCTCTAGCACTTTGGGGAGATTTGCTTCAGCCCTCCCTAGTGACATTCTGAAGGCTAAACTAAAAAAAGTTGCTAGGAACCTTTGGGTGAAGCCATGCGCTTTAAATGTATGGGGCAGATGTGACCTTAGGCTGCAATTGTGAGAGAAAGCCTTACTGAACTTAATGGGTATTATTTCTATTATTTCTGCAATTGTGCTACGGAATTTTTCCCTGGCTCCCTGTTGTTATGTATTATCTGCTATCTCTTTTGTCTGTATTGTCGCACACACCCCAATTTTTGAGCAGCAATACATTGCAGGGAGTCTGGTGCTTATCCAGGGTTTGGCTTTCTAGGAAGAAATGTTATGAATTGGGGTGAGGGGGGCAGTCCCCTTCCAGACCTGCAATCCTGTATCCAGGGCTGGTCATTAAGTGGCCACCTAGGGCACAGACTTCAGGGGGACACAGTACTGACCTTTGAGGGGCAGTTTTATATAGGTGAGTTTTTGTAATATTGTATCTTATAAATTTCTGATAATCTTATTTTTTTCCACAAGACATCTGCTTTTGAAAATTGAAATTAGTAGTTTTGTGCAAGTAGTTCAACCTAGGGTACGAAATAACTTAGCACTGGTTACTGCTTGTATCTGTGAGGGAATGCAGAAGGCGAAGGTTGCCAAACCACTTGCTTTGTCAAGGGAATAGCTTTCGCTGGCTAGTTAGGTGGTACGATTTGGCATAGCCAAAGAAGTTGCTCTGTGCCATAGAAACCAGCCTTTCCCCTCGCCTGGCTGGTAAGTAGAAGAACAACAGCCAGAGTTGTGTGAGGGAGCTGGAAGCTGGGAAACAGAGACATGACTTGCTCTGTGCTGGACTTTGGGGCTTCCCTAGAAACCATAGCAAGATCTATGGTTGCTAATCCTGTGAGCGCCTCCATCTTATGCTCTAGTTATATATGCATATGTGTCAATAAAACCATATATCCTAACAGCACCAACAGTCTCCATTGGCCTTCACTCCAAGGAAGCAAATCCTTGGGAAGCACAGACACCTCTGGAGTCTCTCACTGCTCAGAGATTGGGGTGGTATGTAACAGAAAGTTAATGGCTATTGAGCTGTAGGATATACTATTTTCTTTATGCATATATACAACCTGAGCATAGGATGGCATGGCTCACAGCAACAACACTCCAACAGATCTTGCCTCTCCATTAAGTTCTTAGCCCCCACCATTCTGCTGCATATCTTTGGATTCAGCACAGCCTACGGAGTCAAGCTCAGACAAACCTCAAATACCAAAACTAACATCCTTTTTCTTTTCCTTCCTAGCATAGCATGGCATCCAGCCAGGTAAGAAGGACGTGGGAATACCTACCTGCTCTTTGAAGCATCTACGGTGGTCATTATGGCAACACAACTTTTTCTTATCTAACTTTTTAAGGTGTCAAAGCCATTCTGATCCTGATTGATTGATTATTGTTGTCATCGCTACTTATTATCTTCCCTACACCTTAAGGTCCCGGGGGTGGGGGTGGCTTACGACATTTAAAATGCCATTATTGCACAATATTAAAAACAGATCGAAACAACTTATTTAACCAAGGAACCAGTTTGACTGGTTCACCAGGTATCCTCTTGTAGAGTATAACCTCACAGACGAAAAATCACAGGCCTGCAAGAGATCCACAGATATCATCCAGACTCATCTCCCAAACCAGTAGCAATATTCTTTCTTCAGATTTTTGCTTAATTGGTGTTACATTTTTTTCATTTAAAGGGATTTTTTACCATGCTCTTCAGGTCAAAAAGGCTCGCTGGGTGTCTTAGAAAGGAAAGTCTCTGTTCTCTGGCATAGAATCTGAGGGTGCCCCCAGATTATTTTGTGGGAAAGGAGTCAAGCACACTCTGGAACTTTAGAATTCTACAGTCTAAATCCAGCTGCTCGTTGTTGTTATATTTTTTAACAGACTTTTTGTGGTTTGGAAAATGATGTGGGAATGCATGAGCCAGAGGAGCAGGTTAAAGGATAGAATCACAGAATTGTAGAGTCGGGAGGGATGATGAGGGTCCTCTAGTCCAACCCCTGCAAGCAGGAATCTTTTGCCCAATGTGGGGTTCAAATCCACAACCCTGACATTAATAGTCTCATGCTCTAGCATCTGAGCTACCCAGAGGAGCAGGCCAAGAGAAAACCTCTATACATACCAAAGTAACATTTACGGCGCTCTCTTATGTTTTAGGAAGTGGTTTGCAGGAGGAGTATGCACATCAACAGCTCGGCTGGATGGAAAGGTGGCCGTGGTCACAGGGGCTAACACTGGCATAGGGAAGGAAACTGCCAAGGACCTCGCACGAAGAGGCAAGTTGTCTGTCCATTCATCATCCACCACATGCCAGTCAACCCAAATTGAGCGGGACATCTCTGAATTACAGAAGCCATCCTGTTTTTTGGTCCAGTACTCTGCTGTGAGTCAGCTGGTTTGTGCCAGACCAAAAGACACTCTTTTTTGTTTTTGTTTGGCTCTCTCACACCGGAGCGCTGGACCAAAAGACACTGGCTGCCACGAGAGCACCCCTATTTTCATCAGACGGATGTTGCAGAGTATGCCACCATCAGGGTTTAAATGAATAAAGGCTGCCTTAACCATTTTTAAGTGAACAAGCAAATTTATAAGTGCCTTAACTCTTTCCTTAAACAGAGGGTTTCTGGTTCATAGGATTTATTTTCATTTTTTAAAGGAAATTCACTGAATTACATAAGCCCCCTGAAGGAGAGGAGGCATGTTGTTTTTTTTAAAAAAAAAACACACGCCACAAGGGCTCTGCAATAGCAGTATTCACTTTTTCTATACAATAAATAATTTTAGAAACCTCTATCATGCCACTTTCCTTAGGCTGCAACTTTAGACACTTACCTGGAAGTAAGTCCAATTGAAGCAAATGGTCATTACTGCTGAGTAGACATGTCTAGGAGTACACAGTTGTTGCTTTAAAAGGCCAAACAATGAGGCAGATGAAGGTGATAGACTACATGGAATTGGCAGAAATGACTGGCAGAATCCGAGACCAGGGAGAAGAGTCGGTGAAAGAAGACTGGAAGAAATTTAAAGACTATTTACAGAAATATTGTAAAATTAATGAATCTTAGAAGGATGTTGGATAGAAACTAAGTGGTTTCCAGCTGTAATGCTTTAAGAGATAGGTTCACAAATGGGTAAAAGATTAATGGTAAGGATTTGCTGAACTAACAAACTGAACGGGCATACAAACAAGGGAGGTACGAGGAGGTCCGGGGAAATAAGTGTAAGGAAGATATGCTATGGAAAATTAACGTGTTTTTAACTGTTTTTAGTTTGTATGTTTCTTTTTATTTTTCATTTTTTTGTTATATCTTAAAAACTTTATTCTTTTTTCAGTATTTTGTATTTTCTTGTATTTTTTTTTTTGTGTAATTCTTGTAGTCCTTGAAACTTTAATAAATATCATTTAAAAAAAAAAAAAGGCCAAACAATGTGATCCATATGCAATTCTTTACCACAGGGATGAGGAGCCAGTGGCCTTCCGGATGTTGCTGGACTTCCGCTACTCCTCAGCATGGCCAGTGGTCAGGGGTGATGAGAGCTGTAGTCCAGCCCTTCTGAATGTGCCCTCAATGGTGGAATGAACATTTGACTGCGTCCCATTGGAATTGCAGTCTCGATATATTTAATTAACCATGGTTTAGCGTTATATCTGAATACAGCCATTACATTTGGGGTAAGGGGGGTGTATTTGTTACTATAAATGTATGTATTCTGTCCCCTAAAATAACTTTAACCAAAGCTAATTTCCATTTTTAGAAATACATTAAAGTATATTTTTCTTGAACATAGTAATGGTTAATTAGACAAGGGCAACTACTTCAAATGCTTGAGTTAATTTTAAAAAAGCCGAGTATTACTCCCCTCCCACAATGATTCACAATTCATTGCTGCCTATAACATCTGCTGGCAAAAGGGCTTTTACATATATTTATATTCACATATTCATATTGTAGAAATTTTATATTATTTTATATTTTGTTCCATTAAAAGAAATCAGTCTAGAAAGACAGGACCAGGACCAAGTTTAGAAACAGCTTGTTTGCCTTATTCCTCTTTTCTATTAATTTCCCTTTTGAAGGTGGTCGTGTCATCCTTGCCTGCAGAGATATAGCAAAAGCAGAAGCAGCAGCCCGTGAAATTATAGCCGAAACAGGGAATCAGCAAGTTATTGTGAAAAAACTGGACCTGTCTGATAGCAAATCTATACGGGCATTTGCAGAAGATTTCCTAAAAGGTATGACTGACTAAAAGTTGGCACCTGTGTAGTTACTGGTCCTAGAGATAATCGGTGTGGAGTCAAGAGTTTCATAGGTTTTGTTTAAAATAGAGAGTTATTTGTCTGGCTTCCCTATGTGTTCTTTAAACCAGGGATCAATAACCATTTTAGACCAGGGGGCACATTTTGAATTTTGAGAGAGTGCTGACTGCTCCAGTCACAAAATTGCTGTAATGGGGGCCATGGCTTAACACAACATGGCTGCCGTGGCATAACACAAAAGAAAAGAGAGAACAGTCATTGCTGATTTTCCATCCTTACCCTGCCCTTGGACATCCTCATGCTTAGCACAGGAAGCCATCTATGTCCTGCTGGTCCTGATTGTAGTGACACAGCTGTTAAAGGCAAAAGATTCCTGTTTTCTCCATTTCTAAACAAAGCGAAGGCTGACATCCTGTAGCCATTTACCTGGTGTTATAAGTGACAAAACTGCTCCTTTCCCCTTATGGGGTACCCAAGAGCCCATATAGAGTCCTTTCGTAGGTTCTCTATCAGTAGGAGAAAATAACAGAGACCAGCCAGAGAATATTGAGAAGCAAAGCAGCTAGTAAGCCTGATCTTTATTGACTGTTGCAACAGGGTGCTCCCCCACACGCAGGAGAGAGGAGGAGGACCCAGAACAAAGATGTGTCCGCCCTTATATAGACATTTTAAATTGCCCGCCCCGGAGTCCAAGGCCACCCCCAGAAACATCATACATACATCACAGAAGGGGTGTAGCCCAAGACCACCCCCCAGATACATCATACCTACATAACAGAAAAGGCGGTCTACAACAAACCTGAATGAGTTGTTTATCTCCTGGCAATCTACCAGATTGCATTATCTGAGTTTTGGCCACTCTTTTGTTATTATAACTACTTAATTCCTGAATCTAGGTCACAGGCTCACACCCTGTTCATATCTTGAATGTGCCCTTAAGACAGGATTTGTGAGAACAGGATTTGTGAGGAAAGAGACAAGGGGAAGGTTTCTCACTTTGACCTTGCAGAGAAATATTTGAGGTCAATTTGTTCAGGACCTTGTCTATGGGGTTTCAGACATGTGGTTTATATATACAGTTATCAAAAATTATTTATTTCATATAAGACCTAATTTTTTTTATAACACTGGGAATAACTCCCACTGAACACAGAGACATCTGAAGTAGAAATGTATCCCATTATACTGGAAATTAACAATGCTGTGAATTCTTAATAAGTACTTGGACATTAGCTTCTGCACAGCAGGAGACATGCCTGTTTTGCAAATTTCACATTTTGTATTTGCCATTTGAGGAGGGAATTACCGGTATTCAACACCAACCTGCATTTATTGTGTAGTATTTACAGAAGCGGGTGGCGCTGTGGGTAAAACCTCAGCGCCTAGGACTTGCCGATCGTCAGGTCGGTGGTTCGAATCCCCGCGGCGGGGTGCGCTCCCGTTGCTCGGTCCCAGTGCCTGCCAACCTAGCAGTTCGAAAGCACCCCCGGGTACAAGTAGATGAATAGGGACCGCTTACTAGCGGGAAGGTAAACGGCGTTTCCGTGTGCTGCGCTGGCTCGCCAGATGCAGCTTGTCACGCTGGCCACGTGACCCGGAAGTGTCTGCGGACAGCGCTGGCTCCCGGCCTATAGAGTGAGATGAGCGCACAACCCTAGAGTCTGTCAAGACTGGCCCGTATGGGCAGGGGTACCTTTACCTTTACCTATTTACAGAAAATAACTTTTAGCAGGTACCTAATCTTGAATGAGTCCACTACAGAAAAGACGGGTCCTAGTTGCTAGGGAAAAAGAAGTTCAACCTATGGAGATTCCAAGAACTGCTAGAAAATAAGACAGAAGCAGGAAAAGTACAGTAAAGGGGAGGGGTAAACAGAAACTTTTAATGACCTCGGGGATTTCTATTGCCTGGTGTCCAAACAACTTACTTTACAGTCACCCCATTGACTTTACTAATTGGCCTAAAAACACTGGCAGGTGGGAGCAGCTAAGCTGATTCATTTCACAGAAATCACTTAGAAGGGAATCTGCACATTTGCTTCATAACTTTCATTCTAAGAGGGCTAGAAACTTAATTTTTTAAATAGAAGCTTAGAGTCTAAGGAACCCGCCTGAGGTCACCAAAGAAGGCCTTGGGCCTGCTTGGCGATCTCCACTTTAAACCTTCCATGACAATGTTCTTGCATTTAAGAGGAGCTAACCTTTTGCTTGGAAGCTTTCCCTGGAACCTTTCTGGCACTTTGAAGCAGGAGATGGATCATTCCACAGCTTCCATTTGAATTTTGAGATGTCTTATATAAAACACCTGGCAATGTTAACTGTCAGAGACATGGTAGATGGACCTTAGGTATGACCCAGAATAGCTATTCTTATAATTGTCTCATTGCACTCTTGGGCACTCTTACTTGTAGGTCTGATTAAAAGGATGATATGCTTTTGAGTAAACACGTTTAAGCATGTATGCTACATTTTGCCTGAAAGGGTAATAATATATATGTGTGTGTGTAGGAATGACTGTTCAGCTCCTTAGATATAATAAATCCTGCTAATGATAGTAGTGTTCTATCCAAAACATGTGTCACTCAGAATGGACACAGGGTATATTATGTATTTAGCTAACAATAAAGATTTTGAGATAATTTTTAAATAATTAATAGTCCGTGAAAGTGGACTACTACAATTGCCAAAACCCATTCAAAATGGGTATGTATGCACTCAGATACTTGAGCAATAAGGATACATATAATATTCACTGGAAATTACTCTAAGGTAATAGCCCATTCATATAATCCATTTCTTTCCCACTAGTGCTTCCATTTATTTATTTATCCTGTCACGTGGTCCAACAGATGGTGGTATCTCACTATTTACCTAAACTAGTAGGAGATCTTGGCAAGAACCATCAACCCTCTGTCTGATAGAAGTTTAAATTTCCTCCACCTGTCGGTCCCGTTGGTTAAACTGTAAAGCTTTTCTGTAGACTGAGTAACACAGTCTAATTTAGTATTTGCTAATTATTTTAATCAATTTACTATACTGTACTTCCTTGTTCCCAACATATATATTCACAGTAACCTTAAATCATAGAATTGTAGAGTTCAAAGGGATCATGGGGGTCATCTAGTCCAACCGCTGGAAAGCAGGAATGTCAAATAAAGCATCCATGACAGATAGGTGGCCATGTAACCAAATGCTAGTTATGATGACAGTTTAATAAGAGCCTTGCTCCTTAAAACATCTCAATCTTCTTATCTTTGGTATTTTCTGCTTAATACCCAATCTCGGCCATTATTTCCTGTAGAGGAGAAGAAGCTCCATATCCTCATTAACAATGCAGGAGTGATGATGGTTCCCTATTCCAAGACTGCTGATGGTTTTGAAATGCATATTGGAGTCAATCACCTTGGTAAGATCATGAGACATCGATGTGATAAATGGATATATTACCTGGCTTCTCTTTGCCTTTGCTTATCTTCCCTGCTCTTTTCCCCAGATTTCACAGATTATTCCTGTATTTGTAAACCTGAGTTTATACAGGAAAAGCATAGAGACAGGCGTTGTTGAGGGTAACACCATGAGGATTACACAAATTAAATTTGAACGCAAAAAGTTATAGACACACTGTAAACTCCAGTATGGACAGGCCCCAAGTCACAGTCCCCTGGAGATTTAATTAAATTATTTATACTGTGCCCATCTTGGTTGAATTTCATATATTCATTTGAACTAACCAGCCAATTTTTTGGTTATCTATTTCTAGTTGATTTATAGTACAGTAAAATTAATGTCATTTTGTTTGATTTTTTTAAAAAATCATAAAGTGTTTACATTATTGTGAGTACTATTTTTGTTCTAAAGGTTAGTTTTACTGTTGTGTATTGAGTCAAAGGATTTTATATCTGTATTATTATTGTCTGTATTTGCATTAGGGTAAAGTAACTGCCTTTTGGTTCCAGAGGGTACAGCTACTATTGGTTCATTTAAGCTGCTGTATTTGGATCCTCTGTCTTATTGGTTCCCTCCAAAAGGCAGGACTGTGATTGCCTGATATTGTTCCCTCCAAAATGTATCCTTTCTTGCTAGTTCCCTGTCCCTATAAATGTAGCTTTCCTCTCCCCAGTCTTTAGTCTTGTTGCTTTAATAAAGAAGTGTTACTAGAGAACTGTCTCCAGCATGTTATATCAGGAGAGCTGAAATCACAAACCCCACGTCACAACAACTGGCGACGAGGGTGGGATCCGGAATGCTGAGGAGCGGTTAAACGCAGCCCTGCCTCAGAGTCCGGATTGCAGCTAAGAACAAGACTCACTGACCAGCTGAGAAGACGACCCTGCCACAGGACAATGGAGAGTCCAAGGGTATTGGAGCCCTTCCAGCCATCAGAGCCCGACACGTGGGAAGACTACGTCGAACGCTTCGAGTTCTTCGCAGAGGCTCAAGGGATCACCGATGCCAGCAAAAGAAGGGCCACATTCCTGAGCTACTGTGGGCCTGAGACCTTCAAGCTGGCCAAGGCATTGCTTGCTCCAGCGAAGCTAAGTGAGACATCTCTCAAAGATATTCTTGCCTGCCTAACAAGCCACTTGGCGCCTACTGAGACCAAGATGGCTCGGCGGATGGAGTTTCATAAGAGGCAGCAGCATGCTGGGGAGTCTGTATCTGCATTTCTGGCTGAACTGCGGAAGCTCGCTCAGCACTGCGACTTCCAAAATCTGGAAGAGACTCTCCTGGATCGGTTTATCGGTGGTCTGAGCAGCAAGAAGGCCAGAAGACGCATCGTGGCTAAAGAAGAGGTTACCCTTGCTTCAGCCTTGAAGGAGGCCACCGCCACGGAGAATTATGAAAGAGAGGAGCTTGATGCCAGTCGCAAGGCCCCTAAGCCACAGATAGAAGTTGCGCATGCCATGGACGAGCTAGAGGCTACTCCGAGCCAGAGCCCAGTCCGTGGGGTCGAGTCAGTGAGTCAGGCCTGCACAGTGCACAAAGATCACCGAGGCAGGTGCCCAGGTTGTGGCGGAAACCATGAGCGGAAGAGTTGTCGTTTCCGGGATGCTATGTGCCGGACGTGCGGGAAGACAGGTCACATCGCCAGAGTCTGTAGATCGGCGGCGTTGGGAGCGACAGGAGCACCTAGACCGGAGCATCGCAGACCGCCCGCAGCAACCCATTTTCTAAAGGACTGCCACTACGTTACGGAGATCAACGGGAGGGTCGTGCAGTTCCCAGCACAAGGCAAGGCACACGTCAAGGTGAAGATTGAGGGTCAGCAGTGCGACATGGAGGTGGACTCCGGATCTGGATTCACTATCGTGTCGGACCAGACCGCGAGGACATTCTTCCCCAGGGGTAAGTTGCCCCCTCTGGAACCCTTCCCGGCAACCTTGCAGTCATACTCAGCGGGCCGCATCCATGTTATGGGAATGTGTGCCGTGAGAGTACAGTTCCGGGACAAACAGGCTGTACTCAAACTGGTGATTGCGAAGGGCAGTCGCCCCAGTCTCCTGGGCACTGACTGGTTCCCCGCCCTGGGACTGAGTATATCAGGGCTTAATTCAATCCAAACCTGCCCTGAGATGAGCGAGGCATTATGCAAAGAATTTGCTGGTCTCTTTAATGGAAAACTGGGTTGTTATAAAGGGCCCCCAGTTGACTTCGAGTTGGACCCTGGGGTGGCCCCAATCCGACTCAAACCAAGGCGAGTGCCATTTGCACTGCAACCCAAGATCGAAGCAGAGCTGGATAAATTGGTCAAGCAGGGAGTTCTCTCACCCGTGGACTCTGCTAAGTGGGAGACTCCAATCGTCACGCCCCTTAAAGCAAATGGGGAAGTCAGGATCTGTGCAGATTACAAATGTACTATCAATAAGGCACTCGGGAAACTCATACCCCATTCCAGTCGTATCACATCTGTTGGCTAAACTGGCTGGGGGCAAGGTGTTCGCCAAAATTGACCTGGCACAAGCTTACCAACAGCTGCCAGTAACCCCACAATCAGCGGAAGCACAGACTATTGTCACACATAAAGGGGCGTTCAGAGTTAACAGATTACAATTTGGAGTTTGTGTGGCCCCAGGGATTTTTCAAGGGCTCATGGAACACCTGTTAAGAGGTCTGCGGGGGTCTTGCCATTTTTTGATGACGTTTTGATTGCTGGAAAAGACCCACAGGAACTGGTTGCGCGTGTTCGTGCAGTGTTGCTCAAGTTCAAGGAGGTGGGGTTGCAACTGAAAAAGGAAAAATGCAGTTTTGGGGTGCCAACTGTGGATTTCTTGGGGTTTAAAATTGATGCATCAGGCATCCACCCCACAGATGCTAAGATTAAGGCCATCATCGAGGCGCCACGACCACAGAACAAGACGGAGTTGCAGTCATTCCTGGGACTTATTAACTTTTATCATTCGTTCTTACCCCAGAAAGCTTCGGTAGCTGAACCATTACATAGACTGTTGCAGAAAAAGACTGTGTGGCGATGGGGGCAGGGGCAGCAGAAGGCTTTTGACTCCTTGCGAGGAATGCTGAGTAGCAGGAGTGTCCTTGCTCATTATGACGAGTCAAAGCCTCTGGTCCTGGCATGTGATGCCTCTCAATACGGCCTGGGGGCGGTGCTAAGTCATAGGGAACCGGATGGGTCGGAAAAGCCCATCTCTTTCTATTCCCGTACGTTGTCGCCCACGGAGCGCAACTATGCTCAAATTGACAAAGAGGCGCTTGCAATTGTGGCAGGAATCAAAAAGTTCCATGATTATGTGTACGGTCGCCATTTCTACATTGAAACGGACCACAAGCCACTGTTAGGGTTGTTCAACCCGAACAAACAAACGCCACAAATTCTCTCCCCCAGAATGTTACGTTGGTCTATATTCCTGAACGGGTTCCAGTACACCTTGACCCATGTGCCGGGGAAACGGTTGTGCCACGCGGATGCGCTGAGTCGATTGCCCCTTCCTGGCGGGAGCACTGAGGATCCTGCTCCAGCGGAGCACATAATGATGCTGGAAACACTTCCGGGGGCTCCTGTAACGGCTACTGATATAGCTGAGAAAACGAGGAAAGATGCTGTTCTCTCCCGTGTGCTCACTTGGGTGGGGAGGGGGTGGCCAGGTGGTCCGCATGAAGACAAATTCAGGCCTTATGCGACTAGGCAGCACGAGTTGTCCATGCATAAGGGTTGTCTCCTGTGGGGAGATAGGGTCATCATCCCAGCACCACTGAGAAACAGGGTTCTTGAGACGCTTCACATGGGACACCCGGGAATGGTCAGGATGAAGTCGCTAGCCCGATGTTATGTGTGGTGGCCTGGAATGGACCAGAACATAGAACAATGGGTACGAACATGCAAGGCATGCCAAGAGGTGCGGCCAGAAGTGGCCAGAGCACCAGTCCACTGGTGGGAGCAGTCCAGATCTCCCTGGAGCCGGCTGCACTTAGATTTTGCTGGGCCATTCCAAGGAAAGGTCTTTTGGTTATCGTTGATGCATATTCCAAATGGTTAGAAGTGGCGATGGTCCCTAGCATGGCATCAGCTGCCGTCATCAAGGTGTTGAGGCAGCTGTTTGCAACCCACGGGTTACCTGAGACCATTGTATCAGATAATGGGGCAGCTTTTGTATCCCAAGAATTCAGGGCATTCTTGGCTGATAACTTCATAAGAGGGGTCACATCCGCGCCCTTTCACCCATCCTCCAATGGGCAGGCTGAGCGCATGGTAAGAACAGCCAAAGAATCCATTGCGCGCTTAATGGAGGGTAACTGGTCAGCTCGCATCGCGCGAATGTTATTTTTGCAGCATGCGACGCCGTGTACCGCAACGGGCAAGTCGCCAGCTGAGCTGCTCTTGGGTAGGAGACTGGTAACGGTGCTGGATTATGTCCACCCGGATAAAATGCCAAACCATAATTCAAGAGCAACCCCCCAGGCTGAGACTGACACAACAAGGTATCTCGCCCCTGAAGATCTGGTCTGGGTGAGGAACTATTCACGAGGTTCGCGGTGGGTGGCTGGTGTGGTCACCCGGGCTAGTGGACCTGTGTCCTATTATGTGACCTTGGAAAATGGGCAAGTGTGGAAGAGACATATAGATCAGCTGAGGCGCCGGGCGCTCAGCAGGGAGGAGCCAGATAATTCATCCCAGGCTAACGACGCAGAGCCGCAAGACCAGAGTGAAAATGGCCCAGAGGTGCAATCACCAGGGGCTTTAACAAATGAACCAGGGTCTGCTAGTCCTCACGATGACGAGGTACAGATAGGGGACCCTGAGATGTCGGGGACTCCATCTGTTCCTGACGAAACCCCTAGAGCAGCCCCTCTACCACAGGTAACACCCAATCCAGAACCTGCAACACCTGTTGTCAGGAGATCAAGTAGAAGTTGTAGGCCCCCACAGTACCTGAGAGATTACGTCTGCTGTGCTCACTAGGGGGGAAGGGGTGTTGTGTATTGAGTCAAAGGATTTTATATCTGTATTATTATTGTCTGTATTTGCATTAGGGTAAAGTAACTGCCTTTTGGTTCCAGAGGGTACAGCTACTATTGGTTCATTTAAGCTGCTGTATTTGGATCCTCTGTCTTATTGGTTCCCTCCAAAAGGCAGGACTGTGATTGCCTGATATTGTTCCCTCCAAAATGTATCCTTTCTTGCTAGTTCCCTGTCCCTATAAATGTAGCTTTCCTCTCCCCAGTCTTTAGTCTTGTTGCTTTAATAAAGAAGTGTTACTAGAGAACTGTCTCCAGCATGTTATATCAGGAGAGCTGAAATCACAAACCCCACGTCACAACATTTACATTATACATATGTGTGCCCATAAGCTCTAGAAAAAGGTAAAGGTAAAGGACCCCTGACAGTTACTGTAAGTCCAGTCGCAGACGACTCTGGGGTTGCGGCGCTCATCTCACATTACAGGCCGAGGGAGCAGACGTTTGTCTGCTCCGCAGACAGTTTTCCCAGGTCATGTGGCCAGTGTGACTAAGCCGCTTCTGGCGAAACCAGAGCAGCGCACGGAAATGCCGTTTACCTTCCCTCTGGAACAGTACCTATTTATCTATTTGCACTTTGACGTGCCTTTGAACTGCTAGGCTGGCAGGAGCAGGGACCGAGCAACGGGAGCTCACCCTGTCGCGGGGATTTGAACTGCCAACCTTCTGATCGGCAAGCCCAAGGCTCAGTGGTTTACACCACAGCGTCAGCCACGTCCCTAAGCTCTAGTAAATAATTGTAAATCTCCTCTCCCTTTAGGGCATTTTCTCTTAACATTCCTGCTGCTGGACCGTTTGAAAGAGTCAGCCCCAGCTCGGATAGTGAATGTGTCTTCGATCCTCCATGCTTTTTGGCGGATAAACTTCAAGAACCTGCAGGGAGAGAAATACTACAATGAGTTCCTGGCATACTGTCAAAGCAAACTGGCTAATGTTCTGTTTACCAGGGAGCTGGCTCGTAAATTGCAAGGTGAGCTTTAAGAATGAAATGCTAATGGCGCACAACCACTCACATGTACGTATATAATAGGGTTGCCCATAGCCAAAGCCTGGATGTGAGAGGAAGGGGGAAGTCACAGATTACTGAAAGGTTGCACGCATGAGAGACACCCCAATCTCCAAGCGGTGAGAGACTCTAGGGATACCAGCACTTACCCAGTGAGGTCAGTGGAGACTGTGGTGTCTTTAAGATATATGGTTTTATTTACACATACATACAATCTCAGCATATGATGGAGGGGCTCATAGCATTAGCACAGCATAGATCTTGCTTCCTCATTTATTTGCTGGGAGCCCCAAAGTCCAGCACAGAGGTAGACATGTCTCTCTCCCAGGCTCTGCAGCATCTCCCCACTTCCCCTCTCACTCGCAAGCAGCTTTCCAGCTCTCAGCTCCTTTGTTGTCCTTTTGCTTCTTTGTCACCTAGATGCAGCTAATTTCAACATAGCTCATTCCTTTGAAGTGAAGCAGAGCACTACAGTGGCTGTCTGGTCTTTGAATTCAAAGAGCTTGCCTGACTGGCTCCCAACCTCCCCCAATCTCGTAACCATAGCTGGGTTGAAATTTAATGGAAGCATCAGAATGAAATGACTGCATTTAAAATTCCTTCTGGGAAAGCTATTAAAAGTATGATTTGGAGCCGTGGGTAGAGAAAAGGTTAGGCATCACCACATCACTTCTATGTTTCTCACTGCTCCCAATGAGGAATTTTAAATATTGCACATTGAAAGGGGCCATTGGGCTAACCTGACATGCATTTTGTAGGCGTTGGATGTCTAAATTGTCCTAATATTGTATCTTACCCATGCCATTGCCAGTGGCTTCTAATGTTATCTAAATTAAGGGTTTTCAGTGATTTATGAATCCACTTTCCACAGTCTCAAATGCTTCTTTATCCCCAAGGATGTTTCAGCCAAGCCATCTCACTGCTGTCTTTCCTCTCAGTTCAAACTCAAACTGGTTCCGAAGTGCTTATTTGCTCCCTATGGCAAGCTCTGATAAGTGTTGCTAGTTCCCAAACTGTGCTGGGCATTGCACTTCAAGACTGCAGGGAGAGAGGGAGATCCCCAAACATCAAGACAGATTAACATTCTGTTCATTTCCGCCCCGCCCCCCAAAATATGTAAACCATTCATTTAGTATGCTATAACAGATTTCAATTTAAGAGATGTTAACTTTTTGCTTGTTTATAATTTTTTATAAATTTATAATTGTTTATAAATGTCTTGTTTATAATTTTTGTGTGTGTGTTTTTTTAAAATGGCTTTGTTAAACCCTCGATACTAATTGAGTGCTGCACAAGGTTCTGTGCATTGCAATGATATTGTGTGTATTACAGTGAAAAGGGTGGTCCAATACTAGCTGCCTTACAGGGTACATGGGAACAATATTACTCCTTTCCTTTTAAACCTTTGGATTCATATATTTCGGTTGATGTTTCTGCTTTATGTTTTTCTAGGCACTGGAGTTACTGTCAATGCTTTACATCCTGGTGTGGTTGATTCTGAATTGGCGCGTTACTCATATTCGTTAGGAATTTTTAAAGCGCTGTTTCGCTTCACGATTAAGACACCAAAAGAAGGAGCCCAGACCAGTATTTACTGTGCAGTGGCAAAGGAACTGGAGTCAGTGAGTGGGCAATATTTCAGGTGGGTCTGGGATTGTGATTTGCAGTTGGAATACAGACATCTGGATTCAGCACATCTGGATAAAGTTTTCTGTGGTAATGCTCAGAGGTGCCCACATCAGACCCAGAAGGCAATATTAAAATGGCACATTGCACATTAAAAGAAAGAGATCATATGCAATAGCTCTAACTTAAAAATAGCAGTGTGGACATGGGTTGTGAGAAGTCTTTGCCTCTGGTACAGCAGACACAGTGCAATTGCTCCTTTGAACTATTAAAGGTAAAGGTAAAGGTAAAGGACCCCTGACAGTTAAGTCCAGTCATGAACGACTCTGGGGTTTTGACGCTCATCTCGCTTTACTGGCTGAGGGAGCCGACGTTTGTCCGCAGACAGTTTTTCTGGATCATGTGGCCAGCATGACTAAGCCGCTGCTGGCGAAACCAGAGCAGCGCATGGAAACGCCATTTACCTTCCCTGACAGAGCGGTACCTATTTATCTACTTGCACTTTGACGTGCTTTCGAACTGCTAGGTTGGCAGGAGCTGGGACCGAGCAACGCGGGGATTTGTCCTAGGCCCTAGGCTCCGTGGTTTAGACCACAGCGCCACCCACATCCCATCTTCGAACTATATAGAAGCTATACAGAAATAACAAAGCTATTATCAGGAACATCCAGACAGAACAAAAGTCATTTTCATACATAGTCAATTGGGGGGGAGGTGTCATATACCAAAATTTGCCCCTTACTTTTTCAACGGTGGGCAGGACAGCTTCTTTATCTTGTGAACTGCCCTGAGTTTTTCGGATGAAGGGCAGTATATAAATTTAATAAACAACACCAACAATAATAATTCATTATTATTTTTTGTAACTTGAGAAATGACAAGCAGCTTTGCTGTCAGTGGGCTGGCCACTAATTCCTTCACCCTCAAATGATTCGGATGCAGCTTCATTTTGGAGTGGGGGTAGGGGCAAGCTGCAACAAAGCCATAGTGTCTCCTTATCGGCAACCACCATGTTTTGTGGCAACTGTCTCAGCCACCAATGACTGCAAAAATTAGGCAAAGTGCAGTGGACAGTGCCCCATACAAAAACAATGAAAACATCCCCTTTGTTCAGGAGTTTGAATTTGCTCTGATATGATCACTCAGTTAATAGGTTTGGCTATTCCTCGTCTTACTTGTCAACCCTATTGAATTGTCTGAGACTTACTTCTCACTAAACATGTATAGGATTGTGCTGCTGGGGTAACCTTAGCCCACTGTTGTCCATAAACCCAATTTGCTGTCATATTGATTTGGGAAATACGCTCAATGTTTAATCAGAATTCTGATTCTTTGATGGTTTTGAATGGCTTAACAAATGATTAACAAAGTGCCTAATGAATATTTACTTTTTTCTTTCTACAGTGACTGTAGACCAGCCTGGGTTGCTCCTCAGGCTTGTAACAAAGAGACCGCAAAAAAGCTCTGGCAAGTCAGCTGTGAGCTGATGGGCATCCAGTGGGAGTGAACTGGGATGGGTCTGTGGTTGACATTCGTAGACAGAATGTGAAGGCAACCAGAACGAAATAAACTATCCTTATCCTCTCATGTGTAGATGTCAGTGTCTATCAGGCACTTTATAAACATAGATTGTATATTAATAAAATATGTTCTAATCAACACTGAGTTCTACTCTTTGGTGACCTGAAGACTGACGGAAGCCAGCCGTCACAAATGGCGGTTTAGCATTTGAAAAAAGACACAGAGAGCCAGCAATATTTTCAGGATGGTATGAGCAGCTCCTTTCGAACTTCTCTCCTCTCCGGTATCTTTTATTATCCTTTGTTCTCTCCTGTCGCATGGCCATTTGCCAATGTCTCACGTTACCTACATCCGGTCATGGCTTTTACCCACCCATCGCCATATAAGGTAATTACTGCCCAGAGGGGGAACATACTCCATATAAGGTTATGCACTTAATACACTGCAAGGCACGGACATGCAGGTCAGCGAGGCACCAGGTGGCGCTACAAGCCTTTGCCATGACTTCATGGCTCCCACATAAGACAGTGATACTTAGCTGCTAACACATAACTGCTTCCCGGGGGGAAAAAGTGAATCTGCCCTAATTGGTTTGTCATATAACTTTCACATGTAAACCTGTTAGATTGGTTGGATTTTGAGAAATTATCCCTACATAGAGGAGGGCAAAAGTATTTTTTTTTATGTGCTGAGTCAGAATCTTCCTTCACATTGAAAACTGCTTGCTTCGGCAGCACATATACTAAAATTGGGACGATACAGAGAAGATTAGCATGGCCCCTGCGCAAGGATGACACGCAAATTCGTGAAGCGTTCCATATTTTTTGACTTCCGGTTTCGATCGCAGACAGAAAGGGAGCGCGGAAAACCTCGCCGGGTTTTTCCGAGTAATACAGGAGCTTGGGGGAGCCGCAAAGGCACTGCGCCCCCCAAAAATCTCAAGGGGGACACGCTTGAGGGATAGGCTATCCAGCAGCGTGGGAGCGGTTTTGCGGTTTTTTCGGGTTTTTTCTTCTGGAAGAACTTGAGGACAGCAGGACTGCGAGCGCAATGGGAAAGTATCGACCCTGTGTTACGATGCCTCTGGCTCTCACTGGAGAAAGCAACGAATCTCCATAACTACAAGAATGGAACCCTTAGTGTGAGTAGAGCATTTTTATTCCAAAAAATTGAAGAACACACTAAGTGAACGTTGGATGTTAAAGGATTTAAGTAAAGAATTCAGCTTGGCAGAGGATTAAAATGGTGCAGGATACAAAGTCGCAGGGAGGAGGAAGGAAGTAATATTCTGCCTGACTGAGTGAGTACAAAACGAAAGGCCTCGGCACTTATTGTTGAGGCTACTAGACTCACCAAATACCAAAAACAAAGTAACAAATAATAGACTGCGTGGAAACTTTGTTATACCTTTTTTGGGAAAGTAATGAGTAGAAATGCAACAATGTAGAGTCGCTTAAAAGAACAGCTTGAAAGAGCAGGGGGGAAAAGAGGCAGAAAGAAAGTTTGAAAAGCGGCTTTAAAGGGATGAAAAGGAAAGATTGAAAAAAACTGTTTTCCTATACTTTGGAACTTCCCCCCCTTATTCTGAAACGGTTTGGACAGAAGGCTTAAGAAAAGAGGATATATTAAGAACTTTGAAGAACCCTCAGAACCCTCTGCACATTTTCTCTTCCCAGCCCACTTTCGAATTTTTTCTACTTTCCCTTCACAATTTCTGGATTTCTGTATTATCCTCCCAATTCTTTTTTGGATTTTGGTACAAAAACCCAGATGTTTGATTGTGCTACCTCTTCCGTCTTCTTTCTCCTCCCCTTTTTCCTCCTTTTTCCTTTCTTACCTCACTAATACAATATTAACAACTCATTCTTCTTCCTCTCTGTTTTCATAATAATATAAAGAGTGTAAAATCTAGGGAAATTCTGCTCTAATCCAATTCCTCACCTTTTGGGGGATTTGTATCTACGTGCTGAAGCAAAAAAGAACAGATGGGACTGAAAAACTGATTCTAGAAATGGACTAAGTGCAAACAGTGGAAGAGTCTAGAATTTCACCTCAACAACGAATAGCCAAGTTTCCTATTTTACGTTAAACTTCAAATTAAACTTTAATAAATCTGAAAGGACATAAATAGACTCTATATACTTGCAAAACCTTTGGTTTTGAAGATCCTGACTTATCTGGTTACTTATTTGGACACTTATTTGGATATTTATATTCCATCAGGAATTCCAAAGATTGAAAACAAACTGTAACTTATTAGACTTTGGATTCATGCTCGGAATAAACTTCTGAAGACTCTTTCCGCGAATTGGATTAAGCCGACAAGTGGCTGAAGATGACAGAATTTGATTTGGACTGGACGCTCTCTTTCTAACTATAAAAGAAGCTATCCCTCATTTATTAAAATTCTCTTTGCTCTGAAAAATAACATACTAACACGACTATATTTAACATGTGACAAGGTCACTGGGACTCTATAATATTTTAAGGGTTTTTTTGGGGAAGTTTTGACTAAAACCAAGGGGGGTATAATATCAAGAGGTATAAAGAAAGTGGTAAGAGAGTAAAATTGTAAACTTGTTAAGGTCTATTAAGATACACAAAGAATAAGAAAGAGATTGTGCGCCCTCTAGGGGAGAGATCGAATATTAAAACAGACCAACTGATAAAATAATTGTAAAATGTTGGGGGGAAATGGAAAAAAGGTAGGAGGGACACCAGGAGATAGGAAGGTATCCCGACAAGAGGAAATTAAAGACCTAGACCTTTTGTGGCTAAAAATCAAGGAGGAATTTAAGCAAAGTGAATTACACATGGAAAGTAAACTAGGAGAGGTGCAGGAACAGATAGATAGATAGAAAGATAGAAGGTGCTGTAGGAGAACTTTCTAGTAAGATACAAGATTTGACAGTCAGGTCAAAAACAATTGAAGAGACAAATAAGAAAATTCAAAAAGAAATGAAGGAACAAAAGAAGGAGACAGAAAAAATAAAGGAAGAAATAAAAGACTTGAATAAAACGCAAGATCAAATTTGGGATAGTCTAGCTATGGCAGAAATGCGACAGAAGCAGCTTAATTTGAAATTTAGAGGAGTGGGAGAAGAAGCAAATGAGAACATAAAGGAAAAAATGATTAGGGAATTAGCAAAATGGTTGGAGATAAAAGAGGAAGAGGTAGCATATACAGTAGAAAATGCATTCAGAGTAAGAGTGAAATCCCAACAAATTAAGTCAATAAAACTTTCTGGTGATTGTTTAGTTATTTTTAATTCAATTGAGATGAAAAACACAATATTAAGAACAAGTTATCAAAAAAAATTAATAATTGGAGGCAGGCCAATTATTATTTTTAAAGAAATCCCAATCAGGATTTTGCGCAAAAGGGAAGGATATAGACAAATAATAAGTGTCTTGAAAAGAAATGCTATACAATACAGATGGGAGTTCCCAGAAGGAATCTCCTTCTACTATAAGGATAAAAGATTCAAATTGACAGACACTCAAGAAGTGAAAAAATTTCTGAGAAGATATGAAAAGGAACTTGTAAAAGTGTAAGAAAGACCTGGAGGAAGAGAGATGAATACGGAGGAGAAGAGAGGAAAAAAGGAAAAGGAAATCGAGAGGGAAGAGACAGGGAGAGGAGGAGGACGGAGAGGAGGAGGACGGAGAGGAGGAAGGAGCAGTAGGAGGAGAAGAAGAGGAAGAGGAAGAAACAATCGGAAACAGAACCACCAGAATATAAACCAGAAAAACAGAGTAGAACGAATAGTAACTAAACATAACAATGACTCTTAAATTTTTGTCCTGGAATGTGAATGGTTTGAATGAAAAACATAAGAGAAATAAAATTGAGAAGGTTTTAAAGAAAAAGAACTTTGATGTGATTTGTTGTCAGGAAACACATGTGGCCAAAAAACATAAGCATATTTTGATAAATAAAAGGTTGGGAACAGAATTCATTAACTCAGATACAAACAAAAAAAGAGGGGTAGTGATATATGCAAAGGAGAAATGGGAACCCAAATTAATATGTAAGGATGACGAAGGAAGAATTTTGGGAATACAAATTAACCATCAGGGAGAAAAATTTAATGTGGTAACCGTTTACGCCCCAAACACAAATAAAGCAGAGTTTTTCAAGAAACTGGAACAAATATTATTAGACCTAGAGTTATAAGTTGATTTTACTTGGAAATTTAAATGGAGTGCCAACACCGGAATTAGACAGAAGTTCAAAAAGGAGGAAACTGAATCAAGGGAAACTACCAAGATTGTTTAATGACCTCGAGGAAAACCTAGACTTAATAGACATATGGAGACATAAAAATCCAATGATGAAACAATTTACACATTTTTCAGAACCACATCAGAGCTGGGGTAGGTTGGATCAAATATGGGTCTCAAGAGAACTAACAACAAGAGTTGTGAAATGTGAGATAAAATCTAGAACCCTCTCCGATCATAGTTCGATAGTTTTGGAGTTAAAATCTGAAGTTCAGGGTACGTACAGATGGAGAATGAACAATTATTTAATTGAAAATGATGAGGTGATTGAGAAGGCCAAAGTTACCCTTGAAAGAATATTTTGATTTAAACATCAACAAAGAAACAAATATCGATATAGTTTGGGATGCCAGTAAGGCAGTTTTAAGAGGTTTTCTGATTCAACAGTTATAGGAAAAAGTTGAGAGAACAAAAAAAAGAAGAGATACTCAATTAAGAGATTGTGAAAAAAAATTAATAACAAAACCTAGTGAGGAACGAAATAAGCAATTGTAGAAGATGTTGCAAACACAATATTCAATGTTAATAGACCAAGAATTGGAATGGAGAATTAAGTCAATGAAACAAAAATTCTTTGAATCAGCAAATAAAACGGGGAATTTTTTGGCGTGGCAATTAAGAAAACCAAAAAACCAAAACGTGATTAACAAAATAAAAATAGAAGAGCAACTTTTGGAAGACCCTAATGAAATAAAGAAAAGCTTCCTTAAATTTTACGAAAAATTATATAAAAGAAAAGAGGAAGATATAACAGAAATAGAAAAATAATTAGAAGACAATAGAATTGAATGTTGAACGGAAGAGGAGAAAAGCCAACTAAACAAACCCATAAAAATAGAGGAAATCCAAGAGGCGATAAAGAAGATGAAACTAGGGAAAGCCCCAGGGCCTGATGGTTTATCGGCTAAGTATTATAAAGTCCTGGAAGAACATCTAACACTGGTGTTGTGCGAAGTAACAAATAACATTTTAAGAGGAGGAAAGATACCAGATTCCTGGAAAGAAGCATACATTACATTGATAACCAGACTCAGATACACTCAATATTAAGAACTACAGACCGATATCATTATTAAATAATGACTATAAAATTTATGCAGAAGTAATGGCGAATCGGCTCAAAAAATGTTTAATCAATCTTATTCATACGGACCAAGCCGGATTTCTACCCAATAGGCAATTAAAAGATAATGTAAGGCACATAATAAATATTATTGAATACTTGGAAAATAAAAATGAAATCCCCGTGGCATTAATTTTTATTGACGCCGAAAAGGCTTTCGATAATGTATCTTGGCAATTCTTATTAAAATGTATGGAAACAGCAGGGATAGAGGGCACATTCTTGGAGGGAATAAAAGCGATCTATTCGGATCAAAGAGCTAAACTGATTATCAATAATAACTTAACTGACTCATTTGAAATCTCGAAGGGTACAAGACAGGGGTGCCCTCTGTCACCTCTTTTGTTTATAATGGTGCTAGAAATAATTGCGAATAAGATAAGGAAAATATCAGAGATACGTGGAATTAGAATTGGTGTAAAAGAATATAAACTGAAAGCATACGCTGATAATTTGATGTTATCATTAGAAGATCCACAAAAAAGTGTTGGTAAAGTGTTAGAATTATTAGAGGAATTTGGAAAGTTATCCAGCTTTAAGCTAAATAAAACCAAAACCAAAATGATGACTAAGAACATGAAGGAAGATTTAAGAAACCATCTCGAGTCACAAACTGGGATTAAAGTGGTAAAAAAGGTAAAATACCTGGGAATATGGTTAACCATGAAAAACATAAACTTAATGGAAGATAATTATACAAACACCTGGAAAGAAATAAAAAAGGACTTAGATACTTGGAACAGGATAAAACTCTCATGGTCTGGAAGAATAGCGGCAATTAAGATGAATATACTGCTGAAACTGCTGTTTTTATTCCAAAATATTCCGGTAATTAGGGGAACCTCAGTATTTAAAGATTGGAAAAAAACTCTCTCGAAATTTATTTGGCAGGGGAAAAGACCGAGAATTAAATTTAAATTACTCACGGACCGAAGAGACAGAGGAGGATTTGCAGTTCCAAATCTGAGATTATATTATGAAGCCTCGTGCCTTTGTTGGATCAAAGAATGGATTGTTATAAAGAACACAGATTTCCTGGACTTAGAAGGTTTTAACATCAGATTTGGATGGCACGCATATCTGTGGCACAATAAAGAAAAGGTCCATAAAGGATTCTCTAACCATATTATTAGAGGGCCACTGCTTGAGGTATGGGAGAAAAATAAAAAGCTGCTCGAAAGAAACACTCCCTGGTGGTTATCACCAAGTGACATCTTAACAGTTAAAGAAATAAACACAGAAGGTGAAAGATGGACTTATGAAGATCTTCTAGTAAGAACAGAAAAAGGATGGAAAATCAGATCATATGAAGAGATAAAGAATAAATTAACAGGTTGGCTCCAATTTCACCAAATTAATGCTCTGTGGACTGAAGATAAAAAGGCAGGGATGAATGAAAACAAATCCAGATACCAGGTAGAAATATTAGAAGGTAAATCTAAACTTCTATCGTATAACCAGTTACTAGAATGGGATACCAAAGATAAAGAGTTAAAGAAGTAATGGTAAAATGGGCGATAGATTTTGGATATAATTTAGAATATGACAGTTGGGCAAGAGTTTAGAATAAAGGAATGAAATTCACAGCTTGTACGGCACTTAGAGAAAATATGGAAAAAATGATGTACAGATGGTACATCACACCTGTAAAGCTGGAAAAAATGTACAAGACTGGAGATAAAACATGTTGGAAATGTAAAACGCATAGAATGTAGTGGCGTCCGCCCTGTGGAACACCATCCCATCAGATGTGAAGGAAATAAGCAGCTATCTTCTCTTTAAAATACAGTGGTGCCCCGCAAGACGAATGCCTCGCAAGACGGAAAACTCGCTAGACGAAAGAGTTTTCCGTTTTGGAGGTGCCTCGCAAAACGAATCTGCTATGGGCTTGCTTCGCAAGACGAAAATGTCTTGCGAGTTCCTGGGGTTTTTTCCTTTTCCCCCCTCTTTTTCTAAGTCGCTAAGCCGCTTATCTGCTTATCCGATAAGCTGATAAGCTGCTAAAAGCCGCTAAAAGCCGCTAAAAGCCGCTAATAGCGCTAATAGCGCTAATCCGCTAATCCCATCAATGGGCTTGCTTCGCAAGACGAAAAAACCGCTAGACGAAGAGACTCCCAGAACGGATTCTTTTCGTCTTGCGAGGCACCACTGTACATCTGAAGGCAGCCCTGTTTAGGGAAGTTTTTAATATTTAATGCTGCATTGTTTTTAACACTCGATTGGAAGCTGCCCAGAGTGGTGGGGGAAACTCAGCCAGATTTGGGGGGGGTATAAATAAAAAAATATTATTATTATTATGTGTTCTCTTTTTTTAGGACACATTCTCTTTTTTGGGAGGAAATTTTCTGTCCCAGTGGATTTTTTAAATTTGCCAAAATGTCTCTGGCTATACTTTCTGAATGAGATACAGATATACAGTGGTACCTCTTCAAAATATGGAAACCCTAACATGATGTGGATGCGATTACAATAAATAAGATGCTGGAAGTGAATGAGGAAACACAAATAATCTATAATTCCAGTATAATGTCTAGGAATACAGTTGGAAACTGTTAATCCCATGCACTCGGGGAAATGCAGTTTGGGAAAGGCAGGACACAAGCTGCATTTGTGAGAGCAAAAATAATAACCTCTTTCACCCAGTGCTCGGAGATTTAGCAAATGTATCCTCTCACACACTGCTCAGTTTACTGTACGGGTTTTTCTTTGCTCATCCAATGCTTTTCTAAGAGTAAAAGCAGCTGCAAGGGAAGCCAATGGAACGCAATGCCGCAAGGAAGATGCCTCATTGTCAGACAACGGAAAGGCCAGTCTTCACTTTTCTTCTGTCTATGGCTTCCCTTGAAGACTGATGGAACTTCCACTCCAATACTTAACTCTTCACTTTCCGGTGCACTTTTCAGAGTGGGGAGCGGGTTGGGGAGAGCCACGTTACCTTTTACTGCAAAAGTCAACCGACGGAGTCAGGTACTGAAGGTATTGGGGCCTTTATATGTCCGGCTGTCTTTTGTCAACTACAAATTGTCACTGTTTTTTGTGCTGAATATATGCTATATGGCAATTTACACGGGTGGCGCTGTGGGTCCCTGCTCCTGCCAACCTAGCAGTTCGAAAGCACCCCAAAAAGTGCAAGTAGATAAATAGGTACCACTCCGGCAGGAAGGTAAACGGCGTTTCCGTGCGCTGCTCTGGTTTGCCAGAAGCAGCTTAGTCATGCTGGCCACATGACCCGGAAACTGCACGCTGGCTCCCTCGGCCAATAAAGCGAGATGAGCGCCACAACTCCATTTGGTCACAACTGGACCTAATGGTCAGGGGTCCCTTTACCTTTACTTTATATGCTATATGGTAATTTATGGACCTAATAGGTATCTAAACCATTTGCACATCTTGCCATGCAACCAGTCCATGCAGAATGTAGGCACCCTATATATGGAAATGAGCAAACCAGTGATATTTTAGGGATCAGGCTATCAGGCGGGGCCCATTACTTACACCATAGGAGTCTACACAACACAAAACACTGTTGCTGTACGTAGGTTTTATTTTTTTATCTTATATTTTGGAAATGTATATCCAGTTTTTTTCCCTTTAATCCCCCCCCTTAAACTTGTTTAGTTTATACGTAAATCCGGCACTAGGTGGCACCAGCACTGAGAAGAAATGCTTTCAAATAAACAAAGACTACCAAGTCGGCTTCCAATGCAAAACACACGGAGTTTTTACTTCAGAAGTGCCTTTAAAACGTAGCTTCAGCGACACGACGGGTGAAAAATGGCCAACGGCCTGTTTGGGCGCTTACCGGAAGCTTAGATTGCGTGTCATTCCATTTCTTTCCTATCTCTACGGCGCACCAATGAATGGGTTCTCGCTCCGCCCTCCCTCTGCCCCGCCCCGCCCCGCCCCGCTCTCTGTCTCTCCCTCCCGCCAATCCCAGCACTCTGCGCTCACGCTTCTCCTTTCCGGCTGCTCCTGTGCGGCTTCGCGCGTCGCTGGGAGGTTCTTGCTGCGAGAGCCGGAGTCGGCGGAGAGGCGACGATGCTCGGCTTCGTGGGGTCCGTGCTGGCGCTGTTCGCATCTGTCCCCCTCCTGGTATTTGTGGTTGCTCCTATCTTCAGGTCTGTGATTGGTGGGCTTAGACTTGCAGCCTTTTCAGCTCCTGCCTCTGCAACAACCTCCTTGTGCTAAACGAGCTTCGACGTGATGAGGTTATATGGCAGATTTCAAAACTAAAAATCTCCTTTTGACACCGGTTTAGCTGTTAAATATTTCTGTCTTAACACCTGTTTCTTCCTTCACTTACTGTTTTGGCTGTTTTCCCCTACTTTTCGAAATTTGTCTGTTTTTCACCTAATCCATTCATTTCTTAAATGCTTTTGTCATAAACTCCTGTCTTTCCATTCCCCTGTTGGCTATTCAGTTTATTTTCTTATTTTTGTATTTCTCTGGTTTTCCTTTATCTTAGCCTTTAAATATGCTTTTTCCGGGGTGAGATGGGACACAACTGCAGCAAATAACTTGATTTTATGAAATTCAAGAAGCAGGGTGGGAAGGTGGAAACGTGGCTACCATGTTCTAACTAAAGTTAAAGTTCAGCAGATAAGGGACAGGTGGAAATTAAGTGAATGCAGATCTTCCCATCTCTGAGGTTTACTGACAGGAAAAACTGCTGTAATTTTAAAATGTATTGTGGAGAGGATTCCTAGTCACATCCTAAAGTACAAATGAAAGAGACAGGGTATCTTTGGGCACTACTTTATATAATTCCCTGAACCAGTTAACTGATTAGGAGGCTGTCAAAGGTCTTGGAATAAAATGATCCTGTCTTTGTACTTTCCTTGGGTAACTGTTCCTACCCATTGTGTAAGATTCCCACAATCTTCTGTTAGAAAGTTTTTACAATAAAAGTTTTAAAGATCCATGTGGGGGAGGGTCTAAGAACTCAAGGGATAAAAACCGAATAAAACTGGAAAAACACTGCTAATACTAATTCTACCTTATAATAGTAATAATAATTTTATTATTTCTATGTCGCCCATCTAACTGGGTTGCCCCAGCAACTCTGGGTGGCTCCCAACAGAATATTAAAAACAATAAAACATCAAACATTACCCGAGAATGTTCTAAAACCAACTTAATTTACCTTTCACTTAGTTGTCTGTTATGTTTGCGTAGTGTGTGTGTGAATGTTCTAACACTGTAAAAAAACAAGGACATAGCTTTCTGGTAGCTGATAATAAGGTTTTCTTTGATCAGGGGAGCCAATGGGGGGCCGCGGAGGAAGAAATGGGTTTTCAGCTCATGCTGAAAGGTGAACTGTGTTGCACCAGGGAAGAACATTCCACAGCTGTGTGATATTTTATGTTATGGTGATATAGAAATGCTTTTTAGAAATAGAAAATCTGGACTTCCACTGTGAAAGCCAAAGCAGCTTGGACATTACTCAGTGACTAGAAGGAGTCACCCAGCAGATCTTAACTGCTGGGCAGAAGAATACCAAAAGAGGTGCTCCTTCAAATAACTGAGTCATAATTTCAGGGCTCTGTACATAAGTACTAAAACTTTGAATTTGCACAGTAGCATATAGGCAGCCAGAACAAACTCTTCAGAACCAGTGTTCTATGATTCCAAGCAGCTTTATCCAAACATTCTGTTCTCTGGCAGTTGCAACTGATGTAAAATACAATCTAAGCTGGAGGCTAACCGAGGTAGGCTGTCACTGTGGCCAGGCTGTCACTGTCCAGGCACAGCTGTAGCTGGCAAACTACCTGAAGCTGGAAATAGGTGCTCTGTGCCGTTGATGCTACTTGGGCCTCCAGTGGTAACATCTGGATCAAAGAGTACTCCTAAGCTCATGGGGAGTGTGACCCAGTTCAGAACTGGTCTCTTACAAGGCACTAGAACCACCAGCCCACAGCATCTCTGTCTTGTTAGGATTCAGCTTCAGTCAAGAATCTCGAGGCAAGAATTGGTATAAACTTGTTGAACCAATTCTTGCTTCAATGTGATAACTGTGAAGATTAAAAATCTCTTTATAAACAACGAAGAACAAAACCTACCAGGTATTGGTTGGGCCGTATTGGTTCCATGCAACACTGAATATGATGCTATATTAGTTCCCATCCCATTGGCTGAGTTTTCTGAGTAGATGTTATAAAAAGAAGCCTTATTCACCAGATGCTCCCCAGCAGCTTTTGTTAAGAAAATTTCTCCTTATGGCTTCTTCCTTGAATAACTCCAGTTCAGTATAGGCTGGCATTACTGACTAATTGCCCCATAATTATTTGGTTTCTGTTCCCAGTATGTGTATGTTTTGGGTGTGGGGGGGCAGGGGTCCTATTAGCTTTTAAATTAATTCCATCCCCCCCCATAGTGTGAAATAGCACTATTTTGTAATTAAACAATTATAGGAAGCAAGTAATGGAAGCCCCACACTTAACCACTGTGAGGAACAGGATCCAATTAATTGTGTAGAGACAAAGGGGCAATTTATCAGTAATGCCAAGAAGGGATGGAGGTAATAATGCCACACAAAAGCAAGATGGCAGACCTGTCCCCCTTCACAGTATCCTAGTGGCATGGTATGATGTGATCTCATAGAATCATAGAGTTGGAATAGACCACAAGGGCCATCGAGTCCAACCCCCTGCCAAGCAGGAAACACCATCAGAGCATGTCAGGGAACTGCCATCAGTGACGGAGGGAGAGAGCAAGCTCCAGAGGGATCCCAGAGAGCGTCCCGGGATTGAGAGAGGCAGCCCATCTTCTGGGGAAGGGAATCAGCGTAGCTCCAGTGGAGAAGGGGGGCAGATGGGGGAATCAGTGAGGCGGTCACATGACTCCTTGCTGGGGACCAGCGGGGAGAGGAAGGGTCCTCCGCTGCCTACGCCCTCCTTGCGCAGAAGGCTTCGGTGCAGGGAGAGTAGGAGGAGACTGGGCGTCAAAGAGCTTCTTTGCTGGAAAAAGTTTAAGAAACGCCCACTGACGGATTCTGCCAGCGATTGAGACAGCCACGGGTGAGTGGCTGTCCGGACAGGAAAGGTTCACTCAGGCAACCCAGCCAGGTGTTGGCACAGGCTTACGCATGAGCAACCCCTAGAACCATTACAGAGCACTCCTGACATATGGTTGTCAAGCCTCTGCTTAAAGACCTCCAAAGAAGGAGACTCCACCACACTCCTTGGCAGCAAATTCCATTGTCGAACAGCTCTTATTGTCAGGAAGTTCTTCCTAATGTTTAGGTGGAGTCTTCTTTCTTGTAGTTTGGATCCATTGCTCCGTGTCCGCTTCTCTGGAGATTTCACATCTCTAAATGGAATATCACAACTATCTAAGTGAGGCTGATAAAGTGGGTCTTTCCACCCAACTGATACCTTCTCAAGGTGGCTATGGTATGCTTACATGGCTCCTGATGGTGTGGGATTGTGTCCCAGAGAAGTGAGTTCCATGTGGCTGTGTATGTGTGTGTGTTTAGGGTTGCTAATGTATATTGGTCACACACAAGTTAGAAAAATAAGCGACAGTCCCTCTCCCCGTCATCAACAGTTAAAGTGTGGCCTGTAGGTGCAATCAGAAAAGTCTGATTAGAAAACGGGCCATTCAAAGCAAATCTGGAGAGAAATTGTGAAGAGTGTTTTCTTTACGTCTGCATATGAGGGAAGGGTCTGTCATTCCAATAGGCACCTGCAGAGCTGTCTAGTAAGCAATTATCTTCTTTCTACTTCTGGGCCTTTCTACTTGAGATATAAAGGTTGTGGTCTTGCTTCACCTTTTTGTTGTTGTTGTTTTAGAATGATGGAGGTGAACTTTTCTCAGAGTCATTTTCATAGCGTAGACTTGACTGTGCATATTTAACATGTAAACAAAGTAGCAGTTTGCCACATTCATTGAATCTGTGATTGACTGATGTGTCCTTATTTTTGTAGGAAGTTTATTGCAGGAGGAGTATGCAAGTCTGCCGCGAAGCTCAATGGGAAGGTTGTTGTGATCACAGGGGCCAACACCGGCATTGGGAAGGAAACTGCCCGAGACCTTGCAGGAAGAGGCAAGTTGCTTATCCCCACCCACCAGCAGTTTTCTCCTGTGACAAGCCTTTCACAAGGCATGCAGGAGGGATAATAAAAAGGGCAGTCCTAACCATGTATTAAATTCAATGGGGCTTACTACCTGGTTTGTGCAATTAGGCTTGCAGCCTTGAGCACTATCTGTGCTGAAGATTTAATTTGGCCAGAACACCTTGTTCTCATGTTTTCTGGTGTGATGTGGGAAGCCTTGGGAGACAAACACATGAGGCGTTCCCAAAGTAAAGGAAGGATTGAACTCTGATTAATAAGAATACACACAGAGGCTTGAACCAGCAAGACCCTGGGAAGGGTGCGTATAATAATCTCTCCCTCCACTCCTTGGCCCAGGTCGTTTTATTCACAAAAGAACTTTTTACAGAGTGTTCGTAAGAACCAATCAGATTTCTTCTGAGCATTTCAACAAACCCCACGTGGGGACAAAGTTAAACTACCAAAACTAATTAAGCATGCACTTCTGGGGTAAATAAAGAACAGAACTACAAAGGAGTGCATTTGGCAACCCCGGAGGTGATAAACAAGCAATATACATGATAAGAAGGATGGCCTGGAGGACAGCAATCATTATCACCTTCAGGTGAGATCTGCTTCCTGGCCCCAAAATTAACATCCTAAGATTAACATATCAGAAAAGCTACATCAAAGAAACTGCCCACTGTCTTTGATGACCCAGGACACCTGCCTGTCTAAGTGTGTGCGTGACTTGTCAAACAAGAGAAATGGGCAGTAGAGGAAATGGCTAGAGATGCAGAGGGTTGTGGGATTTGATCAGAAATTATTGTCAATGTATCCAACCCAGTCAACACAATGCATTCATCGTGGACACAATGGCTTGATGCATATTTTATATTTCCTCATAGTAATCCCACCTGACCCCACACTCTGGATATTTGCACTCCTACAAACACAGCCTTCCAAGGCTTTATAACTGGCCCTCGGGACTCTTCCCCATGCCCTTCACCAGCCCTTGAGGTGAAATGTGCCCTTCTATCCTTGAGACACAACACTTGAGACTATGTATATATTGTAGCCTTCCTTGATAGAAAATCATAGAATCATAGAATCATAGAGTTGGAAGAGACCACAAGGGCCATCGAGTCCAACCCCCTGCCAAGCAGGAAACACCATCAGAGCACTCCTGACATATGGTTGTCAAGCCTCTGCTTAAAGACCTCCAAAGAAGGAGACTCCACCACACTCCTTGGCAGCAAATTCCACTGTCGAACAGCTCTTACTGTCAGGAAGTTCTTCCTAATGTTTAGGTGGAATCTTCTTTCTTGTAGTTTGGATCCATTGCTCCGTGTCCGCTTCTCTGGAGCAGCAGAAAACAACCTTTCTCCCTCCTCTATGTGACATCCTTTTATATATTTGAACATGGCTATCATATCACCCCTTAACCTCCTCTTCTCCAGGCTAAACATGCCCAGCTCCCTTAGCCGTTCCTCATAAGGCATCGTTTCCAGGCCTTTGACCATTTTGGTTGCCCTCCTCTGGACACGTTCCAGTTTGTCAGTGTCCTTCTTGAACTGTGGTGCCCAGAACTGGACACAGTACTCCAGGTGAGGTCTGACCAGAGCAGAATACAGTGGCACTATTACTTCACTTGATCTAGATGCTATGCTCCTATTGATGCAGCCCAGAATTGCATTGGCTTTTTTAGCTGCCGCGTCACACTGTTGGCTCATGTCAAGTTTGTGGTCAACCAAGACTCCTAGATCCTTTTCACATGTACTGCTCTCAAGCCAGGTGTCACCCATCTTGTATTTGCGCCTCTCATTTTTTTGCCCAAGTGCAATACTTTACATTTCTCCCTGTTAAAATTCATCTTGTTTGTTTTGGCCCAGTTCTCTAATCTGTCAAGGTCGTTTTGAAGTGTGATCCTGTCCTCTGGGGTGTTAGCCACCCCTCCCAGTTTGGTGTCATCTGCAAATTTGATCAGGATGCCCTTGAGTCCATCATCCAAGTCGTTGATAAAGATGTTGAATAAGACGGGGCCCAAGACAGAACCCTGTGGCACCCCACTAGTCACTCTTCTTCAGGATGAAGAGGAACCATTGATGAGCACCCTTTGGGTTCGGTCAGTCAGCCAGTTACAAATCCACTGAGTGGTAGCATAGTCAAGACCACATTTTACCAGCTTCTTTACAAGAATATCATGAGGCACCTTGTCAAATGCCTTGCTGAAATCAAGGTAGGCTACATCCACTGCGCTCCCTTCATCTACCAGACTTGTAATTCTGTCAAAACGAGATCAGGTTAGTCTGACATGACTTATTTTTCAGAAATCCATGCTGACTATTGGTGATCACAGCATTCCTTTCTAGGTGCTCACAGACTGTTTGCTTAATGATCTGCTCCAGAATCTTCCCTGGCATTGATGTCAGACTGACTGGGCGGTAATTATTTGGGTCCTCTCTTTTCCCCTTTTTGAAAATAGGGACAACATTTGCCCTCCTCCAGTCTGCCGGGACTTCGCCTGTTCTCCAGGAATTCTCAAAGATGACTGCCAGTGGTTCTGAGATCACATCTGCCAGTTCTTTTAATACTCTTGGATGCAGTTCATCTGGCCCTGGAGACTTGAATACATCTAAACTAGCCAAGTATTCTTGTACTATCTCCTTAGTTATTCTGGGCTGTGTTTCCTTTGCTGAATCATTTGCTCCAAATTCTTCAGGTCGGGCATTGTTTTCTTTATCGGAGAAGACTGAGGCAAAGAAGGCATTGAGGAGTTCAGCCCTTTCTGTGTCCCCTGTTTGCATTTCACCATCTTCTCCTCTGAGTGACCCCACTGTTTCTTTGTTCTTCCTTTTGCTACGAACATACCCATAAAAGGCTTTTTGTTGCTTTTAACCTCTCTAGCAAGCCTGAGTTCATTCTGTGCTTTAGCTTTTCTGACTTTGTGTCTACACATGCTGGCTATTTGTTTGAATTCCTCTTTGGTGGTTTCCCCCTTTTCCATTTTTGTACACATCCTTTTTTTAATCTTAACTCAGTTAAAAGTTCTTTAGATAGCCACCCTGGCTTCTTTAGGCACCTTCCATGTTTCCGTCTTATTGGTATTGCCTGACGTTGTGCTTTTACTATCTCCCTCTTAACAAACTCCCAGCCATCATGAACTCCCTTTCCTTTTAGTATTACTGTCCATGGGATCTCACCCAGCACTTCCCTAAGTTTTATGAAGTCAGCTTTCTTAAAGTCAAGAAATTGAGTCCTAGTATGCTTGGCTGCTCCTTTCCGCTGTATAGTAAACTTCAGAAGAGCATGATCACTCGAGCCTAATGATCCTTCCACTTCTACCCCACTAACCAGGTCATCAACATTGGTTAGGACCAGATCTAAAATGGCTGTTCCTCTTGTTGCTTCTCCCACTTTCTGGACAATGAAGTTGTCTGCAAGGCCAGTGAGGAATCTGTTTGACCTTATGCTCTTGGCTGAGTTTGACATCCAACAAATATCCGGGTAATTGAAGTCCCCCATTACTACTATCTCCCTTCCTTTTGCATGCTTGGCCATCTGTTCCAGGAAGGCATCATCTATGTCCTCCGTTTGGCTTGGGGATCTATAGTAAACTCCCACAATGAGGTCACTGTTATTCTTCTCTCCCTTAATTTTGACCCAAATGCTCTCACTTTGGCTTTGAGGTTCTAAATCTTGGATCTCTTCACAGGTATACACATCCCTGACATATAACACCACTCCTCCTCCTTTCTTGTCTGGTCTGTTTCTCTGAAATAGATTGTATCCCCCCCATTATTACATTCCAATCGTGGGACTTATCCCACCAGGTTTCAGTGATGCCTATTATGTCATATTTAGTTTGCTGTACCAAGAGCTCACGCTCATCTTGTTTATTTCCCATGCTTTGCGCATTAGTGTACAGACATTGAAGTCCATTAATCATTCCCCCGTGTCTCTTATTTAAGGATTTTTCCTCCCACCACTAGGTCTGCGTGCTGTTTGCTCCATTTGGTCTATGACATTTGGATGATCATCTTCATCAATTGATAGACTCCTACCTTCAGGAGCACTGTCTCCCTCCCCCACATTAGTCAGTTTAAAGCCCTCCTGATGAGGTTTCTGAGATTTTTGGCAAAAACATTTCTCCCAACCGTTGTGAATTTTATCCCTTTTCCATGAAGCACAACCAGTATTTAGCTGAGATCCAGTGTGGGAAGGAATGGGACTTAACAGCCATTTTGTGCTTAGTTTAGTTTAGTAAAATGGTTGCTGTTTGGTTTTAGAGGCTGTTCTGTACAGGAGTGCCAAAGGTTTGGCCTTCAGATTTGGCAGTAAAGGAGAAATAGAAACATAACCAGGAATTAGCTCTTCCTCTGATTGACTAGATGTTAAAAAGTTAAGGGGGACAACCCAGAAACTGAACTGAGGTTACAAATGGCAAAGTATTGGCTTTGTGAGGGGGGACGCTAGAATAGGTATAGCTGTTTATTTTTATTTGCTCTTATAGGTAACCCCGCCCCCCATTGTAAAACAAGGCTCCCCTCCTTAAAATAGTTTGCACAAAAACTGTTTCCTTCACCCTACTAAAGCTGTAAATTAATAGTTTGTTTTGGAACAAGTTGGTCCGAAGCCTTCTTATTCCCTTATATTCTGCCTTTCTCAAGGCGACTCACAGCATAGATTTGAATAGATATGACAAAGAACATACAATAAATATAACTATTAAAAAGCAAGTAAATAACCCTATAAAACAACACTGAAAACCATTAAACACACATAAAGTACAACACCCACCCTCAGAGGTGCGACTGACTGGCTAGAGATCTGAACAAATGGCATCATTTTATTGCTGGTCCTGTTCAACATAATATTGAAAATCTGTTGCAATTCTAAGGATGGGACTTGAGTCATTTACCTGGAACCTCTTTGAGCCACATAGTTTCTACTTTCTGTACCCCTTTGTGTTGTTCATTAATTCCCTGCTTTTCCTTTTTGCAGGTGCCAAAGTCATCCTTGCCTGCAGAGATATGGCAAAGGCAGAAACAGCAGCCTGTGAAATTCGGACCACGACAGGGAATCAGCAGGTTACGGCAAAGAAACTGGACTTGGCAGACACCAAGTCGATTCGAGAATTTGCTGAGAATTTCCTCAAAGGTACGTTTGAGACTCCTTGGTTGTGTTTGCATGTAATGCTAAGCCAAAGTATGGCTTGGCAAGAATGAACAAGCATGGAATAAAAAATGTGAGCCCTTTGCTCCTTCCCTGGTCCTCCTGCTGCTGTACTAACTAGAGCAAAGCCATAATTGTGTTATGTCCAAACCTGGTTTTGTGGTTTATTGGCAGCTCTGACTTATCAAACCGAGATTAAGATTCTCACACTCTACTAACTGTTTCAACCCTTATTTGAAATCAGTTGCTTTTCTTCAAATATTTTGCTTCACTGTGTATGATACATGAGCCCAGCATAAAAACATTTCTCTGGTTGTTCAGAGACTTGGAATCCAGCAGCACAATCCTATGCAAGTTATGTTGAGTCTAATGGGACTTAACACCCAGGTAAAAATGTATAGGATTTCAGTCTTACCATGACATCTGACACTGTAAAACAAGACTGTTAGGTTTGGGGTAATCAGAAATTCAGTTTGCCTGTGACTGGAAATAAAACTTACTATATTGCATCAGGCCACCATTCAAAGTTATTGCACAACCTGTCCTCGTACATGTAGACCCATGCTCTGAGGCAGTCTGCAAGACTAATGAATCATGGGAGAAACTGCAAAACAGGAGTTAAGCTGACAGCCATGAGGCAGAACGTGTTGTGCTGTCACTAGGGTTTTAACTTGGTTTTCCTATTTCATAGTGTGCCCTGCATGTGCTTTCTTGTAGAGGAGAAAGAACTCCATATCCTCATTAACAACGCAGGGGTTATGCTGTGCCCCTACTCCAAGACAGCTGATGGCTTTGAGATGCATCTAGGAGTCAACCACCTGGGTAAGGTCCTGAGGTGTGGGTTGGGTGAATGGGTTTGCCCTTTTTACATTAATAATGTTTTGGAATGTTTCTAGTTGGCTAACAGTACTGTCATATCTCGCCAGGTCCCATGCACTACTAAAGATTAAGTTAAGGTTTGATTTCCCTCTGGTTGGTTCCATCACCAACTGTTCCAGGACACACACCCATTTAGGGTATCTAGAAATTTTACCTCTTTGTCATGACTTGAACATACATTTACCCCATTGTATGTGTGATGGGAGCAGAAATTGCCTGTTATAATTACTAAAATACTTTGTCCCTGATTTCATACTCCCATCACCTTGAGCATTTTGGTTACACTGTTACATCCCCAGTCCTAAATAACTTTTGGGACCTGGTATTGCCACCCACAGAACTTCTCTGGAGGAATCTCCGTCTTTGGGGATTTTTACTTCATTTGGCTTTGTGTCCTGTTTGTCATACCGAGTGACATTCCTGTAACATTAAAAAGAGTTTTTGCTGCATCCTGGGTAGAATTGCATCCAAAGCTTCCTTCGCCATTTCTCTTCCAGGGCACTTCCTTTTAACGTTCCTGTTGATAGACTGCCTGAAGCAGTCTGCACCAGCACGCATAGTCAATGTATCCTCACTGGCTCATCATGGTGGGAGGATTCGCTTCCATGACCTCCAGGGCGAGAAGTCCTACAATCGGGGCCTGGCATACTGTCATAGCAAACTGGCCAATATTCTCTTTACCCGGGAGTTGGCCAGACGACTGCAAGGTGAGCTGGAAGCATGTAGCGGCCTCTTGTTCAGAATCTCATCTTAAAAAGAGCTTAGTGTGACTTTGTATGGTGGGAAACTGGGATTGTTTTGGGGAGGAGGGAGGTTTAAAAGAGCGACCTTTGCAGATGATGTCTCAGTTTTCTTAAATATTTGTTCAAGGATCTGGACAGACAGTGCAGATTGTGAGCTGAAATCAAAGGGAAGACATACTGCAGCAATCTATAGGTGCTCTATAGTTGCAGTCCTAAGTACACTTGAGTTTTATTTATGTACTTGTTTCTTTGTGCAAACAAATGCACTGTATAAAATTCAAGGTGACAGAGCCCTCCAAGGCCAACTGGGAGCTGATGTTACGTCTGCTCCCTAGCCTGAGTTCTCTCACTTCTGCCTGCCTTCAGAGCACACAGGTCTTCAACAGCCCCAGGAAGGTGGGGGAGAAGCTGCCCAACATCTCTGTCTGGCTGTTGATGGTTGTATCAGAAGCTGATGCTGTGTGCTTCCTGGCTTGGCCACCCAGAGCTCTCATAGCTCCCAGTACGTTTCTGAGCACAATTCAAAGTGTTGGTGCTGACCTTTAAAGCCCTAAACAGCCTCGGTCCAGTATACCTGAAGGAGCGTCTGCACCTCCATCGTTCTGCCCGGACACTGAGGTCCAGCGCCGAGGGCCTTCTGGCAGTTCCCTCGCTGCGAGAAGCCAAGTCACAGGGAACCAGGCAGAGGGCCTTCTTGGTAGTGGCGCCCGCCCTGTGGAACGCCCTCACACCAGATGTCAAAGAGAAAAATAACTACCAAACTACTTTTAGAAGACATCTAAAGGCAGCCCTGTTTAGGGAAGCTTTTAATGTTTAATAGGTTATTGTATTTTAGTGTTTTGTTGGAAGCTGCCCAGAGTGGCTGGGGAAACCCAGCCAGATGGGCGGGGTATAAATAATAAATTATTATTGTTATTGCTGTTGTTGGATTGCAGTCATATGGAACACATTGGACTTAATCCCAGTCAATGATTGATGGGATTGAACTGCACCTTCAAAAAGACAGCAGCACATTTTGGCACCAGGGACTTTTTGGCAAAGGCTCTACCCACTAAATAGTTCCAAGGAAGTATACCTTAGGGTTGTACCTGGTGTGTGTGTGTGCTTGTTTGGTTTCAGGAGCAAGCGACAGCCAGTGGCAATAGATTGTGTGTCATATCAGTACCGTTAAAAGTACCTTTTCATATAGACACATGAGAAATACTTGTGTTTTCATTTCCAGGTGCAAACTAATCTTATTTGTTCTGTGGCAATTCAGACAAACAAAAGAAGGGATCCATTTGCTTTTTATGTTGGTTTATGTGCCTGCTTCCAAAATGCTTTTCTAAAGCACACATGATTCCTCCCTTGTAGGCACTGGCGTCACTGTAAATGTCCTGCATCCTGGAACAGTCTCTTCTGAATTATCCCGCCATTCAACTATATTAGATACTGTATGGAAAAGGTCGTCTTTCTTCTTGAAGACACCGGTGGAAGGAGCCCAAACCAGTGTGTATTGTGCAGTGGCAGAGGAGCTGGAATCAGTGAGTGGGAAGTATTTCAGGTGAGTTGAGGCTGTGGAAGAATTGGCATTGGGTTGCAGAGTGGGGAAACAATGGTTTAATCCAGATCTCAAGGATGTCTTCAGGGCTAAGCAACGGCACGAGGCTTGGGAGAACAGTGTCAACAGAATGAGTCAGATTGCAACCAGAACAAGCTGGACTCCTTTTGAGCCACAGAAAATGCAAAAAATTACCTGCCAGGGATGGATTTTTCTAATGCCTACATCTCTTGTAGAGAAGGGAGGGCCCCAGTCTAGCTGTGTGCATGATAGTAGACTGCTAGCAGTTAGCAGTATCATATGGGCAGCACCAACTTTCTCTTGGGAAGGGCTGGACGTCCAAAACTGGCACCCTTGCCTAAATGAATGGTGATCTCAGAGCCATTGTTGACCATGTGTTCTGCACTACATCTGTGCTTAACCCAGCTTTGCCCAACCTGGTGCTCTTGAGTTGGTGTTAAGACTCCCAGTTTCCACCAGCCCCAGTCAGCATAGCGAATGGTCAGGGATGCTGGGAGTTGTAGTCTACTATCATTTGGAAGGCTGCAGGTTGGGAAAGACTGCTCTAACCAGTGATGCTGGTAGCGATCCATATTTGGGAGCTATGTGTACAGCCCTCCCTGCCCTGGGTTCTTAATGTAGCTGGGGATATGTAGCCCAAAGGCATTTGCTTCATGCTTGTTAAATCAGGCTGGCTGAGAAATTCCATCATAGTATTGGGTATTAAGGTGTGTGATGTCTCAGCTCTTCAAAAGGTAGAGGTAGGTTCTAATGCAGCATGGAGATGCTAAGATACCACTGAGCTGAATACATAGCAGCTACACCAACTGTTACATTTGCAGGAAGTAGAGGCTGCATTTAGGGAAAGTGCAGGCTGCTATAAACTTGTGCCAGCAGATAAGAAGACTCAAGCGATGGAGACTTGAGCATGTATTTTCACATACCTGCTTCCCTAAACTGCTCCAATTCAGACTGTAGGTGGGAGCTGACTGTTTTGTTCCCACTCCTCATAAAATCACTCCGCACATAGGGAGATGAGAAGGGTTCTAACCTGATGGTTTTGTGTTTTTTCATATTTGCTAACCCCAGCTTTCAATTATGCCATCCTGAATTCCTAATAGAAACTTTCCTTTATGTGACAGTGACTGCAAACCAGCATATGTATCTCCTCAAGGACGCAATGAAGAAACAGCGAAGAAGCTGTGGGACGTCAGCTGTGAACTATTGGGCATCCATTGGGACTGAACGAGGGGTGATCTTTCCCTAGAGTTGTACATGCCTAGTGAGTTATTTCTTGGAAAAGGCAAACACTGTCAGAGCTGAAGGATGCAGCTCCTACACGGTCATTTGATACCCATGTTTTGAATTTTGTTTATTATAAAGAGAGCCGTTCAAGGCTTTCATATACACAACATAGCTATCAGCATGCTCTGGTTTCCAATATGAGAACAGCCATCCTCCTCTTGGTTTGATACATAAATATGGAAGGAGCAGTTGCCAAAATGCAAGCGTGCATTGTACCTAGTCTCTCACTCCTCATTGTTGATTTGTTTGATAAATTAATCACTATTACATTTAGGTTCCTGATGGAGGTTAACTGAGATCTGTCAATCCTGCTACAGTAGATACTTGCTTGTACTGCTACTTTCTTTATCTTTTACAAGAAGTCAGCTTTTTGCTGGCCTCTGGAACATAAAATGTGATCAGAATGGGGTGCATTGAGAGGTTTAGACCTGCAAATGAGATATTGTTTCTGGAAGCATTATATGATAGCTAGTTGAGGCCAGTTCAGTTCAGGGCAAGTTGAGTTTAAACACATAGGTTTAACTTCCCTGTAGATTTGGGGTCCAATTACACTTTTGAACTTGAGTTGTGAGGATATCACAAAATGGCTGCTAGCCATAAAACACTCCACATAAAGCAAGCTGCTGAGATGAAGATAAGAGTTGCTTGCTCAAATCAGTAGGTACAAGGTGTGTGTATTCTGAGCTCCAAAACTCTTGCTTTAAGCCTCCCATTTTCTAGTCAACCAGCCAATTCCCACCAATGCAGAGAAGGCCAGACTCTCTCCTTAAATAAGTTCTTGAAAATCTGTTTTGATTTCCTGCCCCATGACCAAATTGCCTCTTGTACTCGGGTACAGACATTTCTTGCTCCCTCTCTCTCCTTGGTGTCAACACAACTTCGGGCTGCTAGTGTATAATTAGAACTATTTAATTGAATGTTGTCCATGGGGAGAATGGCTAGTGGACCCTGAAAAGAAGAATGAACCAATCAAAGTGGTAGGGGGGGCCTAAACAGACAGCATGGGGGAAAGCATGAAATAACTTTAATTCTCTCTGGGTTAAAAAGAGCTTGGTGGGTGCCCTGGCAGATATCTTGGTATTACAGTAGGGAGCTTAGCTGTAAATACCATTATTTTGTATAACGTAAGTGCTTTGTTAGTATCTAACAGCCCTTTGTCAGAACAATAGAGCCATGGGGTGGGCATGGTATTCTTAATTTTCTGAGGGAAAATGAGAAGTAAGTCCAGCAGCATGCCTTTTGAGTATTTAGTTGTTGGACAGATAACTTTTACAAGGAGTCAGATTCTGCATAAATGTTTGGTGCTGTGACCTCATGCTGGCTTACAGAAAAAAAAGTTCTGCTTGCATCGAGGGGACTTTAACATAGTTTAAGTAAAGTAATGCAAAGTCCATTTTCTTTGGCTGGAAGTTTCAGTTTGGCATTCAGCACTGGACATTTCTCAATACACTGACTACATTAAACTTAAAACTTGCACTGCTCTGTCTTTGCTTTTAAACATTGATCTCTATGATTTAATTTAATGTAATTTAATACAAAATCCCAACGTATGTCAAAGTTAAACTAAATGAAATAAATTGACAAAATATGCTTTATTCCTGTTCATTATGGACAGAAGTTCATCTCTCATCAAGGGTCAACATTTGTTCATCTCATCAACACCAGTATTTATGAGGCAGGGCAATTTATAGGACAGGTTTTGCTGGTGGAAAAAAAACACCTTAGAGTGAGCCAATAAGGAATTTTGAGTTGCAAACAATGTAAAGTGCATAGAGTACAGTGCAAAAGGGAACACAGAATTAGTCTAGAATCTTCACCATAGCAGAGTCTATTGTTTCTCCTGTGAAGACGTATGTAAGAGACAGGCAAGGGAATGAGAGATGTATAGCAACTTAAAATACTGTATATAGGAATTAGTGCTTTTCTCCCCCCCCCCCCAAAAAATGCTTCCCATGAGAAAACTGATCAATACCACATACAGTCACATCACGTTCTTCTGAAGCCCAGTAGAAATTCAGTTCTGACAGACAGAAAAGCAGCTTTTGTAAGCCTTAAATTCCTAATAGGATAATCTTCAAGACTGAGGAGGTGGAAGAACTTGAAAGCTGAATGTATGTAACTTAAGCTGCAAGCTATTTCTGGACACCAAATCCCATGAGCTAATTGTTCCTAGCATTTGTGGCTATGATGTAATGCTAAGACCCATAAATAAAGGTCAACCATGTTAAAGTTAAAGTTAGCAGGAAAGGACGATATTAACCTTAAAAACCCGAGTGTTTTAAGGTGTAAACAATTAAGTATGCTTATGGACTGATTGTGCATCATGGCACAGCAGTTAACTTACCATCACTTTAGTGCAGCGACATCACCTACAATTCAATTCCCACACCCCCTTGTAATCAATTAGGTTCCCTTTTCACAGAAACGGATGGGCCCCATCAACTGAGTTGAAGGGTTTTAGCTGGATGCCCTGCCTTAGATTTAAAAGGAATTTTAAAGCCCACTGCAAATTATGCTTCCAATTGTGGTAACTGGAAAGACAGCAGGATAGACAGGTAATTAGCGAATGGGATGACAAAAACCAGGTACTGGGCATTACATTTAGAATCAGTCCAGACTCCCGAAGGGTCTAGGCCACGCTCTAAGTGGCTGTGGGGGCAACTTCCTCTCTGGATTCTATTTACTATTTAACTTTATACGTTGATTGCATCACATGGCAATGTGCAGAATTATGCACAGCTCCATTACTACTCATACTTACAGCAAGACATTGTGGCTTTCATTGAGTGCTTCTGGCTAACAGCAGCTGCTTAAAGTTGCTGCTACAGAGGCAACTTTATTGAAAGATTTGTGGCAAACAGATTCCAAGCTTGCACAACTATCTCACCCCTATAATTGCTTGGCCTAAGCTGCCACTCTGCACTCTGCTCCAGTCAGTTCACATATACACACAGTAGTTATTTCACTTCATCTAAATGTCTGCTGTTCTGCAAAGTTGGTTTTGGTCAATGAATAGATCATTAAAGTTATGACTTGTGAGAAAATATAATTAAATCAACCACCCGCTGAAGGTGTATTTTCTACAACAGAGAGGACAATTTTTTACAATAATTTTCACTCTATGCACATGTCGTAAAAAGCTTTGCTAAGTCCACAGATGGCAGCTTTAACAATTGGAACTTGTTTCCAAATTTCACATATCAAACCGGTTTAAGGATCTTACAACTGACCAGTGGTACAAGTAAAGTTTGCTCCAGGAATTAGGCTATCCTAGTATCTGTCAATTAGCAGCAGGACAAAGTGCATCTCAGCAAACTTGTGTGTTTCTCGAAACAGGAAAGGAAGCTTCCTCCTCATAAGAATTTCCCATTGCTTTCCAATACCTATAGGAGAAACAGCACATACCTGTACAAAAGCAAATCCTAGAGATGTATCTGCTACATATTCCAAAATTCAAAACCCACATTACTATGTCTCTATACAGATTTGCCTGTGATACAGTTTTGCTTTAGCAGAATCACAAGACAAGTTCCAAACTAGATTTAACCGATGTGGGTTTTAAATTAATAAAACAATGCCCAGGGGATACATGTACTGATAGCAGCACAGGAGAATATGGTTGATGAAAGACTGAAACGTTAACATTTTTAGGTTGTGCTGGGCGGTGGGTGGAGGGGAAAAAGAGAGAGAACACCCTGAGGTAGAGATAGTTGGTTGTCATCAGGACATGATTGGCACTTTTAGTCAGCAGTCTTTTCCTTTTCGGAAGGGGCATCGGAGCAGCTCCTTTCCAACCCGCCGCCATACATAGACTAAGCTGATCTGACCAACACAATGCAGAGCCTTCCCTTTATAAAAAAGCAAACCACCAACAATGATACGCTTGCTGGAAGTCACTTCTTGGAGCCCTGAGTGAGCCAGCTTCTTGGTTTGGTGTGGTGCACTGAAAGCCACTGGCTGCAGATGGCTTGCACCACATCTTCCCCACTATCCTCAGCCAACTGCCGTACATGCAGGACCAACTGCACAGCGCGAGCGTTTTCTTGTCTCACTGAGACCAGGTAAGCGGAACGTAGCTTGTGGCATTTCAGATATGCTTGGATCTGAAACGGAGAGAGAAAAGGGTGGGATTCTTCCTTCTGCAAGTGGATTTCTACTTAACAGGATGGGGCTCTCTCACCAGCTTCCTGGTATAGCCCCATACACTTCCAACCTCTCCCTTGCCAACCTGCTTGAGGGCTGGGGGAATCCTCCAAAAAAGCATGGGATGTGATGGAAAGGATTGCAGCTGGACGTGGGAATCGGTAAAAACACAGGGAATATAGAGAAGAGTCAGACTACTGATCCACCTAATTCAGTGTCCTCAACACTGCCTAGCAGCAGCTCTCCAAGGTTTCAGACAGGAGAGCCCTACGTGAAGATGGTGAGGATTGGACCTTTTGAATGCAAAGCATGTGCTCTGCCATTGAGCCACAACCTTTCTCTAAGGGTGACAAACCTCCACAAACCTTATGTGAGTGGAAATGTGGGAACTTTTGAATCAGAGCCAAAAAGCATTTGCTGGGTCCCTAGAATGACAATATACACGCAAGGTTGGGACGATTCCAAGTATTGGAACAGCTGGCATGGCTGCTCTGTTGATCAGGAACTGGAATGCATTAATTACCAAATCTTAAAATAAATCTCAATACTGATCAGCCTGGGAAGTTGGCTAGGACAAATTCAATTTCTGTCTGGAGCTTTTAGAATTGACAAACAAGTGATCAGAATGGATATTGCTTTAGTCTCAAGGATACTATACATCTTTCCTTGTTGTTTATTTAACAAAGGGTGGGGAACTCTCCTGGTTGCCTATACTGCTTTTGGCTGATGGAATTACAACCCTACACCGTCTGGAGGGTCCAAATTCCCCACCAGCCATTCAACCTACCATTTTTTCCATTGCATAAAAAGAATGAAGCTCATTTAAGAGAATTTGGGTTTCAATATCCACTATTGGAGAAGCCCTATTTGAAAAATAGCACAAAGCTATGCTGTTTCATTCGTGAAAAGCAAGTATTTTAGTTGTGGCTTTCTCTGAGAGCAGCAGCCTTTTGCAAAGAGAATTTACCAGCATTAGAAACACTACAATGGATATGTTCACTAACAGGAGAGAAAGAATCAAATTCTGGAATAATGAGCAGCTCAGGGCACACAAAGGATTCATTGACGGTCTCAGCTGTCTGCAGCCTCTGCAAAAGTTTGCCACGAAAAACAAAAGTGCAGGCTAAATAATTATGCTCCAGATTCTGCAGGGGACCCTCCAGGTCTTTTGACAAGGTTTTTTCCATTGACGGGACAGCTAGATGAGGAGCCTAATCTTCAACAGCTCATGAGTTATATAAAGGGTTATATAGCCAGACTATATAACCCTTTCAAAGCAGCTTTCTTTTATTCTTTTGAGGCCACATCCTTGCAAGTATCACTGAATCTTCTGATACTTGCTGCTAAATCTAGAGAGCACAAGATAATGGAAGAAGCAGGAAAGACTATAAAAGTTGGGTCTTCTCCAGGATCAATGTATCCTATTCTTCACTTACCTTGTTTTCATCGCTGTCCATATCCTTGATCAGATCGTCCAGATCCTGTAACCCACAAAGAAAAAAAACCAGTTGTAAGATCGCCATGACATGATACTTCATTGTTAAACATCCCTTGTATCTATTCCAAATTTGATGACACATTAAGAATTACAGGGATCTACAGGATGATGCCAAAGAGACAGCTAGCCACTTTTGCATGGATGGATTTCAGTTTGTTGCAATCTATGGATATAGACATGGTGCTTTGAGAGATGGGGCCCACCATGTGTTTGCTCCACACTTGCCCTCCTTAAGTGATAACAACTAGAAGGAGAAAGGCAATTGGTTGGGCCAGGAGGTGATAAACTTCCCGGATTATGAGAGGAAAGGGTCTCAGCCAGCTTGAAAGAAGCTCCTCATAAGAAGCCCCTCATGAAAGCATGACTAGCAAAATGAGAATAATTCAGTCTTGGAGATTACTAAAAGTTGTTACCTGCATTCCAAGCACACAATACTTATTTGCAGAATGTAAACAAAATAAGGTTGTGCCTTTTCTTTCCAGGAAAAGAACAAGATTACCTCAGCAGGAATAGAATCAGACTCGTCCAGACAGTTTAAGAGGACGTTGTCCCCATCAGTTTTATCTTCAGCACCAGATTCCTTGATGCACTTAAGGAGCTGCCTGATCTCACTGTACTTCTGCTGCTTCACCAGCTGTCTGGCCACTTTAATGTATACATCAGCAGCCTCCAGCTGGAAATCCTAAGGTGGAAGAACCAATATGATTTCAAAATACACAAACACTTCCCTACAACCAGAATTGAGCTTTACTGATACAGGAGCAATAAGGATCTGGGAAAATCCCTTGTCATGCAGAAGTCCTGTGGTACTGTGTACTATCAAACCTTTACAGCCTTTATATAAATTTAGCCACTGTGATGCTACAGAATCCTCCTTCAATGGCCCCTACTATGTATCTACCTTGCTCTGTCCCCATTTAAGAGAAGTCCTCATTAGGGCTATAGCATCACTTAAACAAGTTCATGCAATTCAATCAGCTAAAATATATTTTAAATCGTGTGACAGCCATTCTCTCATATGCATCCCACCAAAATCAACACACAGGCCAAGCTATCGAACGACTCTGCAATGACTACATCCTTACACACACCGATATGACAATAAGTCCCACTGAGCTCTGTGTGACTTAGTCCAACACTATTTACAGTATGCAAGCTTACTTAGGTTTTAAAAATCAAAAATTCTTTGGCCAAAGGTTATCTGTTCCTAGTTTAATTACATAAAATTCACCATCCCAGACCACTGGTCATTATGGCTGGGACTGATGGAGTTCAGAGTCCAGCAACATCTGAGAGGACCACAGGTTAGCCTCCTCAGATTAAACAGCATATATGAAAGTGAGTGAAATCAAGTCAAACCCATCAGGTCAAACTGGTTTTACAGCAGCAGATTTTCAGAGGTTCAGACAGGGGTCCTTTCCAGAAACAAGGACATAAAACCTTCTGTATGCGAAGCAGGTGCTCTAGCACTCAGCTACACCTCTTCTACCTCATTTTTAAAAGACTGGGAAAATGCTTGAACCACCTGAATATCAACAAATGTCAGCTATGGTGGCATTGCATTCCTCACACAGTTATCTCAGCAAAGACTTGGCAATAATGAAGGAAGGGTGTGTGGAACTCGCCATTCATGTCTGTATACCTCTACAAGAGATACTGAATATTTGGCGAAGGGAACCTCTATAAAGTTGGACTCAACTAAAGCTGCAACTCTAAGTGGAGGGTTTAGGTTCATGAGACTCTTGGCAAGAATATGTTTGCTATGAGTATTGTGAACCTGATCAGGAGAGCTTTAAACTAAATCCTGAGGAGAAGGGAGACAAAATTACAGACAGGGGAATACTGAGTACTGGGGAAAATAATGTCATAGATGCTCAGGAAGCAGAGGTGGTGCTACAGAAACGTGCTAAAGGGCAAGAAACTACAAGAAGGAAGCAGCTGGAGGGAATGACTCAAGGTTTCAGTTGTCTCTATACTAAAGCTATACTAAAAACCTAACGCAATTATGAAAACAGAAGCTTCTAACTCAAGTTTTTATAGACACCTAAAAGATACATCATTGTAACTGGCAAAAATGCTGTGGTTTTCCTTATCTGCTTTGGTGAGAATTGTAAGGAATCAACATTATGTATAACATCATCTTAGGTTCACCGTACCTGTAGAACTCTAAATGCAATCCCAAAGCCTTCTTCAATGTTTTTACCTTCCAGCATGACCTGAGAAGAAATAGCAGCAGCAAAAAGGTTAAGTATTGTGTAAACAACCCACAGTTAGTACCGTCAGCTACATAACACAAACAGGATTCTTATTCCCTCTTTCCAAGCTTAAGGACAGCATCCAGTTTCGGAAAAGTGATATTTATTATTTTCAATTTATTTATTTAATATACTTATAGCCTGCCTTTCTTCCAAGTTGGGATTCAAGGCAGCTTACAATTATAAAACACAGCATAATAGAAACAAACTAGTTGAAAACAATTAAATTGCAACACATCTAAAACCAGGAATTAAAATATAATTTGCCCTGGGTCAGGGATCAGTATCTTCTGCACCTTAGTTTCCAAAGACCTGTCTGAAGATGAAGGTTGTAGCCTGGCAGTGGAAGAAAAAGGAAAAAGGAGGGAGCCCATCCAGCCTCTCTTCAGAATGAATTCTACAATATGAAAGCAGCCATGGATAAAAATCTCTCTTGTATCTCCTCATCCAGTCCTGCTGCTGCTGTGTGAGAAGCCAAAGTTAAGCTTAGCATGAGGTCCAAACCAGAATTTATGCATTGTCTTGCTCCAGACAAACCACAAGTTGTAACTAAGGTTGGTTCTTGGGTTTACTCCTTGTGGTTTGTATGCAGTGAGACAAACCTTGAGTCCAGGTTTGGACAACACGCTACACGAAACCATGGTTTAGTTAGAAGTACAGAAGCCATGATCTCTTCTCTGGGAACCTGTGCGTTTGGCCTAAGCCATAGTTTGTCCTAGTGTTAGATGCAAACCAGCTCTCTGTAGGCTACACTCAGTGCTGTTTATAGTATTCAGTTTTGATACCTATAACTATGCCACGATTTTATGAGGCACTCAGTACCTTGCAAGCTACTTCCATCTTCATTTGATTGTTTCCAAAGAGTGTAGGAACAGATGAGACAGTCAGAGATGAGGCTCCCAATTTTTCGCACCGATGAAGGAATCTTGTCACTTCCAGTTGAAGCTCAACTGTATTGATATGCCTGATTTAGGGGGAAATGCTTCATTACACAATACAGTCAGACCTTGGATCTCACCGCCTTGGTACTCGTCCGTTTTGGTTCCCAAACGCCATAAACTTTTAAGTGAATGTTCCGGTTTGCAAACATTTTTTAGAAGCTGAACGTCTGATGCGGCTTCTGATCGAGTGCATGAAGCTCCTGCAGCCAATCGGAAGCTGCGCCTTGGTTTTTTAATGTTTTCGGAAGTCGAACAGACTTCTGGAATAGATTCCATTTGAGAACCAAGGTACGACTGTACAGAAAAGTTTTTTTTTTTTTTTAAGCAATGCCTTCACACATCACTTATTTACTTATTTTTCCTTTCCCAGAATAAACATCTTTAAACACTTTGTGGGCGAAAGGAAGCAAAAAGAATGTCCTCATTAAAGAAAAACACACAAGCATAACTCAAGTATATCATGGAAAACATTGCATGCTAGATTTACTCTGCAAGATAAGAGAGGATGGACATGTCAACACATAAGGAAGTATTCAACAAATGCCTCCTGTCAGCTTAAGAATGTCCACTTGTTCAATCGGGATTTCCTCCCTTTCTACTCCTCACCCCCATCCCAAATCTGCTCTGGAGGTTTGGAGGAAACCCAAGAAAAGATATATTGGGGGGAGGAGAGGTGGGAACATTTTGTTGTTCAAGCAGAAATCATTTTGCTGACAGGACACATTACTTAATGCTACTTAGACAAAACCCACACTCCAAAATATCCACAGAGATATGCCTTGTTAAAATGGAGTTGAGCATGAGAAACTTTAAAAGAAATTAATTCAAGACACTAGAGTCACAATACCTCAAAAATATTGAACTTAAACCAACTGATTTTTAAGAGCATGGATGCTTATGGTAAAAGTCCTGAAGAATGCCTTATCACACTGTTCAGGGAAACTGTATGATCAATAAAACGGAGAATGAAATATATGTCATCAAACGATAACATCTGCTGGTACCTTGAGACGTCAGGAGCAGACATTTTCTTACGGAAAGTACATGTAGCCTTTTTTCTTCCCGAACTCCTTGAAACTTCCTGTAGGTAAACTTTGAGATGGTCCTTGACCTTCAACAGCCAGGTGTGCCTTTCTCCCAATTCAGCGTAAGACTTTGCATTGTGAGTGAAAAATCTAATACAGGTCATAGCAGCACGGACTTGATCCTGAAAGACAGGAGTGTTAAGATGGGTAAGCCTTCAAATTGTGTATCATTGGTGAAAACCACTTAGCAACTCTTCAGAACATATTGAACTATACAGAAGGGATTGGACATAAGCAGTGATGGGATGGGTTTGCAAGCTCTATTATAGCAGACATTCCTAAGTTAGGAACCCAAAAGAACCCCCCTCACTGCGTACATGAACAAACAGCACATATCGAGGCTCTTTCCCAAAATACAGGAAATATTGTCCAACTTTCCTGACAAAAAGTTCAGAACATTTAAAACTGCAGCATGAGAAGTACATCACCCACCCTGTGGAACGCCCTCCCACCAAATGTCAAAGAGAAAAACAATTACCAGACTTATAGAAGACATCTGAAGGCAGCCCTGTTTACAGAAGCTTTTAATGTTTCACGGACTATTGTATTTTAATATTTTGTTGGAAGCTGCCCAGAGTGGCTGGGGAAACCCAGCCAGATAGGCGGGGTATAAGTAATAAATTATTATCATCGTCGTCATCACCATCATCATCATCATCAACCCCCCCACTCCTACCTTCATAAATTGTTGCAATTCATATAAGATATTATAGTAATTCTTTTTCTGCAAATGTTTGCAAGCTGCAATGAGATAAGCACCCCAGCTAGCTAGACCCGGGTCAATCGTTTCCAGTAAGTTTTCCAACATGTGAAGTTTTCCACTGGTATAGCTTGGGATAAATATCCCTTCAATAAATACTTCATGTGGGCTCTCCTAAAACAGAGAAAAATTCAAGCGTTTAGACAGACTTGCCTCATCCATATAATTACTTTAGGAAGAAAAGCCTCTGTTATTGGGCTACAGTAGACTGCATGTTTTTCATAAAAGTTACATTTGTCCAATTCTCAGATCAGGCTGAAAATTGTTTTTGGGTATGAAGGCAGACACAGCAGAAGTTGAGTTAGGGGGAGTCTCAACATGAGACTTCTCTTGAAAGCCTGCGAATACCTACCAAACGCTATGCTGTTCTAATAGTCACAAGACATCTTAAAACTGAAATATTTCCTGGCACCATTTACACTTGCCAATAAATCTTGGAGGCACTTGAACAAGGCCTCAGCCATTTTATGAAGGGAGTCATAACATGGAAAATAAAAGGGCTATTTTCAAGACAGAAGGGAACACAGCACACATTGTTCAAGGGCAGCTAGTCATAGCGATAAAATAGGCAAGATTTTCAAAACAGGACAACTTCAACAAAAGATTGAGACCAAGGTCAAGGTCCTCACAATATTGAGAAAACTAGTTTCATAACAAAGTAACATGTTCCCATAATATACCACCTGGAACCTATCCAAATTAAGAGACATGGAAACGTGAACCTGCAACCCTCCAGCTGTTGTATTCCAGCTCTCATTGTCCACATGACCAATGGCCAAGGGTGATGGGAGTTGTAGTCCTGCAACATCTGGAGGACCACAGGTTCATCACCCCTTACTAGAAAAACCTCCAGGAGGAACAGGCTGCCTCACCTTATTTAACAAATGCAGCAGTGCTTCTCTCATGCAGTCGTGCCTCATATAAAAACGAATGATTGCTAGATTGGTGCCATAGTTGTGCAAATAGAAGAGGCACTCTTGGTAGTAGCTGTTGTGTTGAATCTTCCCCTCAGGTATCAGCTCCAGGGATAGGCTTCGTGTCCTTAGTGTTGTTTCCAGTTCCTTCAAAGTGGCAAAGTAGTCGTCATCCTGCTACCAAAAAAAGCAGAGAATCAAACATCACAAGTTCCTGTGAGGAGATGTCTGTTCACCATATTGTCCTGCTGGAGGAAGGCAGAGGGAAGCAATTTCTACCGATTCCTACATTCCTTGGCAATACCACCACCGAAAGCTGCTCCAAAGGACAGAGGGACCCTCCAGTACAGTGTGGCAGGTGATGCAGGATGGTTTTTTAAAAAAAATGTTACCAATCACTCCCTGTACCACAAATACCTTCCTCCAGAGGCCCTTCCATGTTTCTGAGCAGAAAGACACTCCAAATCAGAGCAGAAAGACAGATCCAAATCATAGTCTAGAAATGAGCTGCACAGTTATGCTATGTGGGCAATATCTAACATCCAGTTTCCTCTTTCTCTGACCCGGTGCAAGTCAACACAGAGTAGAAAACTGCTTAACCTCTGCAAACAGGTAGGTTTCAGTATGGTGCCACATCTTCTATCTACACCACAATAGCACATAACACAATGTGGCCACTATTATCAACAGCAGTTCACAAGCAGCAAGTTGCAAGCAGCATTCCTTTATCAATTCCAATTCCTCTCCAGCCCTTTCTCCAAGGTGGTCAAAGCAGCATGCATGGTCCTCACTCCCTCTTCATATCACCCTCCAAATCACTTTGTGAGAAGCAGTTGAATGACTGGCTCCCAGTCACCAAGCGACTTCTGTGCCTAAATGGGGTCTTGGATCTGGGTCTCCTCAGTCCCAAATCCAGCACTACATAAGATTGGATCTGCACATCAGGGAAGGAGAATGTGTGGCTCTCTGGATGCTGTTGAACTGAAACTCCCACCAGACCCAGCCAGCAAGACCAGTGGTCAGGGATGATGGGAGTTGTAGTCACTTTCTTGCTTTACATGCTGTTGTCCCTGTCAGCTTTTAGTAAGAATGGCAACAGGCCAGATGGTAATCCCAAATGTTAAACACCAGAATATTACATGCCTGGCATTTTGTCCCATGTCAGTAAAGAGCCATAGATACCCTGATTTCACTTTCTTCTTCCCTAGTGTACAGCTTGAAGGCACAAAGAAAAGAATTCCAAACCAAGACAAGATGTTCTTGATGCACGCTTTGTTGGCATGGATTTAACTGTGTCTTCAATATTTTCTGCATCTAACCTTGACTTGGACATTCTACCACATGCCATTTTTAGCTGCAGCCTGCATACCACCTAAACAGAATGTTCAGGTTACATTAAAAATAAAGTACGCACATCTCCAGCGCTGTTAGTTGTAGAAATAAAAAGAAAAGCACAGGCAATGTTCTAACTATATGCTCACTAAACCATAAACTTGCCCTTGCAATGACCACACACAAAAACATAAATAGGCAGTAAGCATTAGCTTCTTATTTTTAAGTATCTTTTAAAAGTACATTTAGGTACTTATACTGCACTTTTCAGAGCAAAAGGCTTTACAAAGTGGCTTACAATACTGAATGGGTAGGCATATAATTTAAAAGCAATAACAATTCAATATAACAATTTTCTTCTAAATAGCAGATTTTATTGAATTGTTATGTTTAATTGTTTTTACTTTTAAATTGTATTCCTACCCATTAAGTATTGTTAAGTTCAACAAAACAAAAAGACTTTATAAAACAGGAAGGCCTTTGGAGCAAGTCCCAAAAGCATGGGGGAGGGAGATGCTGATGATTTACTATTTATACCTTGCCCATCTGATTGGGTTGCCCCAGCCACTCTGGATAGCTTCCAATATAATAAAAACACAGCAAAACATCCAACATTAAAACTTCCCTAAACAGGGCTGCCTTCAGATGTCTATTAAAAGTCAGACAGTTGTTTATTTCCTTGACGTCTGATGGGAGGGCGTTCCACTACTGAGAAGGCCCTCTGCCTGGTTCCCTGTAACCTCACTTCTCGCAGTGAGGGAACTGCCAGAAGGCCCTTGGAGCTGGACCTTAGTGTCCACGCTGTACAATGGGAGTGGAGCGGCTCCTTTAGGTATACTGGGCTTGGCACAGTTCCATAGAACAGCCTTTGCCAACCTGGTGTCCTCCAGTATTTTGGACTACAACTACCAATAGTCCCAACCAGCACAGTTGTAGTCCAAAAGCCTGTCACTTGGATCTGAGTTATGGTGGGCAGCAGGTTTTCAGATGCCATAACTCAAGGTTTGGGAGAATAATGTGGGCATAGGCAATCACAGAGATAACTTGGTCCCAGATTAAATACAAACAAGACCTTTTTTTTAGCTGGAAATACCAAACTCAGTTCCGGCACTCTCAGGGTGCCCAGCCATGGCCCTTCTAAGAGAACGAGGGAGGCGTTCATGGTGAGTTCCAGCACCTCTTTTTCCAGAAAAATAGCACTGAATACCAATACCCTAGCATGTTTAATGTTCTGGCTGTAGCTGTAGCTTAAATCTACCTCAGGAGACCAGCTGTTGAGGGAGGAGGAAGACTGGACTCTTACCACTGAGATAATGGGCTTCACTGTGGACTCCAGGTACTGTATCACATCTTGGACCAGTCTTGAGCCTGAGTCTAGCTGGTTCAAGTCAAGAGGTGGCTTTAGGCACCGGCTGAATTTCTCTCTGGCAGCAGAGAGGTTGCCAGCTTTAAGACATGCCATGCCCCAGGCGTGCCATGCCCCACCTGGATCCAGGCCAGTCTTCGTGGAAACCTAAAATGAACAGGTTATTGAAAACAGTCATCAAAATATGAGATAATCTCCCCCTCAGTCTTCCATAGTCATCTTTTGTTTTCTGAAGAAAAAAGAATGTACACATGTGCAATTGCAATGTCTACCTGGTCACTTTTGTTGCTCTTTTCTAACTCTGAAGTTTTTCTAGCTCTACAGTATTCTTTCTGAGCTGCAGTAATCATGACCCGGAAGCTGTATGCCGGCTCTCTCGGCCAATATAGTGAGATGAGCGCCACAACCCCAGAGTCATCCGCGACTGGACCTAATGGTCAGGGGTCCCTTTACCTTTAATCAGAGCTGAACACTATTGGCCTATTACTATTGTACACTATTGTGGTCACTATTGGCAGTTTTATTGGAGTGCATTTGTCACAATACTGAGAAGGTACATTTTCAGATATTAAGAATTTAAGAAATATTAATATATACTCTTAGAAACAAAGACCATGCCTAGTGTCTTTTTAAAAATTTCCTATTACAGCTACAATAGAACCAAATAGTTCCCAAATTAAGCATGTCTTCAAATCCCAGCCCCACCAATAAAAGCTGACCTGTACCAATTAATCAACAAATGCTTAGTTGATTAATCTACTAATTATATAGTTGCTTTTTTAAAAAAACACACCGAGCATTGGTTTTCTATATTTTATAAAACACAGAACCAAGCCCAAAAGGCTAATAGGTGTCTTTGTGAGGGAAGAGATGCTTCAAGTTGAAGTTCAAACACCCCAATATTTGTGTTCTCTAAATGAAGGCAATCTCTGTGCAAAACAGAGCAATGATTTGAAGGAGCCCTGAGGCTGTACTCCAGAGCGGCTTCTCTCCCCATGCATTACCTCTACGGCTAGCTGATAGTATTCTGCTTCCAAAAGCTGATTTCTTAGCCTTGTAACTGCTGTAGGCTCCAATATCTGATCCAGACAGGGAACACGACGATATGAGGCAGTGACTAAAATATGTAGCACGTCGACTTTGCTGATGTAGCTGTTGGTGGAGTTAAAATAAGATACAAAAGTTAGAGGCAGCACACACACTGGGATCCACCAAACTGTGAAAAATTCAGCCCAGTCCTTATATAAATGTTTCAGTCTCTGCTATAGACCACTTTCTGCTGCATCCCCCTCAACATGAGCCAGGCATGTCTGACTACTTTGGGAAGGCATCTCAGGAGAACAGCAGACCACTTACCTGTCACAGAGAGCTAAATCTTGGCTCATCCCAGCTTTTACAAACATCATTTTGGCACTGAAGAGCAGTTGCTTCATGATATCCGTGAGGAGGCCAGCATCCACTTCGGGGTTTGTCAGCCCTCGAGAAAGCTTGCAGCAGTGATCTATCAACTGGTGACCACAGGCTACGCTGTCCGAATGGAGATTGAAAATAGCAATGCACAAGGAAGCACTGGGTGCCTGAACATTAGGAGAGGCAAGGGAAAGGCAGAGGTAATTGTGATTCCACCTGCAGGCTGCAGCTGAAGAGCTAAAGTGTACTCAGCCAAAAAGACAGGAGCAGAACAATATTCTTCACTATAAAACTCAAAGAGATAGAAGAGTCTGTTGACCCCTGCTGTGTTGACCAGATGCATAGTAAGCTCAGACCAAATAACCATGTCCAAAATGCAGGCAGCACAATATGGCCCCCTTCCCAGCACCACTACTGCCAGCACATAGTACAATATCCAATTTATTAGAATGACTGCGACCCTGTCCACAGGGGAGCTTACATCTGAACTGTATAGGGTCCACACGCGCAACATACTAAGCTTTAACAGAAGATCTTCAGGCTGCTAAAATGCAAGCTTTAGCTTCTAATTAGAGAAGCAAATCATCTTACAAAGAAGTGCTACCATGTAAACTGCTATCATGAAGTAGGAACCCAGTCAAAGGAAGAGACAGAAGTGCCCAGCCCGCTTATTTTCTTCATTCTCTGTGCTAATCTGCCACAAATGAACTTGAAAGCCCCAACATCACCTCATTCACTTGCTAGAGCAAGGAGTGTACACCAATTATCCCGGTGCTCCAGTAGATGATGCATTGGGGTGGAGCAGGGACAGAGTCCTGCAGCTGCACTTCCTTGTGTTCCCTCACTACTATTTATGCATTATAACAGAACTGTTTCCCCAAAGCCCAGGAATGTCATCTGGATCTTTTCTCCCTCCCTGGTGTTCTTGGGTTCCATTTCTCAATTTCTTTTCTATCTTCTTTCCCCACTGGTTTCCTATTCTTCTTTTCTGCCCCGCTGCCAACTTTTCCTTGCTTGCCCTATCATGTGCCATATCGGAAGTCCATTTCCCCCTTTCAGAGCATACACTTACCTGCTCGTAATAAAACTCGGTGCGCACAATTTCATTCTCCTCTTCTCTCAAAGAAAGAAGCCACTCGAGTTCTGTTATTTTGGGTATTTGCACCACTGCAGAGTAATCTGAGCATTCGTTATCGGAGGACGCAACTGCCGTTGACAGAACACACAAGAAATCAGGACAAGAAGTCACATGTTACAATTTGGAATCAGACATCTATTCTGACCCCTGCTCAGTAGCGGCTCTGTGAAGCAGGGTGCAACTACAGCAGGGAAGGGGAACCCTGCTTCCAGGGGCTGCCAATCATCAGCTCTATAGCAGGTAAGGGAAAAGACATGGATGTTGTGTACGAATTGCAGCTCCTTCCTTTGCAAAAGATGATTAAAGCAAAGGGGGGAACTGGCTCAGTGCACTTCTGTTCTCTGTCAATATGGGGGGGGACAGTCCTTGCAAATTTGAAACTGCATGCATACGATTTTCAGAATGCTATACATTTTGAAGTTTAAGACCTTGAATAACTCTAAGCTTACACTTCTTCTGGGATGACTGAGTTGTTTCTGCCTTGCGCACCATAAGGGCAGATAAAGCTTTTCTAACCAACTTTGTAAAAGTCTACGAAGAAAACAAAGAGAAACTTGAATGATTTGAAATTAAATACAGGCACCTGTTTCCATGGATAAAGGAAAGGGGGGTGTCTGACCCTGTTCACTACCAGAACAATGTTCCATCAGCTTCACACCAGAGTAATTTGGCCTTCAGTTCCAAAAAAGGTTTCTCACCCTTGAACTACAACATTACTAAAAGACAGGGCATGGGTGAGGGGTTGGGGAGTCCCAAGGGCAAACAGCCCAAGGAGTCCTCTATCCAGTCATGGAAACACATTGTGGCTTCCAAATCTTGCCATGTTTTCCAGCAAGTAATCTGGCCGAGTTAGAACAAATCCCTGTTCTCTTAAAGAAAGTAGCTGTGTTAGCCATGCAGCAACGCATTAGAAAGCTCATGCCACTATGCATTTGTTATGTCTTTGAAGATGCTTCAGGGCTTGCCCATGTTGCCCTCAAGCAGCGTTGACTGTGAAGTCAGTCCTGTAATACATGCCAGCAAAATGCAAATCTCCTCACCTTCTTCTTGGTCCTGATCCTCCACTTTTGTACTATGAAAAGAGAAAAACAATGATGCTTCATACCTATTCAAACATGCGTCAAAAAGTTAAGTTCAGTAAAGCAAGTGTTTTCATAGCATTAAGTCAAACTCTGAAGCCCTACCCATAGTCCCACTGTTGGAACTAGAAACAGGAACAACAGGAACTAGAAACAGAGATTTTTCCTCCTCACTGAAACTCTCAGGGGGAGACCCATAAGAAACGCTAAAACGATTCACTAGTTGATATCGAAGGCTAGCATTCCAGATACAAAAAAATGGGGAAAGATTGTTTACACACATTTCTGCCTCAGGGGGCAAGTCCTCTGAGCCCTCCTTATTGTAATAATTGTAGCACTGGTCACAAACACGAGCCGGGTTTTCCCTACATTCTTCCACAGTCATTTTCTTGGTTGAACACGAGCTGCACACCAGCCTCCCGCAACGTCTGCAGTGATGTCGTCTATTAAACTGAGACACAAAGAGGAACTTTTAAGGGAGCAATAGCATTTCAGTGGTTAACATTTTACCCATTCAAGACCCACAGCCATTTGGATCTTTGGGGCACAGTAGCAAATACGACTGACAGAAGTGCAGCAAGCTGGCCAAAGAGCCAACGGCAGACACACCCGTTCAAGTGTTCCAGTTACATGTCAAGTATGGCCTTGGGGGTTCCTCACCATAGTAAAACGTTCCGTTTTGCAGACCATGCACGTGACTTCAGTCTCATCGGGAATCCATTGCTGTTTTGGTGGGGGCTTCTCTGGTGGCACAAACTCCTCTGGGGACACAGTTTGCTGTAGGCTTCTCTCTCTCATGCTGGAAGAATGCGTTGCATCTTGATGATAAACAAGAAACGAAACCAAAAAATGGAGAATTGAAATATTATATTTATTTATTTCATAAAATGTATATACCACTAGATTGTAAGTAAAAGCCTCAAAACAATCACTGCTACCCTTCAGTGACAAGGCAATGCAAAGGATGTGCTAGTAGAAGTTCTTGTATGAGCTTTTGGTGGGGCTCATCCATTGAATCCCACCCAGAAATTATTATTTTTTAAACTACTACAGCAGAAAGCAGATTTAAGAGAAAAACACAAGTATGAACACAACATCCAGCCATTAGACCTTCTCTCACCAGGAGAATTAACTGGAAACTGTTCCGTCGATTCTGATTTAGACAACGTATCAGACTCGGATCCCCGACACAAATTCTCCTGCATCTGAATCACAGAATCTAAAGGCAAAAGAGAAAACCATTTTTATCTGCAGCAAAGAAGATTAGAATGATTCATCCAAAACTGGATCAGCACATGTGATTCAAGTGACTACAGTTTTTGTACAAGCAATTTACTAACCCAATGGCATGCACAAGAAGGTTCAGACTTTTGCATCTAAGCAAAAGGAGAACAATACGGATATTTAGAAACATAGGGATACTAGGCCTTCTAATGTTCTTTTTCCTCAACTCTTTTGACTACACCATCTTAAAAATATACAAAAAGTTGAGCGGGAAGAAGTAAGGGGCTTGGTTCACTGCCTTATGCCCTTTGAATGCAGGCTCCACTGCCACGGTCAGTAAAACACATTAGTAGTACTGCACTGTGTGGCATTAAGGAAAACAGGAGAAGAAATGGAGCAGCACAATTAAGTCGCAAGCCAAAACCATGGGGTCACAGAACCCAAAGCGATAAGGTGGATTTGGCTAGAATCCAATCTGCCTTACCAGCTGAGAATCTGTCATGTTTGGTTAAAGAGCACATGGAACATCTTCACTGATTAGAGATTCCCAAAAGCAAGTCACCTGATCTTTTCTCTTTTAACGAGAAAGGGAAGTCAAGGGCTTTCCCAGCATACTTGGAGAGCAAGGCATCAATGTCTTCTACAGTAAAGCCTATCTCTTGCCCAACCAAGAGCTGGTGCAGTGTCTGTACAGCCACAGCTACCCAATCCACCTTCATGTTCATCAAGAGCTGCTCCAACATGAGCAGTGGCTTGCAGGACAGGTGAGAGTAGTTAGCACGGTAAGGCTCAGGAAGAGTCAGTAAGACCTTGGATGTAGAAACAGAAGAGAAACAAAATTTATTTATTTCATAAAATTTATATAATGCCTGATTATTATTTTAAAAAACCCCAACCCTGAAACCTCTCTCATTACTTGAGAGAAGAACCCCAAAACCCAGCAATGCAGTTGCAAATTTCACATCTGCTTACCTTTGATCCCATATAAAGGGCCTGAATTTCATTATGGCGCATAATTGTTAAGTGTTTGTAGAAGTGTGTGGTGAGATAATCTGCAAGGAAATGAGAAGCTGCCAGGCTGGGATGTTTATCAAGACACTGTTCACTTATGACCAGCTGAATGTCTGGGTCTTCTATCCTTTGCAAGAGCTACAAAGAAAGTGAACAATGGAGAGTTAATTCAGATCATAAAATAATTTCACACTGCCAGCTAAAGACATCTGCAACCTAAAATTATCTGTTTAACACAGTTCTACACCGCACTTTATGAGGTTAGGTTTTCACGGCAGCACCAAACAAATATATCAACCACAATACAGGAAATACAGATAATGAGGCAGAAAATACAACTAAAAACATTCCAAGCACAATGGGACCTAGCAAATTATTATGGCTGCTCATTTTATGATGAAGGCTGCTGAGCAGGGCTACAAGAAGGAGGCCTTCCTGCTTGTACATCATATCACTCTACCACAAACAAGTGTCATACATGGAAGGGAAATGGATTTGTGTCCACAGGAACCATAATTTGCCAAAGGCTCCTGGGCACATGCTTGTCATTTGGTCAGACACAGACACCCACTCGAGACACCCACTGAATACAGGAAATCATTTTCCTCCCTAATGTGCAAAGCATCCCATTACTGACATCTTTAAGATTGCAAAATGATTTTGGAGGAGGATAAATCAGAAAAAACAAAGCAGTTACCTGTAAAGCCTTTTCTGTGTCTCCCATTTCCAACAAATGAAGGAGATGCTCTTGGTGAAGATTGATCAAATCATCTCTTGGAACAGGATACAAGTTCCCCCATTCTTCACATAATTCATGATCCTAGGATAAAGACAAACAGCTCTTTCTTGTATTGCCATCACTCTGATACTGGAAATCCGGAAAACCTTAGATGAGAAGAGCTTTCTGGAAGACCAACCAATTTATTTGTAGAAAGTTGTTCCTCTGCTAGTCAAGGAAACAATGGATGTGAAAGGTGCAGTTCCTTTCTACAGCTTGACTAGGAAATAAAACCCCAACTGTGGATTTCTCAGAAGTCACCAGTTAGCCATTGCGAGAAAATAGGATGTGGGACTAGATGGGACTCTGGGTTTGGGGGAGAATCTGGGGGAAATTGCGTATTGTGCAGGATCAAGCTTCCAAGGGAGGAAAGACACACAAAAAATAGCCTACCTTTGCCTCCAAAATCACTCCTACAACGGTTTGGGGGTCATCAGTGCAGGCTCTTTTCAGGTCCTGCCAGTCATGCCAGAGTGTGACATCTTGTAGACTTAGAATCTGACAAAATAAAACAAATACAACTGAACAGCCCCTTCAGCAATCTCTCTCTCTACTTTTAAAAAGGACTAAGGCAGACAACTGAACCAGGAATTATTCTAAATTACAAATGGTCTGCTGCCAAAAGACCAGAAAGAGCTATCATTGCCTTTATATAACCCAGCAGCCGAAAGACGCCAAAAAATCTGGGAGAAATATTCTACCCCCAAATAAAATGATTTATTACTTTTTGATAAACCTGAAGCTCTCTCGTTTTCCTCTGCAGCTCAGATCTGAGTTCTTCGGGCACCTCAGGGTCGCAGGCACAATAAGCCAAGATTTCTAGACAAGCTTCCAAGGGCCAGTTATCCAGACAGCGCAGGGCCAACCTGCTCCTCAGCAAGGCATCTCTCACTCGGAACAGGTATTGCCAACCATCCTTACCTGGAAAGGAAGAATACACCAGAGATCTGAAGCTTGGCTTTAGAGTACTGTATGCTTTAGCTGCACAGCATTAAGGTGACGCAAAGTAGGGTAGCAGCAACGGCATTAGGAACATCAAAAGCTGCCTTATACTGAATCAGACCCTCTCTCCAGGGTTTCAGGCAGGAGTCTTTCCCAGCCTGATCTGGAGATGCCGGTCACTGGATCTGGGACCTTCTGAATGCAAAGCATGTGCTCTGCCCACTGAGCTACAGCCTGCCTCTTCCCCCTCTGTATAGAACCACAGTTGGGGGAATAACATGGCTATTGCTGCTTTTCTATTTCTACTCTACCTCCACCCTACTCTCAGGCAGGCCAACTTATCAGATGTTTCCAGCTCCAGGGCTACCAGAGGAATGGTTTCCAAACATTTCCACACATGGACCACTTAAAAACTGCTGATGGTCTTGGTGGAGCACCTAATGATTTTTATGTCTGCCACAGCAACTGTAGCGAATGGTGCTTTATACTGTAATTACATTTATTACTTTTATTTCTGATATTGCATTTTATTGTATTGCAATCTGCATTCCATAGAATTCCTAATGCAATAAAGGTAAAGGTAAAGGTACCCCTGCCCGTACAGGCCAGTCATGACCGACTCTGGGGTTGCGTGCTCATCTCGCTTAAGAGGCCGGGAGCCAGTGCTGTCCGAAGACACTTCCGGGTCACGTGGCCAGCGTGACGAAGCTGCTCTGGCGAGCCAGCACCAGCGCAGCGCACGGAAACGCCGTTTACCTTCCCGCTATAAAGCGGTACCTATTTATCTACTTGCACTTAGGGGTGCTTTCGAACTGCTAGGTAGGCAGGAGCTGGGACCGAACGACGGGAGCTCACCCCGCCGCGGGGATTCGAACCGCCGACCATACGATCGGCAAGTCCTAGGCACTGAGGTTTTACCCACAGCGCCACCCGCGTCCCCCCTAATGCAATAAAATATTTAAAAAATGAAAGAAGCTATACGAAAACAATAAAAATAATATGCATATTTAACGCATTTAATGCCACACACAGAAGCCTGCACACCACTGAATGTAGCATGTATACCATAGTTGGTCCATGGACTACAGTTTGGGAACCCCTGACCTAGAGGAAACATCATGGGCCCAAGTCTCAGACTGAGTGGCAAAACCATGGTTTGTCACTGTATCCAAAGTGCCTCAACACATTTTCCATTTCCTTCCAAAACTAGACGACTGAGTCGTCAGTTCCTGGTCTGCAGCCCAAAGTGCCACTTCTACAAGAAAAATAATCCCTTCTTTACCATCAGCAGCAGCACAGCTGAGTACGGCATCCTGCACGGTGATTAGCTCTTCCGTGTCCTGGCTGCAGAGATTCAAGATCTGGAGGGCTCTGGGCCAGTCCCCTGTGCTGAGAGCTTGCTCAAAGTTCTCCATCAACACCTCAACAGCCATAACAGAATGCAACCCCAGGAAGAGCAGCGACACATAAGGCTTGCCACACAGTGCACTAGCCAAGCCTTTTCCCTCATCCTGAGGGTCCTGAAGGGGCTCACACATGGCAAGAAGAAAGCTCTCCAGAAATGGAAACTCCTTTAACAGCGCTTCGCATTCCTTGGCAACGTGCTCCATAGACAAGGGCACTTCCCGTTTGCCTCGAAAGTCCATCCACAACAGGCCCTGCTTGGGGGTCTTCTGAGCCTTCAACACACTAAGACATGCCACGGCAGCTGTCAGTTTTGACTGAGATTTCAAGAAGGCGAGGGTGGAAGCTGTGAGCATGTGCTGGTTCTGGTCAGGCAGAGTGGGAGAGGGATGCGCAGAGAGGTCCTCAGAGTCCATGGCGGGATTGTGGACTGGCACCTCCACGTCAGGCAGACAGTGATAGGCATGCAGGTGTGCCAGGCTACTAATGTTGGTCAAAAGGATCCTGGTCTGGTTGCTTTGCCTGGTACAGCACAGAGGCAATGCCTTACAGCAGCAGCTGATGATCACTTCTTGCACATTTAGGTTCAGTTCTTCTTTGGCCAGCAGCAAAGACAGCCTGCACGATTGAGGAACAGAAAGTACAATAAATTTAGCAGTACACTAAGCGCTGCATTAAAGAGAGTGAGTGGTATACAAGGTAAACCCAGGTTTGCTATTGATCGTACACAATACATCCGCCCGTGTTTGAAGAAAGTCAGTACCTGTCAGGAGCAACCTGTCTCTCAAACAAAAGCTGGGACAGCAAATGGGGAGGACTCTGCTGAAGTAATAGGAAAGGGTTTGCCACTCTTAACTCCGTAGATTGATCTAGAATTAGAGAAAGGATATTGTAAAAGTGTCATGTCAACTTGATTCCGCGCTATGCTCCTGAAATCTGCTCTTGGTATGCAGCAATGCTGCATGTTTTTGAAACAAACTTCTTATTGCTCCCGTTTCTGCTGCACAAATGCAAAATAGGTTACCTTAGAAAAAGGCAGTCATAGGCAGAGAATCAGTGACACAGGCACAGGTAAAGTTACCCACTAGGACCTGGGAGACTAGGGTTTAAATCCCCACTCAGCCATGAAACTCACTTGAGGTTAAGAAGCTAGTTCCCCCACCCATATTGATATTTCTTGAATTAAAACTTGGATTAGCTTGTTTCAATGGTGAGAGATCTCCCACCTAGCTCTGGAGTGAGGCTTCGGAGGAGAACGGCAGCCAGCCTGTTAATATAGTCAAAGAAGGTTTGCACGTAGAGGTTTTGCACAGGGCTCCCTTCTAGGGTCTGAGCATGTTGCTCCAGGGTTCTCAGCAAGAGTCTGAACTGATTAGAAATGGGATGTGCCTCCAATTCCGCGGGTTTCAAAGAAGCCTGTTCTGCTAGTGCGGCCAGCAGGTTCCCTCTGGAATCTATTAATACCAAAAGAGAAAGAAAAAGATTAGAGGTGAAATGCTCTCTCTCACAGAACACAGAATCACTCTTTATTTCTCCGTATCCCACATAACCCTTTCCATTCAAGTGAGAGCCAGTGTGGCATAAGGGTGAGAGTGTTGAACTAGGACCTGGGAGACTAGGGTTTAAATCCCCACTCAGCCATGAAGCTCACTGGGTGGCCTTGGGCCAGTCACTGCCTCTCAGCCTAACCTACCTCACAGGGTTTTCTGAGGATTAAATGAGGAGGGCTGAACTGTGAATGCCACCCTGAGCTCCTTGGAGAAAAAAAATATGGGATAGAAATGCAATGCGCAAATAAGAAATAAACAGTCTGTCTTGGTACAAACATTCCTTCCACCAGCAGGTGAAGTCTTGAGGAAATTTTACATCTAAGAATGTTAAATGGGAATAATTCAGAAGCACTTTTATCCATTATTTTGTACCAGATTATGGGGTAGGTATTTATGACTTGATCAGGGTAAATTTTTAAAAACCCAATATTTAACATTTTCCTAGAAAGATATACTCATGTTGAATAAGAATTATTTCAGAATTTTCCAAGTAATCTAAAATTGGGGGTTAAATTTAAAATTTAAATATGGAGAAACACATACCCTATTTTTTCATGTATAACACGCCCCCGTGTATAAGACGCCCCCGATTTTGGGGGACTACAACTTAAGAAAATGGGGGGAGATTGCCTTGAGTTGCTGAGCTTTTTTGGGGGGGATTGCCAAAACTCACTCACCTGCCTGACCTACGCTGCCACTCGCACACGTCGCAAAAGCCACCTATCGTCTGTCCCCTCACCAGTAGAAGCCACCAATCGCCCACCCAATTGCCGCAGTGAAAGCCAATCAACAAAACAGCCCTTGCAGCAGCCACCAATAACCCGCCCAATAGCCACTGACAAACTCCAGCTCACGGCAGCAACCAATGCCAGGTCCCCGCTATGTATAAGACGACCCCCCATTTTCACATAATTTTAAAATAAAAAAACTCATCTTATGCAGTACAGTAGTTCAAATCAAGAAAAAAGTTTGAGTGATTTACTTTAAGATAGCCATTAAGATACACACAGACTCATGCACATACTTACCTGAAGACTCTTCTACACGTGCCAGTCTTTGAATGATTTGGTCAAAGTCTTGTGATAAAACAATCTGGCTGGTAATACAGTTCTCGGTCAGGACAGGGTAACAAGTCTGCATGAGGTCAGCAATGCTGCAGTGGAAGTGATTGCTTATTTTCTCATCGGAGATTTCTGTTGGGAAACAAGACGCAAGAGTCAATTAATACCAAACCTGAATGTTGTTTCAAATATGGAATAGATATGTGAAGGACACATGAAGGGGCCTAAGTGGCATAACTGAGGCTCACTGTTGAGCTGAGTCAATGCATCATGCAGACAGATGTCTTGCATTGAATAAGACCATTGCTCCATCTAGCCCAGTACCATTGAATGATTGACAGCAGCTCTCTGAAGCATCAGCTCAGGATCACTAAAACTCCCAACTTAGATTCTCTCTGGTTTCCAAGGGCCGATTCACATATTCAATTTTGCTATCTGGAACTCAGCTTCCATGAACACCAGGTGTGGGGAACCTGGGGCCCTCTAGACATTGCTCCCATCAGCCCCATTAGCCCTAGCAAGCATGGCCAACAGTCAGAAATGATGGTAGCAGTAGTTCAGCAACATCTGGAGAGTCAAATGTTCCCCACACTTGATGTGCACCAATATTTGTGAGGGTTTTTCCTGCTTGGGTGCCCACCAGTTGGGCAGTGAACAACAACTGCTGAAACTACACTCACAACAGAACGAAGATTCAATATACAGTTCATTGCCGTAATCTAATAAGGAGAGTCCTTCTGAATAAAGTATGGGCAGTGGTAAAACTGCTCCCCCATGCCAATATATATATTCAAAGTGTACAGCCAACAAGTCCTTTAACACAGTCATCCTGTTCACATCCCTCAACTAACAGCCAGAGACTCAAATGATGCTTTTCAAGTAACTGATCTGGCCTTGGGCCTTTAGCTGCTGATTCCTATTTTATCCTACACAAGGTGTATGGAATATTGACACTTGAAACAACTTCAAGCAATTAACAACAACAAAAAGACATTTTATGTCCACTCTCTCCTGTACAGCCTTGAATAAAAACTATAGCTGAGAGCTTGCTATTTAGAGGAAAGCAAGCAAGCCTTCCTTGGGATTCTGTTGAAATCAGCAGATATCTTATGCTACCCTCAGAAATCACTGCAACATAGGATTCCTAAGGGACCCACAGTGACAATACAAAGCATATCTAGCATGGCCAAGAGTCTGTGATAATATACCTAAAGCAATACTTTAATGCAGACACAAGCCCAAGAAAAACCTTATAGCCAGCTTAATAGAATGTAGGTCTGCATCCGTCCCTATCTTCTTGCTCAGGTTAATTAAATACATTTATATCCACCTTTCCTAATGGTTCATGGTGGCAAACAACAAGCACACACAATCACGCAAGCAAGCAAAAATATAAAAGCCACATAAAATACCTGTTTTTAAAAAATGTTTAAAACCAGCAGCAGGAAATGCAAACATTAAATTCACAGAGCAAACAGTCAAATGAAGTCAGTGAACAAAGGTGCAGCAAAACAGATGGTCAAAGGCTGAAAGCCTTTCCAAAAGAGTAAAGCTGCCATCAGAAGAATGGAGAAAGGAGTGGTTTTCAGTTATTCCCCCTTGCCATCCAGCCTCAAGATGCCCCACACCTAAACTTACTCTGAATGAGCTGGTGTAAGGTGTGAGAGGGGGCTGCAAAGAGAAGAGGGATTCACAAAAAATGCTTCTCTCCCTTTTCCACTGATGGAAGCCTTACTGTCAGCTGAGCAACGCCACAGGATGCAACCCTAAATCTTCATCCTTCAGCCAATGTCCAACAGAGAGGAAGCCAGATGAGCTGACCTCAGGAGGGAGATCTATAGACCAGGGGTGACTCTCAAGAATCAGTCCTCATGGTGTAAGCGAATGAATGATGTTTAAATCAGTTACCTGATTTAGGCTGCCCTTGTGATGTGTTGATAATTTTACTTATTTGTTGAAGAACTGCTGGGAAACCCCTCATGCCAAGAAAGCCCTGGAGAACAGAATCAAGTCTTCGGCCTGGTATCAGATGCAGAAGGCAAAGAAAGAAAACACAGGAGAGAGAGAAACTAATTATGCTGACATGATTACATACAAGGTCTATGGTGGCCATAGTTGTTGTAGTTACTTTTAGTGCTAAACATTTTGTTTTTCAAGGTCAAAGCGCCTAAACAGAGGAGAGAAGCTTACCCTTAGTTTCAAGGCTGTTATGCAACTTCCTATCTGCCGTCTCCAAGAGCTGCTTGCAGGTTTTCCATAAGTGGCACTGAGTAGACGCCAAGTCAAAGAGAGCCATAGCGGAGGGGCAGAGGCCCTCCACAACATTTTTCAGAGGATCTGTATGCTCTAGCTGGAGACTGTTGGCCCAGAAGCTCTCTTGGAGCATAGGGACAAGGCCTTCTGAAGGGGCAAGGAGCTTGTTGGTAACATCCGAAATCGAGTAGAACACCATACCTTGGGAAACCAAGAGAGTAAGCTTCATTAATGACTTGAGGCCACAGTTAACAGGCAACATGGGATTTTAGTCCTGAATATATCAGACCCCTCCCTAGGTTCTCTCATTTTTGTCCAAAACTGGGAGTGCACAGCTCCCTTTCATGCTTAGTATGGCTTTAGATGACAGAGCAGAGAACAGAGGCTGCTTATTCCCTCACTGTATCCAATACCAACATGGATTCCTTACTTGCATGTTTTCATTTGTCCCTCATCGCTCTTATGTAAGCATGTCCTCACTTCTCCCGTGTGTGTGTGTGTCCGTGTGTCCACTTACTCTCTCTATTACTATGATTAACAAAACGGAACATTTTTTATTTATACTGCAAAACATTTTCATTTCTGAACTGCTGTGTGATGCTTTTATAGCACTCTCTTTATTTTACTGTGATCAGGAAAAAGTGAGGGACAGAAGACAATTGACAAAATGTGCTGCAACCAAGAGTGCCTGACGCAAACGTAAGGAAAGTAATTTCTTGCTGAGCTACTCCCCTTGCAGCATTAGTTTTAGAGAACATCTGTGACAATCTTCTTTTTTAGACACCCTTCAGGGGCGGTGGGGGCGGGGAGAGACACTGAATTTCCAGCAGGCCTGCACAGCTTTCATCCCATCAAGCCAAATCCAGACTGCCAGCTTTGGACTGCAGCCCATCAGGGGCTTGCTTGCACCCACTCTATGTTTGCAGTCCCAGCAGGCAGAAAAATAGATAGGGGTTGGGGTTTGTTTGTTTTTAAGCCTACGTTGTATATAGCCTGTATTTAGTTTGGTGGGACACAAAGCAGATTATATAGTAAGCTACAGTTTAATTCCCTTGAAAGTCATACCCGTGCGGTGTGTGTGTGTGTGTGTGTGTGTGTCTGTCTGTCTGTCTGTCTGTCTGTCTATATCCCCCACCCATTTCCCAAATTTTAAAGCCAACAGCCAAGTCTGCACCTGCTGCTGCAGCACTTCCAATGGCCTGCAGTGTTGAACGGCCACTTCCAGACTGTTTGAGGTTTCCAGATCCCTCAGATGACTGGTGCTCAATCTTGTGTTCCACTTTTGCCAACTCCTTGATCACTTCTTGGTAACGCTCCAAGAATATCAGCTCACCATAGGAAGAAGACGCCTCCAAACTAAACATAATCGCCACCTGTCATTGTGGAATTGAGAGAAACGACATACGTATATATTAGGCGGGAGAAGTATTTTTTAATCAATGTTCCAGATGTTCACTTGGGGGGGGATGATTAATTCTCCTCCACTGGCAAGCTCTTCTTTCGTTTTTCTGAAGTTCCTATCAAAACACAGCATAGATCCATAGATTTTTCTAGAAAGATCAGTGAGGCAAATAAAGCTACTGCTACCAGGTTTTCTACCCCTGACAGGCTGTGGGTGAACAACACATTTCCAATATTTGTGTGTCTCCTGCTTCTCCCGTCCCAAACTGAATTTCCTTTATTATGTAAACAAAATCTTTTTTTAAAAAAAGTGAAGAAATTATTAACTTGCAATCATATCTTAGATATAGAAGGATTAGTAAGCCCATAATATCTTTTCTGGAAGAAGTCTAGACTTAAAACAATCAATTTCCTGAACATTAAAAAAAAAATCCCTACTAGATCTGGCAGGGGAGGAAGCGGACAGATGGGAGAGGGCCATTTGCCACATCAAGACTGTAGATGCAGGGTCAGTATGCAGAATGGGCACAGAATAGCTAGAAACCATGGGAGATTAATCCCATGGCTGCTCTGGACATATAATATATGGCTGCTCTGGACATACCCCTCTGGACAGGGGGTTGGACTCGATGGCCCTTGTGGTCTCTTCCAACTCTATGATTCTATGATTCTATGATTCTATAATGGATGCATGATAACATCCAGGAGAAACCAGCTACTTTCAAAACAAACACCACACAGTGGCTATTGAGTTACCTGATGAGCTTCTACGTAGTTACCCCTCAAGATACAGGCAACAAGAAGAGATTCAGGTTGAGAAAGCATCATTGGGATGAGGGAGTTCTGTTGAGGCTTTATCCTGTATTCTACATCACTGCAGCCAGTTAGTGAACTCTCACTTCCATCTAAAAATGGAGGGAAGGTGGAGGGAGGGAGATGTAACAGTTATCAGGTAATCACTATTGATTCTGAACTGGGGAAGATGTACACAAAGTAAGCAATCAGTGCCAACTCCTGCTGTTTTTGGGTAATTGCAGAACATTCAAGAGGTTTTTAATTAGTTAATTAAGTTTAAAATGTTAATGTATGTGCTGCCCTTCAGCATTTTTAACCAGGGTGGCCAACAGTTGATAAAGAAATTAATAATAAAACCCTTAAAAATTATATCTCTGCAACAGAATAAAAATTAACACTTCAGCAGAATTTCAGAAGAGAAAAGAAAGAATATCTTCTATTATTATTAATATACTGTGCTTCTTTTGAGGGTGATAGGGTGGTTTACAACACAAAGGTGAAAACACAAAATGCATATAACAACAACAAAGAATATTAATCCCCTCCTTCAAACACAAATGAATAGGCCATGCATTGTTTAATCAGCCAAAGGCTTGGTTATAGAGAAACAGTTTTTGCCTAGCACCTAAAGATATGCAGTGAAGGTGCCAGGTGAGCCTCCCTGAGGAGAGCATTCCACAAATGGGGAACCACTGCAGAAAAGGCCCATTCTTGCGTTGCCACCCTCTTCTCCTAACTCTTGAAAGACATATGAGCAGGCAGTAGTCATGCCATCATGGAGAAGGCATTTCACGGCAAGCGAAGCATGGCAGTGCGACCAAGGAAGATGCCCTGTACCTGATGTGCTGGTGAGACTTAACTCACTGCTTGTGCTTGCCAGTGATGGGCCTGAGGTTCCCTTCTTCTGACCTGAAGAAGAAAACAAGCAGTTTGTGAAATACACTTTGGCCACACAAAGCAATTGAGAAGATTTTATTCCAGGTTCCATGGGAATGATGGAAAGAGAGAAGCCAGTAACATTGATATGCTTGTTTGGCTATTCATCATTGTTAAAAGAATAGCTTATCAAGCCTTGGGGAGAGAACCTCAGAGGGGCTTCTCTCTCACATAGAGGACACTGACTAGCACTTACAACATATCGATACTTTTTCTTTGGCCCCAAGTCTAACGTGAGCACTGAAAGTTATACAGTCTGATAGATATAGATATAGATATAGATATAGATATAGATATAGATATAGATATAGATCTAGATCTAGATCTAGATCTAGATCTAGATCTAGATATATTTCATTAAATTTCCATAAAATTCACATAAACATTGCAATAAATAATGGATTTTTCTTTTATATCATTATACATATATATAAAACAGACTGCTTTTTCTTTTTTCAACAAAAGAAAAATCAGTCTGGTTTTTTATAATACTGGTAACTTATTCAGGGCTCTAGTTGTAGACCAGGATGGGTCACTGTTGGGTTGAAATAAACGACAGACGAATGACAAGTGTCATATGGGAGGCATCTGCCGAGCATGTCTCGGGGAGTCCCTTTTATTGAATATTACAGCATTGCCACATATGTGCTTGTTGCTGATTGGTTAACACAAATACAATGCAAGGGTTGCATATAGGCATTAATCATCAATAGATTAAAGGTTGGGAAAGGGAACACATGGTTGGACAGGTATGAAAACCTCCTTATTAAACTATTACTAGTGATTGATATTGCAAAACTTAAAAGAACATAACTATCGCATTCTGTAGATGTGGTCAACCATGCATTAAGAACAGGTCAGGGTACGATGTTTCAAGAACTCAATGTGAACTAAACATTCTAGGGTGGATGAGGAAGGAATGCTTCAGCTTAGAGCGGTTTGCCAGACTCATGTGCAGAAGCAGAACTTCCCATCAGGTCACAGCCCCACAAATCCCCACAATCACAGACATGCAGTTCTGAAAGAGGGGAGCTGGTTTTCTTCACCTCACCTGGCTTTGGCCTTTGAGACAGGCTGTGCCTCCTCTTTGAGCTGGACCCCCTGGTTAAGTTTCCACATGTTTTACTGGGAACACGTTGACCTCCTAGAAGAGAAACAGTCAGCTACTGCGTTGGGACTCCATTATTTATTTCAGTCACAGCACACATTCAACGCAAACAATGACAGCATAAAGTAACCATGCAAGTAGAAGGTAGAAGCTGCAATCTCACATGTTCCGAGCTTAACACACTGAATAAAACCCAAGTTCTCCTTCAAGTATAAAACCATCAAATGATGGAGTTTTAAGTTCTAGCCACAACATTGAAGCTATTGTGTAAACCAGGGGTAGTCAACCTTTTTATACCTACCTCTCACTAATGCATCTTTCTTGATGGTAATATTTCCTTACCGCCCACCAGTGCTTGATGGAAGGAGGATTCAGCTTGTGCTGTAGAACCCCTACCGCCCACCTACAATCCTGAAACACCCACTAGTGGGCGGTAGGGACCAGATTGACAACCCCGTGTAAACTGACACATTTTACTTCTGGATGGGCAATAAGAGCTACGTTTTGCAGAGCTCAGGGAATTTACGAAGGGACCTGAACGGTGAGAATTTGTGGCAGATAAGCTAAAAAGAGCACTCGGAAACACTGGAATGGGCTTACTGACAGCAGAGAAGTACCTTCTAGCACAGTCTCACAGTAAGCTGCCTAGAATTAGGGACAACCATCAAAAATAATGATGGTTACATTTGACTTCGGCCGGTGAAACCATTTTGGGCAAACCACATCCACCTGTCCTAGCCCCAGAGTCATACATTAAGTCAGGTGTGGGTAAGGGCTTAGCCAAAAGAGGCGTTGCAAGTGCTGCCTTTTGAAACAGCTGCTATAACAAAGGCAGGGACCTTCATTATAGGCATCTTGCTGCCTGTGAGATGCTGGCCCTGCCCACCTGTCAAACTGGCCCCACCCACCCCTCTCAAGGCACATCCTAATAAGGATCTGACCCATGAAGCCATGAACATGTGCTCTATTTCTTCCCTGGCTCCTTGACGGTATGAAGATTCTTGCTGCTTGCTTTTCCATTTCAAAGCGCCACTGAAGTAGTAAACCACTTGGAACCCCTTACCTGCATTTCTGTTGCTGAGCACTATTTTGTGCCGCCACTGAGCTTCAGAGAGGTACTTGGAGAGCAGCTGCACACGACAACCAAAGCCATCTCTGTTAACAGACACATTCAAGCAGTCCAGCAGTGCAAGCTCTTCCTGAGCCACATGCTTCGAGTCCCAGGGGGAAGAGCCCTCCATTTCTTTCAGATGGTCCTGGAGCATGTTGAGAATGATCTCCATTGCTACATCATCCGCTAAAAACCCAGAGGTGTCACGGACGAAATGCTTCAAATCCAGATGGCTCCAGCTGAAGGACTCACGTTTGTTACTATCTGACTGCAAATCTTGCAGCTTTGGGATGCTGAGATGCTCGTGAGATATACCGTAGGCAGTGCATGTCTCAGGTCTCCTTCCGGGCTCTGCCGAGTGCTGTGGACTTGCCGAGGTGGAAGAGCCTTGGCTAGCACAACGCTCAAGCCTCCTGACAGCACAGTTCTTTTTCTCGAGGACAGACTCTTCTGTGTTGCCCTCCTCGTGGGGATCATCACTGCAGAGGTCGCTGTAGGAGACAAAGAGCAAGGAGAAGATGTTCTCCAGGAGTTCCAGGCGCAGAGGAACAGGGACAGTCCTTAAAAACTGCTGGCACTTGGCAAGATACTGAGCAAAGAGACCTGCATAATCTGCATTTGGGAAAACAAAACATTAGAAACAGATTTACTATTTCCCCTGCTCTCCTCATTCAAGGACTAGACGCTCAAGATAAAGGTAACTATGGAACTATGGGAGTCATGCACCCTGACCTCTCTAGCCCTGTGTTCTTCCACTTCTTCCTCCTCCAGCGCTTTCTTCTACCCTTTCTACCTTCTCCCCCATCACATTTTATGACTTCCCTAGGAAACCCCTACACGTACCCCCTTGTAAGTTCTTTGGGGTAGTGACCTATCATATCTGTCCTTTGCAAAGCAACATAGACACACAGATGGTGCAGAATATATAAAAACCTCTTTACATAACAAACCTCTTAGGGCATGCCAATATCCAGTATAAATATGTACGATAAACCTTTATATTGTTTACAAAAACAAAACTCAAGAGGGGGAAAAGCCTCTAACTTTAATGTTTGCCTGCTGAATATGCAGAAATATAAATGTGCCTGAAAATTAGGCAACATTCATATCCCAGCCACCTGTCTTAAATGCCCCCAGCTTAAAAACTCTCCTGAAGGTTTTGATGCAGCCACAGAATAAAGAAGGTAGCATTTAGTTGGACATTCAACATCACTTAGGCAGCACTTGCCATTTCCAAAAACAGAATGCAGGCTGTGCCTTACACCAAGTCAGAGAGTTGATGCGTCTAAGTCAGTGACTGGCAGCAGCTCTCCAGGGTTTTCAGGGAGAGGGTCCTTTCCAGCCCTAGAGACTCGGGGGATTGAACCCGGTACCTTCTGCATGCAAGTCATGTGCTTTACCACTAAGCTACAGCTCTTGCCCTGACACATTAGCCCATCTCATCCAGATAATAGAAGCAGGGTACAGAATTAGACTAGCAGCACTAGGACAAGGGAGTCAAAGAGAAGGAGTCTACGGATTCATGTCTAACTCAATCTATAAATAAAACCCAAATGCTATCCTTAACTGTGAGCCTATATTAAATAATTCAATTCACAGCTTATCAGGAAAACAGTTAACATTTTGACCTTGTGCAACAGCTATTGTGCTATTTTACACACTTGTAAAAATAAAAAAGGCCTATTGCTCCTACAGTAAGGGTGAATTCTCAGCACAAGGCCTCCACAAATCAGCCCATGGGTATACCCAAACCTTCCACATATGATTGCAATTGCCAATGTAAACTTTCCCTCAGCTTGAAAAGAATTTTTATGTAACTGTAAAGGGATTTAAAAAAAAAGGGGGAAATATGCTGTAATACTTCCCTATACGTTATGGTCCACCTATTCCAGTTTGTGCACTCATAAAGTCTCCTTGTAGCAGCAATGAATGGCTTTAGGGAGGGTGGAAGAAAGAGAAGTGCATGTGGCACCTGCCCCTCCATAAAGGCTTACAGCTTAGTGGGCCAGAGTGTGGTACCCAAAGAGCTAAACCTCTGGGGAAATGCCTTGCTACTTTGGCTCACCCTACACCAGCGATGGCCAAACTTGGCCCTCCAGCTGCTTTGGGACTACAACTCCCATCACCCCTAGCTAAATGGTCAGGGATGATGGGAATTGTAGTCCCAAAACAGCTGGAGGGCCAAGTTTGGCCATCACTGCCCTACACCTCTAGAAATCACTTACTGATCCTATGGACTCCTTTCCACACCTTTACCCATAAATCCTTACTTGGTGATCATCTCCTTCCATAAATCCCACCTTTCCTCTATGAAGTCTGGGCTAGTGGAGAGATCACTGCCAAAGAAATTGATGGGGCAAAGGAACAAAAGCACACCATCCCAACCGATCATGGCACAGCAGATTGCAACCTCTCTTGCTGCACCAGCATTACAGTTCTGGGGAAGAAAACTATTCAGGTGTTTCTTGTTCTGCAGAAAGAAGTAGATGAACACCAAATAAAAAGCAACAATGACTTTTGTTACAAGGTATGTAGAAGCTACCAGACCTGGGCAAAGGGGCTGATCTGCAGATTTGCATTCGCCAGGAATCTCCTCAGGGAGGCCATTGACAAAAAAGTTCCTGCAGTCTTTGCAGTGTGAATCTTTGTGTGCATTGACACAGAGGGCGTATATGGCATATTTCATGGCACAAAATGCCTGGAAAAGAATGAGATTGCGACGCAGGCTCAAATGACTGGAAGCTGCCATCACCGTTGAATCTAAAAAAAGAAAGAGAAAGTGGGAAATGGGAAATGGAAAGTTGAGTTTGCTCAGCTGTAGGGAAGTTATTAACATTTCCATTGTTTCCAGAGCCTGGAATCAGTGCTCCCACCCAATCCCAAACAAGGTTAGAGAAGCTGCAGACCAACAACTGGTGTAGCACATGGGGTTGTGTGTGTGTGTGTGTGTGTGTGGAAGAGAAGTAAAAATAGAGAAACAGGTTGGGGCTGTATTGTGAGTGGATGTGGGCTTTAACCTTTTATCCTCATTGCAGCCCCAACAGAAATTGTCTCTGTCTATACCTTCATTTCACAATGAGAAGAGAGCTTTGAATTGTACCAGTGGGAGACCCCCCCCCCGAAACAGTAAACACACACACATGGTTCCAATTAGGACCACAGCAGGAACAAAGGCTTGCAGTTCACCTCCCCGCGTGCCACAGTCCCCATCTGTCTCATCCCCATATACAATGGCTATTAATGTCACCTAAAAAACCACGCACACCAGTTCATGATTTGCTTTCAGTTTCAAAGAATCATGGCCTAGCATTCTGTAGGAACCAATCTCTGGTTAGTTTCTAAACAAGCCAACATCAAACTATGTGCTATGAAGCTGGCTTCTTTAACTGACCATAGTTTTCTTTCAAACCACAGTCTCTGGTTCGTAGGCAACACTAAGCCAAGATTCTTAGAAACTCAAAAGAAAATGCTAGCAAAGCCCTCCTTACCATGATAAACAATAGTGTATCCAACAAACAGGTTAGATGGACACTTGGTTATATCTACAGCCATCTCTCTCTCTCCCCCCCCCCCCAATTTACCAGGAGCTTCTTCAGTGTCCCTGGCTGGAATTGCCTGAAGAAGTTCAATGACAGCTTCTTCGTTCAGGGCCACAAGATTAGTAAGATGGTGCAGAAAGTAAAGGGATGTGTGGGACTCCAAACTGTGCAAGTGCTGCAGAAGAACCTTCTCTGGGATAATATTACTGCAAGAGAAAAGAAGCCTAGTTTCAATGGCAGCAAGATTAGCTTGTAAGTGCACATTTTTTCAAGAGAAGGCTTCACAACACTCTGATTCAGATTTGTCTGCATGAAGTCTTTTATATACCTGTTAAGGGGAATGTAAGTTGAGTGCTTAATGTGTGTAGCAAGTGGCCATTGCACACATTCCCCAGGCCTCATGGACATCAACCATGATGTGCACATCCATCCTTGCAGAACATGTGTATATCAAATGAATTTTATGCTTTCTCCAGCCATTGTGCATAATTCTCAACAGGTTTCCCCACCACCACCATGCTGTTACCTATTCTGTTGAATACACCATTCAAGAACTTCCACTTGGGCACAAAGTCCATCACAGAAGTCTTTTAATACTGAGTCATTGTGGAGACCCTGTTAAAAAGAAATAGGTTTGCATCCATCCAAAGCAAAAAAGCCCTCCAATTCCTCTTCTTAAGAAACTGACTGGAATCAAAGCAAGGAAAAACATTGTGCCTTCCCCTCACAGGCTTGATAAGGCCTGACGTACCTGAGATTTGTGAAGAGTCCACAGAAGCATTTTTGCCGACTCTAAACTGTGACACTGAGTCCACCCTAACAATATCAGGAGGCGACTGAGGTGGCTGAATTCTTGCTGCAGTAAACTGTTGAGGCTGGAGAAGTCTTCCCTTTTCAATAAAGTTAATGCTGTACCCTAGAGAAAAGAACCACTTGTTTGTTTTAAGACTGTGGAATGCCTGAGTGGGAAGCAGAGTTAAAATTGCAAAGTTAAATTTGCAAATGTTAAAAACAGTTCTAAGAAATTTTTCATGTTCTGTTCCTCTGGCCTGTAGGGAAGTAGCCCCTGGAAAATGTATGGATAACATATGCTATTACCACCCCTCTCTCTTAGTTCCAAATGACTCCTTCAGGATTTTATGTAGACACAAATCATTCTAGCGTAATGATCCAAAACCTGTACTGGGCATGGACCAATTCAAAGGGACTACGGCTATGAAGAATGCATGCCTTGTATGTGCTAAGGTTCCATGTTCAATCGAGAGCATCTTGGGTACAAAGACCCTTTATTGAGATCTCAGAGAGCTAGCTATTGTCAATTGGGTTGGACAGTACTTACAGTGAACGTTCAGCCTGACTCCACAGAAGCAGATGCTAATATCTATATTAAGTGCTTCAACTCACTTAAATCCCATTCACCTTTATACACTATTTACACTCTTGTTTCAGACCTTTTCAAAGGCACCATTTCATAACATATGAAGGGTGCTACCCGTAGCAAGCCCCTTGATTTAGATAGGTAAGCCCACCTTCAAAAATAAACAAATCCAAGAAAGAAATACCTAAGTTACACCATTAATCAGAGTAAGCATCTACATGAAGCACATAGAGTTCTAGTTTGCAGTTCACTGACTTAACTATTAAGGCACTAAAACTGCAGCACATTTGCCAAAGATCTTGATAATAAAGCTGGTAGTGAGTTCACAAAGTTCTTTGCCTAACTCAGAAACAATGGCAGCCACATGATCCATTACTCAACTCCTATGTGAATGTCTCATAAGTGATTTACCAGAATTTGTTCCAAAAAGTGCTTGTTGCTGCTCAGGCAGTAGAAATAGGCAGCTTTCCAAGAAGGAGCGTGTTCACAATCCAAGAACAATGCCATCACTGCCCGCTCTACATCCAGCTGTTCAGATGTACCTGAAACACCCATAAGTTGGGTTAATTTCACATATAGTTAAGACACAGAATAGCACCAAGATGGGCAGGCTCTCTATACATTTTAGCTACAGTCACCAATTATCTCCTGGTTAAACTAAGCCAACAGTTATCATTGCACAGCAAAGAGAACATGCAAATTTAAACAAACCTTTGCCAGGTGACTTTAGTCCCAGCAGCTTCTCTCTCATCTTCTCAATGAATACACTGCTGAACAGATTGAGCAAGGCATGGCTGTCTTTCCTGAGCAGACAGCCAAGCAGCCTCTCTTCTTTCAGCGGGCTCCGCTCAGCCCAACAGGCATCCAGAAGTTCTCGGCAGAGAAGCCGTAGCTCTCCAGTCTGATTCTCCACCTCCAAATTCAACATGCCAAGGGCACGATAAATTTCATCCACGGCCTCGCTCCCACCAGATTCTGACAACTCTGGATTTAGCTGGAGGCGCTTCAAATATTTTAGGGACTCCCAGAGAAAGTCAACGAAGATGTGTTGTGGAGAGCCGCTGTGTGAGAGCGAAGAGCTCTGCTCGGCAGAATCTCTCTGGAGAAGCTCCAAGATGGCTTGCAGCTTCCGAGGAGCCTGCAACAGCATCTTTCGGAGAGCAGAGAACACCTCGGCACTGAACAGCTGCACGGCTCCATCTCTCGGCTTCCTATTTGGCCCATGCCTGTTTCCAAAAGCTTCATATAGTTCCTGGGGAAATAGCTGGATTAACAGAAGATTCTTTCCACAAATACAACTGAGAGACGTAAAGAGGTAAGCAGATATATAAAATATGGAGCAGCTGTCAACAGTATTGGCCCAGTTTACACTGGGGGTCTAAGAGAGCCTCAAACATAGTTAAACATCTGCAGCTGGACAGTCCCATTCCAACTCTATCTGCTTACTGCAGCTACAAGGATTCTTCATGTAGCACCAGAGGAGAAATGATGTTGTTGGGTCCCTGAGACTTCCTTGCTCCTCTCTGGTGCTATAAGAAGTATCCGCTAAGTGGCAGAGAATGAATGAGCTGATGGTGAAAAAACAGAGAAAAGACTGGAATTAGGTTCACTAGATGACTGTAGAACCAATAGCTGCTACAGCGAAGCAGAGATGTCGGGCCACAGCGAGGATCTTTTTAATTCTCCTGTGTGAACTGGGCCATTGTCTGCTATCTAGGCCAAAGAACAAAAACTACAAACACTATTAATGCTCATAGCTATTGAAAAGAAATCAGTAAGAAGATGCAAAATTGACAGAAACAAGAGGAGAAATAAATGATCGGATGGTGATGCTGTCCAGCAATTAGAGGGCCAAATGTTCCCCACCCCTGCAGTGGAGAAACTCCCTTTCTCCCCATGCTGCTCCTGCTGATAAAGGTGAATTATCAGGTTATTATAACTCCCAATCAGAGACACTCTATCCCACTTGTCACACTCTGGTTAGATTTCCTTCATTTTTGCCAGGAAATAGCTTCTTTGCAAGAAAACTTATGAACATGACTGTTAAACAAGTAAAGGGCAGAATGAGCACCAAGCATTTCATTATCAAAATATTTTCACATGTGCTAGCCTCTCTTGTGGGACGTGGGTGGTGCTGTGGGTTAAACCACAGAGCCTAGGACTTGCCGATCAGAAGGTCGGCGGTTCGAATCCCCGCGACGGGGTGAGCTCTGGTTGCTCGGTCCCTGCTCCTGCCAACCTAGCAGTTTGAAAGCACGTCAAAGTGCAAGTAGATAAATAGGTACCGCTCCGGCGGGAAGGTAAATGGCGTTTCCGTGCGCTGCTCTGGTTCGCCAGAAGCGGCTTAGTCATGCTGGCCACATGACCCAGAAGCTGTACGCCGGCTCCCTCGGCCAATAAAGCGAGATGAGCACCACAACCCCAGAGTCGGCCACGACTGGACCTAATGGTCAGGGGTCCCTTTACCTTTATCTAGCCTCTCTTGTAAATTTATTCTACACCTAAAGAGTAGGCCAGGGAGCACTTTAAAATCAAAGCAGTAGTTATCAGCTTTAAATCATGAAGTAAAGGTTTCAGAAAGCCTTATCAAAAGCTAGTTACATTTTCAAAGGGAAGCTAAACCAGCTGCATCTTGTACAGAAAGCCACATGGTTTTCTCTTCTTCTTTCAGTCCTATTTAAGGGGTTTCTCACCACAGCCATTATGTAGCTGGTTACAGATGTCTGAGTCACATGAGTTTCTGACTGCATTTTGTTAATCATGACACATGATCCTAGAGCACCTTTCTCTTCCACAAACATTCATTTTCTTTAATGAAGTTTTTTACACAAGTAGAATGATGTGGTAATATAGGATGCAATAATATCAAAAATAAACTGGTGACCTCTTAAAACAAGTAGAACTCATAAACAGTGTTCCTGAAAAAAATTAAATCAGTTGAACCATTTGGTATTTGATCTCAGGTTGGCAATATCCAGTCCAGAACCGAAAGCAAAGCACTTACAGAAAAAAACTGAGAAGCCTAAGAGTTTGACACTAAGACTCAGAACTTTTCCTATTACCTAGACCTTTGAGACTAGAAGACAGAGCTATGCAGATCCACTAGCAGTCTGAACAATACTTCATTATGGACCTTAAAACTGAACAACTTTTCCGGAATTGAAGTGGGCCTAACAATTTTACTACACAAAGGCAGGCAGTTCCCCAACTGTTGTTTATGAGTTACGTTGGGAGGTCCAGAATCCGACATATTAGGTTAAAAACAAACAACCGTCCATCAACCTTCCCAAGAGAGGTGACAAAGCGATAAGATAAAATCGTAACATAGGAATATATTTTATACCAAGTCAGACCACTGGTCCATCAAGCTTGGTACAACCCACACAGACTCCAGAGTTTCAAGCAGGATTCTTTCCCAACCTTTCCTAGAGCTGCCGGCATTTGAACCTGGGGCCTTTTGCATGAAAAGCATGTGCTCTCCCACTCAGCTTGGTCCTTCCCCAAATTAATGCATCCAAAGTATGACTGTTCCCCTTGAAGGGATCAATGACATTCCCAATAATCAGTCATCTTCAGAAGGCTGGAGCTGACTGGCAATAAACTTAAGCATAAGGGGGAAGCCTCGCTGGCAAACATCCATAGAGATGGCAATCAAAACACTCAAGAAAACTAGGTAACATAGGTTATATTTTTTTAACAAGCCACACAAAGTTCACTTAAATAGGCATGGATTCGGACCAACAACTGAAGTGGTGACTGCTCATCTGAATCACAGCCAGCTAACTGCTGGATCACCCCACATTTCATATGAATTCCAGGAGTTGGAATTATCTCAGGGCTGTACTGCTCAGCTGAATTCGCTGTTCATACACGAGCTTTGCACACATAAGAGCAACATTAAATGTAACACCTGTTGAACCAAGTTCACCCTCAAGAAGCAATCACACCTTTAGAACAGCATGTGAGACATCGTTTTCTAGTTCTTCTAGGAGAAGCAAGAACTCAGTTTCTCTCTGGAGAGCTTCTGGAACTGTTTTCTGGAATGATTGGAGGAGAGAGAGAAAAGAAATTGGAATATGTATTAGAATAGGTATGCAAATAAAATACCGTATTTTTCTGTGTATAACCCCCCCCCCCCATGTATAACACAACCCCTATTTTGGGGGACTCAAATTGATGAAAATGGGGGAAGACGACCCCCGTTTTTAACATTATTTTAGAGTAAAAAAACCTAGTCTTATATACAGAAAAGTACGGTATATCTAGTGAGAGCTTCTTGGTAGACATTTTAGATGCTTTAAAGCTTTTAGGAGCTGGGGAGAGATTGCAACTTATTTCCCAGTCTACTTTGATACTTCTTGCTCAAATAGACTAATTTCAAATAGACAGGCATTCAGCCAACACCTTTTACTTGCCAGTACTTATAAACTAAATATTTGGTTCAATTAGTTTAAAAAATGACAGCTACAATCTAAGGGAACAATTTATGGGAACCTTGCAGAGAGCTGGAGGGTGGTGCTTTTGGCGGGGGGCATTGCCAAATCTAAAAGAATGTTTTTGCCCACTGGTTCAGTAAGACTGCCAACTTTCTTACTGAGTCAACTCCTATGACTATGCCAGCTACTTAGCACACAGAAACGAAGCAAAGGATTTTCTTATCACTTTATCCCCATGACAGAATCTATATCTGTGTAAGTTCTGCAAGTCAGTCTGCCTTTCAATGAACAAGGGCAGGAACATCAAAAACTTAGAACTGCCACTGGCGTTTTGCAAGAATTGAAAAGAAAGCATCATTATATGCATCGTTTTGCTATTTGAACAGAGCTAGCTATTTTGCATTGTGGCCTATCCATTCAGAATATCAACAGGACTTGCACTATCAAACTAATTGAAGAAGAGCATAATGTTACAGTCATAGCCAGGCATAGGCAAACTCAGCCCTCCAGATGTTTTGAGACTACAATTCCCATCATCCCTGACCACTGGTCCTGTTAGCTAGGGATCATGGGAGCTGTAGTCCCAAAACATCTGGAGGACCGAGTTTGCCTATGCCTGGTCATAGACAAAGCCTTTTTTAATAGCCTTCCAATTTTTTTTTGTAATTACTAAAACAGCAGCAATTCTCAAACTTCATTGGGTGCTACAAAATTTGTCAAATTAGGACAGAAGTATGGTGCTGTGGGTAAAAGCCTCAGCGCCTAGGGCTTGCCGATCGAAAGGTCGGCGGTTCGAATCCTCGCGACGGGGTGCGCTCCCGTTGCTCGGTCCCAGCGCCTGCCAACCTAGCAGTTCGAAAGCACCCCTGGGTGCAAGTAGATAAATAGAGACCGCTTACTGGCGGGAAGGTAAACGGCGTTTCCATGTGCTGCGCTGGCTCGCCAGATGCAGCTTTGTCACGCTGGCCACGTGACCTGGAAGTGTCTCCGGACAGCGCACAACCCTAGAGTCTGTCAAGACTGGCCCGTACGGGCAGGGGTACCTTTACCTTTTTTATTTTCTTATCTGGAATGGAACAGATTTTTTTTACCTGCTCCCATGCAAGCCACGTCTGCAAAACAAGGAGCCAAAACCAAGCAAGTTTTTGAGGACTGTGGTTCGATCCACACCTACAAGGAGATATCCCCAAATTAGTCATTTTCCATACTAAATTCATTTATCTAGAAATCTCAGTAACTTTTGAACTGCTTTGAACTGCAGCCCTAGCAAGAGCAGCTCATAACCCCCCAAAGCAATGGTGCTCAAAGCTCTACCACAATCGAATCCATTCTTGAACAAAGGAAATTCAAAGGGAGACTACAAGATGAAAGCAGTAAATGGCAGTATATCAAGAGGTTCAGTACTATTGCTTGTTTATGGAATTGCCACAATCATTTGTGATAACTGACTTACAAATGTCAGGATACCTGTGTTTTCAAACACTGTTTTTTGTGAATCGTCCCTGTTATGTAATTCTTACCATCTTCACATTTCTGCATTCCACTTCCTTCTTTCCTCAAAGTTCACAATCACTCTTCCCCTCTACAAATATCTATGTTCCTGCTATTCAGGATAACACTTCATGTATCCAATGGTGAACTGGAGTTGACAGAAGTCGGTATCATAATAAATTTGTTACTCAATAACCTTTGTTATTTGTGTTGCAAAAAATTAACACTGCTGCCCTTTTGAAATTAATAAGGAACACACTCAAAACATACTTTAAGGCTGCATTCGCTTACCTGGGAATAAGCCCCACTGAAAATAATGGGACTTTCTTTGGAGCATCTATGTACAGGACTGCACTGTAATATTTTAAAACTTGCAACTTTTTCACACATTTTCAACTGTTAGTTACCAAAAGTCAATGTAGTGCTCACCTCAGATGAGAAGGGCAGACTATTAGAGCATGAAGGATCCTTTCCACTTTTTCACAGCCATCTTCCTGCCACCGGTGTAACTGAGGAATGCAGGCCTGTGCAAGTTCCCAGTCTTCCCTCTTCACACAATCACAAAAAAACCAGAAGAGCCGTTCCAGGGATGCAGATTCCTCCTTACCAAATGGATGCATCTTCCTGCTTCAAAATGCAAACAAAAGACTAGAACTCATCAGATCCTATTCTTAAATCATATCTGTCAAACATTCACTTACAATGCACTTCCTAAAATGAGAGACGGAAATTTACAGAAAGATTCATGTCTAGAAGTGGAACTTTAGTCTTTCCCCACACAAAGTTAGAATGTCTAGCAGGACAGACAACTAACCTAATATACTTGATTGTCCACATAAACAAACAAACAAACAAACTAACTAACAAACACTTTTATAAAATAACAAGAATAGCAATTGTCTTGTTTGCCCATTGAAAATCCGTCAGAACATTTGCAGGTAAACAGATGAGAGTGAAAACAGGAAAGTGGAAACTGCAGGTGTCTAGCCTTCCCTCAGGCCTAACAATAACAAGTTGAGAGACTAAGCTGATCTTGAGTGGAAATACAGGGGACAGTATGGATGCAAGGGAAACAATAAAAAGGGGTTAAATCTTTGTGAGGATATGGAAATCTCTGAGGGGGGTGGGGTTGAGCCTGAGCTAGAGAGGGTTAGCAAATTCTGCATTAAGATGAGCAAAACCTTTTAGCCCAGCAAGAATTACTCCTGCAGGTTAAAAAAACCCCCAAAACTTTAAGTCATCTAGTGCAGTGTTTTTCAACCACTGTTCCGCGGCACACTAGTGTGCCGCGAGATGTTGCCTGGTGTGCCGTGGGAAAAATTGAAAAATTCGAAAGATTTTTTTAAAAAAGTCAAATTTTCGCCCACTAGGCGGGTGCCGGACTGTGTCCACCCTATTTTCCATCCGTCCTGGGTGGGGATCAGATCGGATGGGATCGGATGAGAGCGGACAGGCGGTCCGCTCTCATCCGATTCCCCATAGAGAGCAGCGGGGCTCTGACATCTCCCTCTCCGCACACAGTGCGGAGACGGAGCTGTCATCCGCCGGCTCAGCGGGGATCAGCGGATCGATCCCCGCTGAGCAGAGAACGGTCCGCAACGTTCGATTCCAGCCAGAATATCAGCTTTGTGTTCAGCCAAACAGGCCCAGGTTGCGCACTGAATAAAGTATTTTATAATTTTTCATATTTCTGTTTACTTACTATTTCATAATAAAGTAATTATAAAATACTTTCTTTGTGTTTATTTGATTCCTATTCAAGAGAATTACTTTATATATAGTCAATATAGGCACAGAGTTAAATTTTTTAACATTTTCTAATGGTGGTGTGCCTCGTGATTTTTTTCATGAAACAAGTGTGCCTTTGCCCAAAAAAGGTTGAAAAACACTGATCTAGTGGACTCATTAATAAAGCAAGGCTCATTTATTATATCTGAACAGTTCTTATGGTGCCACATTCGACTTAACTGCTCTGTGGGAAACTTTCCACTGCCAAATAAACTTTGCCCAGCTGCTCTATGATGAATCAAGCCCCCCTTGATCATGCAACTTGCTCCAATTCACATTTCAGTTTCTTAAAGAAGTACCTTGAGGGGCACTACTATTCAAGTATCAAGCTTAAAAGTACTGTAGGTACCTTCACTCAGAATTACGTCCCACCAAACAAGCTCAGTAGAGCTAACTCCAAAGAGGGCAAAGGAATGTAGCACTCACGTTCCGTGGCTGCTTTTTATACTTGACAACTTTGCTAAAAGGTTACTCTCATCACGTGGGCAAGTGTTAATTTAAAAGCCTGGCTATATTTAAATAACCACCCGCAACAGTCTACTAGTGCCTTCCTCGCTCGTCTCGGCAAGCAAGCTGCCGTGCCCATCTCATGTGAACTTCTCCGCCTAAATACCCCCGGCAGGAGGCTCTCCTGCGTCCTCCTCCGAGTCTCTTCTCACCCAGCGGAGTTTTTCCTTTTCGCCCCCACCCTCCGCATACTTTCCCCCGGCATGCAAAGGCAGCGCAGGTAGCGAACCAGCAACTCGTGCCTCGCATAGGACCCACCTGGAAGAGAGGTCCAACCACCAGTACAATATACACTCGCCTCGCCTCAGGAGCTTATCCTACTGTCATCAGCGCTACCTGCACTCCCAGACAGAATCAAGTCCGGTTGCCGCGGCCATGTTGAAAAGCTAATCAGGTGATCGAAGCGACAGGCGGAACAACCGGCTTATTGGGCAAGGGGGACGCCATCTTTCTCTAGGGCAACGAAGCCCAACAGTTGCCATCTCTGAAGCGGGCAAAAATATCACATGTCTGGAAAGACAGGCGCTCGTGGTCCGCATAACGTACAATTTATTTACTGATTTTTAAAATTTTGTATTCATCCGAAGATCACGTTCTCCCTCATCCTCTCTAGTTCGGTTGGCTGGGATTTACCCAGATTTACCATACAGTGCTCCTTTATTCCACTAGCTGGCCGGATCCCTAGCTTTCGTTATATAAAATAAAATAAGCTAGTGTCTCATCAGGCAAAACGTGTAGGCCTTCCGAGCCATTCTTTTTTTTAAAAAAAGCTACTGTAGCCTACTGTCATATTTTAATGTTGCTAGCCAATGAAGCAAGTAATAGCTGTGACTGACATTTAGGAAAGCAGAGCACACAGACTAAAATGTTAGACTGACACACCTACTGTCTGGAACTTCTTGATTCAACTTGAAGTCTGGAGGCGACTTCAACAGAGAAATGGTTGTGGCCCTATAGAAAACAATTCTGAAATTTAGGGTTATTGCGTAGCTGTGATTGGGCCTGTGCACCCAAAAACAAAAGGTAGTAAGTCTCTCCAAGTCATCTTTTACATCAAGAAAATGGGTCACCCTAACATTTGCAAACATATTAAACAGTAAACATGCCAATACTTAATGCTAATAAAATTAATCATTAAGAGAATGTTGGATATTTTATATGGCAAAGTGGTCTAATATTGTTATACTCATATTGCTAAGAGGGTGGAAGAGAGTACAGTAGTTTACTACAACCCTGCAGTGCAGTTCAGAGAATCCAGGACTGGTATATTTCAGGAAATACCTTTGTGGGACCTACATTACATGTGAATGCATCTAGTCCCTTTGGAGGGAGGTGACTCTTTTATAGTGTTTATTATTAGAGCTTCTAATAGCAAATAACTCTTTAGGTCAATGAAGACTGCAATCTCTCATACCTGGGAGTACGTCCTGCAGAACTGAGTGTTACTTGCTTCTGACTGTATAGGATTGTGATGTGTAGGGTGAAAAAACTTGTTAAATTTTCATTTCATTGGGTGCCGTTTACTTCACCATTCAGGTCTGATCGTGAAATAATTTATTTCAGCCTTATTGTCAGTTTTAGTGCTGTTCAACACAGTGAATTTCATGTACTTCCAGGCATTATTTATTTACATGCCATTGTATGTGACAAGGGTACAAGTATATCCTCTATTATATGTGTATAAAAACTGTTGTTGTTTTTGCACCTCTGAAGCCAGTCTTTGAAACTTACTGGTTGATCAATGGCAAAATGAACAAATTCCCCTATTCCCAAAGCATTATGTCAAATATTCTTCCCTCTTACTCTGTCCGGCATCCATCTGAAGATGTTGACTGTTGTGTGACTCAGCTATCTGCATGGGTGGTGTCTAACTGGTGTTTGCTAGAGATAATGTTCCCCACTACATCCTCTATTCTGGCTCTTTTGTTTGTTTTGCTTATAGGCAGGAAAAGAACAAAACTTTTTCCATAGACTTCTAAGAAGGCCTGAGTGTAACAGGCAAAAAAAAAAACATGACGGAAAATGACAGGTGCACAACCGTAAGTTTTGAAAAACCTACTTTCTACTTTCTTGCAAGCCTATTTATTTGTGTAAGTATGTAAAGAGTAAAGAGGAAGAGGCGAATGAGTTTTTATTTAACTTATTCATTTTAATGTTACATCTCTTTGAATCCTGAAAAAAATATCAGATATGGATTTGCCTGCCAGTGCTAATCCCGTAAATGTCTTTGTTTGGCTGCAGCATCCACATTGTTCAGACAGAGTGCTATTAAATGCTTCTGATGCATTGAAATCAGAAGCAGAAAAAGAGGGCTCAGAGAGTGGGAGGCGAGACAAACGAAACCAGTCTGTTACCCTTTGCGAGTACAGCAGCATACATTTCCCCCAATTACCATATTGTAAATAAGCCAAGCGATTCTCTACCCATTTTAAGTGACTATGTCAGTGAAAGGTGTAAGTCAAGGCTGCAGTTCCTGCCAACCATGAAATTATTAGTTGTGAGATAACATGATTGTTTTAGATGTTTGAAACTGTTTTAAGTCCATTTTTATTTTTTGTTTTTAAAAAATCACTTGCCACCTTGGCAAGAAGGGCAGGATATAAATTTAATAATAATAAATTGCCACGGAATGCAGTGAGACTTACTTCTGAGTAAATCCATTGAGAATCAGGCTGCACAAGAAAAGCTACTGCAAAGTACTTCTACGGATGGCATTTTAAGATTAAGATTCTGTAGAAATAACTGGTTAAATTGAAAATGGAAAATGTTTTGCAACTGTGAGGCTTTAGCATAACCAATGACGGTCATGAAAACTTTTTAAAAATGCATATCAGGTAACCACACCCATCCTTGTGGATGGCAGCGCCAGGAATCAATCTAGATTGAAAGCAGCATGCTAAAGACAAGCATGAACAATTCCGGACTGAGAAAACACTATATTTTTGTGCTACAAATGGCTTGGTGTTTGTGCAGGCATTGTGGTGCAGTACAGAATCAATCTGCAAGGAGCTTTTATTTTTGGAATGAAGCACTTTTCAGGAGCAAATAGTAGATCTAGATTGTTTGTGTACTATGTAGAGAAAAACAAGCACTCAGTCTCCTTTGATTCTAGAATAAAATGTCATGTGCACAGCTTAAGAGTCATCCAGTACAATATATTTTTGTACTAGCCGTTCATAATTGCTCTGGGAGGTGTTTGGACACACATTTCAAACATTCCAGATTACATTCCATTCTGTGATCAGTGCTTTTTCATTGTCTAGCAAGTATTCATGCGATAGGTCCCCTCACTCCATCTCTCCAAAGGACTGGAGGGAAAGAGTTCAAAGTTATGCCTGAATGCGAGATTAGTGGTTTTGTCCTTGGAGTATTCAAGAAGGTTTCAATGAAGGATTGCTATGCCTCTAGTGAGCAAGGGATGTGGCACCTTTGACCCTCCAGATGTTGTTGGACTCAAGAGCTCCCATCAGCTGCAGCCAGCATAGCCAATGGTTATTTTAATACATCAACATCTGGAGGGCCACAGGTGCATTATCCCAGTTGAGTAGCCATCTCTCTTAAACAGGATTTGGCAGTGGGTGTAGGGTGGGAGGAGATTGTAATGTTTCAAAAACTGTCAAAGTATTTACAACCAGAGACCATGCTTTAGCATATAAATAAAAAAACAATAGTTCTGAAATAAGAGGCATATTGTTATGTGCTACCCCAATCTCTGAGTGGTGAGAAATTCCAGGAGTTCCAGTGCTTACCTAGGGTTTGGCTTCCTTGAAATGAAAGTCAGTGGAGACGACACTTTCTTTAGGATCAGGGGCAGCATTTCCCATTTCATCGCTTGTGTCCTCCCCTGCAGTTTTATCCTCACAAAAGCCCTTTGAGGTAGCTAAGGAAGAGAGAGATGGGTCACCTATTGAGCTTCATAGCTTAGGATTTGACTCCGAGGCTGTGTATACACCATCCTTTTGGAGCATTTTACCTCTCACAGAACAACAATTTCCAGCACCCTTAATAAACTACAGTTCCTAGATTCTTTGGGGGGAAGTCATGTGCTTTAAATATATGTTGCGTGTACACAGCCACAGGTCTCCATTTCCAGTCTGACATTGTAAGCATTGTATTACACTGACTGTTCACTACACATTTATTAAGTCTAGAGCAGGGGTCAGCAACCTTTTTCAGCTGTGGGCCGGTCCACTATCCCTCAGACCATGTGGTGGGCTGGACTATATTTTGAAAGAAATATGAATGAATTCCTATGCCCCACAAATAACCCAGAGATGTATTTTAAATAAAAGCACACATTCTACTCATGTAAAAACACCAGGCAGGCCCCGCAAATAACCCAGAGATGCATTTTAAATAAAAGGACACATTCTACTCATGTAAAAACACGCTGATTCCCAGACCGTCCGTGGGCCTGATTGAGAAGGCGATTGGGCTGCATCCGGCCCCTGGGCCTTAGTTTGCCTACCCCAGGTCTAGAGTAACCCAAGTGTGAAACGAGGTTATTCAACCTTTTCGGGCTTGAGGGTACGTTTGGAACTGTTGGAGGTACCATAAATATCCATTTCATGGAAGAAAAACGGGGGATGCTCACCCACCCCCATAACATGCAAAACACCTAGTCCTCCCCGCAAACTCCCCCAAATAAAACCGAGACAAAAAAAAGCAGGCAATCTTTCTAAAAGTCAGCTCCCCAACCAACCAAAAGCCCAAAAAACTACTTTAAAAAATTGAGAGGGGTCAGGGCCTTGACAAGTGCCAAGGGGGCTGTCTGAAAATGATGTAGTGCCCACATGGTGGGCGCCAGGTGTAAAGGAATGCTTTCATGAGGCAGTGCAATCCTCAGCAAGACCTACAGTCCAAGGGAGCACTCTTGTGTACAGCTATCTGGGTGTAACCCTCAGTGAACTCCAGTTAAAAGGTTTGAGCTTCACATCCATTTTCCTTTCTCCTACAGGGTGGCTCTTTGGATGAAAGGCTGTAGCTCAGTTGTAGGTAGAGCACTTGCTCTGCATGCATAAGGTCCCAGGGTCAAATGCCAGCATCTCCAGAGAGGACTGGGAATGTCTGCTGTCTGAAACCCTGGAGAGCCACTGCCAGTCACATTATTCCAGTACCGAGCAAGATGGACCAATAGTCTGACTTGGTATAAGACAGATTTCTATGTTGTTGTTTTTAATGCAAAGCTTAAAAGACAGGTACACCTAGGAAGAAAACTCCTGTATTACTATTAGTAACAGATAAATATGCAGCTTTGTATTTTATTGTACAGATGCCATTTTCAAACACATATTCAGAATTATTGTTTCCCCCATTAGGTGGAGAAATACGTCGGTGAGATTAAAGGAGGACTAAGGCCAACCATGAAAATCACTATTATGGGGGTAATATGCCCTGCCCCCAAGAGGCAAGTGTGTCAGCCGGCATTCTAGCAGCTGCTTCATGGATGTATCTGGCGATAATTGCTCATAGGTGCAGACCTATTGAGGAATAGCATTAGCTGGGCAAAAAGGGAGGGATGGTATTGTCAATATGGAGAACATCAGAGGAGCACTGAACATAATTCACTATTTTTGAGCACTGTAGCTCAACAGAGCATAACTGACCATTCTTAGCTCACACATCCAGACACTAGTCCCTTCCAATTCTAATATTCTATTATTCCATAATTAAGTCTCCTGTGAACCCAAAGTAATCACTCAGAAAGGTGGCTGCCTGCTGGAACTCTGCATGCTTCTTCCAATTCGCCTTCACTGGGGATGGGTAAACCTGCTGACCCATCTCTGCTTCAGTTGTGGCTGGAGCACTGAATCATCCTGATTCATCACAGAATTGCCTCTACTGTCACCAAGGCTCCCTATTGCGCCTTCGCATGAGCCAGTGCTGTGTGCTTCCATCCTTCCCATTGGAAGGGCAGGGGAAATGGGTCGTAATTTTGCTATAATTGTTTGTTTGACTGGATCATTCCAACACTTCTGATGCAAAGATGGAAGAGAAATAGCTGTTCCCAGAGGAGGCATTCCCAGAATAATGTCCCCTGCACAGGGCCAGCCCTACCAGTAGGCAGAAAGCGGGAACCAACTCCTTCTGTAGCCCCCAGCTGTTTCCTTCTGTTGCTGTTTTGTTCTGCCTTGTCCCTTTAATCTGGCCTGCTGCTTTATGTGCACTGCAAAAAGCTATCCCATCACCCCTGGTGCTGAAGGAAAATTAATCTGCATGTCTGGAGCTGTTTAAAATTTGCTTGAGTAGCCATGCTCAATGCATCATCGCCGCATATATCTGTGCTGTTTCTTACAGAGCTCTATGATGATGTCACACTAAAAAGGCAGGCTCTGTGTCATATCTGATGTATGTTTCTGGACAGCTCTCATAATGCTTTTTCAGGGTCTAGGCCAGTGCAGTTTAGCTATTTTTCTCCAATTGCAGCTGGAGGTAAGCATTTAATGCAGGGTTGGAGAACCTGTGGCCCTCCAGAGACATTGCTGGGCTCCCACCAACCCCAGTCTGCATGGCCCGTGGTGAAGGACGGTGGGAGCTGCAGTTCAACAGCATTTGGAGGGCCACAGGTTTCACATCCTTAGACTAGGCCATACTCACCCTGGAAACAAATATGACATTATAATGCCATGGCATGTGATAACTGAGCTCACTATCATGTTAGATTGCTGAATTGTTACTTATCACATGTTCATTCCTTCAAGTTTTTCAGTGACTTTGCTCTGTGACCCCATGGATGCCAATCTGGACATTGGGCTGTTGCTTGCGGTCAGCTTTCTTGAGAAATCCATTGTCCGGAATTCACGGATTGGTGGGAAATGGGGTAAAGAGGAAAAGACCATTCCTTACTTCCCATTTACAGCAGGGGAATCATTTAAGGTAATTTTACTTGATAGTATGGGAGACAGATATATAGATAATGATATAAACTACCTAAGACCCTCTGGCCCAGTATTGTATTGTTTTGTATTGTATCTGGCTCAGTTTTGTATTGCTGTCTTGTTTTTAACACTCGATGGGGAGCCGCCCAGAGTGGCTGGGGAAACTCAGCCAGATGGGCGGGGTATAAATAATAAATTATTATTATTATTATTATTATTATTATCTCCTTTGACTGACAGCAGCTCTCCAAGGCCTCAGGCAGATTTTCTCTTTCAACTCTTCTGATCATCTAACTATAGGAGCTTGGGACTAAAGTTGTGGTCGTGTTTGTAATAAACATGTCCTCTATTTGCTCCATCTGTATTTACAGGATCAAAAGGAAGACCATTTATTTATTTATGAAGATATTACTAGGCTGTCAAGTCATAATAAAATATGGTTGTCATTTAAGTAGGACTTCCAGTGTAGTATTTCCAATTCATTTTCAAAAGCATCTACGCATAATCAAGTCCCATTAAAATCAATAAGCTTGCAACTCATTATTTTGTGGGTGCCCAACTTTATTGGGATTGCTGTCAGGCTCTGCCCCTGCCACCCATGGATCTAATTTGTTTTTTTCAGATGGAGCTCTTGTGCGAGCATCAGCAGATTCGGGTCTTGCTTGATGGACGTCAGCTCTGCAGTTTCACTCACCGCGTGCAGCCTATGCAAAGGGTGACAGCTTTACAAATCTCCGGAGACATCAAGCTCACCAAAGTGGCTTGAAGAAAAGAATATATAATCCCGTATCTTCCCTTGGTTGGTGAAGAAATGTTCTCCTTATGCCATTGGATGTTGTTCCTTACTTTTGCTCTTATGTGTGCTTCTTGAGATTTTAAATGAAGGCTGAGCTCTATAAATAACCCTATTATAGCTTGATAAGTTGCAGCAATATATTTCAACGTGCATTCTTTTACAGCTGCAAGCAGCACTTTTGTCTATAGCTGTTTACACATCACTGGCTTAAAACTCAGATTCTTTTTCTCAATTCAGATTGAAGCTGGTTTGAGGTGAAACGCATCAGAACACAGTATTTCATAAGAAATGACAGGATAGATTTGAAGCGTAGCTATCATCATGTGTACACTATTTCCTAAACCAGCAGTGGGAGGATGTAGAGTTAATGAGACTATGTACACAGCCTATGATAAGCTACCATATGGTAAATGGCAGCACATATGTAGCTGTACAGCACCTGATCTGAACCATTTCTGGTGTGGACAGTCATGCAATGACAACATGAAGGAAACAATGTGGTGAGGAAAAGGAGCATTCCTAATAAAGCAGTCCCTATTCCACATTGTGTGCATGCCCCCACATAAGGGTGGATCAGACTAGGAAGACAGGACTTTACATGCACCTTTTGCCTAACAGTTGCATTTTAAGAAGCCAATATACAGAATTTATATGAATTAGCCTCAAGGTACAGCTCTCATCAAGCTTTCCTATGTGAAGGGGATGGTGAACGTGGACTATAGCTCTCATCATCCCTCACCATTGGTTATGCTGACTGGGGCTGAAAGAAACTGGAGTCTCACAACATCTGGAGGGCAACAGATTCCCCATTCTTGCTATATGACTTCAGAGAAAACACACAGAATTCTCTGTGGGTGCATTTGGGATCTGGGCAAATGTTTTGGTATGAAAGGTTGGATGCACAGAAAATAGTAATTTCCAAAACTGAGTGGGAGGGTTTCATATTATAGTGTTTAAAAATATATGCTCATGCTTGAACCAGCAGCCAAATGCAGCAACTCTGCACATCATCTTTCCCTCTGGTTGTGACTGTTGAGTTTTATTATATAAAGTTGTTTTCCACAAACAACCAAATCCATAGGCCAACTTTAGGCTTGTCAGCAAGTCTCTTGTGCTTTTGAAATTATTAACATTTAAAGGCATACCACAAGTGGCTCATCACTGTTTATTTTATTTTTTTTAAAAAAACTTTTTTTGCAATTTTACAGCTACAGAATAAATAAACAAATCGGAAATACAAACAAATCATAGAAAAGATGATACAAAAAAAATATGGAAGATCATTAAAACATACCCCAAATATCACTTTTAAATATGGTAATTACCTTCTGCGAAACCTCAGTGTCAGAGCTTCTTAAGTGTTTCATGGGACATTTTTACTTAAAAAAGAAAAGAAAATACTATATTTGGCATGCAGTTCAAACTGCAGGAGTTACCCATCTTGAGACATCTAGCCTCATTATCCTCTACAGAAATTAATTTCCCACAGGTAAAACACAACATAAAAAATATTGGACCTGCCATTTCCCCCTTTCCTCTGCCTTCTGGCAGAAGGCACTTCTGCTTGTAAGAGGTGAACTGTTCTCAGGAACTCAAACTGGCCAGTGGGCTCTATACATGAACTTTCATATGGTCATACACAAATAGGCCAGCTTAAAAATGTATAATATGCTATAAAAAAACACCTGAAGCTTAAAACCATCTAAAAGCTGGCAATGAAATTGGGAGGAATTCAGTGTTGCGCTATGATGAACCTTCCGTTTGTACAAGTATTTCATCTTGACAGGCAGAACAGTTTCCCCTGCTCTTCTCCCTCTGCATGCTATTCTGGGTGTTCTGGACACACACACCCTAGGCAACTTCAGGCGGAATGGGAGGAGGAAAGGAGAAAGACCCATTGCACAAGTGGGAATCCTTATGCAGGGCTTCTGCTGATGGGGCTTGTTAGGCGAATCCCATCCTATATCCTTCTGGGCTGTAAAGGTGAATGGAAACGGATGGCAGAGGTCCAATTCAATTTCCAAGCTTGATGTCCCCATTCTAGGTTTGTCCAATTCTGTGTCATGTGATTTAGCTTTACTTAGATGAATGTACCTGGTTCAGAATTCCCAAAATGATTCTAGGAAAATGAGGCATAAGTATTGTGGACCACATACAGGAACTGACTTTTAAAAAAATCTGAATGTACAAGTCTTCAGATATGGAAAGTGTGGTAAAGGCCCGAGTAGATTTGTTGGATGCAGGATTTATGTTTGGCTGAAACAACTCACTCGTGCATCTCAAAAACCAACCATTATATTACCCCCAAAGCGATGATCCAAGTCAATGGTTTTGTCCACATACCGGTAAGAAATTTGCAAATGTCTATGTTAGCTGTTTGATGGCTTCAATCCAGCTTGCCCTCTCTGCCTTGGAACTGGCCTGTATAAAGTAGTGAATGTCATTCTTTGTTATGATTTTGAAGAGGTTGCCCTGCACATTCCCTTTCACTCCTGCAACAAAAAGGAAAAGGGAGGGGAATGTTAGCAAGGCGCAGGGACAACACAATTGCTGCAGTAACAGCAAAATCTCACAAGGGAGAGAGTTTGATAACTCAACACAGTTTTGCTTTTGTTGATAAAAGAGTGTACCACTGCATTGATATGAATACAGGCTTGGATCTGGATCCAGCTAACCCGGTGTGCTAGCAGAAGCTAGTGCAAGGGCTCCCGCTAACACAGTGGGTTTCTTCCCCCTCTTGTCTGCCTGAACACCCACACACCTTGTCCAAATCCACTTTGGAGGGTTGAGAGAATCCCTAGAACAGCAGGAGGGGAAAGGGCGTACCATTTCATCTGAAAAGCAGAAATGCTTGCACGGATCAGAAGAGTGATGTGATGTTGAATTCTTCCCTTTATCTTTACATGGCCTCCCATCCACCCAAGTGCCATGAAAGGCCAAAAAAGCAACACTTATTTTCTCCATACTATACTGTCCTTAATCTGGTGATATGGCTGCTTGAGCCAGCTATTTATAATTAAGAGAGCTACAGCCAGTCCTATTGTCACAGTTTTTCAAGGTGCCCTAATTGGTGTTCAGACTGGAGAAGGGGCAAACAGGGCCTGGCCCCCTGGCCTTTATGACAATTTCCTAAACTACTGTTTTTGGAAACCTACTGGGGAGGTGTGATTTGACTAAAATAGTAGGGTGCGGAATTCATGGATTTCATTACGCCCACCACCATTACCACTTAATCTCCCATAACTGGGAGCCCAGGCCCTAATATCTGAAATGGCTTCAGCTTTCCCAGTGTAAGCAGCTGATTCACACTAAACTTTATTCATAAACAAGAAAGGAACATGTGAAGAGCTCCACAACCAAAGGAACTGTTATGTTCATACTTGCCTGTTGGGACTCCATTATCTTCCAATGCTGAGACAAGGCAACCACGGAGAGAGAATCCCCCAACTGGTCGGTTATCTTCCTATGGTGGGTGGAAAGAGTCCAAATGGAGAAGTAAGGAATATGAATTATATGTTCTATGCAACACATTTTATTTTGGCAAGACATGCAGTAGCTGGCCACATCAACACAACATGAATCTTGTCCCAGCCTGTTCCTCTTTGGGATAGGCCTCTGGAGGTTCTAGGTGTTAATTATGTAAAGAGGTAGTATCTTAATTAAAAAAGTTATACATGTCTTCCTCCAAAGTGTTTTAATAACAGAGTTGCATTCTAAAGACAAGGGGTAATTATAGGAACCTAGGAAGCTGTCTTATACTGCATCAGACAGTTTGTCCATCTATTATTTATTAGTTGATTCCATTTATGAATTGCCTTAATAAAAACATTATCTAGGCAACATACACAGCAAGATCAAAAAACCAACACATATTATATAATTCAATGAAATCATAAATAAATTGATAAAATCAACCCAGCAGTGTTATAAATCCAATCTAGATCAACACAGGCTGTGAATTATACCTTTGAAGCATATTTCCCCCCCTCAAATAATTCTGGGCACTGTAGTTTCTTAAGGGTTGCTGGAAATTATAAATCTGTGAGGAGTAAATTGCGGTGCCCAAAATTCTTTGAAGGAAATGAGTTTTAAATATATGGTGTGCGCACAGCCACAGACCAAACTCCAGCAACCAACCTAATTAGCATAACAACAAAACACAGCGCCATGTGGCCTTGCCCCTACAATTGAGGGAGCGGGGGAACGAAATGCACACCCCCCCGGATGCCACATTTGTTGACCACAAGAGGTTTAGTTTCAGCCTCACATGATTCTAACTTAAGCACAAAAAAATTCAGATCTATTTTACCAAAAAGTTACACACAAGACATGAGATAGTTTATGTACTAGGAGTCCACCATCTCACCTTTGTGGGGTCATAATAGTGTAGGAAAGCAGGGTCAGCCCTCAGGACAAAGCGCCTCACCTTCCAGTTTTTCCTCTTGTGTCCCTAAAAGTTGAAAAGATTACTAGATCCATTTCACCTTCCATTTCTCAGTTTGTCCTTCTGAAATGGCCTGTAGATCTGCATACACTGAGAAATTTCTCGTTATCTGTTTTACCACATTTTATCTTCACAACAACCCTGTGAAACAGGTTTAGCCCAGAGGAATATTGTCATAGCCAAGTAAGCCAAGACAAAGAAACATTGTCGGAGGCAGAATTGAAGTCATTGTGCATTTTGCTAAGCCACTACATCAACTTCCTTTCCTAGCTCAAACAATTAAAGACAGAAGTTTCTGAATAGCAACTGTAGGCTAGATTCAAATGCTTGTTTTTGAGAACCAAATTTGCTTCAGAATCGGAATATAATAATGTACACATTGGGACCGCTGTTTCATAGAAGATCTGATTTTAGTGCAAATTATTTTGGAATTCTGCTGAGAATGACAATTCAAAAGGATCACTTGGCACACAAATCGTTGTGGGGGATTCTATTCACCAAGGCACTTCACAATGGTCTCTTAATTCCATTTTAACTTTCAGTGCACTGAAGTGTGTGGGGGAACAACCTGATTTACAAAACTATTTGAAATCAGTATAGATAGTTCTGTGTCGGGGCAGGGGGGGTGGGCGGGAATCAAAGGCTTTCCTGGTCAGAAAATTGTTTTTTCCGATTATGATTTGAACAGCATTTCTTATGTCACACAGAAAGCTAAACCATACATTTACATTTAGAAATATCACACGGCCCAGTGCTTTTTGTGTTGTACCACATCAGGTGAAAGATTGTGTTTCTCAGTTATTCTCCACCTCAAACATTATTTGCTAAAGGAAAGGTAGCATATCTGCAAGAAGGATTCCAGTTAGTTTTCTAAAGGCAAATATATTTCCTACTGAAGTATTAGGCATAGAACACCACACTTTTTTCTATACATTTGGTCCTATGTGCACTCTTTTGCAACACTGTTCATGTGATTGTGATCTTTGGGTTGTATTCAACAGTACGCCAGCAGACTTCCCCTTTCTCCTCCTCTCCTCTCCTCTCCTCTCCATGTGCCCCCCTCAGATCTGCTCCAGATCCTCCCCCAATGCACTGGAGCAGTTTTTGAGGGTGGGCACGAGCAGAAGAGGAGAGAGAAGTCCCATTGGACAAGTGGAAGTTTATTGTACAAGCAGATACAACCCATATTATTTAATTTTATTACCCAACTTTCTTCTTTAAAAAGAGCTTAAGAAGACACTAAATACAGCATTGCCCAGTCTCCCATTCTCCACTTGCCAACATGATTCAGAAGTCATGGTTACCTGTTTTATTAAAAATCCTTGTTTTAAAATGGTGCCACTCAGTTCAATAATGTTAAGATGAATATTTTCTTTGGAGGTGGTTCTCTTCTTATAGTTTTCCGCCTGCAATAAAAATTAAAGATATTGGGGAAATTGGGGGTTGCGGTAGCAAAACGAGTACAAAATACAGAAGCGTTCCTTTCCTCCTTTAGCATGGAACTTTTCATTTCTCAGTCATAGAAATTTCCATCTTCAAAGCAGTTTTTTTGCCAGACACAATAAACAGCAGGGATGGTCTCAGCACCCAGTATCCTCAGGCAGTTGGCAGGACCCCAATGCTCTTAAAGTGCCCACCGCTACTGATGTCACCCCTAGGCAGGTGGCTCACAACCACCCATTGCAGGTCTCAGCACTGCTGCCACCACTCCCAGCAAATAATGCTGCTGGAGAGGCCCAGAGGGCCTTTTGCTACCCCCTCACTAATAAACAGGCACAGAAGAGCATAAATTAAGTTTCATTATGGCAGCTACAATGAGCTGTTCCCATATTGCATCCAGATAAACGCCAAACTGTTCCTGTTGCACGTCCACACCCAACCCAAAGTCCAACTACAGTATTAGTCAGATATACTGTAACTTGGAAAGCATTAGAAAGATTTTGCCCAAGTTATCTTTTGGCCTGATTTTCATTTGCTGCAAATCTTTCATATCAGTCTCTCCAATGCGTATGCACACTGTGCCCCCGTTGTTTTTTTAGTGTCCTCATTTGCAGAAAGAAGACTTCCAGAAATCTCATCACTTACAAATGTGTACAGAGCTGTAGAGTCATCCAAAAACTGCTCTGTCAAATCACCATTCCTCATGGCTTCAACACTGCGGGCTCCCACAGGCTTAATGAAATTTTCGTCCACCAACACAGAGGCCAGGGTGACAGCCTCTAGACGGGAGGCTGCAAAACTATTGGAAATCAGCCAGTCAACCAGCACAGAGCCTGAAATGAATAAAGGCAAAAACAGGTGAGCAAAAACAGCAAGCAGCCAGTCAATTCCCAAGGAAGGTAGAGGTTTTTAGTACTCATCCTCTAATAGAGAAATGAGTCTTAAATTGTAATCTAACCTGACTGAAGAGCAGACATTTGCATGCACATTTTCATAAACTTGGCAGCTAGCACTGTCTTTCTGGATAACCTCATTCTAGACCAGCCCAAGACATTTTGCAGGCAAAGGGAACCCTTTCAACTCTACAATTCTATGATTCTGTGAAGCGCGCGCACACACAATTCACAAATGATACCTAAAATTAGAGGTGTTTGGGCTCTAGACTGTATTTTCCCCTTACATTTTAATCTTGCCTTTCCTTTAAGGAGCATAGTACAGTGTAGACGGGTCTCCCTCTTTCATTTCATCCTCATCACAGCCCAGGGAGGTAGATTAGGCTGAGACGCCATGATTGGCTCAAAGTCACCCAGTGAACTTCACGGCCAAGTAGGGAATTGAACCCAAATCCCCTGGTCCTAAAGCAATTCAGGAGTAGCCAATGTGGTGCCCTCCAACTGCAGTTGGACCAACTGCAATCACCTCTAGACATTTGTTTAGCTGGCTGGGGCTGATGGAAGTTGTAGTTCAACACCATATGAAGGGCACCATGTTAGCTACCCACCCCACACTCCAAACACTACCCAAATACTAGGTTTGGAACCAACTCCCACTAATGCGTAAGTACCTCCATCTAATCACCAGCATGTGAGGTCTGGCTGTAGCTACTAGTGGGAGAGAAATCACTGAAGATGTGCTCTTATTGTTCATGTCCCAGGGCTGTGCCCTAATAATGAAAACAAAGTTCTGAAGCTGCACCATGGTGGGCCCTGGGAGAAAACAACATTCCTTTGCATCAGATTATTTTGAAGTACTAGGAGGCTAATAACATGAGGTTTGCCTACCTGTAAAACTTTCTTTATATGTGCTGCCTTGTTCTGTGTTGGGTGTGAGCTTAATTCCACTGCTGCTGTCATGCATTTTGTCCACAATGTGACTGGAAAAAAACCAGCAAAAAGGTTAATGTTTAAGAAAACAGAGAATCCGGTTTTGTGAGGGGACTCAAATCCCTCTGTCTCAATTCATACAGCCAATAAAGAGCACAGTTTCAATCGAAAGTACCTCAGGCATGAGTGGAAGGCAATTCCAGTTACACACAGGAGAGTACCATTGATTTCTGTCCCTTCAGTCCTCTATCCTTGATTCAATCAAGTAGTGGCATAGTGGGGGGGGGGCATGGGGCAATTGCCCTGGATGCACAATTGGGGGTGGCAGGCGAACCAGGCTGGGGAATGCTGGGGATGATCTTCACCCTCCACATGTCCCTCCCCCGCCTGTGAGTGCCTGCCCGGTGGCGGTGGCAAGGGCCAGATGAGCACACTCTACACCCGCCTCGGGTGCTGGCAAACAGCACTATGCCCTTGCTTGAATGCATCTCATTCTATGTTGCTGTCAAGTAAGCTCAGTCTTGGGACTATATTCCAGTGGGGTCCCTCTTTAGATGGTAAGGCATATTACTTCACTTCAAAATGCGGTAAACCAGCCTTGAAGTGGGGCTCTGAGCTTCTGCCCCAAAGTCCTGCCCTGATGGCACCACTGTCCAGAGAGTCCCCTGAGCCTCAGGTCTATAAAAACATAAGAGCAGCCCTGCAGAATCAGACCAAATGTCAACCTAGTCCAGCATTTATTCTCCTGCAGTAGCCAAGCAGATGGCCATGGGGAGCCCACAAACTTCTTCTCCTTAACAACCATGAGTGGTTAGCCCAAAGAAAACCTTGGCTACAACTTATGGTTTGTCTGAATTGAGACAAACCACAATCTTGGATTCAGACATAATGTTAAACTAAACCATGGCTTAGCTTCAGGTAGCACAGCAGCAGAACTGGGGGAGAAGTGAAGCAGCCATGACATTTGCTATGAGCATGTTCACATTTAGCCACAGTCTGGCTTAGTGTTATATACAAACTGGGCTACACACACCCCACAAATTGCAGGAAAGCAGATGGAGGCATTATTTAACACTTACTTCAGGCTGATATTTGAGGGCAGTTTGAAGGAATTTTTCATGCGGTGAAGTTGCTGGACTTGCACTGGGTTGCCAGCATGAATAGCACCAGTTATATCCAACGCCCAGGCATCACGCTCTTCTCGAGAGCAGAAATCGAGGAAATACTCTGTGTTTGTTTTTGTCTTCAGTTTAATGACCAACTACAAATAAACCCACAAGAAACAACAATACATTATTTGCTATCAGTGCATCTCTCAGAAATTCTGAAATTTGAGAGACCTTGAACAGCTTAACTTTCTGATCATAAACAGATGTGATCAAACATTTTCACAGGTAAAACTACATGATAAATCTACCTGTTTTATTTATCACATCTATCTATATCTATCTATCATCTATCTATCTATCTATCTATCTAATCTATCTATCTCCTGGAAATTAGGGATAAGTGTGGGTTTCAAGTGTACTGCTTTGAAGTGTGAGTACTATAATATGTTCAATTTTAAAAAATACAGTATGATAAAGTTGTGTATCTATCACTTGCCTTCCCTAGCTAAACTAGAGAAAATGTGTAAGATTTGTGATAGGATCTCACAACATTTTTCCAGAGCTTAGAAGTAGCCAGTTTCAACACTGCTCTTCACCCCTAGCTAAAGGGAGAATGCCCTAGCTAATATGACCCACACATACATGGTACCAGCACTGCCCCCTTCTAATATGTTCCATTTTCTAGAGCCAAAACAGCAACAGTAATTTATACCAAATGGGAAGAGAATTGGACATACCGGCCTGTTATACTCCAAACATGGACAAGTCATTGTGCAGCCATCCAAAATAATCCTGCCCTTTGGAGAAGACTCTTTCTTTCCTCCCACAACTTTATAATAGAGCAATCTGTCCTGGAGAAGAACAAACCATCTTGCTTTCCAGTTGTGGACAACGTGTCCCTGCAAACAAAAAGTGTCGATCTTAGGTGCAGCTTATAAACAACATTTATTACCTGCTTGGGTGTTGCATACTCATGAACATCTTACTCATTGCACTCAATTGATAATTTATATAGCCTCTAATGTGCTCTCATCTGGTAGGAGTTTAAACCGAGTTCTTACCTTCTTTCCACAAATCCAAGGTTTCCCCAAATGTATTTTAGTGATTCCACAAGTGAGCTTTTTGCAATGATAGCAGTTTCCCAGGCAGTCATTACAGGTATGAGCGCAATAACCTGGTGTCAGTACTGAGTACCCTAGTACCCCCGGGGAAAAGCACTAACTACTATTATACAATGGGAAAGATGCTGATTCGCCCCAACTAATCCATGGCAGAAATGAAATAGATTTGTCTCATTCAGATCCAAATTCAGTTTTACAGTCACTAGACATGAGTGGTTCTCAAAAGGTCCTACTCTACCATGCAGCAAGGTAGGGCAGTAGATTTTTATTTATTTTTTGCAATCTTTTTTTTGGGGGGGGAATGCAATACTTTTTGAAGTGGTGGGCCCTAGCATGGGGGAGGCATCATTTGGTACTCTGCCTCAGGCAGTGACATGTTTTGGTGTTCCTCAGCTTTGACTTTTACAACAGAGAGGATTCAAACCATACATAGCACGGGGTGGGGTTCTAGCTTTAAAAACCCAGATTTCAGACAATGCTCTCAAGTTTCATACAGCAGTTCTCATCTGTTTTTAGTTTACCCAGCTTATTGCTATCGCAACAATATGACAGAACATTTCACTGTTGGAGGCAGTTTGCCTCTGAATATCAGGTGTTGGGAAGCACTATGGACAGAGATGTCCCACTTGCAGGTTTCCCATAGACATCTGTCTGGCCACTGTGAAAGCAAGATGTTGGACTAGCTGGGCCTTTGGCCTGATCCAGAAGTTCTTTGCTTATCTTCTTCACTCTACTCCCAAGCAGATGGCTCTGTCAGCCAACTGCAGTACTACCTAGTCTCTGTTCCATTTTTCCTGTTTTCCCTTAGTGGGGCTAATGGAAACCTCTGGGGGCAACTTAGATCAGGGAAAGAGCATGGTGGGGAGGAGAAAGAATAAATGCCCAATCAAATTAGGAACTCTGTCGCTTCTCTGAAGTAGAGAAAAGAAATTCATTCATTAATCTCCTGCATTATGTGCAATTTGGCCCTTAGACATGAGCATAGGGAAAGCACATTGGACTGGATAAATTGTTAGAAATTAGGGCCCTTCTGAAGATCTGATAAAGACAGTGACAGATTAAGAGAGGTGGTATATTTCAGATATTGCAAAAGGATAATTTGAATAACTTGGGCTACATTTTGAACCTGGAGCCCTCCTACCATAAATTGAGTGTGCACAATAAAAGGCAAACGATCAAGATGAGCAGACAGGTAGAGCAAGAAGAACTAGATTGTTGCTCTGACCTGTTGCACCCTAGGTCAGAAGGGCAGGATATAGGGAGAGCTGCTTGAAAAGCAAGACAAGAATAAAAGATGACAGCAGCGGTGGATCTTGAGGAGATCTGCATGCATGCAAGACAGGACCTGACAGTGAATAAGATGCTGCAGGTCAGAGCAAGAGAGGAATGTTAGCAGAATGTTAGCACAGCACTCTAGAGCAGTATCTAAACTTTATACATCCTTTGCCTAGCTATGGGAGACATTCATGTTGGAAAAGTAATAATCTGGCAAGATGTTATTTACTTCTGACATTTATAGCTCACTCTCTTTCCCAAACGAGGGCAAACATATTTTTAAAGAGGAGGTTGCAAGTCTGAAATCACCTAGATAAAACTGTGACTGCACATTACAACCGTGGCTGTGTGTGTGCTCTCCCATTCATTCACTCTGCCTCCGGGACTCTCACACCACTGATTTGGGAAGCGGTGTACACATGCCATTAGCCACAATCCATATCTATCTTGTCGTTCCTTATGAAACATTGCTTATTGATGTTTCCTGCCCCCAAACCAGCAAGAGAAGCTGAGAAAAAGAACAAACTAGTTGTGTTTTAAGCTGGTAATGTACACATCGCCTGTGACTGCAGCTTACCTTTTTAACAAGAAAGCCTTCCTTCAGAATTCCACTTCCTTCCTCCATGCTGATCCAGTAGGAGGTGAATGTGCCTTCAAAGACGTCTGCAGGCAACTGCAAGCCGATCCCTCTGCATGAGGAGTTTTAAAACAGTGACTGTTTTCTTAGCCACCTCCTCCTCTGCTGTGACGTCTACTCCCCTCCCTACCCAGGAGACAATAGGCAAATAGTGAGCTGGCACTGGGAGATCACCTGTCCTTAAGGGAATACAAAACAGGGAAAGTTTAACAAGATAATTGTACCATAGCAGTACTTCCCCTAGAACTGTGAATGGATCAAGCTCATTGAATGACTCAGAAGATATTAGTCAGCCATCCGGATTATACAACACAGGAAGGAGACAGACCTTCTGTATATAGAAGCCAAGGACTGGAGGTTCCCATGTTTTGTTCACTGGGCATTTCCATTTTTAATATATTGTTTATTGTTATCTCCGTGTACTACAACATACCAGGGACAAACACTGTGGCTACCACAGGACTTGGACTCGGTCCAGTATACCTGAACGAACGTCTCCACCCACATTGTTCAGCCACATTGTTCACTGAGGTCCAGCTCCAAGGGACTTCTGGCAGTTCCCTCACTATGAGAAGGTTACAGGGAACGAGGCAGAAGGACTTCTCAGTAGTGGCACCCAACCTGTGGAATGCTCTCCCATCGGATGTCAAGGAAATAAACAACTATCTGACTTTTACAATACATCTGAAGGCAGCTCTATTTAGGGAAGTTTTTAGTGTTTGATGTTTTATTGTGCTTTTAATATTCTGTCAGGAGCCCCCTAGAGTGGCTGGGGAAACCCAGCCGGATATTAATAATAATAATATAAATAATATAAATAATAATATAAATAATAATAGCAGCTGCAGGGAAAAGGAGCAATGTAAGTGAACTGAACTCAAGAAAGGAAAAATGAAAAACCTGGGGAATCAAAATACAAATATTTCTCTATTCTATGAAAATATTTTCAATACCAATGAATTTACTATGCAATGGCTGTGACCCTTACCCAGCACATGTGTGCACCAAATCAACATGAATGTTAGGGTTCTTAAGCTACATTAGTCCCATCAAGTACACACAAACACATTCCAGTCTCCTACTAAGTCATAAACTCGTTTTTAAAACAACAACACTAAAACAAAAAGCAGTTTATAGTTTGACATAGGGTCAGCGCCCGTGATAAAAATGACTGAAAATGCAAAAACACATTATTGTGCTTGCATAATCTCTTATACATACATTGGTCATTGTTTGGATTTGTAGATAAGAGTAGAATCTAAAGCCTATAATGTGCATGGGTTTCTATGAAGGGAAGTTCTAGCATACAGAAATCACCTGAGGAGAAAGTACACAAATGTTGTTATTGTTGGCATCTGTCCGTCTCAAGAGACAATGGAGTGTTTCTCCGGAGGCAAAGTCTGCACTAGCAGCGCCCTGGGGTGCAAGCCTGGGCAGTGTGCATGGAAGTCCAAGGACATATTGGAGCTGATGGCTCATGCTCCACAGTTCCAATCCAGTAGATCCAATGTACATACATGGGCTCCCGAAACGCACAGAGGGCTTCTGTTTGCACAGGGACTTTTCTCATAACCTCAAACCCAGGGACATTTCCAGGTTTACGGCACTGCTTCTGACATTGACATGAACAAGGAAGTCCTAAATTGTATAGCGCTCTGTATTTTTTGTTGTTTTGAATTTACTGAGGTATTCTGTATTTTGTATATTTGTATATTAATTGTTCTCTATTTTAATGTTTGTTTGCTGTAAGCTGCTTTGGGCCCAGCTTGTTATGGGAAAACAGCACATATAAACAATCAGTCACTCAATATGTGCATTGGAGCCTTATGGATCCATAGAGAAGGGAGAAAGTCTTTAGAAAAGTGGCTAACGTGTGGGCCTGCAGATGTTGCTTTAAGTTAGCCTTTCTGCTTTAGAAACCTTTAGTCTCAAGGCTAGCAACATTCTTCCGTGCTATTGTGAGGTTTACCAGTCTCCTCGATCACTGTCTGGCAGAAAGCAGGCTTTGTTGGTCAAAACATATGACTTAAAGTAGGATCATAGAGATAAGAATTCAGTAAGGGCAAAATTCATGCCATGCTTGTAATACTTCTGAAATACTTGCTGTTGTCCCGCTTGAGATAACAATCTGAACTCTAACAGCGTGAGTCACAGGCTAGGAAACATTAGTCACCACATCATCGTCCCACATAGTATCCAGGCTATGGGCACACAGAAGATTGTGGACTGGGTAGGAGACAAATAAGAAGGCATTTGTTTTTCCCTTTATAGAGCACTGATAGAATAATCTGGTATAAGAAGTCAACCCAACAACTTGCTTATTCTCTTGGCCAGGGGTGGCCAACTTCTGTATTCCTAGAGACACCTTTCAAACACTGACCTTAGGGTGGAACGATCTGTATATTATTCCAGCCAGCTGCACTGGCTGCCTGTTCCCTTCCAGGCCCACCTACCCACCATGTGAACCTGCCTGAGCCCTGGGTTCAGCTACAGTAGTCCTGCTTGTATGCTGGTAGTAGGGGTAGTTTTATTTATTTTTATTTCAAGCTCTTTTATAACTAAGATGATAGGTTGCTGATTTTGCTATTTTGGCAATTTTGTTATTATGCACAGGGAGAGAGGAGAGGGAGAAGAAGTTCCATTGCGCTAAAAGAATTACTTTGTGGATATCATCCTATGGTTTTCAATGCAAATGAGCAGTGTCTGGCACATACTGAAATTGTGGCTGCTTTGCTTCTACGCTGCTGTTTGTTACATAGCCAGGAAACAAGTGATGGTCTAGCGTGTCATGCTGTCTGAAAACAGCCTTCTGGTATGTTTCTTTCTAAATAAGCCAGTGACAAACCTTGGTTACCACTCATAATTTGTTTGGAAAGAAACAAACCACAGGGTTTGATGTAACAAGTTAGTCTACGGCTTGTTTCCTGGTAGTGGTTGGAACAAAATGCCCACTACCTCAGCACCGGTATGCTCTTAATTCACATGAAACTGGTTTAACTATGGCTGTGATGTGCAGTCAAGTAAGTGGTTGTGGATTAGGGTTTGTATAGTTTAATCTTTCTTGAAATGAAATGGTTTTACTGCTCTATTTATATTTTGATTTTCTTGTTAATTTTAAAATGTTTTTATTGTGCATTGTGTATCACTTTGGGAAGATATTTGTAGCCTGAAAGGTGACTAAGAAGTTTATCAAATAAAATAAATAAAGCAAACTCTAATGGATGATAAGGCTCTAGAAGTTATCACTGAGCGGCAAGGACTTAAAAAATGCAAATACTGTACTGGATAGTGGGAAGTCATAAGGGCGTGTGTATCAGGAAAAGGGGTAACTCAGAGATGAATGTGTTTCCTGAACCATCCCTCACAGATCCTTTCTAGCGTACTTCCGAAAAAGCAATTCAGCAAAATGTACATTCAACAAACGTGGAAAGCCAATATTACTTTTCCTAGAAGAGAAATGGGGTTCAAAATCTTTTACCACATGTTAAACTTAAAGGTCACCAAAAACCAGATTTTTAAAAATAAAAAACCCCACTACTTTGGGTTTCTTTTCTAAAATCAAGCAGTATATAGTTTATGAAATAAAATAAATAAATAAATAAAATAAGCTTGTATTCCCGCTCTCAACACAGCAAAACAATCATTGGGGGGGGGGGGGAAGGTTTGAAGTCCTGAAGGTTTTCTGTAAGGAACAAATCTTCACAATTAAAGGAAGTGACTAGATAGGTTTGTTTTGAATGCCAGGGACTCAGAAGGGGTGTTGTGGTGGTGCAAGGAGTCTTAACCCTCTTAAGGTTATGCCTAAGAGCTCTCAGACCTTCCTAGCTATAGGAGGCTATTATTACAGCCAAGGGACAATTGATGAGAGCGGGAAAATAACATTTAGAATCATTAATACAATTAAAGATTGATATATACTAATTATTTCTAGTCTCTGCTGTGTGATGGTTTTTAATGAGGTAGCTCTAGCTTTCATATTGTTTTGTGCTGCTTTCAGATTTTAGTATTGAACTTTACTATACTATTGTGCTTTTTAATCTTTTTATATTGACTTACTGTATGCCACCTGGAGTTTCAAGTAACCAATATAAAACACACACATTACCATGTATATTATAGCATTCCACACACAAACAAGGTGGAGGCTGAATATTTGAGTGTAGGTAAGAGTTCAAAGCAGAGATCTGATTTTCAGCATTGCTTAACTTGTCATCACAAGCAGCTCCAGATTTAGTAGTAAACATAACCTCATGTTATAGAAGACAGGTAGAAGCCTGTATGCGTGTAAGACTCAACACAGACAGTGATGTCAGGCTCATGAGAACAGACATAGCTGCAGGATCTAATCAGAACCAGGTGTTTGCTCTTTGTCCTGTAGAGTAGACCACCCACATCAAGAGAGGGAGAAGTGAGAAGTCACCTGTCTGAGATTTCTGTCAGAACTTTTCTGAGGTCCTCAAGATTTCCTTTGGTGGGGAAAAGTTTGCAGCCGTATTTGTAATGTGCCATAGGCCTAAGCATTAAATTTATCAGCTACAGGTCTCCATCAACACTGGAATACAACCATTTTCGTTTTCTACCCTAGGAGCAGAAAAGGCTATTTTCCCCAGTGACATTCCTCCCAGTTGGGATTACTGGGAAATACACAATTACACGTGAAGATTCTCAGGATTTCTCTGTTCCACCAAAAGCTGCTGTGAAAATGAAACATGTGATTGTAATCTCTGTAGAATTTTTAGGTGCACTGCATGTGTGCACTTCTCAATGCTTCCTAAATTGTTCCTATAATATTGAATCTATAATACTGCTGAATTTGCATGTTCACTACCTACATTTCCCCTCTCATGAAATAAGGGAACCCCTACATGAGAAATTGGCCTTATACCTTCACTTAAACATCAAATGATTAACTTAAAATAATGGCAGGTTTCCTACCACCTCATTCAAATTTTGTAAGTTAAGATACCTTCTTTCTGTAGCAACACTTAAACCCAACAGCCGTAAACAGAGTATCTGGATTTTCTGATGCACGACAATGAACACAGAAGCTTAGACGTGTAGAGTTGGGTCATGTAGTTCAACCACCTGCAATGCAGGAATCACATCACTGATGTTTCTTGGGGCGGTTGTGAGCTAGCCCAAGACATTTTGTTGCATCAGGCAAAGGACAAAATTGTGCCCTCTGCATCTCCCTTCCCCAATTCCACATTCAGAAGCTGACTGGACTGGCAGTTAAATTGAATTGATTTTCATCGCCTTTAGCAGCAAGACCTTTGCCCCATGTGCATTAAAACTCTCTTAAGAATGTGAAAAGAGGAAGAAGAAAAACCTAGATAAATATCCAAGAAATTTATTGAATATTTGCATGAGTACAGTCTGCGGAGGAATACTGGTTTCATTTCCAGAAACCTCACTACCAGACATACTGAATGGTTGCCCATCTTGATTTTTTAGATATGAAGATAGTAAATACAACCTTTAGACAATGCCTGGTTTATTGTGGGGAAGGGAATTACATCTTCAGAGAGAAGCATCTTCCCTTTGAGGAAGTTAAGCAGCACTTTTGAAGCAGATAGCAGATGGTTTCTTGTCTCTTCAAAATTTGGTCTCATCAAAATTCGAAAATATTAAAGTCTTTTCTTGTGGAGTTTTCAATATCAAGACACCTTATCACTCAAAGGTGTTGTCACTGGCTGGTGTTTGTTTGTATAACTGCAACCCTTTTCTTTAATCCCATGCAATTTAGTCTTCAGTTTTTGCTTCCATCTCCTCGGCATCATCATCTCCATCCACTTCAGCATTCTCACGCTCCAATCTTTCCAGCTGTCTTGCAAGCTCAGTCTCATCAGTGTCAGTAACCACCTTGGGCTGAAACGTCACAAATATGATCAACATTTAAGTTATCTTTCAGTGTGACCCAGAAACCAGTTAAACAGATGTACTTGCATCAAAAAGGCTTCACACAACTAGAGTGAATGCAGCTTACTTGCCCAAATGTTAAAAACAATGATGTATCAATCTGCTAGATACATTGCCAAAAGGCTGCAAGACCAATGAACAGCAGTAGTTTGTAATAATGTCCTGCAAATGATGCTGTCGAAGCTCCATCTCAAACACTTATGTGCAGGACTGAGTCCTCAAGGAGGTTTCACTACAGCTCAGTTTGCAGCATGCTGCCTGGTTTGCGACTGTAGTCTTAAGATCACCACCCAGTTCCCTGCAGTACCTTTTCCAACTGTTGCCGCTACTAAATAGCTTTTTTGTGTTGTATTTTATTCTGTCAAATTGCTTTGAGACAGTTTATAATAATAAATAATAATACTCATGTTTTATACTGGCTGAGCAGGTTAAACCTGGAGATAGTATATGAGATACTACCCAACAACTTAAGTGGAGTTCTCTCACAAGACATAAAAGTGCTCTACTTTAAATCCAAATCATACCTGCGATGGAGCATTGTGCTCTGAGAGTATAGTTTCCCCTGGAATCAGCGTTTGGGCTGAATTCCCAATAGCAGCCAGTTGTGTGGTTTCAATGTTTGCAGAAGACAAGCAGAATTTACTCGTAGGCATTCTACATATACAGTTTCCAGTACAGTGGTACCTCAGCGTGCAGACGCTTCAGGTTAAAGACGTTTCTGGTTACAGACTCCGCTAACCCAGAAATAGTACCTAGGGTTAAGAACTTTGCTACAGGATGAGAACAGAAATTGTGTGGCGGCGGCGTGGCAGCAGCGGGAGGCCCCATTAGCTAAAGTGGTGCTTCAGGTTAAGAACAGTTTCAGGTTAAGAACGGACCTCCAGAACAAATTAAGTTCTTAACCCGAGGTACCACTGTATCTTTCTACTTGAGATAAGAAGAAGTGACATTTCTAATAAATGGAAGGATCAGTATCAATTGTGTGCTGAAAATACGGCTAGTGTTTAATAATCCTTTAGCATATTTTCTATTAAGATGTCAGCTTCTGCTGCTATGCTAAAGTTAGGAACAAAGCAACTGCGGTGAAGAAAGCGCACCCTACCCCCTGCTGGACAAAATGAGCAACCTGAAAACCTGTCAGCTGCAGAGCTGGTGACTTTACCTTCACATAACCTTTCTTTGCAAACTATTCCCCAGTCCTAACAGACCCATGTAAGCCACTTTTCAGGGCAAGGGAAGGAAAGTGGAAAGATGGGAGAGAAGGATGCTGTAGTGTTCTGACTAATGTATGGCTGACCAAGGTTAAATAAGAGTCCCTAAAGAAAGACACCTCCCCTCAGCACCAAAGTACAGGGTACACAAAAAGATGGTATTCAGATACGGTATAAGGATATTAACAGTATGGTCCAAGTACTAAAAATAATGGACAAGTAAATTTTTTGGAAGCTCAAGCTACCACAACACACCTTGACCTCGGCCTGATATGGCAACCGGTGCAGATCTCTGGGGTTCTATATGCTGAAAGGGTCTCACTCCTGTTCATAACTATGCTGCAGCATTCTGCACAAACTGGATCAAGGGCATGGGAAGCCACACAGAGTGCACTGCAGTAATCTAATCTTGAAGTCACCAATTCCTGAACTACTGTGGAGTATTTGTTGTTAAGTTATAATTAGTGTTTGGTCGCTTTTAATGTATTGCTATTCTGGTTTTAAAATGTGCATTTTGTTTTGAATCATTATTCTAGTTCAAATGTTGTATTTTAGTTAAAGTCTATAAGCCATTTGGAGGATTTTTTTGTGAAAAGTGACAAGTGAAATAAACACAAGATAGTGGATTGGATGGGAGTATCTTTCTTTCTCCAAAGTTGGGGTCCACAATCCCTAAAATTTGAAGGAGCAGGAAGCTGGTCTTCAGGTTAGCAACCAGCACTGGTTAGGAGAAGAGACTGCAGTATACTTACTTCCATCTGCACATTGAAGACTCCCCTTTTCTCTTCAATCTTTTCTTTGATAACAGCCATGGCTTGGCTAAGGACAGAAAGGCCTTCAGTCCTCTCCAGTGTTGTTGTGGTCATCACATATCGAGGAGGAGCTATCAGATTAATCTACAAAAGGTGTGCAAAAAACAAGCCTACAAGTCTGGAAAAAATATTGTACCACCACAGAGAAAAATGGGATTTCCAGCATGTGTGGAAAATGCTACTTTGATATTACAGTAATGAGTAATGAGCAAAAGAGGACATAACTGTGTCTTGTTTTCTCTTGCAACGATTTTCGCTCCAGTAACGGAAAACGGTTCATAGTAAAAATGCAACAATGTGAAATAAAAACAGGCAACAGCTATTTTGCATGTGTTCAAGCTACATGCGTGCTGTTGTGAGACACGGAAGAGGGCATAACAGGGCAAGCTTACATGTGCCCTGCTGTCGTAAGTGACGATCCGGAATACAACCCCTGCACAAATCGGGAGTTGTCTGTAACATAATACCCGCAGTAAAATGGGGACATTCCCAAAGTCATAACTAGATTTCCTCTCAAGTGGAGTACTCCGAGAGGATTTCTCTCACCTCACCACCCTTCTCCATCACACACACAATTTACATGAGGTCTATCATGAATGCGTGTGTTAAAACCACAAGCAGGTATCACCCAATGTCACAGCTGATGCAGGACGCTGCAAATTTCTCATATTCATAGTTTTCCAGAACACACATCTTGGCTGTCACTTACTTTGATAGGCATGCTTTCTGTGGAACAGCACAGGCCAGCTCTGAGAGCTTCTTTCACTGCATCAATACCCTCATAGCCATAACAGGCAACTTCAATATCTAAATGGGTCATAATGACAGATTACGTTAAAACACAGATAAAATATTACCCAAGAAAGAGATTAAAACCTGTCATTTATTCTATTATTACTCAGCCCTCTGTATTTTAATACCCCTCTCATAAATTTATCTCTAATCAGAACAAGTGCACTGAAACTTCGTAGCTAAGACATGGCTTGTCTGATAGATCAATAGAACACTGTGCACACAGTCCATACAGACTCTTGCAAAGTAATCTTGTTAACAAGATGGCAAACTATGGGCATGACAATACTTCAGTTAGATGGTTCCACAGCTGGCTGAACATCCAAGCCTAATGAGAATGACTTCATGTCAAACTGGGTGCCACAGGGCTCTGTCCTAGTTCCTGCACTGTTCAACGTGGTCATAAAAGAGATGCAAAAAAGCCCTTGTGCTTCCCATTTTAACTTGTTTTATTCTTCAGACAGAATTTCCGTGTAGCACTAGTTTATGAGCTAGCAGACATGTCAGGATTAGTCTCAACAATCCTGCAACCACTCCCCAGTGATTCATAACATGCAACTAGTATTGCTGCGGTCAAGCCTGATCTTGCATAATAGCATAATTAGCTCTGAGACTGTCATATTCCTTCAAGAAGCTTTAGGGAAGTCCTAAGTTAAAAACATGAAAAGTTAAATGACTAGTTAGATTGCTCAAGTAACTCACAACTATAAACTCTAAAGGCAAGGAATGACAAGCTTCAGGTAGTTTTACAGGAATCCAGTCAAACAGCTTATTTGTGTGATCTCATTCACAACATTTTGTACAACATATGTGCAGAAAACTTGTTGTCAAAGTAGACTCACCAAGCATATCTTTATTCATCCATGTAGGATATTCTTCCATAAGAAGCTCAGTCTAAATTAACAAGCCTCGTTTCTTTAATCAGTTCCGTTCTGGGGACTTACCTGCTCGAATTTTGACTGCTTGTGGTGTCAGGCGCCTATTGATATTATCAATTAGCACACGCTTCTCATCTTCTGTCAGATCCAGTCCATCAAGGATTGCAGGATCCCTAGTAAAAGACCCATAAATGTAAGCCTGCCAGCATTCCTTAAAATGCATTTTAACAGGAGAGAAAGGACCAACACTGAGGCATTTCTCAACACTGATAATGGAAAGCAGGAGGGATTTGCGTGAACATGTTCTCCAGTCTTTCTCCTGCCTATGGCTAAGAAATAGGTACTGGCCTAAATCATTCAAGCCATCATTTATTTGTAAGCACAATTTACAATACAATACTGTCCAAGCAGTACTACAAAATGTAACTTTTTAATATAACTTTAAATATTGTAAACAAAAAGTATGTCTACATTCTCTCAAGAGAAATTTTTTTATAAAAACCCCCAAATTACTATTTTATAACAATTGTTTTATTGACATAAATTTAAACTGTTACATCCTTTAAAAATTGTATTTTATAATATTCTTAATAAGGGTATCACTGTGTACATGCACTTATTAGTCTAGTACATTAGTCCATTTTTCAGTGAAACAACTATCTTGTAATCTTTGTTCTCTGACTCTGATGTAGTATACTGTAACTAGTTATATTTTATATTTAATTTATTATAGAAAAGTAGTGTTTTCTTTATTTCAGACCATTACCAGAACATATTAAATCCATCTGAGCTATGCAGTGCTTTTTTTCTAAAATAAAGTTTAAGGGTACTCTTCTTTTCCTACTCATATTGAAATACTGCCCCTCAATGGTGCCAAACTTAGATTCACAAAATGTCTAGGGGTATGCGTACCCTTGGTGTCCCCCCCGCAAAAAAAGCACTGCAGCTATGTCAATTTCATCTTCAACAAGCGTTACTATGCCCTGTATACATTTTATTAAGGCTAACGGGGAGTTAGATACCATAAAAACAGAATTTTTACAAAAGAACCTCCCTGTACCATAACAGACACTTTGAATTTTATACATGTTTCCAAATATAATTCCATACATATAACAGCTTGCTATCATTTATCTAAGCAGTTAAAATCTAACACAAACCTATTCCTGAGTAAACTACTTGCTATTTAAACATACTAATCTCATAGAAGCAGACCTTGTGCATCATTAGTCTTAACTTCATCTGCACATTCTGCTATGGCTGTTAAGTTTGTAGTGCTCTATGGTATCTCAACTGCCTTAATTCAGTTTGCAGGTAGGGGCTCATGTGACCACATGAATTTGATACAAAACAAATCCATTTCAAATAGACCAGTGAAATGAAGGATTCTTGCAAAGCCTTCTCAGGAACATGTTTGAATATGAATAAACATTCCATCAATAGCAATAAGCATGAACAAGAAACGAATGCAGAAAGGTAGTCCTGCAGGCTATTCTGTAGTCTTTAATATTTATTTTCCCTTAAAGGTAAAGGGACCCCTGACCACTAGGTCCAGTCGTGACCGACTCTGGGGTTGCGTGGCTCATCTCGCTTTATTGGCTGAGGGAGCCAGCGTACAGCTTCCGGGTCATGTGACCAGCATGACTAAGCCGCTTCTGGCGAACCAGAGCAGCACACGGAAACGCCGTTTACCTTCCCGTCGGAGCGGTACCTATTTATCTACTTGCACTTTGACGTGCTTTCGAACTGCTAGGTTGGCAGGAGTAGGGGCCGAGCAACCAGAGCTCACCCCATCGCGGGGATTCGAACCACCGACCTTCTGATTGGCAAGCCCTAGGCTCTGTGGTTTAACCCACAGCGCCACCCGCGTCCCTCTTATTTTCCCTTAAACCTCATTAAAATCTAAACATTACCAAAAGTAGCTGTATCTGAACTGACATTTGGTGATCAGTCAGGCAAAGAAGGTTTGTTGCATATGACATTTTATAACAAACTAAACCCACTGAAACATTTGTGATTGGGGTAATACAAGCTGGAAAAGTAGTGAACTTACGACACTGCATGCTTGAAAGCATCATATGCACCATATCCAGGCCTTTTATACTTGTCATCAAATACCCAAGCAGTTCTCTGGAACAGGCTCTCCAGCTGTTCATCCTTTGTGTATTCCAAAACCTCAGCAACATGGCGAAGGATGCTGTAAACCTACATACAACAAGGAAAACGTTCAAAAATGCATACAATTACTTCCAATGTGGAGAATAATTCATATGAAAAAATACAAAAGGGTGACAATTGCTTGTGCATTTTGCACATTAAAATACCCTTTTTGAAAGAAACACTGGCTACCTTCACACCTAACACTAAGTCAAACCATGGATTAACACAAAGATGCTGGCCCCCGGTAAGGAGAACACAAGCCACTTTGCTCCGCCCCAGTTCTTTTAGCTCTACATAGCAGCTAACCATGGCCAAGGAGGATTCATAGTATTGTAGAGTTGGAAGATACCCAGAGGGTCATCTAGAATGTAGGAATCTCAATTAAAGCATACATGACAGGTGAATATCAAACCATTGCTTAAAAACCTCCACAGAAATAGAGTCCCATAGGGAACGTGTTCCATTGTCAAGCAGGTCTTACTGTCAAAAAGATCTTCCTGATGTTTAGTCGGAATATCCTTTCTTGTAACTTGATTCCGTTGGTTTGTGTCCTACCCTCTGGAGCAGGAGTAAACAAGCTTGCTCCATCTTTCATGTGACAGCCCTTTAGATATCTGAAGATGGCTGTATTATCTCCTCTTTTCCAGTCTAAACATACCCAATGTCCTCAACCATTCCTCATAAGGCTTGGTTTCAGGATCCTTGATCATCTTGGTTGCCCTCCTCTGCACATGTTCCAGCTTGGACAAAGTACTATTACTTCCCTTGATCTGGACATTTTACCTCTGTTGATACAGCCTAGAACAGTGTTAGGTTTTTTTAGCTGCATCACACTGTTGACTCATGCTAAGCTTGTGGTCTACTAAGACCCCCAAATCCTTTTCACCTGGACTACTGGCAAGCCAGGTGTCTCCCATCTTATATTAGTGCAGCTGGTTCTTCCTGCCTGAGTGAAGAAGCTTACATTTGTCCCTATTGAAATGTGTTTTGTTGGTTTTGGCCCAGTTCTCCAATCTACTACAGTCATCTTGGATCCTGATTCAGTCCTCTGTGACATTGGCTACCCCTCCCAGTTTGGTGTTACCAGCAAATTTGATGAGCATCCCCTCAATATCCTCATTCAAGTCATTTATAAAGATGCTGAACAATGGGCCCAGGAAAGAACCCTACAACACCCCACCAGTCACCTTTTTTTGACAATGATGAACCATTATTGATCACTCTTTGGGTTTGGTCAGTCAACCAGTTACAAATCCATCTAATAGTTATCTCAGCTAAGTCAGATGCTGGTATAAGTGCTGCACTATACTAAGGAGCAAGGAGGGTGCAAGCTCCTTTCTGGAATGTTTGTGTGGTCCCAGTAAGTCATAGTTTGGCTTACTGTGATATGTGAATGAGGCCACCAAACACCCCCCCCCAAAAAAAGTTTAAATAAAAATCTGTGTAGTTATTTTAATTTTACTGCAGTACAATACAGTAAAACAAGTGTATCCCAGGGGGACAAAACCTCCAGCCTAGAAGGGATCCTCTGAGGCTTCCCATCTGGTCCTCTCCTCTTTGGCCCTGTCCCTCCCCTTGTGATGCCTAAAGGAAGAAGTGGGGAAAGCAGCAAACTGCAGGTGCTGGAAGTCCAATCTGCTTTGGCCCCCTGGTGTGCGTGAGAGTGAAAGAGAGGTAGAGGCTCTTTTGCCCTTTGTTCCATCCCAATTTGGATTAGGATCCTCCATCCTTGCTACTGGCACTGTCCAACAAGGATCAATTTAAAACTTTTTGGGCAATGCAAACTGCAGATGTGGGAGATCCAACTGAGACTCAAGTGCAAAACCACTTACAAATGCTCATCTTGGTGCAGAAACCATCAACAGTAGGAAAAGGTTGCACAGAAGAACATGCTACCACACCCACCTAACCATTATAAAGCTACATCATATTATCACACTACACTGAAATTTTGCCAGCTTCTTTAATATTCTTCATGAAATTCTGAAATGGAGCCAGTACTCTCTTACGTTTATAGTCATGCTGTATATTGCACATTGAACTACAACTTGCATTTGTATGCAATATAAAAACAATTGTGTCCAACAAATATCAGTGTTGTTCATGCAAATTAACACATCAAGTCTATGGCTCTCCCTTCTATTTCTTTATATATCAAATTCTGGATTGAGGTGTCACCAGTACAGTGATATCTCAGGTTACATATGCTTCAGGTTACATACTCCGCTAACCCAGAATTAGTGCTTCAGGTTAAGAACTTTGCTTCAGGTTGAGAACAGAAATCGTACTCTGGCGGCGCAGCAGCAGCAGGAGGCCCCATTAGCTAAAGTGGTGCTTCAGGTTAAGAACAGTTTCAGGTTAAGTACGGACCTCCGGAACGAATTAAGTACTTAACCCGAGGTACCACTGTATGTTGATGACATGCAGTTCTATTTCTCCATTAACATCTGAATCAGGAGAGGCTGTGAAAGTTTTGGACTGGTGTCTGGATTCAGTGATGGACTCTGTTTAAATCATGGGAAGATGGAGGCTCTTTGGGTGGGTGACTCCCATATTCAGGAAATTGGCAAGTTACCTGTTCTAGAATATTATTATTTATTAATTTTGTATACCGCTCTTCATCTGAATTTCACAGGGCAGTTCACAACATAAAAAAATATAAAATGAGAACACAAAAAAACATAATAATAAAGCAAGTCAATAACTCCCCTCCCACAAACACATTTAAAAGCCCATGGAGTGATTACTCAACCAACAGCCTGGTAATAGAGAAATGCTTTCGCCTGGTGTCTGACAAGAATGAGAAACCGAGCCTTTAGCATCAGTCCTGTGGAATGTCTTACCAATGGAGATTCAACAGACACCTTCTGGCCAACTTCTAAATGCCTGCTGAAAACTTAACTATTCCTCCAGGCCTATGAAGACAATTAAGAGTATACCCCCCACAATGGTCCATGGATGTTGGTTTTCAATTTCTTTTTGCTTTTAACTTGTTTTTAACATTTTCTGATGTCACTGTCAGGTTTTATTTTTTTATATTGTAAACTGCTGTGGTATTTTTTATGATACAATGGTATATAATTTTTATAAATAACTAAGATGAAACAGACAAAAGTTCACACAAAATCACTTTCATGCAGGTAAATTCAGAGGCATTTTCAGTAATACAGAACAATATATATCACATTTCTTCTCAATGCTCTTGTTCATTTAAATCAGGCTTAGAAAAGTTCTTGCCAGTCCTAAACACTCTAAACAATTATTAACACTACTGCATAAACTGTCATTGCAGGGGTGGGGAACCTGTGGCCCTGCGGATCAGGGTTGGCAACATGGTGCCCACACAGTATAGCTGACTACAACTCCCATCACCACTGGCAATACTAGCTGTGGCTGATGTGAGTTCAGAAGCATCTGGAGCATATACACTGGCTACCCTTGCTCCAGATGACAGATTCCTAACCCCTCATCTGCATGGTCAATGACTAGGGATGATGAGAGCTGCACTCCAACATCTGGAGGGCTACAGGTTCCCCACCTGCATCATGAAGCAAAATAACTCAAGGTACATTTTTTCAAACATAAGAATATCATGTACACAGTTAACAGTAGAATTTACACCCATTCCATTCTGCAAAGTACTAGAATAACCAATAATATGGTAACTTACTGTTTTTGATTTGGTGAATTTGTCTTCACATTTTATTGCCTCTTCTGGAGAGACTCTTCTTTTTGACAAGTCAATATAACCTAATTAATACAAAATGATATATCTCAAAACAGTGAGGATTCAACACAACTTCTAAACTCATAAAAATGCCACTTTTATCTACTTAAAGGCAGCAGAAAACACTTCTTGTTTCAGGAAGAAAAGTTTTACAAACCCACTTTACTTTTCTATATAGAAGCCAGCTACAGGTAGGCTATGACAGAATGAATTAGACTGCATACTCAGAATTTGAAATAACACTCTAGAATTTTAACTTACCTTTCTCTTTATCCACCCTTATGACAACAACACATTCATTTCTTCCAATTCGAATGAGTTTGTTTATAGAACGGATACGTCTTCTGGACAACTCACTGAGCAGAATCATGCCCTCGATGTTGTTATATTCCAGTAGGCTAACATATGCTCCCATTTCTGCAATGGAGCGGACGTTGACCATGACCACATCTTCAACTTCTGGAAATTTATGCTGGTAAAACCTACAACTTAGTCCAGGCATCCTAAAAAATTATATCGAGAGACAATTTATTAAATTGTAACAGCCCAAACCGAATCATGATATGGCGAACAGTAACATCTATTTAGACTGTTCTGGTACCGGAAAAATTTCCCATTTTCCTGCAACTGGCAGAAAAAAGGAAAACATACCAGACACGCATGTTTGCAGAACGCTGCTTAGAAACATCCTTGTCACTCTCTGTGTTCTGGGCCGACATTATGGTCGCCGCAACAACTACATCGCTATGAAACCCTCTCGTTTTTCTCCGTCCAGTTCCCCTGCGGACGGTTATTGACTAGTTCTCCCCCCGAAACACCAAACGTGGGGGCTGTGTGACAAAGCGCAACTTAAGGAGAGGCGTCGCGGCGGCGGTGGGGGGGAGGGTGTCCTTTTGTGACATAACCCGCACCTCACCGAGGGAGGCCTGTGTCCCAAGAGAAGCGCGGCCGGGAAGCCGATGCCTCACGTCGGAAGAGGCCCCGCGGTCCCCTCGCGCGGCAGCCGAGGAACGGGATGGGGAGACTCCGTCTCGGCCTGCCGGGCGTCGGTCACAGAGCGGCCCTCCTCCCGCTCGTAGGCCGCCCCGGAGCGGCCGGCCCTCCTGCCGCTTGCTCACCTGTCTCTTCCACAGGCCGCGCTCTCTGCGCTCCGGGCTGGGGTCTCGGCCGACTGCTCGTATCCGCCTCTGGTCACAGCGTGTACCCCGCCTCAAAATGCGCAGCCGCCATCCCGCCTCTTCCGGAAGCATTTTCGGGAAAAGTAGCCGGAAGCATTTCTACCCAGCTGCTCCCATAAGTCTTTGGTTGCCCTGATAGACGGAAGGGCGGGAAGGAAAGGCTCGCGCGACACGACCGCCAAGCCTTATTAGCGCCTCCCGCCCGCAGCGGAATTCCTTCTCTGCACAGAGATAGAAAAGGGTAGAATGGTCACAACGGCTATTAGTATTGGGAAGACGAGGCAGAATACAAGGATTTCTCAGGTTGCAGTCAGACTTGTACATTTACCATAGAGGTGGAGCTGAGGTTCGTTTGGCTTTCCAACCCGCCCCCCGCCGCCCAAAAAAGAAATCGCATGCAAGGGTGCTGCGTATTTAAATATTTCAAAACTTAAAAAAGCAAATACATCTCTTTTTACTCAAGCTCTCCCTGCTGACCCATACTATTGGACGCTGTTTTATTTGAATCCTCTGAATCTTTTGCTTTTATACTGTTGCTTTAATGGTTTTAAGTTGTACTTTTGTTTTAATGGATCTTGGCTTGTGTCCAGTGCCTTTAAAAAAAAATACGTAAAAGCGGGGGAGGGGGGAATCGAAATTTTGCGCACGAAATAAGATCCGGTTGTGAAACTGCAGCAACTCCTGTTACTGCTGATATCGCAGCGGCTGATGTGCACACTGTGCAGCCACGGTTAAGCTCCGCTCGTGGAGGTCTCCGCACAGCTCGCTCGCTCTCTTCTGCCCCAGGATACCAAATAAATAAATAAGGAATTTGGACCGCCTGTGTGAGCCTAACGTACAACAACAAAGGCAAAGGATAAATGGATTGTATCATTAAAAATCCAAGGGATGGAGCAGCGCCACAATGGGGAATTAGAGCATGTGGCAGATTTCCACTTCTGCTGGATCCGTTTCTCTGCGACGTACAGTCGGCGGGTCCTCCGCAGTTGCACTTATCTCGGAAGTCAGGGCTTTGGACCATAGAGTTTTTGCCAAAGCTCTCCTATCTAGGATTCTGGCTCTATGCCTTTTGACGCGGCGCCCGCCGGGCTACACGCCCAGACGAGCCGAGGAGGAGGAGGCGGTGCCTCCTCGGTGACGGGCGGCGTGGAGGGCGGGGCTTCGTGGTTGGAAGCGGAACTGGAGGCCGCGGTGCCCTTGGTAACCAAGAGGAGTCACGTGACAGGAGCGGGAGCCCAGCTGAGAGAAGGAAGCGAAGGAGCCAGCGGCGTCTCCCGAGCAATCTCCTCCGACCACCCCGGGCAAGATGTCAGGCAAAGACAGGATCGAGGTTTTCCCCTCGCGGATGTGAGTGGCCTTCCTGGTCCTTTCGGGGCCTCCCTTGGGCGGTGGGGGGGCCGGTCAGTTCCTTCCCTGCGGCCCCACAGCCGGACACTGTGCGCTGGGGGGTGTTGAGCTCTCAAATTCAAGCTGCCACGGATCAGCCACAAACACCCTTTAGCCGCCGTCACGCGGGTGCATTTTCTCACCCTTGTAATTCGCAATGGAAGGGTGCGATCCGTTTTCAGCGGCCTTAAGAGCCCAGTAGAATGGTAGCTATTTTGCATTGCTTCAATTCGCGTTGAATTTGGAGAGCGCTTTGGGGTGCAGAATTTGATACTCGTCAAATTCTGTTTCGAATCCCATAACTATCACCAATGTATTGATTGGCGTTGGTTAAATTTACAAGGGGTTGTGGGAGGAATGCGTTGGAATAAAAAGATGATGTTACCTGTCATGTAAGAGTCTCTCCCCCCCCCCCCCCCATTCAGACAAGTCAGGCTTGTAGGCTTAAAAATGGGGAAGTGAAATGTGAGTTGTTTCCAGGTCAAAATGGCAAATGCTTTGTCATATGGTCAGATGTCTTTGACAATTATGGAACAAGGTTGTCATTTTATCTGACTATGCAATGCTTGAAATGTCTCCTATTATTAATAATATGTTTGTATTAGAGACACTTTTTACTAGTCAGAGGATGGTAGGAAGGGGCAGTACTAAAATAAGGGGGAAAAAGAGGAAAGTGAAGCCTCAAAATGATGCTCAAAAGTAGAAAGCTTATTCTAGTACACAAGATTGCAACCTTAGTAATTTCAAAATAGAAACTTCTTAATAACAAACAACTGTGTTCAGCTTTCAAACTGAATTTTGAGAGGGAGAACTGAGTTTCCTCATGAGCACTTATTTTGAAGGCTGTAAGTCTTCTGTTTCTTTTAAGTGCCATACAATTAATTGTACTTCTAGTGCCTAGCTTGGCAGTTTCTCATTTTCGCACATTGCCATACTGTTGTGTTAACCTGGAAGTCCCACTGATTTCAGTGGAATTTTCTCTAGGCAGGTATGCATTAAATTTCACCCTTGCAGTGCAATCATATGCAGAGTTTTTATTATGAGTATGATTATTGCTTCTTATATAGATCAGCCATATTTCCAGTATGTTTGCTGAATCTGGCATGGCATTCTTGATAGTAAACAGAGCCATGTTTAGTATCCACACACAGTTTTGCTGAATCTTGTTCCAACTAGTAAATGAGTTAGTCTGAGATAGAGAGGCAGTGGTGCAAGCCAGTCAGTGCAGGAATACGGACACCAGACCTTCCCTTCATTTAAAGAAGTTCCAGTTCTCTTCCTCAAGTTTATTTCCAGCTTAGGCGGTTCCTGGGAGACATATTATAAACTCTCTAAGGAATTGCCATGAAATCTCCTTATTCAATATTTCTAGTACTGCCCAAAATTAGTTTGTTGTTATGTTTCCAATTACTTTTCCTTGGAGATCATGGGAATCATGGGTGGACACAGCAATTACTGAACAGGCAAAAACCATTGAATTCAGGCATATCCATAGAGTGAGCACAGACCATTGTTTACTGTGTGGCATCTGCTTGTTACCATTCTTTGAGAAAATTGCAAGCATGTAGAAAGAAAGTTGAGGGACGCGGGTGGTGCTGTGGGTTAAACCACAGAGCCTAGGACTTGCTGATCACAAGGTCTGCGGTTTGAATCCCCACGACGGGGTGAGCTCCCGTTGCTCGATCCCTGCTCCTGCCAACCTAGCAGTTCGAAAGCATGTCAAAGTGCAAGTAGATAAATAGGTACCGCTCCAGCAGGAAGGTAAACGGTATTTCCATGCGCTGCTCTGGTTCGCAGGAGTGGCTTAGTCATGCTGGCCACATGACCCAGAAGCTGTACGCCGGCTCCCTTGGCCAATAAAGCGAGATGAGCGCCGCAACCCCAGAGTCGGTCACGACTGGACCTAATGGTCAGGGGTCTCTTTACCTTTACCTTGTAGAAAGCAAGTTGTGTCTAGCCACTAGGTGAAGCCAATGTTATTGCTCCTTGCTACGATTATAAAAGTGAGGCAAGGGCCTGCAGTGGTTGTCTCATTATGTGCCAGTTTTCAAATATCCACCATTTGTCATAGGATTGCCTCTGTCCATGCTGCTGTTCATACGTTACCTGGAACTTCATATTGAGAAAAGTGGTATGTGATGTGATTTGGTTTGCGTTGAATGGTAGAAGAGACAGCTCACAATGCAAAACAAATTCTTGAGTTTCCAGTAAGGAACTTAGCTTATAATAGGGTTGCGATATTTCTAAAAGTGAAAATTCAGACACAAAGGTTGCTAAGCTTCTTTTGGCCGAGTGAACCAATTCTAAAGTTCTCTTGGCAGCACTTCTGTTGCAGCCTCCCCATAAAACTAGAGTTTGTCATCTTTGCTTATTTGGTATGGGGATGCAAGCGTGTTTAGAATTGCAGCCTAAAGGTTATAAGCTTATTTCTTCTTCTTCTTCAGTCACTCATAGCCAAGTAAGATTGTCTTCCATGAACACAGTCTTAACAGTGAGTCCATAAATGACTGTGGAGGTCAGTTCTGGACCCACACATCCTTCCACAGTAGGGACATAGGTTTCCGGGCAGGAGTTGATCGTAGTGAGGGTTTGCCAAGCGTGCCTTCCTCTTAGCTCGTTTTTCCCTTTCGTCCTGAGTACGAGCATCTTCAAAGTCCATGACACCTTTGGTAAAGGCTGCTCTCCAATTGGACGCTCGTAGGCCAGTGTTTCCCAGTTGTTGGTGTTTATACTACATTTTTAAAGATTTGCCTTGAGACATTCTTTAAACCTCTTTTATGATGTACCCTTCAGTGCACAGTAGGTATTATTACAAAGTAAACAAGCATAGGATTGGACTGTCAGACATGTGTTGTAAGTGTATGTTCAAGTTCTGTGAGCCAAAGAATATTTCCTCTTGTTTTTAGGAATGTGCCTTTTCAGGAACACTCTTCTCTTTTTCCCAGATCATCTCCAGTGACAAGATCAAAAGTATTTATCACTTTTTTGAATTTGACAGGGCTCAGACCATCATGAAGGCCCGTTTGAAAGGAGCCCAGACAGGTCGCAACCTCTTGAAGAAGAAATCTGATGCTCTGACTATGAGATTCCGGCAGATTCTTAAAAAAATTATTGAGGTAGGGTGTTTTAATGTACTGAATTTACCTGTGAAATAAAGCTAAAGAATTTCCAATATACGAACCATTATAATAGCAGGAACGAGTTTTGCTCTTTTTAAAATGAGAACAAAACAGGCCCATTCCTGACTTAACTCTCAATTGTAACCTGTATATTGGTTTCAGAAAATGTCCTTTTTTTGGGTTGTGTTTGCAGACAAAGATGTTGATGGGTGAGGTGATGAGAGAAGCAGCCTTTTCTCTTGCTGAGGCAAAGTTCACAGCTGGAGACTTCAGGTAAAGCTCACAAATGGGTGTAGTTGAGGGGACTCCTGTGTGAGACATTTGGCCTCTCTCAAGAGGTGAACCATTCCTTTCTGTTTATGGGGGTGATTGGGAGGTAAATGAAAATTCTGCAGCAGATCCTATAAGAGGAAAAGGTAGAATGCAAACCCCATAGGAAATTAAATATATTTCCAGAGTGTCTGCAAAGATAAATGAGCAGAAGAAAAATATGAGGGCAGGGAATAACACTAAAGTTGTGACAGACTCCGCAGTGTTCTAAATATTACTACCTACCTTCATATTTTAGCTTCTTCTAGTTGACAAATGACTCCTTGAGTTTCTGTGACTTTGTGTTCCAGTAGCAGTCATCGATTACTCTTTAAAACAAATTACCACTGCATTGCCCACAGAGCATCAGAGCATGTTTTGAAGACTGATCAGCATAGTTTGCTGTGGTCACTGCTTTGAACGTTATAAAAATGGCAGTTCACTAATCATGATTTCAGAAACATTTTAGGAATAAATTGTAGGAATATTTTAAAATGCAACGTCCCATTTCACAGATATAAAACATTTCTGTTATCACATTTATGAATAAGAAAAACAGCAGTGCATTTTTATTGGTTCAAGAGCTGGAACCTTTAATTCAGCTTAGTACTGTATTTGGGGAAAAACAGAACCTCTAGTACTTTTCTGCTTTATAGGATACCATGATGTTGTATTATGTATATACTGTCCTGAGATTAAGCCTCACAAGTGAGACTTGCTCTGAGAAAACATACATGGAATTGTGCAGCAGGTGCTAGGACCAGGTTTTACATTTCTATGTATGCTGCTGTGTTTGCATTAAACATACTTCATGAAAACTAAGAAAATATACTGGCAATTGCTTCCTCAAATCCGTTGAATACGTACTGATACATATTTGTTTCTGCAGTACAACTGTGATTCAGAATGTGAACAAAGCTCAGGTCAAGATCAGAGCTAAGAAAGACAATGTAGCAGGTGTGTATCTTTATGCTGCGCATGATATAATTATTTTTAATTCTATTTATTTAATTATTTAAGTCACTGAGAAACTACCACATTGTTTAGTGCGGCTTATAGTAGAATCAAATAGTTGGAGTGGACTTTGAAGGTTATCGAAGTCCAATTCCTGTTCAATGCAGAATCTGATAAATTGCTATCCAGCCACTCTTTAAATGCCTCCAGCACTGGAGAGCCCACCATTTCCCAAGGTTGTCTGTGATACTGTTGAAACGGGGAAGCTTCTAAAGTTTATCCAAAATCTGCTTCTCTGCCATTTTCACTTGTTTGTTCTGAATTTGGAGCAATAGATAATAACTGTTTTATATTCTGTGACAGCCCTTCATATATTTGAAGCCTGTCATGTCTCGCCTTAAGTACTTCTTCTTAAGCCTACATATACCCAGCTCTTTCAGCTGTTGCTCATAGGATGGTTTCCTGACTTTTCACACTACTGCTGGCCCTGCTCTGGGCACACTTCAATCTGTCAGGGTTTTTATTAAAATGTGGCTCATTTTATAAACTGAGCTTCAGAGGATGTGTTCTGGTTCATTTAAGGCATCATTTCTCATTTCATCTGAACTTGGAAACTGTGATCTAAGTGCTCCCTATAAACCAGAATCAAATTGGCTTTCGGTCCCAAAGGGTGTAGTCATGAGCGTTATGAGAACAAGATGGCAGCCAGAATAGAAATTAGGAAGTGGAATTCATTAATTGCACAACCTGCTGTGTATCTTTTACAGGTGTGACCCTGCCAGTTTTTGAACATTACCAAGAAGGAGGAGACAGTAAGAAGTGATTTTTCTTTTCTTTTCCTTATCTCAAGAGGTTTTGATGTGATCTTAGCTTTAATATGCCATGTTTGAGACCCTTGAAAACTGCGTCTTCTGTAACAGGCCTGTAGTATAATATAATAGCAATGGTTATGTGGACTATTTACAACTCTGTAAATGTTTAGGGGAGAATTTGACATTGCACTATTCTGATCATTCTGTCAAGTGCAAGTATTTCTGCTTGCCTGATGAAACGACCCCCCTCTCTGCCCCTGTGTGCTGCTCTGAGGGTTCTCACTGCCTTCCATGGCAGATTTTTTTTGGGGGGGGGGAGGAGCCCCTTTACACTAGCAGGAGCCCTTGCACCGACTTCCGCTAGCACTCTGGCACTAGCCCTCAATTTTAAAAAAATCATGGGTTGCTTTTATGTACTGTAGAAGAGGTTAACACGAGAAATACCACATGGTGCCTTTTAAAATGCAATCCTGAGCTTTGGGAAGTTATGGAAACTCATGCTATTTACTTTAGTAGGGTCAAGATTGTATTCTTTGGGCGATATCACTTGTGTGATGGAACTTCCCCTTCCTTTTGCAGTCCTACCTCCACCCCACTCCTAAATTTGTTCTGGAGGGTTCTCCAACCCTCTGGATCAGACTTTGAGGGTACAGGGATTGGAGAGGAAGGGGAAATTCTATCACACTGGTGGAAACCCATTCTGCAAGTGTCCTCACACCATTGGATATATCCCTTTACAACTATTTGCATTTTCCATATTAGAAGTGGCAGCTGAGATGAGTGGCTTTGCAGCTGTTTCATGCTTGGAACCATCCTCCACCCTATAGTAAATATTCTGATGGTTTAGTTTTCTGTTTGGTGGCTGATTTTTTTGTTGCTAATGAGGCTGCTAAATGTTCTGGGTGAATTCTTTCAGGTTATGAGCTGACTGGTTTAGCCAGAGGTGGGGAGCAGCTGGCCAAACTGAAAAGGAACTATGCCAAAGCAGTAGAACTCCTCGTGGAATTGGCCTCTCTGCAGGTAGGTGAAGAAAGAAAACTATTAAAAGGACCTCTGGTATGGCTGTATATATAATAATTCTTTGTGAGGTCTTTTTAAAGTATCTGCTTCCTTTTCTAATTGATCATCTGTAGTTGTTTCTAAGATATACTTTGAGGACAAGAGGAACTGCATATTGTGCTCTGACCTGAAGTCGGGGTGCATGGTGGTGCCAGGGAGTGGTTTGGGGGTAGGTGTAGCTATATGGCTTTCGTTTAAGGGGAAATTAGATTGCAGCCTTTGGACTTGGCTTCCAAAACACTGATGAGCTGACATTTGCACAGAATCCCACCTTGTAGCACTAAGTTTGTGCTATTCTCTCAACTTTTTGTTGAGTTGCTGAATCTGAATTATCAGCCTGGTAGAACTTTGTGTGCTCACTTTGTGATGCTCACAATGTGGATGTACACATTGTACAATAACCCCTTCGCCACTAACAGTATATTGGCTATAGTTTCCTGTGCAAGAATTAGCAACACACCCCGCTTTCCACCTTACAAATTAACACTAGAATGTGGGTAAATCAGCACTGGGAGTGTGGGCAGCCTGTTTCTATTTTGCCATCCCCTAATACTGGACTGGTGCAAAAAACAAACTGCTAGTAAGTTTGGAAGACTGAGCTGTCAATAAAGACTCTATTTAGGGAAACTTGCATTTGAAATACCAAGTGAGTGACAAGCCTGCATGATGCCAGATCAATTTATCTTTCTTAGCAATAAAAGTCCCATATATTTGCTGGCATGTCTCTGCTTAGGGCTGAGGTACAAAGAGCTAGTGCATCATGCTTTTTTGCACAAATATCTAATTTTCTGCTCATTCTTTTCCCTTTCTATAGACTTCGTTTGTTACACTAGATGAAGCCATCAAGATAACCAATAGGCGTGTGAATGCTATTGAGCATGGTGAGTCCAAGGAGATAATCCTTAAGTTAGTCTTGTCCAGCCTGATACCTTCCAGATGTTTTGGACTACAACTGTTGGGGATGGATGGGAGTTGTAGTCCAAAACATCAGTGTGCTCTAACTATGGTGAATGAGCTGGTTTGCATAACAGGGCGAGCAATATGTGGGCTCAGATTGCAGCTGCTTTGCTCCTCCTCAGTCCATTTGGCTTAGGGTCTCATCTGAACCAGGTCCAAATGGAGAGCATAACCAAAAATACTGCCCACCATAAATTGGGTAGTAAATGAAGCTTCCTAATACAGTGGTGCCTCGCAAGACGAAATTAATTCGTTCCGCAAGTTTTTTCTTCTTGCGAGTTTTTCGTCTTGCGATGCACGGTTTCCCATAGGAATGCATTGAAAATCAATTAATGCGTTCCTAGGGAAACCGACTTCAGACCAGGTCCGGGGACAGTCTGTCCCCCGACCTCTTCTGAAGGCTGGGGGGGACAAGGGCTTTTCTTCCCACCCCACCCCAGCATTTTAAAAACCCGGGACAGCGGAGGGCGTCTCCGCGGTCCGGGGCGCTCTGAAACTGCTGGCGGGCGGCATTTTAAAATTGCCCCGGGACAGCGGAGGACTTCTCCGCTGTCCGGGGCAATTTAAAAGCCCCTGGGAAGGCAGGCAGGGGGGACAAAGACTTTTGCCCCCCCGCCAGCCTTCAGAAGAGGTCCTGGACCTCTTCTGAAGGTTGGCGGGGGGCGAAAGTCTTTGTCCCCCCCCCCCCGGCCTTCAAAAGCTGTCCAGCCAAGGCTTCGCGGACCTCTCCGCAAGCAGCGGCAGCACTGCCGCTGCTTGCGGAGAGTTGCCGGCATGCCGAAGCCTGCGCGCGCTGAGATCAGCGCGCCCAGGCTTCGCGGACCTCTCCGCGAGCAGCGGCAGCGCTGCCGCTGCTTGCGGAGAGTTGCCGGCATGCCGAGCCTGCGCGCGCTGAGATCAGCGCGCCCAGGCTTCGCGGACCTCTCCGCGAGCAGCGGCAGCGCTGCCGCTGCTTGCGGAGAGTTGCCGGCATGCCGAAGCCTGCGCGCGCTGAGATCAGCGCGCCCAGGCTTCGCGGACCTCTCCGCGAGCAGCGGCAGCGCTGCCGCTGCTTGCGGAGAGTTGCCGGCATGCCGAAGCCTGCGCGCGCTGAGATCAGCGCGCCCAGGCTCCGCGGACCTCTCCGCGAGCAGCGGCAGCGCTGCCGCTGCTTGCGGAGAGTTGCCGGCATGCCGAAGCCTGCGCGCGCTGAGATCAGCGCGCCCAGGCCTCGCGGACCTCTCCGCGAGCAGCGGCAGCGCTGCCGCTGCTTGCGGAGAGTTGCCGGCATGCCGAAGCCTGCGCGCGCTGAGATCAGCGCGCCCAGGCTTCGCGGACCTCTCCGCGAGCAGCGGCAGCGCTGCCGCTGCTTGCGGAGAGTTGCCGGCATGCCGAAGCCTGCGCGCGCTGAGATCAGCGCGCCCAGGCTCTCGCGGACCTCTCCTGCCTTCAAAAGCCGTCCGGGATAGCGGGAAGCGCTTCCCTGCTATCCCGGACTGCTTTTAAAATGCTGGCGGTGGGGAGCAAAGCCTTTCGGCCCCCGCCAGCCTTCCTGGACCTATTCTGAAGGCCGGAGGGGGGGGGGGAAGGCTTTGCTCCCCACCCCGAGCATTTAAAAGAGGTCCCCGGATAATTCCCAATGGGCGTTGGTCTTGCGAAGCAAGCCCATAGGAAATTCGCTTATGCAGCGCCTCCAAAACGGAAAACCCTTTCGTCTAGCGGGTTTTCCGTCTTGCGAGGCGTTCGTCTTGCGGGGCACCACTGTATGCATCCTAATACCATGATGTGATTCAGAGCTGTGCTGATGGATGGCTTTTCCAAGGCCCCATTTCATAGTACTATCTTGGAAGAGGTCAGAATCTAGAAGAACCAGCTCCCTAAGATGACCCTTTCCCCACCACCACCACTATGTTTGTGGCCCCTGGAACACCACATCACTGTGAAGTATTTTTCCTTTTGCTCTGTCACACTCTGGCCATCCTGTATAGTGATTAAATTACTGTGCCATACAACAAACTATGCATCTAACTCAAGGGTTGACAACCTGGGCATCCCTTGGCAGGAGATCAGACTATACACATATCTATGTATGTTCAAAAACATAGATGGCAATCACCAGGATAACTAATTTTTGCATGGCTGCCCTCCTTGTATTTATAGAATCATACTTACTAATGGCAATTTCTTTTTATAGTGATTATTCCCAGGATTGAACGTACACTCTCTTATATCATAACTGAGTTGGATGAGCGAGAGCGAGAGGAGTTTTACAGGTGAGTGACTTGGCAATCCAAAAATAGGAAATTATGAATCTGAAAATGCCCTGGGATGGAGTCTTTTGAGCCCACAAATGCCTCTGTTAACCAAAGAGGAGGGAATTTTTGCACACTCAACATTTTCCCTGCAGCTCCACCACCAGTTTTCATCCTCTTTTTGCAAGGGCTCCCAACTCTGTGGAGTCTATTGGGGTGGGAACCTGCAGTGAGGTGTTAGCAAAAATGGCCTCCCCCTTCTTGGATTCCACTCTGTACGAGTGTGCAGCTTAGTTTATACTGATCCCCCCCAACAGTCCTTGCTAACTTGATGTCCTCCAGATATTTTAGACTACATCTCCCATCAACCCACAGGCAGGTTAGCTGGGACTAATGGAAGTTGTACTCTAAAACATCTGGAGGACACCAGGTAGTTAGTTCCTTTTCTTACCCCTGCTCTAAGCAATAACCTCACTTTTTCTAGGAAGAATTTCAATTTTTAAATAATTGTGCCAAAAGAAAGCAGGAGATTAGGGCTGCAAACAAGTTTCAAAGCTACAATGGAAAGTACACCTCCACCTCCAAATGTTGGTACATTTTGTCCTTAAATTTTCAGCTAAGTTCCACAGAATTGATGGCCCATTACTGTCAACTATTTGAAACAAAATTTTAAAAAATTCCTTCCAGTAGCACCTTAGAGACCAACCAAGTATGTTATTGGTATGAGCTTATCTGAAGAAGTGTGCATGCACACGAAAACTCATACCAATAACAAACTTTTGTTTCGACTATGGCAGACCAACACAGCTACCTGCCTATAACTGTCAACTATTTCTCATTGGAATAGAATACAAATGTATATTAACTTATGTTTACCAAAGCCTTCAAATGCAGTGTGTCAAATGGAACAATTTATCATCTAAGGGGTGGCACACTGGGACACCCACACATAACACACAGTTGAGTTTCCTCTCCTTCTGGTGCGTGGGAAAGCACTCAGTGCACCAAGCCATTGCAGGGAATGAGAAGCCCTAGCTTTTCCCCAAACTTTGTGAAATTGGAAATAAAATCCCGATAATGGCTGTGTCACATTTCGGGGTGGGGTGTGGAATGTTGGAATGACCTGCTATCTGCACACCGGCTTTACAATAATTTGCACTATTTTTCTCTGTAGATTAAAGAAGATCCAGGAGAAGAAGAAGATACTGAAAGAAAAGAACGAAAAACTGCAAGAGTTGCAGAGGGCTGCTGGACAGCTGCGCGAGCCTGCTAATTTGCTTGCGGAGGAAAAGGATGAGGATCTTCTCTTTGAATAACTGTGGACATCTGTTACAATGCAGGACTCAGAACAGTGAGTTTGAGATACAGTTCTGGACACATTGTGATGCTTTTGTGGCTCTTCATTTGGTGTATTAGCCTGTGCTATCCAGTCTGGATTTATTCCAGGATTTTTTTTCTGTTGTGGAAAATAGCTGGTTTGTCCATTGAACACATGCATGAAGCAGAAACATTTCCAGTTCTACATATCTCCATTTAATTTAGTTGGCAGAGAAGTATTGCCACTTCTGCTTCTGCTGTTCTCTCAGCTGTACTTAACTTCATTTTCCCCACATACTGCCAAATTCTTGTGAGCAAAGTTCCTTGTTCTGACCTGCTTTGTGTTCACAAGTGACAGCAACTGTAATAACTTATTAAACGAACAGGCTTTTTTCTCCAAAATGCAATTTTTAAAAAATCTGTGTGATCTCATTGTATCTTTTTGTTTCTGAAAGAAGGAATGGTTTCCATTTTATGTTGTATTTGCCAACTCATCTGTGCTGTAAAATCAGTAAAGGAACCTGTGTCTAAACTTGTGTCATTTTTGTAAAACATCTATTAAATCTTCAAAATAGGTAGGTGGGAACTAGTTGAGTGAACAGGATTTCTCTTTTGCATTTGAACAACTATTCTATAGTTACGTGAACTCTGAAGCAGCTGAAAAAGGCATCCTCTTGTCAAAATCTCCCTTATTCAGTGCATGCTTACTTGTCCTGCAATTTGACAGAAAGCTGGCCCTAACAAGCAGGCTGAAAAACATGTTATAATATCATGCCAATGTTAGGATCGTCCTACATACACTGTCATGTGATAGACAACAATCCCATGACTGCAAACATGGAGCAGGAATCCTAACATCCATATGGTAAGTAATCCTATACAGTACAAGGCTATTGTTCTTAATGGAATAGGAGTTGAACATAGTGTTTTTGCCCTTGGGCTGTTATCAGAAAAGGAGCACCCATTTCCCTATGCAACTGGTGTGGCACCAGCCTCTCTCTACTCCATAGGGGTTTATAGTTTCCTCAGCGCTGCCTACCTAACACAGCTATGGTTGTGTCCTGTGCTGCATGCATTTAGCATTCATAGTCTTACTGAATTAAGAATGTGGGAAGTTCTTGGGAGTAGTTGTGGTTTAGCTCCTTGAGATAGTGCAGCAGCTGAAGGATGCCTGGATAGGGATTCCCAAAAGATGAAACCAAACTTTTAACTTGATTCTAGCAAGTGTCTGGAAGCATCTAATGATTTGAGACAGACATGACTACTCATGAAGTTCCACACCAGCAAAGAATTGATCCACTTAGTGAACAGTTAAGGAAATCACTATCACAGCACTTAAAGCAGCAACTAATGGTGACCTAACGGAATTTAGAACAGTTCCACTCTTGAAATAAGCTTGTAATAATGGTTAAATTGGTAAGTCTACAATTTTAGAAGCGTAAGGCAACATTAGTATTGGTTTACTGAAGCAAGAATGAGTCACTGGAGTTATACTTTCAATTTACCTTGTACACCATACTTCTCTTCACCTTCAAACATAGCAAAACAGCACCCAGCAGGACTGAAATCCCCCCATCAGCTTGATAAGACACTAGGCAAGGGTTGGGAGAAATGGCCTTGCGTTCCACCTTGGAACTTCTCATTAATCCTGCTCTGCATGCAACAAAAACAGTACTACATCCAGAAGTGGGAGGGGTGATTCTAAATAATATAATAAGGCATTTAAAATGAGTTGTGAATTCCAAAAAAAGACACATACAAGTTCTCCTCTCCCCTCCCCTCATTGCACCAAGTTCACATAAGGTGCTGGTTTATTTAAAGAATACACTCTGTGTGCAATATAAGTAATAAGTGACCTTTATTTTTGGTAAGCAAATAATGATGCAAGATATGCTAATTCCAAAGGACAGAGAAAAACCTCCACAATTAAACATATGCTTATTCAAGTTTCATTTTTCAGTCAAGTACCTTATTTTCCATCATGATGTTACAAACTTGTGCTGAAGTTTTAAGCCATGTTAAAGATATGCTGGAACTTTTATAAAGCAGGGTTGTTTTTAATAATCTCAGGACCACTCTGGTGTATTGGGACCACACTGGCTCCTAGAACTACTTTGCTCCTCCATGGTCTTTTTTTAGTCTTGTGCCAACTGTGTTCTCTGAACTCGCACGTGGTTAAACTCTCTTCACCATCCCCAAGCTGCAGCTAAGAATACATTGATTATACACCTTATCGTTAGTGAGGACAGAGCTTAACCAAGAGCTCAGCTCAGTGTAATTGGGGGAGTAAAAACCTGGTAGGAACAGAGATGGATTATTTTTTTTAAAGAGGCTGCAAGCTCTGGGAACCCACACATTTCCATAGGCCATTCTGGTTATGCAGTTGCCTTTAGGTACCAAATGACAGCCAACTCTCTGCAACAAAAGTTACTGTGTGTGAAGCGGTGCCTATGCACTTCTGGGGAGCATATTCTGCCAAGATGGAGCACACAAAGGGTCTTAGGTACCATGCCCAAGTAGGCTTTGGAACACACCATCCAACTCTACAAATAAGTGACTGCACTGACTGAGCTACAAGGGCACTATCTGCTTGACAGCTCAATACAAAACATTAGATGCACAAGATTGCACTGATGAAGCTGAATGCCAATAAGGCTTCAGGATAGTACAAAGATGAGCTGGCTTTTGTTTCCCTGCCTTTTGTTAGCATATAGTGGCTGTAGGCTGTACCACCATACCACCCCTGGCACTGGCAGCCAGAACAGCAGCATGGATGCAACTTGGAGCAATCTTGGTACTGCTTTCCATAACACTACAGTCTGCACACAAGCTGCAGCTGTTTTATACAACCCTCTGTATTTATTTCCTGGCACAGTAGCCTGTAGTACTAAGCCACTAGGAAGTGAAATATATTACCTCACGGTTACATTTACAACAGTATACTTGAAGGCTAGGAATATTATTTTACATGTTTACATAAATGTGCAGTTTATAATAGCTCAAAATAGAGTGCAAGTAGATGTCAAGCTTCAACCTGGGCGTTGTGTAGAGATATACTGTATTACCTTAAAAAGCTATTTTGTTATCCCTTCACCCTTTCTCTTTCCATTTTTAAAGTCATGGTTTGTTTACAAGGCATATCTTTCACTTGGTTAATCAAATATTTTCCCCTATTTAACTAGCCTAGAATAGAACAGCATTTGTTGCAAAGCTCATTATAATACACAATATTGTATCCTCTGAAAGAAGTTTAGAATTTTCTTCCCTCATCCAAACAGATATGCCCATTTTTCTGTAATTACAATATTGTGGAATATCCTTTTCCAAATGTCAGTAGTAGAGTAATTGACAGATATCAATTTAGTTATATTGGATGATTTCTGAAAGCCCTCTTAATTATTGTTTGCCACAGTTGCATTTCTATAGCCAGAGCTTAGTGTGGATTTTTAGGCCACCACTCTTATCTCAAATGACAGCAGGTGGCAGGCACATTTAATATATATAGTAAATTCTGCATTTAGAAGACTATGTCCAATTAATTTCTTAATCATCTTAGAAATTCAGAAGGGGGATAGGAGAAATAAAGGGGATTTTACTGTTAATACATCACTCTTAACCAGTATAGTATGCCAAAACCAGTATTTCATATACTGTCCTAGAATGCATCATGGATTACATCAGCATTTTCTTAACATTTAAACCTAAGATACTGATAGAAATATTTCACATGGCTGTAAAAATAATTAAATTTAGACCTCATGGACATCAGCACCATAACCCTTAAGATGATGAAAAATACATACATCTGGGTAATGCACAGACTATACAATGCAGATAAAACACTTTCCATTCCTTAACCATAGTTAAAGAAGTGGGAGCAGGCCATGGCACTGTGTGCGCTCTCCCTAGCCTTCTCTTTGTATGCGGATTCTACCATCCTTAACCATGAACCTTCATCTCTGCACAATCCTGAACATTTGTTAAGTCTTGTAAGATAGGATTTGTAAACCACTTCAAATACTGATTCTGAATGCCAGTGATCAAGCTTCACCATGGTTTAACAGTAGTGTAGACATAGCAAAGCATAGTTAAGACAAGGGAGGGAAGGGGATTTGTGCGAGAAAAAGGAAGGGGAAAGGACTGAATAATCCCATAGCCCATTCCTGATCCCCTATGCATGCTTAAAGGGTGGGAAGCCTTATATCTGCACTAGCCCAGAGTTTCTGAATTTTGTTGTCTACTATCACATCAAAGCAAAGCAAGGAAGAAACACAACATTCATTTTTCTGCTTTGTATTCTAAGCAAATTTGACAATTTGAGATAAATCACTATTTTGCAGGTTGACAGTGATACATAGATTATTCCATATCACTTCTATTTCCTACCCAAAGGCTTCATTGGATAGAGGCACATTGTTGAGTGATTTTACAATCTCTTGATAAATGTGCTACGCTTAAAGATCATATGCATATACTCTGCAGAGGAGGGGAGCTGTTGGTTGATTCCAGATTTCTCTTTTCTCCCATGGTGGGGGAGTGGATCATAATACTAAGAGAGGAATTTCAGTTCTTAAATAGTATTACCCCCCTCCCCCCAATTCTCCATATGTCAATGTATACTGTATGAAAAAAGTTTCAATCCTGCTTGGATTTTCTGTTTAATCCTTCAGAGAAAAATATGAAAGAACATGGAAAGACTAATTCTTAACTATTAGGTTATATTCAACTACATGTTGAAGTAGTTCCAGTGTATGACAGTATATAAAAATAAAAGCTATGATTGAGAACAAAGAAAACTATTCATATTCACATTAAGGGTGCCACAAAGCAACAAAGCTAATCAGTTTCAAAGGCAGCTACAATTAGAGAAGTTTCATAAATGCAATAGCTGTAATATTTGAACTTTTATGGGTATTTTCAATTGCATATAAGGATATGCTGGTTCTAGAAACAGAACACATCAGGTTCCTAATTTAGTAACATTCACATTCTTCCACTAGTTTTGTTTTACAACAGTATCAATTAAATCCAGGATGATAACTGGGTTACTTAATATTATAAACTCCACTTTATAACTACCTACATGATCAACAGCCATGAGACACCTTGTGTCTAGGTATAAAAATACAAGAAAATATTCTAATATTCATCATCCCAAAGTCTGTTTCCTTGGTTATAAAAGACAAATTTACATTTTAAGGAAGCAAAGTATTCTTTAAAAAAATCCATATAAGAATTTCTATTTTCATAAAAATATAGCTTCCCATCTAAACTCTTCTATAGTCCCATGTGTTAACCGTGGCTCTCAATCAATTGATATAGCAAAGAGGAAAAAATTCATAAAATACCACATCTAAAATATCAGCAGATATATATATATATATATATAACCTTCCATAGGACTTACTGTTATTTAATTAGCTGTGAATCTGATTTACAAACTAACTAAAGACAAAAAAGTTTGAAATATTTACAATGTACACATCTTCAAAAATTGCAGTGCGATTAGATAATGGAATGTTTCAACAACAATTTGAAGCCCAAGAAGGCAACTTCAAATCAAAGTAGCCCCTTTATACATTTGAGAGTACTTGTAGATTAATTCCTTCATTCCCCTTGTAGGTATATTCCTTTATCCAATATTCTGTAAAGGTGTTTTTGCAAACTACCATCATGTCCGCAACATAATTAACTTAAAAACGTTAAATAACAATCAGTTTTTATAGTGATCAGGGACTGAATACATATATTTACCTTGAGAAAAAACTCTAGTCAGAAAAGGTAAACTTAAAGCAGCTGCTTGAAAGTGTTTTCAAATGATTAAAAATGTAGTGGCTTGTTCAAAATGTCAATGTCTGGTAAAAAGGTAGTGAAAGATCAGACATTCAAAATCACAGTAGAATGGTGTCAGACTGTATGAGTATTATTTTTTTAAAGCACACAGTTAATCCGTGCACACAGAGGACTAGAGGTTAATCCATCATCTAATATACAGGGTGAGTATTCTTCTATTGGCAAGGTCCTTTTCTTCCTTGTAACTGTTTCACCGTAGCCAGGAGGATGGAACCCACTGAGGTTCTGTATCAAGTTTGTTAATTAAACGAAGTAATTCTTGGTATGCTTTGTCAATATCAGAATTCACAATAGCTGTGTCAAAGTAATGGCCGTTATTTTGCTCCATCTCTCGGGTTTTCTCTATAATTTCTCGAAGTTCATCAGGCTGAAATTTAAACGAAAGTATATTATGATATTTATGGATATATTACACAAAAATGTCAGAGTCTTGTGAAAAAGCAGCATTAGATTGATTAGGAGGAAACAAAGTACTGGCAGGTCTGAAAGTCAAGCCGCATCTATCACTAGGGCACAATCTTATAATCCCTGGGATAATGTCCCAGGGATCATAGGAATTTGCAGAACTCCCTTTTGCTGATAACCATTGTCATCTCCTCATTCCAAGCAAAGATCAGGACCTAAACAAGACTGTTGACTAAACCTGCAGGAAAATCCCCTAATGACCTCATAAAACCATCTGGATCCATTAGGGTTTGGGAGCAGACCTTCTAATTTGATCCTTCCCTCCTATGGGTTATAAGTCAAAATAGATCAGATGATGATCTGTCCATGACAGAATCACAACTGGCTCCCACAACATAGAAACAGTGTGTTTCCTGCCACCATGTTAGCCCGGTTATAGTTTCAGAAAGGGCCATGGTTGGCATGGAGGCCATAACATTCTGAGCTTCTTCAGATGAAGCAACTTTGGCATAAACACTGAGGATTCCCAGTACAAGCTGCCTCAAGGTCCTCAACACTATGTCCAAGATTACCTCCAAGAGCTTAGGGAGGGAGACTTTTAGGCAGCAGAATAGATGATACACCAATATAACCCCTGTCCTGTCTTGGGTTCCCAATACCAGGTATACACATGCAACCCTGATCACCTGTCAAACAGGATATCTGATCTGGGGGCTGAACCCCTAAAGGACAAATCTACCCCCTACCCCTTGGCCAAGCTTAAATAGCTGATGTGCTGTGAAACCTGGAAGATTCTATTTTAAACAGGGAACTGAATGCAAAATTTAAGATAAATGCACTTTAGTGATCACCAGCAGTCATGTCAGCCAGCTTAGATGGCTTCTGCTTTTTGTCCTGTTCTAAGTACAGTGGTACCTTGGTTTGCAGCCGCTTTGCATTACAACCATGTGAAACCCGGAAGTGCGTGTCCCTTTTTTTTGGATTACAACCAATTTTGGGGGGGAGGCCCCATTGGCGAAAGCACGCCTTGGGTTACAACCTGTTTTGGTTTACAACCGGACCTCTGGAATGGATTATGGTTGTAAACCAAGGTACCACTGTACAGTGGTACTTTGGTTTACGAACTTAATCCATTCCAGAAATCTGTTCTTAAACCAAAACGTTCTTAAACCAAAGTGTGCTTTCCCATAGCAGTGGGGGACACAGTTTACAAATGGAACACACTCAACAGGAAGCGAAACATGTTCTTATTCCAAGGCAAAGTTCACAAACCAAAACACCTACTTCCAGGTTTGCAGCATTCTTAATCCAAGTTGTTAATAAACTAAGCCATAGGTAGGCAAACTAAGGCCCGGGGGCTGGATCCAGCCCAATCGCCTTCTAAATTTGGCCTGCAGACGGTCTAGGAATCAGCGTGTTTTTACATGAATAGAATGTATCCTTTTATTTAAAATGTATCTCTGGGTTATTTGTGGGGCATAGGAATTCGTTCATTTCCCTCCCCCCAAAAAATATAGTCCAGCCCCCCACAAGGTCTGAGGGACAGTGGACTGGCCCCCTGCTGAAAAAGTTTGCTGACCCCTGAACTAAGCTGTTCTTAAACCAAGCTACCACTGTAATACATTGACAAACTGAAAACACTATCAAAAACAGCTGGCCAGCACCACCTGGTGGCAGAAACTAGGAGGAACACATCAAAACAGAGAATCCAAAAAGAAAAAATTCAGCAGGAACTCAACATCTGCCACACATTCTGTCTATAATAAAGGGAATACCAAGTAAAGTAGAATTTTGTCAGTAGAATTTGTAACCAATGCACACATGTGAGTGGAAAAATTTCAGCTCATGCAACAAGACCTCTACTTTCTCCATCCATGCTCAACATGCTAGAGGTTTTGGGGACTCTCAAGAGGAATGTGGCAGCTTTCTTGCTTGAAAGGGTGACGTGGTGTCAGCTTCCTCACCCCTCATATGTATATTTACTTAAAAGTGTCCCAATTCAGTAAGCCTCATCACATATTACTGATGTGTATTTGGACACAAGCTGTAGGAGGATGTCATAACCCTGAACAGGAGCAGCAGAACCCACCAACATTGAATTCTGTGGCATAAAGTTAGGTCTGCAATCCTGCCTGTGTCTTCTCATACTGAATTTTGTGACTGCTGCGTGCTACACAGTTAGCATATTTGAAGAAAATGTGTATCGGAGCACCAAGGGCCGAATGCACTGTTATAAACACTACATGTGAATATTACCTTTGGATTTTTGCCCTCTTTGGCCAGTAATGCACGAAGCCGCTCTTGTGAAGGTGGTGCAATGAAGATAATATATGGCTTCAAGTCTGAATTGCGAAGGCTCTTCAGTGACTGTTGGGAAATATAAATCTGTACTATTAATATTTTCATAAAACAAAGCAAAACTGTAATTCATACCAATTATCTATTGTCAATACAATTTATGCATGCAACATTATACATAAATGGTGACTCTCTACACTAATGATTGTGCAAGGCTTCTACCTAGAAAAGCCAGTTTGCTCCTGGAGAAACTAGCTTAACAAGTTACAACATGTGATCTCAAAAATCGTTCAGTTGGGGCTGCACAAATAACCAAAAAAAGGAACTTAAACTTCATGAACTACACAAGCTAGCAAAGAGATAGTTACATTGAAACTAGAGCTGAAAACTGCAACTGATATAGAGTAGCCGAGTCCAATTTTCCTAATAGTAGACCATGCCACTTATCCAGATGACAGTTCTTCTGACAGCAGCAAAATGGAGAAGACAACAGAAAAATGATGTAAACCTACATAACGAACATGTATGCAATTCTAAAATGATTATGTGTACAGGAACTGTGAGGAACTGACGTTTTATATTCTAATGACTAATTTTTTTGAATTTGGACAGTCCACATTCTTACTATGAGTTGCTCTTTACGTGGTGAAGAATATAATATTCTATACCCTTGCTAAGTGTGGTTACAATAATTCTGCTATTTACAGTATTAGTGTATTTTTATAGAGTAATTTGCTATTTCTTCATATTAGTCTTGAAAACACAGATAGCATAATTCAAGACTTAGCAACATGTGGTCTACAGATGCCTTTAAATGACCTAACAAGATGAGGATTCTGAAGAAAGTCTAACATGACCACAGTGAAAGTGGATGAAGCATGAAGAACCTTTGATTATAGCTGCTTCTCACTGTGTATGGTGCATGAGTTACACTGGTGATTGCTATGGTAAACACGAAATGTGAATGGGAGACTGAAAGCAACATTACTGCTTGTCCACTGCATGTTTAAAGATGCATATCTTCCTGTCACATGTCTACTGGGGTAGGGCAAGTTACAATGGGGAGTTCTCCAAAGAGAAAACTGAAGAGTGATGTATTTAGAAATTAGTCTTACGAAAACTGCTCAGTACATATAACCACTGAATATGTAGAGTGGGCAACTAATGTACAAATTTATTGCCTGTATAGAAGCATATTAGGGAAGTTGCATACATCTGATCTAGGAGAAAATTTAGTGTATACATAGACAGATTTCACATTTGTATCAAAACCAACTAAAATAAGGCCTTCATCAACAACACATTCTAACTGAACTACTGCAACACAGAACCTAGGATTTCAATGTCCAAAAGAACTTCTATTACCTGTGTATGGATATTTAAAAGACATATCTTTCCAGAATTGATCACTTGCCGGACAGAGTCTATGCTGGTACCATACAGATTCTTCTCGAATTCACCATGCTCAATAAACTTTCCTGCTGCTATGTCGGCCTCAAATACTTGCCGTGATACAAAATGGTAATCTCTGCCAGCCACTTCATTGTCTCTCCTATTTCGTGTTGTATCTGAAAAGACCAGTAAACAAATCTAATTTAAGACTTCTGTGTCTTTTAACTGTTTTGAAGGCATTTTTGTTATGTCAGTTTGCAAGGTATGAAAAACAGCTACTTGGAAAGAAACCCTTTTCAGCAGAATGTATAAGTGCAAAATTAACAATGTTGACCTTTAGAGTCTTTCAGCCAGAAAGAATCGCAAACTCTTAACTGGGCTAAAAAAATAGTTCCATAATACAGCAGTCTCTGGCACATGTCCAACTGTGCATAACACATGTCCAGTCATGCAAATGTACTTTGAACAAAAACATGAAGCAGGGGATGTCAGATGCAACTGAAAATACAGGAGAATGCAAGGTAGCAAAATCACCTTCCTGTAAATGAGAATTTAACTAAGTTATTTCAATAAACTGCCTTGTTCTTATGAATGGGATCAAAGTAGTAGTACAATCAGAAAAGGGTCTTTGTGGCAGAAGTCCAGGGCTCCACTCAGCAGAATAAGTAGAAGGGCCCAAAATGGAACAGGGCTGCCTTGCTACATTTTTAGTTAACTTAATACACATCATCATCCAATGATGTGGGGGGGAAGAGTTATAATACCATTAAAAATTACATATCTGCGTCACTGGGTCAAAGGACATTTTTTATGGTTAACTCCCTACATTTGTATTGGGGAAGAATTTACTAAAGCAACTTCCCTCCATACTAAGGTATATAGTGTGGTACTGAACTGAACTTGCAAAAATGATGTAAGGCCAGGCAGCAAGGGTTTGACATCAGAACACAAGACAGTTACATGCCCCAGCCTTTCAACTTACGAGGAACTGCAGAAGCAAATCTGTCAGCTTCGTGATTCATTAACCTTTGCCGAAGTTCATTTTGGCCACAGTTTTGTGGACCGATCAGGACAATGGGTCGTTTCCTATTCGCTGGTTGGTGATAAAGGGACATTTCCTCATAAGTCAAGATCTCCTCGTTGTCATAATCTTGAGAAAACAAGGCCAAAATAAGTATGGCATTTTTTGATTAGGAAGAAATAAACATGGGGTGATAGTCAACTATATTTTACTCAAGAGTAGGTCTGCTGAAATTAATGCACCTAACTGCCATGTTCATTAATTTCAGTGGGTCTACTCTAAGTAAAACTGAATTGAATACCTCAGAACAGCTTTAAAAAATACGTCTTTTATTGCTGTGTAATAGTTTTGTTATCATTTCTTCACATTAATTGAATGCCAAAGGATCAGTGTCCAAGGCTTATCACTTCTAAAATCAATGTTTATTACAGTCACAGACTAGCAGTTTACTTCTAAAACATAAAAACCCATAGAAAATTCACTATTATAATCACGAAAGAAATATTAGAAAACATATTGTCCAGATAATATAGCAATAACTATGGGTGAATATTTATGCGCAATAATTTTAACACATCGTAAGCTGAAAAATAAATCAGTTGCACTAACCAGAAAAAATACTGGAAGATAGCTGAAATCCCTTCTTACCGTCATTTTTATTGGCATTATACAGAACCTTTTTCCTTTTCTTTTTATTTTTCTTCGCACACCAAAGTTTCCCTAGAAGTTAAAAAATAGAGAGTCAAAGTTGTCCATATATGTAACTAAGATTCCAGCTGCAATTATTTATTTTATAACGCATGTTAAATTGATAGCTGTTGTACACAAATTAAACACAAGGCAGACCCTGCTCACACAGACTTACGATCTAAAGGAGGAATGGAGAACATGTGTTACTTCAGATGCTGCTGGTCTGCAACTCCCATCATACCTTATCATTGGCCATGCTAGCTGGGGATGATGGGAGTTGGACCAGCAACATGTGGCCACCCTGATCTCAAGGAACAGCTGTGACATGTTAGAGAGGAAGAAAAAGTAAGTAAAGTGAATAAGCCATGGTGAAAGAAGTGTCTTAAGGAGGCACTTGGAATATCAAAACAGTGGATAGTTGTCATATTGGAAATGTGATATCATTTTTTTAAAGAACTGGCTATACTAGCAAGAACAAGTAGAAGGAAAGTTCATAGAGGTTTGTACTCCCTACTTGGTCTGTATATCAGTATTAAGGAACTGCTACTTCTGTCTTCTGTCAGTGGGACCACACATGCAAAACTGTCCATTCCCTTGGTTATTTCTCTTTTTAATTTTTAAAAATGAACACTCCCCCACCTGAGTACAATACATCCATATATGTAATCAAGGAGGACAAAACACATGGTACCACTTCTAGGTTCTACCTGAGTCAAAGTGCAATAGATGGCTAAATCACACTCAGAATAGACCCATGTAGATCAATTGTCTGCTGATTTCAGTGAGTCTACACTGAGTACATTAAGTTTCACCCAAATATGACAGTATCTCAGCAAAAGTTGCTTAGTCGGTTTAGCTCTCCTTAAACATGTTATGGAAGTTGTGGATAAATGCTCACTATCACTGAAGTATTTGAACTGAAAAAGAGGAGGTACAGTTCAAGGACTGAGTTTCTTTTAAGATTATTAGTTATCACAGGTATTTCATGAAGATTTTCATCTACCTGATTTTTCTGGTTCTTTGTCTTCCTCTATAGTTTGCTTCATAGCTTCTCTTTGTTGCTGAAAACTTTTCCCTTAATGATAAAATACATTTAACAATTAGTAATGAGAAATTATTGCCATTTCAGAGTACACCACTGTTTCAAGAGTGATCACATTTCAAAATGGACTGAGATTTTGATCCCTATAAGCGCTTTGAGGAAGATAATCCCACAATAAGAATTCTCCTCATACCTCTGCATCAGTTTTTTCATTTTGTTTTTGTTTTTAAATGCCAAAGTTAAAAGACATCTACAACATTAGGCCTCCTGTTGGGAATCTGGTCATATCAGCAGCTCACCAAAGGAGGAGACTATGCAACAACAATTCAAAGCAACATCCCAGTAGTTCAACAACAATGGTATCTGAAACTTCTTTGTAAAAAATATATTCAATATACACAAATACTCCATGATTAAATACCTGGAATGAGGCCTGCCAAAGGCTGATTTTCTTCATCTCCATCTCGATAGGCCTGCCACCAGTTTGGATCTTCTTGGCTGATCACATGGAGTATATCTCCCTTTTGAAAGGATAAGCCTAGCTCTCTGCATGGGACATAGGGGTCATCAGATGGATCATAGTCAAAGTGAGCTTTCACATGGATCTAGAAAATAAAGAGGTATAAACATAAATATGGACTGGAATTGCAAGTATTAATCTCTGACAATATGTTCCTTTTGTATATAAGAGATCTCACTTTCACTTCAAATACAGAATGAAGAGCTCAAGCATAAATAAAAATATAAACTACTGGTATAGAAGGCAATTAAATATTAGGAACAATTAACTGGGCAGTAAGTAACTTTGAATTGGCAAGAGGGGTTCACCTCTACAACTTAGACCTGAAAAGGCAGACTCAAATTTAAATCATAAACACCGAAGAGAGCACTAATTTTCTATTCTCTGATGACCTCCAAAGGAAAGTTTGCCTCTGCCCAGCCATTATGGATTGTGTGTGAACTCAAGCTGGGTCTGCCTGCTCTCCTGCTTAACTATCCCAAGCAACTTGTCCCAAGCAAGCTCCAACCAGTTTCTCCATCCAAATTGTCAGGGAAAGTGCAGCATTACAAAGCTGCGGCACATGTACATGCACGTGGGAGATGGCTAGGAAAAGCGTGCTCCAGATACTTCTGTTCACTCATTATTAGCAAGGTGTTTTTTCCAAACACAATCAACCAAGTAACACAGAGATGGCAGACAGCTAGAACAAACTTTTTTGTAGCGAACAATACCAATTTTAAAATAAATTTGACACTTGCGTTATGAAAACATTGATGACTTGATGTTTGTGCCTGCTTCCCCCCCAGCCGCCTCCACCACTTTCATTTTTTAATGAGAAGTCATTCTGCTTACATAGGGTGGGGTGGGAAATGTCACTCTGAGCTCAATGAAAGGGCACTTTGATGCATAACTATAAGAGGAATATCCTGGTGGCACAGAAAAAGTGGGGTAGGCGCAGGCAAATGAATCTCAACTGAAAGCACACCCCAGATCAAGGCAATATCTACCATTTTGCACATACAACTATCACTACAGAAACAAGACACTTAATAGCAAATCTCTATGGTGCTTAAAGAATAAAATCAATACAACAAATGTGATTTCTGCTCTCAGAATCTAGTATGAAAACCTTATTTCTTCACTAAGACATAAATAAACACTCAAGACATTTCTAAACTGAAAGGTTCCCTGCCTAAAGCTGATGCAGTTTTGTGATGAAAATGAAGATGGTTTGTATCAGATGGTAATGTAGAACCTGAAATGGGATAAACAAGTAACGGATTGTACTAAAAAATAATGTGCATGAAAAAGGTCATTTGCACAACAGGGCTTCCTTCCCCTTCTCTACTTGCCACTGTGCCCTCCCCAAAGCCTCCTGTGGAATCGGGACTGCAGGGAAGATCTGGGATATAGTACAGGGAGAGTTAAAAATCAGATGAAGATTGCTTGTATTAGCAGCACATGACATGCTAGAAACATCTGTTGTGTTTAACAGCTCACGTCTAATCACCCAGAAAGCCTTTTGCTCCATCATCCAATCCTTATCTACTTTTCTTCTGCCTCTTAAACAGGAAATCTTGCTTGCCAAAGACATCCCTCTAATATTCCCAGTCACTCAAAGGATTATAAGTATCCCCAAACCCATTTTTTCCTCCTCCTCAAAATGCCTACTCAGGAAAAGGTACTGCTTGGCAATACCAAAGATAAGAATAGTTTTATTACTCTCCTTACTTCACATAACAAATGGATTGCCTGTGTCAATAGTGTCAAAAAGTGATGTTATGGTAGGGTTGCCATACGTCTGGAATCTCCCAGACCAAGCCGGAAAACTGAAGTTGGAAGCACTGTCTGGACGTATGGCAACCCTATGTTATGGGACAACTTACAATTGCTTCCACCAACATTTTCAAAATCTCTTCTTAAAGCATGGCTAAATTAAATATAGTCTATTATTCAGTGAAGGAGACGCACGAGACTTCAATAGCAACCAAAAGAGAATATAAAACCGACTGAACACCTGCAATTAAGTTAAGTTATATACTGGAAATATGCCACAAGAACATACCACTGTCTCTTTTGTGGGTGGTGGCTTACTCTGCTGACTGGGAATCAGGACAAATGTCAGCGTGCCGTGCATGTCCGCCTGTGAGGAAAAGCACATTCATTAGTAACTGACAACTTAAAAACAGCCTTGAAGTTAGACACTCACTCATGGGGAGCAACAATGGGTTGGGTGAAGGGGAGGGGAGGAATTTCAAGCTGCTGCTCTTACAGGTCTTTCTTCTCCCTGAACTCTAATCTTAGTTTCCCTACCTCTATTTGGAAGTGCTCTAGTCTAGCATATTTATGTGACAAATTGCCTCCACTTTTCAGAAAACAGCCTAGTCCCCAAACAAGGAGATAAATGGCTTCACATGCTTCAGGTCACCATTGAGACAAAGAATGCTTGATTAAGTGGACTCTGGTATAACCCAGGAAGGCAATTCTTGTGCTTTATGTCTCAAGTCTCACCTCTTAATGTCAACAGCCATGGCTAGCCCAGACACTAGACCCATAAGTAATGTGCCAGGCTAGGTAATGCTAAAATAAAGTCAGATGGTGCTCCTAGGGCAGCACAATTGGAATTTACTAAGGAAATGAAAATGACACCCAAAGCCAGGATGATGCAGCTTTGTAGCTGAAGCCAGTCCATGGGAATTAATCAATTCAAAGCTGACTGGACAAAAAGTACATGGAACCTTCTGGAGTGCCAGGTTAAAAGAAGAGTTGAACTTTGATCATTTCCTAGTATGTCCTAATACAAACTTGGAACATTTCCTAATATGTTCTGGCATATTCAGGAACAGGTGGTGCAGAACAATCCAAATTCTAGACATAAAAGTCTCATGCAATTATACATAGCATTCAAGTAATATAATCCTAAATACTTTTATAAAGCCCTGCTTACATAAGAAGTCTCACTCCTAGGACTGCACTCTGCTACACCTCCGGTAAAGAAGCATTTCAGAACTGATGAGCAAGTATTAACAACCCTGCAAGCTGCTCCCATTTGTGCTGAAGGCAATTTCAGGAGGCTGTCCTCCTCTGACCTTAGAAACTGTAACAAGACATAGGCTGTCTGCAAGGTATGCAGGGGTCAAACATTTTAAGCATAGCTCCTGGCAAAACATATCAAAGTCTGAACTGGAATTTAACAAATTTAAATGCACAAGTCGGATCATAGTAAGTAGCAGAATACCATGAAAGCAAGGCTCAACATACCAGTAAATCAAAAACCTCATTAACATCCTTTCCACGAATTTCAATTCCGTTAATTTCCAGAACTTCATCACCTTCATGCAACAGCCCACTCTTCTCTGCAGCACCTCCCTTCACTATTCGACTAATGATGACTGAATCCATTTCATTGCGTACTGTAGCGCCCTGCATAATTAAAAGTGATAATTTAAAAGTGTCAGAAATTTTCTATAATTGTGGTGCAGTGGATAAAGTAGAATTGGGAAGACACAGGTTCAAATCCCAGATCAGTCTTGGGTCAGTCTATAACTCTAGTCAAACTCACTTCATAAGACAATGTATGCTGAATACTACCCTGAATTCCTGATGATGGGCAGAGCCAGTGGCGTAGCGTGGGGGGTGCAGGGGGGGCCGGCCGCACCGGGCGCAACTTCTGTGGGTTAAGGTTAGGGGGCGCAAATTACTTGCCTTGCCCCGGGTGCTGACAACCCACGCTACGCCACTGGGCAGAGCAGAAATATAACCAACAATAAATAACATTTCTGAAAATACAAGTTCTCTACAGATTCTAAGGAATACTGTAATTCTATAGTTAGCACATCAGAGAAAAGTCTAAGAGAAGACAAAAACAACAAAATGAGCCTGAATAAGCTTTTCTTGTTTTGCAGGGAGGCACAGTATCCAGCTCATCAAAACATATTCTTCCCATTTTTAGTTGGGATTTTGAAAGCTTCTCTTCTTAATGAATTTTAATTATTGATTTACACTGTTTTTATGATGCTCTTATATTGCTATCTTGTTGTGCTTCTAGATGATATGGCATTTAATAGATTTATTACTGTTATTCTGGATTTGTTAGCCACATTGACATTTGAAGAAGAGAATGTGAAATGATCATATGCAATCACTATTAAAAACATTTAATGATTGCCATTAAAGGAACAAGACAGGGAGGGTCTTAACCTTACCTGCAGCACCTCATGTAGTAATGGTGCTGTTAAATCAAATCTGTGCTAAGGACTTTGCCTTGGGTATTATGTTGTAACCAATCTTTTTTAATTACAGAATGTGTTACATTAGCATCAATATTTGTGGCTCAATGAGTTAAAACCTGCCCTTTCCTTTTGTTGCTATATAGCCGTAGTCAAGGACAGTTACCCACAGCGTTGGAGGGGGACAAGGAAAGGATCATTTCATCCCCATGAAGTGACATTTTATTATTCTTTCTGATCCACAACACCAGAAACCTTGTTTAGATGGTGATGAGGGTTGAGCCATGATCAGGTCCTAGTGGAACTACCAAAAGGTGGAGCCTAGGCGTGCTTGCTTATTGATCTTTGTTATAAATTGCCACATGGAAATTCTGAAATGCATAAAGCAGTGAGGAAAATACTAGTGTATGAAGAAACACAGTAGCACTACCAAATCTGTATCTTAAATTCGAAATACTGTAGTTTCAGTCACTGGTCAGATTTGAGAGGTACATTATGGAATACAGGAACAGGCAATTAAGTTCAATTTTCCAATAAAAACGTCATTCTACAAACAAGTAAAAATGAAAACCACCATCTAGGTCTTCCAACAATAGGATATAATTAAATTTTCAGCATAGCCTGAGAACATGAGCCATCAATTTCATGTTCCATTCCACAAAATCAGGAATGCTACAAATTAATGCTCTTGCACTATAGATTACAAGTGGAACTGCAATTGATCATCTATTCTCCAAGAGGTCTCCTGCTTCTTAAAGCATCCATCTCACCTTAAAGTGCAGGAATGAAATAGCTATGTGGGCAGTATTGCTCCCTCTCATTTTCCCACCTCTTATTAGCGACGCACACTCATTCTCTCAACATTTTTGAAGCTGTTGCTTCTCAAACATTTTAGTAGTGTACATGAGGAAGATATGATTTGTGGCTTGGGGTGGTATGTGCATGTACATCAATAAACCTTTGACAACCCAATCTCTTTGCCAGCTACAGCGTCCTCTCCTTGTCAAAAGTGTCAAAAGCTGGAGAGTTAGACCTGTTACCACTGCTGTTCAAAGCTGCTCCTGAGTGCATTAAGTCATTTAAAAAAACAACAACACTTAGTTGTGCTATTTCACCATGGATGTACATACAGATACACATATAAAGAGTGAGCTCTAAGCAATGCTTTGTACATTGTGAAGGGAGGTAAGCAGGTTAAGGAAAAATCTGCCTAGAAACTTGAACTCCTTTATTCCTAATCCAATATGGCAGGAAAAGGGAAGGCTGGCAGCAACATCTTTTCATTTTTCAAAAAAGAACTGAAGATGATGGTGACTGTCATGGGACATTGCTCTATATGGAGGGGGGAGGCAGTTCTCTTCTCTCCCCAGCTTCCTCCCTTTTTGTTTGTGGGGGGCAAACCTTCCCATTGTTTTTTCTAGGAGAATATAAGGAAGAGAGAAGATTCTGAGGAAAGCCTCCCACCCTGTACCTGTACTCATTTTTAAAAAAAGAGGTGCAACTGCGAGTTGTCTTTAGAGTAGGCATTATTTCACCCAAGAGGCTACTAGGAGCAGTCAGATCCTGTGATTCTTTTTATTAACAGTTATCCAGTCTGATTTGGTACCTTTATGTAGAGCACAGCCACAGGTTTTTAGAGCTGTGTGCTGAGACTTTATTCAATAACAATGGAGAATAGGAGACATTTCCAGAAGTGGTGAGAAGGGTGTGGCTGGAGTGATGTCTTAATCGACTATGAATAGATTAGAATACACTGAGGACCATAATGTAAGATTTAGATAAGATATATACATATATGTGCGAGATATTATATCATACAAGATTATATGTTGTATTTCATTTGTAGTTTGAGATTTTTGTTTCTATATACTGTCATTGCTATCCTCACACATGAACACAATAAAAAAACTTTAAAAACCCACAATGTAAGGATACTGATTTTACTCCAATTAAGAACTGCTGTTTTCAAGGGGAGCACTAAGGAACCCCTGAAAATATGTGTAACCGTTTTATAAAAGCAACAGCACAGCTGAATTTTCCCTCATTAAAAACCTAATTGAAGTGTGGGGGCTAAGGACATTTAGTTCCAGGAAGCAATTAATTAGTTGAGAGCCAGTGTTCCAGCTGTTTTAGATCAAGGGAAAGGAGAAAAAAACAGCTCTGAATCAGGAATGCAGGGCAAACAATAAATAAATAAAGGAAGGGTACCCCTAAACCTCATTCATCCTCTTCAGGGTAACTCCTCTTACTGTTCACCAACTGCGCATTTTCCCATCCACATTTGCAAAAATATTGTGATGCTCCTCATAAGACCGTCCAAGGTAAGAAAAAAGATGGATGCAGACTAGGAAAATATGGGAGGATTACAAACAGATCACAGTGCCATGTGGGTCAACTGTACAATTTCATGAAGAAGGCATGTCAATTGCACATTAAAAGCAGAATCTGGGATCACCCTAAGAAAAGGTACTTGCACCTGTCCTTTCTTATATCTGAGTGTGTCAGCATTTTTTTAAAGAGAGAATGTGCCACAGAGATCAGACCGAGTAATACGAAAGTACTATGGTATTCATCTTTTTATTGGCTCTCTTGCCTCAGTATACTCACCAATGGAATATCTCTAGCCTTTTCAATGCGAACTATTTTAACTGTCTCTCCTCCATACAGACCTACATTCTCATAAATCTTTTCATCCGTCACTGGCTCTGGTTGCATTTCCTGCTCAGCAACTTTATCATGAGCCAACAGCAGTGCCTAGTGTAAAACAAACAGTGCCATTTATAGAAAGTGATATTCACACATTAGAGGTAATTTATAAGTGGGACACTTTAAAAAATCCAAGCAGATAAAGATTCAACGTGCAGGCTATAGTCCAAGGCAGTCATATCATACATGTTTTCTCTTGCTTTCAGCGTGGATGGGTAGCTACATAACAGAGCTATAACCAAGAATTATGGTTGAATGAACAAAGGATTGTGCTTTCATAAATACAGGCTGTGACCATTAATACAACAGAAAATAGCCGTTGCCCATTTGTTTTCGTTTTATTTTTTAATTTCAGTTGTCCTGTGAAGGTGTAGCACATGAGGCAGCTGCACATTCCTCATGAGATATTTGACTCATACCTGTAACTTACTGGCAAAACTTCAAAATAGCAGGAAACACACATAGCAGAGAACTTATGTACAGTAGCTGGAATTTTGAAGTTTTTAGTCAAAAAGGAAAGCTAATGTTCAGGTGTGTTTTTACAGTATGCAACTATTATTTCTTTGAATCATGACCATGGAACTTTACTATATTAGGCAGGGAAAAAAAGTCTGAAATTTACAATACGTAGACATTAAGAAAACAATTGAAATTTTTTTTCATTTGCAAATAAACAGTTTATTCCTACCTGAATATGAGGAGCATTCAATAAAGAATTAAGTTCCAATCCATCTTTCTGATGGCTTGGCTTCAAAACACTCTGTACCTGAAACACAGGTGAACACCAAAAATATGATGATGTCTACTATCCTACCCCATACCTACCCCATAACACACACAAACACCCGAAATAAGAATACATTCTTACACCCTGTAAGAATACATTTCCAGAATTAAAAAGGGCAGAACTTCATGTTACATAAACAAACACTGGTTCCCAGACCATTTTCATAGACTAAAGAAGATACACACAGGTTGGAAGAAAGGGTTAAACACTCTCACTCTCTCTTGCTCTTAAGTTTAACCCTTTCTTCCAACCACAATTATTTTCCCTCTAGCTAGGCCAGACTGGAAATAGGCTTGCAGAGTGAATACTGGTGAGAGGGCAGGGCTGACAGGGCAGAGCTGAACATCCCCTCTTGCAAAATCTTCACTAAATATCTTTCTACCCATGGATACATCTAATTCTACAAATATGAGACTCCACCCAAAGCTACCAGTTTGTTTTTCTATGAGCTGATGCTGATTTTTCTATATAACACTTTATATCAGATAATAATAATAATAATAATAATAATAATAATAATGGAATGGCTACACAAATTTCTATTTTGACAGAGATGCATGAGATAGAATGCATGAGAGGGATTCAACATAGCACTTAGGAGATTACTCCATCATTTCTGCTTGCACACATGGGGAAGAGAGGGGAAAGGCCCTGTTGTGCTGGCAGAAGTCCTTGAGTGGGCTTCTGTTAGTGGGACTAGTTGTTGAATCAGATCCTCGGTATTCATAACATTTTCATTGAAAAAATATTCACGATTGAGGCTATGAGACAGGCAAAATAATTTCAAAGAGAAAGGATGTCTGCAGAATATACAGATCACACTCATTTCTGTACTTCAAAGTGAATGATGTTTCCTTGTGGCACTAGCTTTGATCCACCATCAATACCTTGTTAACAGTAAAAAAAAAAGGGGGGGGACCAGAAACCGAGGTGGAACAGCAAAAAAATGTGTGTGAATATTGGGGGACGTTTGGCACTACAATATTAACTCCCATACCCTGGAAAAGTTAATTGCATTACAGACTGACATTCAGATCTGTAAGGAGTCTTGCTTAAAACAGGCTGAGTCATTTGGGCAGTTAGGATGTACAACACAGAGGCCATGTGAGTGCGTGGTTCAGAGATCCAGGGATCAGGTGTATTTTTTATTCTGGGCGGGGTTGCACTTTCCCTGAAAGAACAAGTATGCAGTTTGGGGTTTCTCTGAGAACCATCATTGTTACTGGAGGTCCATGTAAATGCAGTGGCAAAGAGCATCTTTTACTAGCTCTGGCTGGTATGCCAACTACAATTCCTTCTGGATGATTACAGTTTAGTCACAGTCATGCTGGTAAACTCAAGATTAGACTGCTGTAACAAGCTGTCCATGTGGGGCTGCCCTGAGACTTGGTTTGGAAGCTGCAACTAGTGTAGAATACCATGGGTAGGTTGCTTACTAGCACATCCTACTGCATGCATGTAACACCTCTCCTGAATGAACTGCACTGATGGTCAATTTGCTCCCAAGCCAAGTTTAAAGTTCTGTTATTTACATAAGAGCCTAAAGAATCTGGGAACCAGTCAACTAAGATCTTCAGAGAGTCCCTTCCATGGCCTGCTCTGATCTATCTAGCAACAACCAGCAAAGGGCTCTCACTACAGCGGTACCCGTCTTGTGAAATAGTTTCCCCTCAGTAATGTGTTTCTGCGAGCAATTAACAACTTTTTTGTTCACCCAGGTATTTGTAGATTGTTGAGTGCTGGATTGTTTACTCTCCATTTCCTGCATTTATTATATGACTACTTTTCTACATATTTTTATTTGTTTTAATGCAATGTTGTTTTAAACATGCTGTACACCGCTTTGGTACGTCATGTGAAAAGCAGCATAGAAGTGCTTTTATAAACAAACAAACATTTCTTCCTTAGAAATGCTAAACAAACTGTCACTTAGAAGGTCCACTCTATTATTATGCTATGGGGTCTAGAATTGTAATATCTTGCCAATGTGCTACAGAGCATTCCATGCCAGAAACTACTTTCTTGAATCTTGCATCAGCTGATCTTTGAGGCTCAACACTCAGACTATTTCCCCCTAATCCTAGCCCTCAATTTTGCCGCATTTAACTGGCTTGAAAATCAATGTAATTAAATTTGATGTTCAACAGCTATTTTTATAACAGAGACAGAGTGCACCACATTATTTTAGGGAGTTAATCTCCACATAAATTCCTTAAGCCTGCATGCTTTGCTCAGCCTCCTAATTAAATTAAAGTTTCAGAAAAATAGATAAATCATATTTTCCTTGCCTTGTTATTAAAACTACCTTTTGTCCGTAACAACAGTGAGGAAATAGTCGGATTGAGAATTATCCTACACAGTACTCACATTTAAGCAATAAAGCAAACAACATACTCTATTTTGAATATTAGTCAGAAAGTACAAGGAATGCCTCCCAGTAGGGCATGTGCACAGCATCCATGCACTTATCCAAGCTATTGAAAATACTTTCTTATGGCCCTTTTTAAAAGGAAAACGAAAAAAAGCAGGCTCTTCTGATACCTAGACCTCAAATCAAGAAGCTGATCCTATTTTCTTGTATTATTGAACATGAAAAAACTTTATTGTTATTGACCCAGGCTTCCCTATACCTTTGAAAGTAGCTGTTCAAAATAGACTGTTCTTAAAATTGCAGCCATATTTTCATTAGATAGATAAAAACTAATATTTGTTTTCTTTTTGTTATAAGACAAGGCATCCTAATAAATGTTTGCTCAATATTGTAAGCTATTAAAATATAACAGAATGCACAGTATGTGTGTATGAAAAAACAGAATCTCAACAAGCAAAATATATTTTAGCCTGAAATGCTTTGAATACTTTACATCTATTATATATTCTAAATATTGTTACTATTTTAAAAAATAGTATTAATAAAGCCATCCACATCTCAAACATCCCAGGAATTCCAGATGGCAAGAAGCAATGTAAACATTCAAAGTGGCAAAATAAACATAAAGGCTGTTAAAGTACTTTATATAACTGGCTAGTCCAAAGTAGCAGTAGTTGTCAGTCTTCTGAACATTAGCAGAAACAAAATCCAATTCATTCTACAGAATTTAAGTTAACAAGACTCACTAGCTGATTTGTTGAGGTACTGAATGAACTCAGATCTGTGCCTGCATGCAATTGCTTCACATTTGTAAAAATTACACGTGCAGTGTCTGCTACTATCAGCCTGGTAGTAACAAGAAAAGTGGACATTTACTGCCAAGTCCATGTTAACTTTTGCTTCGTTTAGTAATTTAAATGTGTTAGAAAAATAGAACAAATTGCCAGAAGTGGTAGAAGCAGAAAAGGTAAAGGCTTGCTTCAAGCACCTATTTAGGTGATAATCAAAACACTGGTTTGTTATAGTAAGCTGCTTTATCTGCAATACACTTTCTTTTTTAGAGGCTATTAATTTAGTAAAAGCAATTCAATGCTGAATAGCATACCATGCTGATGTTATTTAGTTTTTGGCCAGGATCTTATGAGCTACTTTAAGAACATACAAGGGTTTGGGGGTTTACAGTGAAACTTTAAACTATTTCTCTGACCAGACTACTACTCCATACCAAAATGTGCTTTTGGGAGACTCCTTAGGTTATTTGAAATGAGATATGGTAGACTGCTGTTTAAGACACAACAGTAATAAGCTCAGTGTCCACTTCGGCATGCATAACTAGTCAGATGATCCTTTGGGTCCTGGGTATTGAATTGTATCCGAAGTACGAAGCCTAAACGAGGAAGCTTGCAGAAGAACAGAGATATCTTTTAAATCAATTAGGATACTGAACACTGTTGTGTGCCACCTTACATTTCTACTGATAAAACTTCTACCTTCTCAGAGTCTGAAGTTATTTTCTTCTGGACAAAGAAAACAGATAGTAATACAGGCTATATGCTGGTTCCCCTCCCCATTTTAATGACATAGCTATGACTGGCAATTTGAAATAAGTTACTACTAGTTTCATTATTGGATGGGAATATACACTATACATACCTCTTGTGCAAGCTCTTGCGCATTGGAGATAAGTGGGTATGGTGGACTGGTTTTGTTCATATGCACGGTAACCGCATTATGAATTTTAAATGCATTTTGAAAGTCGGTGTTTTGAACCAGCTGTAAAATTAGAGCTATTTCCTCTTGGCTTTGGGGATCTACCAGGGTGTGCTGAACATGTTTCAGAGATGATAGAAGCTCCTCAACTTCTAAAAAGAAAATTGAGATACATTACTTAGCCTGAATATATAAGGTAAATGAAACAAAAAAAGAAAAGCCTCATTCTGAAGAACTGGTTATGATATAAGATGAAAGGCACAAATAGAAGAGCAAGGTTTTGCAGGAAAAAAATTAAAACTGCCCTTTTCAAATTATTTTTGCGATTATAAATATTGGGCTTGATAAACCTAAGTTAACAGTGGTATAAAATTATTATTCAACAATGTATCTTTTCTATGCTTTTTAGCATATTGCTTCAAGTCATAATTAGTGTCCAATAAATTCCAACATTAATATGGTAAGATCAATGGTTGATTACACAATGGCCCTGTTCATACATCACAGTAAAGTTCAGATGTGTTTTAAATGTAAATGTACTTAATTACTGCAATTCCACATCACACTTGAGTTGGCTCCTAATGAAAAGGCTTAGAATAATCAGACAACTTGCAAAAAACCCGTGGCTGCATGCTTTGCTATACAGCAGGGGAAATGCTAGAGATCCCAACTGAGGAAGATTTAACCCTCAGCCATCGGTTGATGTGCAGGGGATTAAATTTTGCTGCTTTGTCTGGAAACAGGTGCACAGCAAAGGCAAAATTGAACCCTGCCCTCCTGGGCATCAGATGACATGCATGATATCAGCAGATCAACAGGTGGACATGATTTTGGAAAAATAGCCTCACTGGCCAAACTGGACCCCCTGGGGGCCAATAATGACCCATGGGCTAGAGGTTCCTCACCTCTGCACTAAACCACAGTGAAACTTTGGCTTCACATTGTGGCTTGTTTGGAGTGCAAACAAAACCCTATTTCAGATACAATGCTCAGTCAGGAATTGTGATTTATTTCTCTCATGTAATACCAGGGAAGAGCAAAACAGGAGAGTTCAGTGTGTTCATGGTAAACAACTCACTGTGGTTTGCTGTGATGTGCAAGGTAAAGGCAAAGGTAAAGGACCCCTGGATGGTTAAGTCCAGTCAAAGGTCACTATGGGGTGCGGTGTCCATCTCACTTCAGGCCAAGGGAGCTGGCGTTTGTCCACAGACAGCTTTCCAGGTCATGTGGCCGGCATGACTAAACCGCTAATGGTGCACAGAGGACCACGACAAGCGCCAGAGTGCACAGAAACACCGTTTACCTGCCTGCCACAGCGGTACCTCTTTATCTGCCTGCACTGGTATGCTTTTGAACTGCTAGGTTGGCAGAAGCTGGGACAGAGCAATGGGAGTTCACATTAACAGGATTTTATTTGATGTGCAAATAAGGTCATCGTCACCATTATGAGTGTCAGAGTTTCTGAACTTGCATCCTTCTAAACCTATACTGCCTTCTCAGGTGGCAAAACTTGACCCTAATAAACTTGCACAGAAGGATGGGAGGATAGCCTTGCATGCAGCTCTGTGTACGCAGTCTGCTATTGTGTGCTTGTGTAGCAAATCCAACACTAGCATTAAGAAGAAAAGCCACATACAAAGAAGCAACTCTTTCTGAACTCCCTTCTCAAGTCATATTGGACGTCAGGGCATTTCAAGGGCAGTTACCCACATTAATCCAATGTAGATCACTCAGAGTCCATGATCTATGTAAGTCTTGTTAGGTAGCAGCAGCAGTTGCTTTAGGATCCTATTCCTCCCTGGAACTTCATGCCACTTCTTCTGGGTGTCCCACACAACTTAATTCAGAACTGCTCACACTCATGAGACTGTTTTTCCTGAACAGGAAGGGTTCATAACACCACTGTGCTATATACTCAGATGATTACACAAAGGAAGATAAATTATGCACTGTTGTCAGTTCTGTGGATATAAAAGTCACAACTTTCTTACGGCTTAAAGCCAAATAGTTTAATTGTGGGGGAGGTGGAGTAGAGGATAAGGCAGAGATAGCTCTATCATTCCACAATACACACACACACAGCCTGAAATATGAAAGGAAAAGAGAACAGAATATGAATTCTTGAGTTGTGAACTCTCATTGGAACATAAATGATTTTTATCTCATTTTGTACTTTGAAAAGTAGTAAAGATTTGCTATCATTCGTTAGAAGGGTTTCAAAGTAAGTAGTATCTAGACACAGGTGGCATGCATATTTTATCAGAAACATTTAATGAATGTCAACATAAAAAGTCGCCAAAAGACATACTCTATTGGAAGTGAATGACCTGGTTCATATGTCACTTTAAACCATAGGATAAACTCTGATTTAAAGTCAATGAATTTACCATTGTAGTTTGTTGGGAGAAAAAGAAACCATGAGCACAGGTTCACATATTGTGGAAAGAGAAGCCTCTGGTTTGTTTGTTTCCTAGCACACTAAAGAAAGGAGCAGGGGAGGAGTGAAGCAGAGTCTTTTGAGCTAACTTATGGTTTAATGTGACACGCAAGCCAGTTTAATATGTTAATATGAATTGATAGGCAATTTGTACCCATAACTGCAGTGTAATTTTAACTCTGCAGAAACATTTCTCTCTCTCCGCCCCACCCTCAGAAATTATTAATACACATGTGATGGGTACATTAGCCCGCTTAGCATTTTGCCTCTTCTGCATAACCTCCTCCTCCCAACAAGAACAAGACTCTTATAGCACTTCTTCTGCCCCTGTATTCTCTCTCTTCCAGGTATGAACTCTGGCAGCTCAAAGAACCCAGAACAGAGCATGAAGGCTGCCCCCTCCCCAAACACACAGAACGTGTTGGGCAGGGGGGAGAATTTCCCTCAAGCACCACCTCTTCTCACAAAAGAACACCTTAAGAGGCTAAAGAAGGACTGCAATAAGAGTGAATGTTGAAAAGGTAAAAGAGCAAAAATATCCCATTGTTCTCATACAGTAAAGACAACCCTATTCTATCTCGGTTTCACAAACAGCAACATAGGCATTACAAGTTTAATTCTAGATTTGGTATGTTGGTCTTAACAATATAGATAAATCACAATAACTCCCATTTTCTAGCTAAAGCGATGAGTCATACATTAAGATTTACTCCCCACAGATTTTCACAATTAAAAGAAAACAGACTGGCACAAAAAGTACTACAAATGGTATTCTGTGTATGTACAGGAGCTTTTTAGCTCTTCTCTCATGCTGACAGTGGACAAAGGTCTGAAGCAGAGTAGCATCTCAAGAAGTACAAAGATATGCTGGCAGAAGGAAAAAGCTGTCCACCCTTCCTCTCCCAAACTTGAAGAGAACATAGTTTGCTCACAATAAAGCAAGATTTCTTCTCAATACTTTGGAACTGTTACTATTACCTTATGCGATACTCTATATTTTCTGATTTCAGCAGCAACAGGGTAGACATCCAAAGTGCATATCGCTCAAATTAATACCAGAGAATAAACAGAAGTGCAACTAAGGGGAGGATTCTTTTTCAGCATGACTGGAAAGCAGATTTGAAGGAGGGAGAGGAAATTGTGCTGGGTCATATTAAATAAATGTTGAACTAGGCATCTCTGAAGAATAGGACAGGCAATAATATATGCCCTGCTCTCTGAAGCAAATTCTTATTTGGGAACATCACTAGTAATTAACAGGTGAAAGGACTATTTTCTTTTGGAACTTTACAACCCAAGGCAATGCATGCATGATTTAAATATGACAAAATCTAAAAGCAGCTATATTTAAAGTAAAAAAAGAAATGAGGAAGAGGAGGGAATAGCTGCAGGGTTTTGGGGGCTTTCTTCCTTGAAAAACAAAATTCAAACTATAGCCAACTTGCATCCTGAAGAAAAATACAAACGCAAACAGAAACAACAGTTATTTGTTTGTGTGTTATTAAAAATGCAGAATCGCTTATGCTTAACATACAGAACAGTAATACCATATTTTTCCGTGTATTAGACAAGGTTTTTTGACTCAAAAATCGTGTCAAAAAACTGGTGTCATCCAATACACAGATAGTGGCATGGGGGGGAGGAGCGGCACACCAACCCGCCAGTTGGCTGGAGCGCAACTTCCCGCGATGCCACTGCATGCGGGAAACACTCCCTAGATCATTTCCCGTGTGTAGCAGCATCAGGGGAAGTTGCGCTCCAGCCAACTGGCTGGCTGGCTTCCCCCGATGCCGCAGCAAGCAGGAAACACTCCCTAGATCATTTCCCGCATGCAGCAGCATCAGGGGAAGTTGCGCTCCAGCCAATCGGCTGGCTGGCGGGAGCGCAACTTCCCCCAATGCCACAGCGTGAGGGAAACGATCTAGGGAGTGTTTCCTGCCCGCAGCTGCATGGGGGGAAAAGCTCAACAACTTTGTGCCATCTCCCCTCATTTTCTTAAAACTGAGTCCCCCAAAATAGGGGGGTTGTCTTATACATGGGGGAGTCTTATAGATGGAAAAGTATGGTATATCAACGGGTGAAGTGTTTGATTTATTCATTTATGATTTTTGAGGAAAAGTACTCATATGACAAACCAGTGAGGGAAGGAACAATGTTAGCAAACTGCCACATTCCTGGGGTACAATAGCAGTTATATGCTGCTCCTTTCCAAATAAAATATAATAAAATATTATATAAAATAAAATAAAATAAAATAAAAGATATAGAATTCTTTGCACAGCCACACATTTAAACCAAGCTTGACAGCTTTCAGAGCAAGCTAGAATTTTGTTTTGAAGTTCAGCAAAAGTGTCAAATGTTGAATCTAGAAAGCAGAAAATATGCCACGCTTACAGAAAAATCCATGTTATAAATACACAGTGCAGTTCTTAGTGCTTATTTTCTTCTACCCTTTGAAATTTAAAGATGTCAATATTCAGCTACTTGTAAGCACAACTACTTTGAAGGCTGAAGACTTGAGACCTCACATGTTATCTGCAAAATTTCACATAAATGTGGGTATTTCCCCTACAAGTTCCTCAAAGTAGCAAGTATTTATTCTAGTATTTATGCACTAATGCATAAAATGTCAGTCTTATTTTACTGGAGACTGAAGAAAGACAGAGTCAAAAAATATTAAAGCAGGTGAAAAACCATAATCCCTGCAGATGTGGTTTAACCCTTTCCACCCCTGCTGAAGGAAATCCCTATTCTAAAGGTTGCTTTAGCAAGTTAATGTCAAAGAATTCTAGACCTTTGGGACTTTCTCCCCACAAACCCATCAGAATGAACTGATGGGACTAATCCGTAAGCATGCTCAAGCCAGCCTCGGTGGCTTGCCACCCTACAGAACCAACATGTAAATGGTATCAAGAAGGACTACACATGGAACAAGAGCTTTGCCAACTAGTAGGTCCTAACCAATGCCTAGACTGTGAATGCTACTCAGGCTGTATTTTGGTGACAGTTGCCAATGTCTCCATGAAGTCCCATCTGGCAGAGCTTTTCCAAATAGTGAAAGCCATCCTTGGATGGGTTCTCTCTCAGCAGAGATTAAGCCATTCCACACCTGCTGTGATGGGCTTTCACATATATTAATCCTCCCTGCATGACACTGTAACTGCCAGGAATTTAGCAGAACACTCTCATGAGTAAAAACTATAAGGCAGAATGCAGTCAAATACACATAACAATTCTGCAGCATTTCCATGAGGAATGCTATGAAAAATGAAGCTTGGGGGAACAATGCCTGGGCATTGGTTAGGACTTTGGCTACAGAAAGCAGAATCTTTTAATGAAATAAAGAATTAAGTGTATGAATACTGGACCTCCTTCATATACTGTATCTAAGACTGGTTACTGGTCTGCAAAAATCAATTCACAACTGTAGCATTTTCTCAAATTAAATCTCTCCTCATCACCACAGCAACAGGATCAGACTGCTTGCTCTAAGTCATGGGTAGGCAAACTAAGGCCCGTGGGCCGGATCAGGCCCAATTGCCTTCTGGAGTTGGCTCACGGACAGTCCGGGAATAGCTGCGTGGATCGCCAGCATGTGTTCTTTCCCTCTCCCTCACACGGCAGTGGCAGCTTCTCCCTCCCTCCTCCTGGCTTCTCCCTGCCCTGCCTAGAGGAGGAAGGGGGCTGGGCTTTGTTGGTGCCAGCAGCAGCAGCACTCAAGCGGCCACCATTTTAAGCAGCCCCTCTCTAGAGCCCTTTCGTGCGCTGCACATCGCCCCGCCGCCGCCAGCCTCTGCCGCTCGCAATACACAGGTAAGCAGTCACCGGGGCTCATGGTGCTCTTGCATCATTCCCCCCCCCCCAATATAGTCCCTCCACAAGGTATGAGGGACAGTGGACCAGCCCCCTGCTGAAAAAGTTTGCTGACCCCTGCTCTAAGTCATATTTATAAAGTTAAAATACAACCAATGCCTTTAAAGGCAACACAGGTCAACAATTTATAAAATTGATGAAAGTAACAGTAACTAAACTGAAAAACTGAAACACTATTATATTTTAGCTAACAAATTATTTGTTGCAGATAGAAAGTAAAAGTGCATATCTATATTGTTGTGATTACCTATGATGGATGCAGCTACTTTAATTAAAAACCATGTATTGTTCCAGAAACATTTTCTTTTAAGTCCAGTGGCAATTTTACCCAAGTTCCTTACTACAAAACAGTTCAGATAATCTATCCAGCCATATTTACTGACACTTAATCATGGTTTCATGTGATGTCTGAACTGACAAAGGATGGTTAGCAACTGGCTAGCAAACCACAAATCAGAAGTTACGGGTACGGACTACAAGAAAATGTTTCAGTGTAGAATGCTCCTGTTCAAGCCTTAATCCACTTCATTTACCCCCTTTTCTGTGCCCATCCTGCAAACCAGTCAGCATTGTGTGGGTTCCTCCTTTAAGGTTTTGTTGTAAAGTGTTACCAGATTTCTGTCATATGTGGGAATCTATCAACCCTGCTTCTATCTCCTCTTGTGTTTGGATGGTGCTATTTTAGCTACATAACAAACCTGGTTCTTTTGAATGCCAATTCTTATTAGTGTATATATGATTATGGTTTGAGGTGGATTGCAAATCATAACTTGTGTGGCATGATGTCTGACTTGACATGCTATCGTTATAGCCACTGCTTTGCCTCCAGAGGTCACTGCAACTAGAGACTTAGGTATTGAAAAGACAGAAAATGAACTAGACAAGAATTTGCACAACGCAGTTTGGTGTGATTTATCAACTCCCATAATATAAATAAAACTTTCAGTCTAACATTATAGCAGCTAGAAAATTACCTTTAACCACCTTTATATATCTTACTGCTTTACACTTAATTTACCCCAACAATTATATTAGGTCATCATTTTACTCAAATAATATGCCCATCAGTAGGAATGTATATAGGAATATAGTCCAAACCTAGGGGAATAGATATTTGCTTTCATAAATTCTGCACTATCATTTAATTATTAATTTATACAGCACTATCTGTGTACATGTTTCTTGACTAGTCCTCACACTAAGGGCTCCAGGAATGGGAAAAATGGAGGTGGAATAAACAGAGGGTAAATGTGTGATTATTTCAGTTATACATACTTTGGCTAAGCTATAATAGGATTGTTGTTGTTATGTGCCCAGGCAGTAGCTTTGTTGCTTGTTCATGTATAGCGACACTAATTTTTAACTGTTAACTTCCAGTCCTGGCAGGCATAGCAAATATTATTGTTGCCCTTTGCCTGGTGTCTCCCCAGGCATGACTGTTTGGCTTACCATGTATTTCTTCTTAACATCTCAGTATGTTAAATTTGGATTAATTTATTTGCAATACAAACATTTTGCTTAGAGCCTCTCTGTTGTTCACTCTCATTAGTATGCATCTCATATTCATGCATGGCATGTGCTTTGCCTAGTAAGTTTCTGAAATGCTTTCTGAACTTAAAACAAATATAAAAGCAGCATTTTAAAGCGCTCTCCAAATGTTATCCTGCAGAGCACATGGTTCCTAATTTTTATTTATTTAAACAATTTATACTGCTATACAACAATTGTCTCTAAGTAGTTTACAATGATACCATACAAAAAGTAAAAATCAATTAAAACCATTAACATCAAACTTCAAATTAAATTCCTGCTGGGGGGAAAAAGTCTTCATTAGATGCTGCAAGTTCAGTAGGGAGGGGGCCTGTCTGACATCAACCAGAAGGAAGTTCCACAAAATTGGGCCCACAGTTCTAAACACACGGCTCCTGGTGGTTATGGGCTGTGTATATGATCCTTGGGGAACCACTAACAGTGGCTTCCCTGAAGACCTGTGTTCAATTTAAGGATATAAGTGATTAGGAGATCCTTGAGGTATCCTGGACACAAATTGTTAAGGGCCTTGTCAATTAATACAAGCACCTTGAACCTGGCTTGGTAGCATATGGGCAGCCAGTGAAAAATTTCTGAGCACCAGAGTTAGGTGCTGCTGATAGTCTATCCCCATCAACTGTGTAGCTGCAGCATTTGGCACCAGCAGGAGTTTCATTAAAAAGTTTCATTCCAAGTTATACATACCTAGGATTTTCACAGCACAATGTGGGCTCTCTAGAATAACTCCTTCGCCTGTGTCAAACATAGGGTTGTCTATTCCAGTTTTGGGAGGAATTTGAGCTAGCTTCTTCAACCGCATAGAAGAATTAAGGTCCAGTTCCTGTTTCTTTCCATCTTCTTCCCGCCTTCGCCTTAGGTCCTCTTGTTGTTGCCTAATTCGCTCAAGTTGAGCACTCCTCCGCAGTGGCATCATCCTGGTTCCCAGATCACCAGGGCAATCAACAGCCATCTCTCTGTGCCTCTGAGGCTCCTCAAGCGGTACAAGATCCACATTTTTTGTTTCACTGTCAGAATCTTCTGTTATATGCCCATTCATATGAGAGGTTGTCATTGTTGTATGCAGTAAGTCGTACCACTTGTCAGACATAAACTCTATTATAAGGCCTATTTTCTTGAAGGTACCACTTAAAATCCATTATAGCATGAACCAATTCTTCATATGCGTCACCAGATCAAGATGAAAATAAATTTCCAACAAGAAAATCTGAGAAAATATAAAAACAACACAGTAAAATTAACTTCACCTAACGTTACAGTTACATTCAATTGCTATCAGTAAATTTAGCAGAAATACTTGGGTACCGAGATTTCCACATTCTCCCTCTAAGGTAAAAAGCCAATTGCTCATATTGTGGGGGAATTTGTACACTGCTACATGTACAAATGCAGATAACTACACTGGCAGAGGAAAGGAAGGACCCTCAAAACCAGCAGGTAACCTAAAAGTTCCCAAGGCTGTATGTGCTATGTACACAGGTGAATCAGTACTTGGATAAGGACAACATAATATGATTTAGTAATTAGTTGTTCATTTAAAAAAATAATTATTAAAGATTTATTTGCCAAAATATGTGCATTGTCCTTTTTCAAGTTGTATTTTATTTCAGATCAGTTTCATTTGTTGTGAGACGCGAGTGTTGCATAGAGTATGAGGATAGGAAGAAAAGAGGGTGGAGGAGGGAATGGTGAGTGGGGTGAGGTCGGGTGGCAATTCTTCTATTCTTCTACTTGGTGTTTGTGTGGGGTTTTGTGTCAGCATCACTTGTATGGGTTCTCTTACTATTTGCTTGTTTATTTCTTTGGCGGTGAGAGGTTGGGGGTGGGGCCTAAGGTGTGGTAGGTTGTCTTTGGTTGGCTGTAGTAAGATTTGTTTTTGTTTGTGAGTGGGGTGTGTGTGTGTGTGTGTGTGTGTGTGTGTGTATGTGTTTTTGGATCAGGTTAGCCAAAATGGTTTGTATGCTGTCAGCGGATTCTTGTTTTGTTGGGTTATGTATATGATAAAGGGGAACCATACCAGGGTGAAGGCGTCTTCTCCTATTTGTCCCTGTGTCAGTTTCAGTTTATTGGTTAGTTTTTCTAAGAAGGCTTTCCCCCCATACTATTTGATACCATTGGTCTATGCTTACTCCTGACAGGTCTCCTCAGTGTCTGGCTATGATGTTTCTGGCTGCTGAGAGAAGGTGGGTTATATGAGCTCTTTATAATGTGAGTGGGCATTATTATCTTGGAAGATGTTCACTACGGCCAGTTCTGGGGTGTGTTCTAATACCTGTTTAGTTATTTTGCATATTTCTTGTAGGACTGCTGTCCAGAAGGATTTGATTTTGAGGCATTCCGACCGCATGTGGAGCTTCTGAAAATTTAATTTACAGGAAGTTTGTTACTCTAATTTTATCACATAGATTTTCCCATCAGTAAAAGTCCTTGCTTTAGGAATCACTGACAGCTTCCTTATTTCCCTCCTATGAATTTTCAAGGCTCACAGTCTTCCCTCAACTAAGACAGCAATCCTAACCCCTGATCTGCCTGCTGGTGGGAGCTACTAACTCCATCACAATAAAGGAACCCTGCCATGTCCAATGAAAGTTTGGAAAAGTGCATGCTACCACCAGTAATGTTCCCACTGGTGGCAATGACTAATGGAGCTAATGCAGCAAAAAATGTCAGGAACAACTGCCCTCTCCTCCACACCTTTTACCAAGGCTGGTAGAAGGGGTAGGACTTTAGATGCAGTTGTGGATCTGCCACCCTGTCCTATTCTGTTGTTCGTGGCTAGTCCTTTAGATTATTATGTTACCTAGCTTCAGGTTAACTGTGCCTCTGTTGCAAACCGGTACTTTTGTAGACCACCATTATCAGTTTCTGACCTCTCTCATTTGCCTTTGTTACTCAGAAGAATAACAGTTCAGTTAAAACAACAACGACTAAAAATGTTTTTGGTTTCATTATGCCCATCTTCAAAGCTTATAGTTTAGAAAATGATTATTCTGCACTGGCTTCAAACTGGGAGGATTCCTTCCCACTTTCGTTCACAATCCACAGTTGGCATATCTCATTTTGAATATTGTGGTTTATGCAAAAAACATAAAGGACACAGACTTCAAATTATGTGACATATAGGAGGTGTACGTTTTTTAAAACTTTATTGCTGAATGGTCTGAGTGATCATCATTTAATTAGCACATGATGGCTGTTAAGGAAAGACTGACCATGACAAAGTTTCAAACTTAGTAAAACAAGTTTCTGTTTACACTGTTTAATTCCCTGTACTCCCATCTACTTAAAATGAATGATAGAATCTGGAGGAGTACATTGGCCTTGGTCTTAGTAATTAGCAATAAAGAAAACATGCTATGTTTAACTTTATACTACAAGCTGAATGATTAAATTAAAAGTGTAATACTACAAAATCTGAAGAATCATAAATAACCAGGACTATATTAATTTGCAAGTGCATTCTTTAAGCAAGATTCCTTGTGGATTGACAGGCGAGAGAAAGTTGGTGGGTGAGAAAAACACACTAACAGTCAGGGACACTGGCCTCAGGAACAGTAGAAGTCATTCCAGCTACTAGGTTTTACAAGCTCAAATATGTGTAAGTAAATGTCTAGCTCATAAAGGGTAAGCAAGCAGAAGTAAGTCACCAAGCTATTTTGTCTATAGAGTATGAATGTACAAGAGAAACTGGGAGATATTTCATGATTTTGCTATGAAAAAAGCCAGAAAAGATTTCAAGTAAAATGGTCTATTTATAAATGTTTACAATCACATTGGTTCATTAGAATAAAAAATGAAAAACATTGGAGGATAAATTTAAATTAAATTTAAATTATTAGGATCAATTTAAAAGTTATAAAAACTCCATTTATGTTATGCCAGTTAGACAACCTGTGACTTTCCAGACAATGTTGGTCTCCAGTAATCATCAGCACAGCTAATAGCCCAGGATTACACACACTCTCACACACTCTCTCTCTCTCTCTCTCTCTCACACACACACACCCCATCCTTCATCCAAAATTCACAGGGCAGTTCATGACATAAAAATACAAAAGAACAGAAATAATCTAATCTAATCTAATCTAATCTAAGGTAATCAAACCAAACTCCCTATTTTCACAAACACATCTAAAAGGCCACAGAATTTTCATCATGCAAAAGGCCTGGTTATAGAGAAAGGTTTTGCCTGGCACCTAAAGATATGTAATGAAGGCGCTAGGCAAGCCTCCCTAAGGCAAGCATTCCACAACCAGGGAGCCATGTTCTCATGTTACCACCCTCTGGATCTCTAGTGGAGGAGGGACATGAAGAGCCTCTGATGATGATTGCAGGGTCTGGGTTGCTTCATTTGGGGAGAGGTGGTCCTTGAGGTATTGCAGACCTGAGCTGTTTAAGGCTTTATAGGTCAAAACCAGCACTTTGCACTGGGCCTGGAAACTAATTAGCAGTCAGTATAGTTGGGCCAGGATTGGTGTAATATGCTGAAAGCCTCTTGCACCGGTGAGCAGCCTGGCCACCAAATTCTGCAGCAGCTGAAGTTTCTAAACCAACCAGAGCACAGACGACGGAAATTAGGCTATCCCTTTCCAGATAGAGGCACAGCTAGGCCACCAGCCGAAGCTGAGGGAAGGCACTCTGCACCACTGAGGCCACCTGAGATTCAAGTGACAGCAAAGGATGCAGGAGTATCCCCAAGCTACATACCCACTGCTGCAGAGGGAGCGAAACCCCATCAAGAGCAGGGAACCTTCCATCCATCCTGTTTAGAGAACTGCCCACTAACTGAGCCTCATTCGTATCTGGATTGAGCTTGTTTGTTGGCTCTCATCCAGTCTATTACCAAGTCAAGACCAAGGTGTTTCATGTTGTAAGGGCCAGGGCCTTTTCAGTACTGGCCCCGATCTGGTGGAACGCTCTGTCACAAGAGACTAGGGCCCTGCGGGACTTGACATCTTTCTGCAGGGCCTGCAAGACATAGCTGTTCTGCCTGGCCTTTGGTTTGGACTCAGTCTGACCCTTATGTTTCCCTCCCCTTATGGTTTTTTTTTATCTAGGGGCTACTATTAAAATGAGGCTGCATTTTAAATTGTATTTTAACCCATATTTTAATAAATTGGTTTCTCCCCACCCCCATTATGTTTTTATTGTAATTTTACTGGTGTTAGCTGCCCTGAGCTCTGGCCAGGGAGGTCAGGGTATAAATAAAAAAATTATTATTATTATGTCACCCTGTGGTCTCCATGAAGGTTGGTATATAAATATAATAAGTACTACTCAGAATTGTTTTAAAGATTTTCTTACACATCGAATCTGAGCATATTGATTTCAACTGTACAGCAGAGCAAGATGTCTTCAAATACAAACAAGTTCAAAGGTCCTTATAGATGTGCAATTAATTTAATTTAATTAAACAAGTAATACCACAATACAGTTTCTGTAAAACGAAAGAGAGCATTATTTTTAATCAGATTTAGAATTTGTTGGAAAGAGTTGGAGAACAACACTAAGAGTCCCAAATCAACTCCTTGCTTGTTGTCAGTCTCACCAATTTAGCAGGACTTAAATCTGTGACTGAAGAATGTTGATTAATCACACCAGTGCACCAATCTTCATAGCCTGATTATTGCACTAGCTAAGAACAACATTGAGTTCAAAGTCAGTTCATAATTTCTAGTAAACATCTAAAATATGTAGATGGTGGGAAATGACCACACTAATGGAAGACTTTAATTTTTGTATCTATAATGGAAGCATTTTATTTCCAGCTACTGCAGTCTTTAAAGCTCATATAAAAAAATGCCAACATTGAGTAGATAGATCCTGAAAAAGATGCCAATCAATATTGAGTAGATATATACTGAAATAATGGAACATGGTTTAATTCCCTTCATTTCCTCTCTCATGTCTCCCACCTTTGGGCAGCAGCTGGAACTCCTCATTTATACCAGATTAGCATTCCATTGGCACTCTCAGGAGCTGACTGTTTGTTTCCATAGCAACAGCTCTGCCAGCTAGCCTGCAACTTGTGCAAAGAAAAAACTTAAATCATGAAATCGCAACCAGCCATTCCTCTGTCTTCTCAGATTCTTTTCTACTGAAGTCAGGTAACAGTGATTAGCATCCTAAGCCTGTTAAACAGAAAATTAGATGATTACTCATATGCAAAGCTGTACTACATCTTCCTACTAGCTGTATCAAGCTCAGTTGGCAGATGGCTAAAGCTTCCTAGTAAGTAGAAGTAATGATGTCAAAACCTCTAAAGAACAGCACGTAAACTATCTGCTCTATTTACGTCAGTTATCTGAGACCACTTAATACTGACTCAGGTGAAAATTCACTTTATGTGATAGGCAAAAATAATAATTGTAGATTCAATTTAAAAGTGTAAACTATCAGGTTCACTTATACTAATGCTGTGTGTACTTTAGAAAACCTTGAAGAGTGGACTGCTTAACAGTTCAGCTGATATACTGGTCTTCCAACCACCATGAAAAGATATCCCCACTATTCATTTCCTGTGAAGCTTATTCACAAAGGGGGAAAAAGAGTCTACCCACCTACAAAGTAGTTCTAGTTTCTCCAACCAATCAATAATACAACCTGGAGGATCAGACATCAGTTTCCTGGCACAAGTAAAATGACAATTTCAATGCCACCTCTTAGAAAATGCAACTAAGTGTTATAGGTCTCACTTATAAATATTGTGAAACCCATTTTGATTGGCTCCAAAGCAGCGTTAGAAACTAAGTTATATAAGCTAGGTGCCAAACCAGAGTTACAGTTGCCAAAATGGAATGCCTAGTTGTCATTTTGGGGCCAGTCGGTTCAAAAGTGGTATTTTTCAATATGACTTTTTGGTTCCTGACATTCATTCTGACTGTGCAGATAAAATGTAATGAATACTATTCTACAGGATGTGTTGCTAGTGTGTGAAAACAGTCAAGATCCAAGCATCCCCAGGCATGCACCTCCAGAGGGTGGAGACGTCAGGCACCATCCTGGAACCTAGGCATCTTCACTCGGTTGCAAGTGCCGATAGCCATGTACAAAATGCACATGGCGAATTTTAAACACTGTTCCAAAGAACAACACACAGTGATTCATGAACACAGTGGCTTTTCATACCCCATTTCTTGGTACAGCCTTTCATGTCCTCCAAAAAACCACTTGATGATCAAGGGCTACTAAGAGTGGTTACAGTATGGGACACCAGGGATGGGGGAGAATTGACAACTTCTCTATGAACAAATGCAAGAGACACCTCAGATCCAAACCTTCTTCCAAAACAGTTCAACATCATGGTTAACTGCTCCTTAGCTCCTGGCAATTTGCTTCTCTGGAACCCCCCTTCAGAATAAAAATTTGCTTGTGCCACACATAATTTTTTATTGATAAGAAATACATTGGAAAACAAATAGAAACAACTCCTAGCAGCGCTAAAACACATAGAACACAACTACTTTATAATATGACCATGAGAAAGTATAAAAGAACGGAGCTACATAAGAATATGAATCATTCTCAAAATATAATTATAAACAAGCCTCTCACATATGTACCTTAAGTATTATACAAACTCAGTGAGAGGTGGGAGCTTGCTTTTACTGGGTAATCTCATTTATATTAGGTCTAATGTGAGATAAACACTCTCATCTCCTCAGCACCACAAAGAAGCCTTTCTCTTTTCTGATCTTTCATAATTGTCAGAGTTGAAAATCCCTATTCACAATATGTCGTGGAGAACTGTAGAATAATAGCACATGCTCTTGAAGAGAGGCATGGATACTGTTTCTGATCATGGATTTTTTAAATTTTTTTTTTTTAAAAAAAATACTAACTATACTGTACTGAAATGTTTAAAAGTTTCATTGATTGTCCTTGAATATTCCTACCACACTTGCTATCCTCTCCTGCCACACCTGTGTGGTGTACCACATCCTTTAAGAACCACTGTCTTTGGGGGGGGGGGAGAATGAGTGAGTGCTACTCTGTTATTCTTGCTTGACTTCTGCTGCAGCTTTCAATAGCATGAACCATGGAATCCTCCTGGATTACCTCTGCAAGTTGGGGACACAGTATAGGAGGTTCCACTACTTCTATGATCATTTCCAGACAGTAAGCATTGGAGAGTCCCATGGACTGCAAGAAGATCAAACCTATCCATTCTTAAGGAAATCAGCTCTGAGTGCTCACTGGAAGGACAGATCGTGAAGCTGAGGCTCCAATACTTTGGCCACCTCATGAGAAGAGAAGACTCCCTGGAAAAGACCCTGATGTTGGGAAAGATGGAGGGCACAAAGAGAAGGGGACGACAGAGGACAAGATGGTTGGATAGTGTTCTCGAAGCTACCAGCATGAGTATGACCAAACTGTGGGAGGCAGTGGAAGACAGAAGTGCCTGGCGTGCTCTGGTCCATGGGGTCATGAAGAGTCAGACATGACTAAACGACTAAACAACAACAAAGCATTGGATGACTGCCTTTCAGCTCCTTTGCAATTGTGTTGTAGGATGCTGCAGTGCCCCTTCCCCAAATGCTATTTAACTTCTATATGAAGCAGCTGGGTGCAGTTATTAGGTGATTTGGGTCACAGACACAGAGTCATCAGTATGCTGATGACACACATCTCTATTTCTCTAACATCTGAATCAGGTATTACTGCACAAGTCCTTGGCCAGTACCTGGATTTAAGAGGTGGGTTGGAGTGGTGAATTAAAAGAACCCTCACTCCCGGTAAGATTGAAGTCCTATGTGTGAATAGTTCCTAGGTCTGATCAACTGCATGTTCACAGGATGGAGTTGAACTACATCTGAAGAAGCAGGCTTTTAGGCTAAGAGTACTTCTCGATTGCTGATGCTGGAGGCCAAGTGTCTTCAGTGGCTAGGAGTGCTTTCTACTAGCTTTGGCCAATATGCCACAAATGGCTACAGTGATATATGCAGTGCAACCTCAAGACTAGATTATTGCAATGCACTCTTGTGTGTGTCAACTCTTGACTACAAGTTGCAGTTAGTGTAAAATGCAGCAGCCAGATTGTGACAATTTTGTTGAAACAACTGCATGGGCGTTGGGGCAACTATATGCTGCTGGGCCAGGTTTAAGGCATTTTATTTTATAAAGGTTCCCCACCCCGTTGAAGGTTAAATTATACACTGAGACTACAATCATATGTAAGATTTTCCTATATAATTCTCAAATGCCTCATGGCTATCACAGCCCAGAAGTGCATTAAATCTGAGCCATTGGAGCACCTGATGGACCTTGAGACCACAGCCTCCTCAGTTTGTAATCTGTAAAATGGAAGTAATGGCTTAATTCACAGGACTATTTGTTAGAGGCATGGGAAAGGTTATGGAATGAAGGAATAAAATTTACTGCCTGTAGCGCATTAAAAGAAAATATTATGAAAATGATGTATAGGTGGCATTTAACACCAACTAAACTTGCTAAAATATATAAGACGAAAGAGAAGAAATGTTGGAAATGTAAAGAAAAGGAAGGGAATTTCTATCATATGTGGTGGAAATGAAATGAAAAATAATGAGTTAAAGAAAATGTACAAAAGTACATTTGTCAAAAAACCAGAAGCATTCTTATTGGGTATAGTAGCTGAACAAATTCCAAAGAAAGACCAAAAACTGTTTAGATATGCAACAACGGCAGCAAGGACTTTGCTAGCCCCAAAATGGAAGCAACAGGAATTACCGATTGAAGAGTGGTAGACGAAGATGATGGAATACGCAGAGCTGGCGAAGCTGACCAGGAAAATCCGAAACCAATGTGATCAAACTTTCCAAAAAGACTGGGGAAAATTTATACAATATTTGAAGGGCAACTGCAACCAATTAACAACACTAGCAGGACTGACTTAAGAAGACTTGTAAAATTTCCGATTTATACCTTTTTACACAAATATTTTTAAATGGGGCAATAGAAATGGATGAAATGTAAACAAATGCTATGACATAGAAAGGAATTATGGTAACCATGAGGCGGGAGGGAGGGAAGTTGATTAGCTCATATGAGCAAATAATAGTGTTAAAAAATAAGATTATATTTAAATAAATAAAATGGAAAATTAATAAAGTATTATAAAAATAATAATTCACAGGACTATTCTTAGGATAAATAAAATAGGAATTATGAACCACTTCTCAACTCAAGAGACTAATACAATTGTTAAGAGGATCATAAAGCAATTTATAACCTGGGACATTCCTGAATATTTTAGGGTTTTACAAGAAAGAGACCATCAATCAGTTGATGATGTCAGCTAGGAACAGTAGGATTCGGCTACTCCCGTTTCAGGCAGGAGTGGTTATTGTTAGTCATCACTTTAGTTTCATTCCATTCATTTTACACTTACTGGAACTTTGAGAGCGCAATGACATCAGATTTTGCAAGCTTCAGAGACAACTATTTCTCTCATGACATACCACATTTTTCAGTGCACTAGATGAAGCAGAATTCTCTTTATAATATGGGAGTTTCCAGTGCCATCGTTGCTTCAACTGCACATGGGAAGCCAGTTTTGACTTACCTACCAGAATGATACATAGCTATGTCATTTATGTTTACCATTTGGCTGGAATTAAGATAAGACTTCTAAGTGTGGTTTTAGGAATGCTGCATTATCAGCTGAAGAGAAGGTTAAACTGAGAAAGAAAAACACAGCCTTTTCTTACTTTTTAAGTCTATCGTTTAGTTCAGTGGGAGTTTTATGTCTTAGCATAGCCAGTAAAGGCAATTAGAGGCATTTGTTAAGCAGTAGGAGATTCAGTGAAGTCTACCTGACTTCAGAAAAATAAGCAGTTCTGTGTTTCTCTTTGTGATCTTTCCAGAATCATATATGTATTACCTTAACTACGAAAAGGTATATGAACCTATCAGTTAAGGATTTCAGCAAGGTCAGCCAAAACCTGAACTCACCAAAGACTTGACACTCCCAAGCGGAGAAGGGATAGATGTCTTTGAAGTTATGCTTGAACTCTGCAGTCCAGCATGGCTGAAAGGATGAGGCCCCACTTGCATTACCCAGTTCAGAGCTGGGAAGGAAAGGCAGGCCTTGTTCCCACAATGAACTGGAAGGAGTACTAGGCAACTCTAAAGTTCAATGTAACATCAAAGAGAAGATCTGGCCCAAGAGGGAACAAGTCCTTCTGAGGCCAGCATGGCAAAGACAAACTGCTCACTAGCTCTGAGTTGAGCAGAAGGAAGGAAACTCATTCCCATGGGCCTAGCACAACATCAGAATGAGTCCTTGCCCTACTCGGGAACTTGAAAAGGGTGAGGTTTTCTTGGTCTAATGGCAACTGCAACATACTCAAATGACATATTTTCAGCATTGGAAACTTTTCTGTAATGAAAATTACACCTAACATTTTCTGTTATATTTTTTCTAAAAATTCATTGTTTAATGATATCAGTAGTATAATGAATAGATATAATACCAGTCAAACTGATCAGCACCAAAGTTTTAATTAATTTTATGAAGTATCCCCAGGAAACATTTCTCTCTTTTACAGTATTCCTATAAAACATCTCTCTCCCTCACCCGTCCCCCTTTCTCTCTTTCACACACACACAACCCCCCAACCCAAAATCAAGCTTAGAATTCACATGTGACCTAAGTGAAAGTTAAAATTTTGTTGAAGTAGATTAGTGGAACATATAATGCACACCTCATGGGGTGTACTAGTTTTAGCCTGTTAATAGTTCTTCATAACTTTTTCTTTAAATTTAGATAGCATAAAATAAGTGAATGTCTGCTGTTGAATCCTCATGTCTTAGAATTTACCCTAATAAATAAGATCCTAGAGACCCTACATGCAGTGTTCTTACATTAGGCTCCTCAGTCCAGTAAGACGTAACAAGACCTATGATATATTAACTGGAAAAGTATGTCCACTGCACCAAGTCTAACTAAAAATCGTAGAGCTTGAAGGGATCCCAAAGGTCATCTAGTCCAACCTCTGGTCCTGTAATGTAGGAATCTCAACTAAAGCACCCCTGACAGATGGTCATCCAAGTTGCTATCATGTGAACAACAAAACCAGCCACAATGTTCCCAAGGAGCTTGCTTTGGGTGCCTGTATAAGCCACAACTTGAGAAGCCACACAGGGAGCCTCATGTGGCACTGGATGTGAGATAGAAGCCATGACATCCCATAGCACAAACTGACTGTAGTTAATTGCTGCACAGGTTTAGAGGGTATCCTGCATGAGAACAGCGTTTACTTGTGGCATGAATGCTTTGATTGAATTGGAAAGCAACATATAGCAATGCATTGCTGTTTTCCCCAACCTGGAGGGTTCTAATTCCCATCAGTCCAAGTCAGCATGGCTAATGATGAGGGATGATGGAAGATGATGGAAGGCTGAGGTACAGGATCTTTCTTGTTCACTCCAGTGTGACACTGTTTCCAGTATGTGGAAAGACCCAGCTTCAAAGCAGTGTACAGTTTGATTGACAATTGCAAGTCCCCTCTTTAACTCATATGAAGAACCAATCATGCAGGCTGAAAAAAAATGCATGATCTGCCACTAAAGATGTAGCTTGCATTTTGAGAAAACCCTCAGGGCAACACAGAGATTGAATTGGTTGCACCCAATACATATAACAGAAGGACTGTGTCAAGCTAAAATATTATCCTTCAGATCCAATGTAGCAAGCAGACACATGAGCCTCCCACAGAATACATCTGATAAAGCAGGACCTATTGGTAAATTTCTAAATGTTTTGTAGCCAACTTGAGTTGTATTCAAAGTAGTGCTAAGAAAGATGGCCTGTTAGCACAAGGATTTCCACTTGTGCAGCAAAACTTCCCTTTCTCCTTCCCCTGTGTGCCCCATGTGTTCTAGGGGTTCCCCACACACTCTGGAGCAGATTTGAGGAAGGTGCAGTAGGAAAACGGGGGGGGGGGGGGAGTTCTGTTGCACATGAGAGTCCTTGCACAGAGAGGACCCATTAGTTGGATACTGCTCCAGGTGTCTACAGTCAAAGTACTCTGGTACCTAGGGTTACATACGCTTCAGGTTACGGATGCTTCAGGTTACAGACTCCGCTAACCCAGAAATAGTACCTCGGGTTAAGAACTTTGCTTCAGGATGAGAATAGAAATCACGCGGCGGTGGTGCGCCAGCAGCGGGAGGCCCCATTAGCTAAAGTGGTGCTTCATGTTAAGAACGGACCTCCGGAACAAATTAAGTTTGTAACCAGAGGTACCACTGTAGTTCCTGAAAGCATGAATTCTGCTCATCCCTGCCCCTATGTTCCATTGTAGAATGCTTTCTTTGCCCATGAATATGAAATACATTTGTTAAAAATGACACCCTATTCTGTGCAATATAAATTCAAAGCAGCCAATACAATTTAAAATCAAATTAAACTGAAATCCAATAAAGGGTGTAGCAAATAGCAAAATATCAGCAACATAAATCTTAAAAGGACCTAATTAAAATATGCCCACTGAAATAAAACTGGCTTAAATGTGCACTTTAAAAGCAGGCAGTGAAGGAGCCAGAAACCTGCCTAGGAAGACGCTTTCATAATTTGGACATTGCAATAAAAAGTCCTGTCTCTTCATCCCCAAATAAACAAACCATCAGTGGAAAACCACAAGGACTTAGAAAGCAGAGCCAAGTTCTTCAGCAGGTTCAGGCTGGAGGAGAATAATTCCTCTGAACCTCAGCCCAACACAGGCAGCTTACGTTTCTGAAGACCAAAGTGGGCATTTTGAATTGAGGTTGGCAAAAGTGATGTCCAGAGATGTTGGTACATAACTGGCATTGCATTATCAGTCCTACTAGCCCCAGACAACAAGCCTGGCACAGCATTCTGGATCAAATGTAGTTTGAAGTCTGTCTCACGAGGTGCAGTATATCCAAACGAACAGGAACCGGCCTGGGAATGAATGACCATGTCCAGATCTAACTTTAGGAATGCAAACAGCTGGAATTCCAGTTAAAATTGATAAAAGGCACTCCTGTTAACTGCTGTTACCTGCACGTTCAGAAATGCAGAGGGATCCAAACTGCAAATTGATTGACGGTGCAATGTGGGGCTTTATAAAATACATTTCAAAATGTTGATTGGATTCAGAATCTGTGTTAGAGTCATGCTCATAACCCTTCATTCCAAATTGGAATTGCAGTTCCCTTCCAAATTTGAATTACAGTATTTGTAGGCTTCCTGCAAATTCTTCACTACACCTCAGGTCCCCAAAAGTTGGGCTTGTCATGAATATCTGCTAAAAACTGATGGGATGCCTCCTGCCACAGGGTAGAGGGTGTGAGGCAACAAGGTTTGCCTGCCTTGTGAGTGCTCAGCTAACTGAAGAACCACAGCATGGTAAGAAATTCACAAGATAAGCTTTAACAAGTCAATACACCAGAGTCCAGTTAAGTAGTCACATACATCAACAACTAATTACACTGATAGGCAATAACTTAAACTAGCAAATAATGTACATGCAAGTTTACTTCCCTACAAAATGTTTAACCAGCCTGACACCAGTCAGTTAAGTACAGAGTTTGACCAGCAAGATTTATTTTAAATATTTGTGTTCCAGATTTAAGGTTCAATGTGGCTCCAACAATATGTTTTATAAATAATCAAGAAATTCAGTTGTCAGTAGCAAACATTACTACTAAAGACCAGCCCTCCATTATATAACAAAATAAGAGGGGAAAAATGGATCTTACAGCTTCTCCAATAAGGGAGGAACTAGTAAGAAAGGTTCTGTTCCTAGTTGTTGAGAACTTCATCTAATGTATTGGTGTTAAATGAAGAAGGTCTTATCAGAGGATGTGGAGATTCATAAATGGAGGGGTAATCTCTATTGATTCCAGTCCACACAGGGCTTCAAAGGTAAGCACTTCAAATTGGACCCGAAAGCTAACATTTCAGCAAGTTTTTAATGCTTCATTTTTTACTATGTTTTTATATGCTGCAAACTGCCCAGAGTGGCTGGGGATATCCAGCCAGATGGGCAGGGTATAAATAATAAAATTATTAAAATTATTGTTTTTACTTTTCATTGTTTCTGCTGAGGCTGCTGGACAACTGCACTGCACTTGTCAGAGTCCTCCGTGTGCCAGTAGTGGTTTAGTCATGTTGGCTACATGACCCAGAAAGCTGTCTGTGGAGAAACACTGGCTCCCTCAGCCTGAGATCAGTGCTGCACCCCATAGTCGTCTTTGACTGGACTTAACCGTCCAGGGGTCCTTTACCTTTTACCTTTACTAATTTACTTCAACTGGTAACTGGGAATGGGTGCTTAGAGTTGGTGGTAAGGCAGCAGCAAGATCTGTAAGTTGCCCCTTTCTTTGAATTTTGTGATGCAAGTATTCCCTGGTCAGTGTTAAGTTGCCAGATGACAGATTTGGAACCATAAAATATTAATCTTTTGGTGAGAGGTCACCATCTATCTGCTCTCGGTGCGCTTGCTGTCTCGCTACTAAATGCATTGCCATTGCTGTTTTGGTGCTTAGAGTTGGTGGCAAGACAGCAACAAGATCTGCAAGTTGCCCCTTTCTTTGAATTTTGATAATGCATTCACTAGCAATACAGCAAACCTAAAAAGGGGAGGTGATCAAGCAGACACAGGTAGTAACAGATGCTTCAAATGCAGCAGCTATCAGTCAGGGACATCCAACACACTGAGCATGCACCAGGTTCAGAATCACACTCGTATTTCAACCAGGTGGTTGAGACTGAACTACTGCAGTATATACAACAGAGATATACATGCCTAAGAAACAGTTAGCAGGACACTGAGAGAAGATGGTTAAGTTTCGCCTTGACCAAGACACATGGAATTGCTGTCCGCTACAGCAATAAAGGGACACGGGTGGCGCTGTGGGTTAAACCACAGAGCCTAGGACTTGCCGATCAGAAGGTCGGCGGTTCGAATCCCCACGACGGGGTGAGCTCCCGTTGCTCGGTCCCTGCTCCTGCCAACCTAGCAGTTCGAAAGCACGTCAACGTGCAAGTAGATAAATAGGTACCGCTCTGGCGGGAAGGTAAACGGCATTTCTGTGTGCTGCTCCGGTTTGCCAGAAAGGCTTAGTCATGCTGGCCACATGACCCAGAAGCTGTACGCCTGCTCCCTCAGCCAATAAAGGGAGATGAGCGCCGCAACCCCAGAGTCGGTCACGACTGGACCTAATGGTCAGGAGTCCCTTTACCTTTACAGCAATAAAGTTGTATCTCATCACATGTGTTTTACTGGATGAGAATGACTTCCATTGACAAATAAATGCTGGTGGGTATGAACACTGGATAAAACTGTTAGATCTAATTGCATCTTGTGTACTAAATGAACCATCACAATGGCTTTAATGAGCAAAGTAAGTGATTGTTCCTCTTCAAGTTTGGAATATTTTCCTTGGCACAGCAGAATGCTTCAGACTGAACCGATGCTCTGTTCCAGCTCCTTACATCTCATTCTATAATCAGATAGTTTTACTGACGTATTAGAAGCCCTTTTTTGCTTATAAGTGCTTATATTTATTATAGTGATATTGCCAGTTTTCAATTCCAAATCAAACTGAGGAATTAATCCATCACTATTTCACCATGTCTTGTAGATTCATTTCAGACTATAACTGCTATTGCTATCAGTATTACACTGTTGTCTGTGGAATGGATACATACAAAAAAGTAATAATGGTGTTAAAACATGGAATAAGTGGCTCAGCTTAAACTCACTTGTGTGCAATCCAAGCAAAGTTACCGTATTTTTCGCTCTATAACACGCACCAGACCATAACACGCACGTAGTTTTTAGAGGAGGAAAACTAGAAAAAAAATATTCTAAATGAAATAGTGGATATATGATTTTTGTGGTTCATGCTGTGGCCACAGACATGTGATCTGACAGTGAGTTTGGAGTAGCCCAATGCAAAAATCCTGAGGATCCATGTGGATCCATGCTTTGTAACCACGGAGGAGGGAAGGAACGGGAACCATGGATCCTCTGCTCACGACTGCAGCAGATTCCCCCCGCCACCTGCAGGCATTCGCTCCATAACACGCACAGACATTTCCCCTTACTTTCTAGGAGGAAAAAAGTGAGTGTTATGGTGCAAAAAATACGGTAAGTACTTTTAAGTCTCACTGATTTTAGTGGGAGAGATTTAAGCACACATTTAATTCTCCTGTTCAAATTAATGGGACAAAGTACTTAGTTTCAGCTGGAGTGTGTTCTTAGTGTTTACAAAGTTCAGCAATCAAAAGGAAAGCCACATATTTCAAAAGCATCTGCTTACCTCTCTGAAGTTTCACCCAGGTAAGATACTTAATAGTCACTATAAAATTGGTCTAATCCAGAAATTTAAGCATATTCAGGCAATGATTCACAGTAAAAACAATCAGAAACAGATTTTGTATTTGTAATAACTAGCAAGTGGTATTAAGTTCACATTAATTTATTTAAAACTGTTATAGCACATCTACATGAATTGGTTTCTAAGCATACCATTATGTTTGCAAGGCTCCAACTCTTAAATTCATGATGAAGTTTATTTCCTATATGATCTGTGCTTCTTTAATTATCCAAGACTTGTTTTTCATTTCAAACATTTTTTGAACTATTTTACATCCAGGGCTGACCTGTAGATTCAATTTGTTGTGAACTTTGATGAAAAAAATATTGAAGACAATTCTGCCTTTCTTCTTGTTGCCTTTAAAGTCTTAAAGGGAAGCTTAAATTCATACTTCTATAGTATGAATTTTTGAGACAATGGTAATAGATTAATTACACACCTTAATAAAAATCCCTTTAGCCAATGCCCACCTCCTGTTTAGATAGTCACACAATGAAGTACACCTTCCCCAAATATTTGCATAAAGAAAGCACATTCTGAGGTACAGGCAATACAAATATGCCATATTAGTGATAATCTATACCTACAACCACTGAAAGGAATATAAATAGAATAAGAATATAAAAATTAAATTGTGACACAATCAAAGGTTAATTGAAAATAAACAAAAAATGATGCCAAGTTTCTGTTTGGGCCCACTTTGGCTGGCTAGGGCTAAGCCAGAAGATAGGTAGGTTTTAATTTTAATCTTTTATAAATATTGTAACACACTGGGCCCACAGGATGGAGCATACTAGAAATTTGAACCAGATTGACTTGTTGCTAGCTGGTGCCCTTTTAAGCTTTAAATGACAGGATAGAATAGGTTGATTCAATGGCCAAAGCAGATCCTTAATACTACTAGCTCAAGAATGACTTATCGACCACCCAGCAGGAGAAAAAAGCCTAGCTGATCACGTCTTAGCTCATTAACTCTAAAGGTCTCACTTAATTCTACTGTTGCTAACCAAGAAACCAAATTTAGAATTCATCTTCTAGCCTCAAAAAGTTATCTCACCACTATGGAAAAAGATTAAAAGGAAAACCACTTATTTCCCCCCAGAATTAACAGTTTCTTCCAAGGTTGATTCCTACCATAGGTCTTATATTTTGAGCATGAACAATCTTTATTTACCATTAAAAGCAAGCTAACCACACCTACACCATCCTATTACCCAGCCTAGAGAAGTCTAACAGCAATTCAGAAAGACATAAGCAAAACAACTATTTTGCATTTATGTATCTTTAATATTGAACAGCTGCCTTTCCACTCATTGCTACTTAAGGCGAATAAACATTAAAAATACAATATAAATAACACACCAATAAAACCACCACTCTAATACAACACAAACCATGTATGTATATGACCTATTAAGCATTTTAAGTCACTGACATCAATTAGATTTATGTGCTGATGTCTGTCCCACTGCAAACAATGCAACTTAGAAGTGCTTAACTTTGACCAGCGGAATATAGGAAATAGCCTTATATTGTGCTAGTCTATTGGTCTATCTTGCTGGCAACAACTCATCAGAGTTTCAGCCCTATTTGGAGGCACCAGCGGCTAAATCTAGGACCTTTACATGGAACACACATGCCCTAACATTAAGCTACTGCTGTTCCCCTTTGGTTGGCTTGTGGCTGAACTCTGCCCCGTAACTTTAAGTGACATTAGCCGAGCAATATGTTAGCAATGATAGAATCATGTTTTCAGGTCACCTGCTTCAAATAAGAACTCTTAAGTGATCAGTGCCTGTTGAAAACCTTTCTCTTCCACAAGCCTTCCGAGTATGTACATCTACAGCCTGCATAGTGAAACAGTTATCAGTGTTCTTGTTTAAGTGCAAGTGATTACAGTATTATTTATGCTTAACTGGATTTTTATGCTTTATTGTTGTTTACATTGTTACCCACTCAGATCATTTATGATGAAGGGCAGGAAATAAATTCAACAAATGGTTTGCAATCTTTTTAAATACAAACAAACACGTTGACTAGCAAGCCTTTTTTAACAGTGTTTACTGCAGAAAATGTTTCTAGGGGCAACACTACTGTTGCTTTCTTCAGTTCAAACTACAGTATTTGAACAAGATTATTTATTTTGCATTTGATAACCAGACACTGCATATTATTTAAGAATATACTATAGCCTTTAAGTGGTTTTTTATTTTTAATTAAAAAGAAAGTGATCTCATATAATCCTCACCTGCATTTACATTTGAGAATACAACTTCCTCTGTAGAACAGGAAGTGAGAAATCTGAAGCTCACCGGCTCCAAAATTTGTGGAACTCTTTCCGTGTTCCTTTTATACTAAGGTTCAACTACTTAATTCAACTTAGCATTTTCAAATTGAATTGTCAACATATGTTGTCATCCCAACTGGGGCAATCAATACAGCACCACAGAGATGGCATATTTCAGATATTTATTTTTCCCCTTTTCTAAAATCCTACAAAAGTTTTCTGAAATATTGGCTGAAAAAACACAAAATATATCACTTACTGTTCAGCAAAAGCAAAAACATCTCTTTTCTACTCTTGCTGGGCAATATGCTAATATACATTGCTATATGTCCTATATACAGTTCCAACTTTCTTTCAAGATTGACCAAAACAAAGAAATTGTGATGGGTGGGGTGCAGACTCAGAGCTTGGTGTTTTAATACTTATTACAGTCCCGAGATACATTCACAGAGAAAAGGCAGCTTTATCTACAAAATACTTCAAAAACCCCACTTTCCCGATCAGAGGTTCCAAATGGTATCGCAACATTAACCCACCCAGCACGTAATTCGGAATAGATAGCGTGTTGCCGGTACACAAGGTAATCCTTCCTGCAAACGCCCTCCATGCCGGCAGAGACTAATGGCTTTACAAGGCCAACTCCCCAAACATGGGACTTCCAGCAGGTTGCGAAAAGGGGGCCGGATTAAGCACAGGACACACTGAAATAGAACGTGTGTGAGCCAACAATGGAAATAGCTGCACCTAAAGGAAACCCAAGAGACAGGGATGGCAAAAGGGGTCCTTTGAGGAAGCAGCCCAAGACGCGGGTTACACACAAACTGCAAATACCTGAGGATTAACGCAAAAGAGCGTAAAAGGGGGAGGGGGGAAGAGAATAAATGTCAACAAACAAGACTGCCTCTTCAGTTTCTACTCAGGCACGTACACAGAGAGAGACAGGAGATATAAACAGGCAGGAAGAGAAAGCACGGAGGAAAGGCGGGGGGGGGGGGGAAGGTCTCGAGAAGTAACCAGCCAGACACGGAGACAAAAGTTCACACACACACACAGGGGAGGGGGAAGGAGGAAGAGGCTGAGGAAGACAACATGTAAGAGGAGCAGCGCCACCTTCTCCCCGGCACACTCCCCGCAACCAGACGCTCAGGAAAGGGGTCTCGGCTCCCACAAGAGCCCAAACGCACACACGGGAGAAGGGCTGGGCGACTAACTTTGGGGGCCAACTTCCAACGCGCCTCCCCCCGCCCGCCTCTCTCTCTCGGAGACCTGTTGAGCGGCTTCAGGGCTAAGTCAGAAAAAGGGCGTCTCACCTTCGCGTTCCTACTGAAAGCAGCACCGGACGGGGCTCAGCCTAAATCGGGAGAGGGAGGAGGAGGAAGCGCGCGCCCGGCAGCACCGCTTCTTCACTTGAGGCCCCTCAGAATAACAGACGCGGGCCGGAGACAGGCAGCGAGACACAGCCCTCCCAATTCACCCCGCGCGCAGCCGCCCAGGGAGGAAGGCAGAGCCCAGCACCACAACTTCGGCCGCCGCCGCCGCCGCCCCGCCTCCTGTGCCAGATCCCCAGCAACGAAACCGACTTCCCACGCTGCGCGCATGTGCGCACCAGTTTCTCTCTCTCTCTCCTTCCCCCCCCCCGCCTCTCTCTCTCTCTCTCTCTCCCGCCCCATCCTCAAGCCCCTCCTCGCGAGGGTAGGGGCGAGCTCCTGGAAACGTGCGCCTGCCCTCTGCTGCCGAGTGTTCTCCAGACGTCACGGTAGCTGAGCGCGAGCGAGTTTCTTCTCGCGCTCCCTCACGCGCAGCTACTTCACGCGAATTCCTCCCCCTCAGCTCCCCGTCTCCTGATCACCTCCAACCGCAGTTTGCCAGAACCGTCGAAAATGCCTTTGACCGTGTGAGGCGGGTTGTCGTGAGAACTCTTGAGGGGAAGGAAGGCGGTGTTGGCGCTGCCCCTGCCCACTCCGCTTATAACAACCTCTCTGTAGGTAGAAATGGAGCAGGTGAAGTTTCCCAACCCTGGGTTAAGTTTCTCTCACGCGCTTACGTGGCGGGCCGCGTTCAGATTATTATAAACCATTTTGTGAATAATAAGCAGCCCTTTAGTTAATTGATTAAGTTAAATGTAAATGCAAGGTAACTTATAATTAACAAAAGGTGTTAGCTCATTTGTAAAAAGCCAAAGACCACATGTTGGCCTTTTTATGTAACAAAACCCCCTTGACGGTACTACATAAAACAATTTACACAAAGCAACTCCAAAATAATGAATTATTATTATTATTATTATTATTATTTATTCCCCAGCCACTCTGGGCGGCTCCCAATCAAGTGTTAAAAACAATACAGTGGTACCTCAGGTTAAGTACTTAATTCGTTCCGGAGGTCTGTTCTTAATCTGAAACTGTTCTTAACCTGAAGCACCACTTGAGCTAATGGGGCCTCCTGCTGCTGCCACGCCACCGGAGCCCGATTTCTGTTCTTATCCTGAAGCAAAGTTCTTAACCTGAAGCACTATTTCTGGATTAGCGGAGTGTGTAACCTGAAGCGTATGTAACCTGAGGTACCACTGTACAGCATTAAATATTAAAAACTTCCCTAAATAAAACGTTTCATTTATCAATCAAATACGATAAAAAACAGATTAAAAACATTTCAAAAGCTAATTAAAATCAACAATACGCTAAAAATTATAAGATATCAATCAAATCAAAAGTTAAGAATGGAGTGGAAGTATTTCGAAGATTATATGTCAAAATATTATTCTAAAAATGACATGCTAATAGGCTTAAAATAAAAAATGTAAGCAGTAACAAAACCAATAAAGAAAGTGTTCGGTAGATTTATTGCTTTATTGTTCGGCACTTGGGGCTGCTTTCGTCTCGTCCTGGCTTAGAATCATAGAATCATAGAGTTGGAAGAGACCACAAGGGCCATCGAGTCCAACCCCCTGCCAAGCAGGAAACACCATCAGAGCACTCCTGACATATGGTTGTCAAGCCTCTGCTTAAAGACCTCCAAAGAAGGAGACTCCACCACACTCCTTGGCAGCAAATTCCACTGTCAAACAGCTCTTACTGTCAGGAAGTTCTTCCTAATGTTTAGGTGGAATCTTCTTTCTTGTAGTTTGGATCCATTGCTCCGTGTCCGCTTCTCTGGAGCAGCAGAAAACAACCTTTCTCCCTCCTCTATGTGACATCCTTTTATATATTTGAACATGGCTATCATATCACCCCTTAACCTCCTCTTCTCCAGGCTAAACATGCCCAGCTCCCTTAGCCGTTCCTCATAAGGCATCGTTTCCAGGCCTTTGACCATTTTGGTTGCCCTCCTCTGGACACGTTCCAGTTTGTCAGTGTCCTTCTTGAACTGTGGTGCCCAGAACTGGACACAGTACTCCAGGTGAGGTCTGACCAGAGCAGAATACAGTGGCACTATTACTTCCCTTGATCTAGATGCTATACACCTATTGATGAGGCCCAGAATTGCATTGGCTTTTTTAGCTGCCGCATCACACTGTTGGCTCATGTCAAGTTTGTGGTCAACCAAGACTCCTAGATCCTTTTCACATGTACTGCTCTCAAGCCAGGTGTCTCCCATCTTGTATTTGTGCCTCTCATTATTTTTGCCCAAGTGCAATACTTTACATTTCTCCCTGTTAAAATTCATCTTGTTTGTTTTTGCCCAGTTCTCTAATCTGTCAAGGTCGTTTTGAAGTGTGATCCTGTCCTCTGGGGTGTTAGCCACCCCTCCCAGTTTGGTGTCATCTGCAAATTTGATGAGGATGCCCTTGAGTCCATCATCCAAGTCATTGATAAAGATGTTGAATAAGACCGGGCCCAAGACAGAACCCTGTGGCACCCCACTAGTCACTCTTCTCCAGGATGAAGAGGAACCATTGATGAGCACCCTCTGGGTTTGGTCAGTCAGCCAGTTACAAATCCACTGAGTGGTAGCATAGTCAAGACCGCATTTTACCAGCTTCTTTACAAGAATATCATGGGGCACCTTGTCAAATGCCTTGCTGAAATCAAGGTAGGCTACATCCACTGCATTCCCTTCATCTACCAGGCTTGTAATTCTGTCAACAAACGAGATCAGGTTAGTCTGACATGACTTATTTTTCAGAAATCCATGCTGACTATTGGTGATCACAGCATTCCTTTCTAGGTGCTCACAGACTGTTTGCTTAATGATCTGCTCCAGAATCTTCCCTGGTATTGATGTCAGACTGACTGGGCGGTAATTATTTGGGTCCTCTCTTTTCCCCTTTTTGGAAATAGGGACAACATTTGCCCTCCAGTCTGCCGGGACTTCGCCTGTTCTCCAGGAATTCTCAAAGATGACTGCCAGTGGTTCTGAGATCACATCTGCCAGTTCTTTTAATACTCTTGGATGCAGTTCATCTGGCCCTGGAGACTCGAATACATCTAAACTAGCCAAGTATTCTTGTACTATCTCCTTAGTTATTCTGGGCTGTGTTTCCTCTGCTGAATCATTTGCTCCAAATTCTTCAGGTCGGGCATTGTTTTCTTTATCGGAGAAGACTGAGGCAAAGAAGGCATTGAGGAGTTCAGCCCTTTCTGTGTCCCCTGTTTGCATTTCACCATCTTCTCCTCTGAGTGACCCCACTGTTTCTTTGTTCTTCCTTTTGCTACGAACATACCCATAAAAGCCTTTTTGTTGCTTTTAACCTCTCTAGCAAGCCTGAGTTCATTCTGTGCTTTAGCTTTTCTGACTTTGTGTCTACACGTGCTGGCTATTTGTTTGAATTCCTCTTTGGTGGTTTCCCCTTTTCCATTTTTTGTACACATCCTTTTTTTAATCCTAACTCAGTTAAAAGTTCTTTAGATAGCCACCCTGGCTTCTTTAGGCACCTTCCATGTTTCCATCTCATTGGTATTGCCTGAAGTTGTGCTTTTACTATCTCCCTCTTAACAAACTCCCAGCCATCATGAACTCCCTTTCCTTTTAGTATTACTGTCCATGGGATCTCACCCAGCACTTCCCTAAGTTTTATGAAGTCAGCTTTCTTAAAGTCAAGAAATTGAGTCCTAGTATGCTTGGCTGCTCCTTTCCGCTGTATAGTAAACTTCAGAAGAGCATGATCACTCGCGCCTAATGATCCTCCCACTTCTACCCCACTAACCAGGTCATCAACATTGGTTAGGACCAGATCTAAAATGGCTGTTCCTCTTGTTGCTTCTCCCACTTTCTGGACAATGAAGTTGTCTGCAAGGCCAGTGAGGAATCTGTTTGACCTTATGCTCTTGGCTGAGTTTGACATCCAACAAATATCCGGGTAATTGAAGTCCCCATTACTACTATCTCCTTCCTTTTGCATGCTTGGCCATCTGTTCCAGGAAGGCATCATCTATGTCCTCCGTTTGGCTTGGGGATCTATAGTAAACTCCCACAATGAGGTCACTGTTATTCTTCTCTCCCTTGATTTTGACCCAAATGCTCTCACTTTGGCTTTGAGGTTCTAAATCTTGGATCTCTTCACAGGTATACACATCCCTGACATATAACGCCACTCCTCCTCCTTTCTTGTCTGGTCTGTTTCTCTGAAATAGATTGTATCCCTCCATTATTACATTCCAATCGTGGGACTTATCCCACCAGGTTTCAGTGATGCCTATTATGTCATATTTAGTTTGCTGTACCAAGAGCTCAAGCTCATCTTGTTTATTTCCCATGCTTTGCGCATTAGTGTACAGACATTGAAGTCCATTAATCATTCCCCGTGACTCTTATTTAAGGATTTTTCCTCCCACCACTAGGTCTGCGTGCTGTTTGCTCCATTTGGTCTATGACATTTGGATGATCATCTTCATCAATTGATAGACTCCTACCTTCAGGAGCACTGTCTCCCTCCCCACATTAGTCAGTTTAAAGCCCTCCTGATGAGGTTTCTGAGATTTTGGCAAAAACATTCCTCCCAACCGTTGTGAGGTGCAGCCCATCGCTTGCCAGAAGTCCATCTTCAAGAAACTGCAGTCCGTGATCTAAGAATCCAAACCGTTCCTGTTTACACCATTTGCGAAGCCAGCTGTTCACTTCCACTATTTTCCCTCTCTCCCTGGGCCACGTCGTTCAACTGGGAGGACAGATGAGATGACAATTTGTGCATTTAATTGCTTCAATTTCCTGCCCAGAGCCTCGTAGTCTCTTTTGATCTTCTGGAGGCTATTGCTTGCAGTGTCATTGGTTCCCACATGAACCAAGAGGAGGGGGTATTTGTCAGTGGGTTTTATGATTCCTTGCAGTCGTTCAGTTACATCTTGGATCTTAGCCCCGGGGAGGCAGCACACTTCCCGAGACATCTTGTCAGGCCCACAGATCACTGCTTCTGTTCCCCTCAGTAGGGAATCCCCTATCACCACTACATGCCTCCTCTTAGGTTTGGTCGGGGTTCTTCCGTGAGCTGTCCGTTCCAAGGTCGCCTGCACATTCCCTGAGGACTGACTTTGCTGCTCATCTTCATATACCTGATCGACTGTAATGAGGGAGAGATCCTCAAATGGAGTCTGCTCTTCGTCTTCCATGCTAGGGGAGAGGACCTCAAAGCGATTGTGTATTTCTAAACAATCAGAGCGAACCCTGGGCCTCCTACTTCTTTGAGTCACATTTCTCCATGTATCTGGCTCCTGTGTTGGTGAACTAGTCTCCTTCTCAGGGGAGTCCCCTGTCTCCTCCTTGGTGGAGACGGTGTGCTCTGTTGCTTCCAAGAAGAGCTCCAGCTCTCTAATTCTTTGGAGCGTAGCTACATGTTCCTCCAGTTGCTGGACTTTGTCTTCTAAGAGGGCAATCAACATGCAATTGCTGCAGGTAAAGCTGCCTGCAACCTTTGGCAAGATGGCAAACATTGTGCAGGAACCGCAGGCGACTGCAGCTGTTCCCTCCCCCTCCATCTTGAGAACGTGTCGTTGGGGGTGGCTACAGTGGTCCTCCATCATAAAAAGCGTGAAGACAGGACAAATAACTTCCCCCCCAAAAAAACCTAGGTCTCCCCCAACAAACGTTTGAGACTAGCTCCCCTAAATCTAAAAGATGGATCAAACTGCGCGCACCGCTAGGCGCGCGCCGCTGCCCTGCAAGCTCTGATAAGCTCCTCCCACAGCTAATCACCTGCCTCAACAGAAACCCTGCCCCCTCTGACCTTTGCACAGGGAGAGCAGCTAATCAGCCACAAAGAAACACACACACACAAGAAAACCCTTTTTGCACCTTCTTCAGCTTACTTCCCTTGTAAGCCCATCCCCTCAGTCTCGAGACACAGAAGGTTAACCCTTAACTACACCCAACAGAAAGAAGGAAAAATCAGAATTTAACAGAAATAATTTATTATAGAATGCAAGGGGAAAAAGGTAGAAAGAAATATAAAGAAGTCGAATTGCTGTGGAGGGAAGTAGAGGGTGGGTGGTGGGTTTTATAATTAAGTGTATAATTATGCAGCTGTTGTAATTTAGATACTATATTTTATGTGAGGGAATCATTGGGAATTTTGGTTATTATGTATATATGTTAAGTTTCAATAAAGATCTTTGGGGGGGGACTACCCTCAGACTATTCAAGGGGGAACCCCCCCCCCAAACCCCAATATGCTAAAAACAGGCTAAAACACATATAAGTTCCACATGTCTGAATAGGCCTGCCTAAACAAAAATATTTTAAGCAGGTATCAAAAAGTATAATAAAGGTGCCTGCCTGATACTGATAGGGAGTTCTAAAGTGTTGGTGCTTTTCTTTTGAGAATTTCTTTCACAATAATAAGCATGCACCAGAGCCAAACAGCAGTTAAAATAAATTTGTGCCATCACCTCACTAGCCCATGAACAAAATTTGCCCTTAACACTTCCTTCTCACTTTATGCTGCATAAACCCACTCCACTAACATAAGAGATTGGGCTGGGGGCGGCAAGCAGATACACCTGGCCTTTGTCACCTGAAATGTATATTTTCATATCATAGGGTAGTTTACAATATAAAAACACAAAAACACAGCAGGAAAGTGAAGAGGGGATTGTGAATCAACTGAAAGGAAAGTGGGAACCAGTAGATTCCCCCTGAAGAATGGGCTGTTTGGCTGCACATTTGATTACACTTGGAAATAAGGTCCCCTGTAAATATTCCCAAATAAATTGATTATAAGGACTATTCCCCACCCCCTTGGAGCTGAATTGGCCCTGTATTCCTTCCGAATACTTAAGCCGGGAAGCAGAGTGATCATGCCTGTTATGAAAAGGTCCAAAGTTAATACAGTGGTACCTCGGGTTAAGAACTTAATTCGTTCTGGGGGTCCGTTCTTAACCTGAAACTGTTCTTAACCTGAAGCACCACATTAGCTAATGGGGCCTCCCACTGTTGCCGTGCTGCCGGAGCACGATTTCTGTTCTCATCCTGAAGCAAAGTTCTTAACCCGAGGTACTATTTCTGGGTTAGCTGAGTCTGTAACCTGAAGCATATGTAACCTGAAGCGTATGTAACCCGAGGTACCACTGTAATAACATCTGCCTCTTCCTGAGTGCTGTCCCTTTGAGGTGTACCTCCTCTCAGGGAATTGCATCAGGCATCAGTCCAGATTTCTTTTAAAACTAAGCTACATTCTTATTTCCAGAAATAACATCTCCATGTGAAATGTTCACCTATTAATACTTGGAGATAACACTCAAAACATAACTATTGGTAAGTAACCTCTATTTCTTTCTTGAAAAAAAGCAATAGAAAAAGTAACCTGAACTGAATTATTTGAACCTTGGACTTTTTCTGGAAATAATACAATAAAACAATGAGATTGATCTGATGCAATCTCTAATTTCATATTGGAGTATACCCTGAGGGTGGTTAGAAAGTAAATTATTGTGTACAGCGGAAGCACTGGCAAAATTCTAGTACACCACCTAATGTGTATTGAGTGCTGGAATTCTTGGAAAGAACTTCGGATTAGGTGACTAGTAGGAAGGCATTTTTATGTTCTTAAGCAAGACTGCAGCGCAAGTTCTTAAGACATAGTTTAAGAGATGCCAGGTATGCACTCTTGCTTTGCATATTTAACAGGTAGTGGTGTTCTTTGAGAATCATAGGTTGAATAGAAAGGGCAAACAATGCAGAGCTGAAATATTTGGAAACTTGTTAGACTAAAAATTATATAAAAATGAAACAGCCAGGTAGCAAAATAAGTACCCAATTAGTAAGTGTCTTATCTTACAACCAGTTAATAGTTCAGCAATCCAAAGTGACTTTTATATTGCTATTTTTAGTGCTGCTATTTTTGGATACTAACCTGCTGAATATTTATGTTACTCTGTGATGTCTTAGGGTCTTTAGTAAAATCAGATCAGGTGTCAGTTGCATGTTTTATATTACATTTTAAAGCAATTTCTACTATCAGGCTGGAAAGTTTCCTCCTCTATTTAGGGGGAAAACACAATTAAGGAAAACATTTGGTTTTTAAGATCCTTCAGATATGTAACTCAAAAGTTTATACGTGCAAATAAATAAATAGGAATGTGGAATTGTAAAAAACCCCAAAACCCTTGGGTCATGATGTCATACTTTAGGATGTGTGGGCATAATTTTACTGTTAATGTGGAATTCCTTTTAAGATGCAGTATGGTGTTGTACAAGGCCATAATCAGTAACAATATTCAAATGGATGAACCATGAGCTCAGCTGAATATTTGTTTGATGCTACTGTTGCCGGTCTCATTGTCCAATAAATGAGTCCCTCTTTAGCGTTATAATCAGTCTCTCTCTTTGAAAGTAGGAACAGCTATGAAGGCAGCAGAACATATGGTTCTGAGCATACCCGTTGCCCCACTGAAGCATATTATTGCACACCATCCCAATTTCAGAGCAGTACAAGATTACTGTACTGGAGTTCTAGGCACTCAATGGGGGTTTCTGTTTCCTTTTGGAAATGAGGCACAGTGGAGACTTGTATTTATAATATGTGGCTTATTTACACATATATACAACCAGTACCTACGATGGAGGTGTTCACAACATCATCACCCCAAAAGGGTCTTGCTTCTTCCTTAGTCATAGCCTTGGATTCAAACAGAAATCAAACATTGTGTTCTGACCCTCCCCTCAGCTTTCCAGCTTGCTGCTTTCCTTCTAAGTGAAGTTATTGCTTCCTAACCTCTCTGTTCTAAACTCTGGCTTTATTTGTTGAGGGAGAGGGGCCCACCCATTTGCTGTCTCACACTGAGCCCTCAATCCTTTGTTCTCCTAATGGACCAGGCAATTACCTCATCAGGAAGCTAGCCTGGCTTATTTTTTAAACACCTGCTGGACCTTGGGGTTCACTAGGCTTGATTAGATTTCAACACATATTGGATCTGGGGATTAAAAGGGTCCAGCACCTACAAACTTACCGGTATAATATTATTACGGTATTTGAGCAGCTCCATTTTCAGTTACCTTTTTATTGGTAAGAATTCTCAGAAGATAACCATATTAGTTTGCTATGGCAAAAACAACAATGAAGAGCCATGTGGTACAGTAAGTCAAGTCCCAAGCAAGGTGGAGAACTTAAAGGTTTTTCCACACCAAGTATGCTTGGGATTACCCAGCTTGAAAAACTCTTTTAAGTTGTTGCTTTGCTTGCTGAGCAAGGCTTGCTCCCAACACTGGCTTTGGGATACTCTCACAAGATTTTGCGGTACAATCAGAGCTCCCTTGAGATCTTGTGTGAGCATCCCTAGCCCTCTAGAGCCAACATTGTGAGTGGGCATTGCCTCTCAAGCAAGGCTGAGAGCTTAAAACCCCTTTTTGTACTGGGTAACCCAAGTTGACCTGGGACTCATCTACACTTGTGGTTTTTAATACTAAAAATGAGTTTTAAAATGGTTATGATAATCCTATAGCCATATGATATTCTTTTAAAACGTCAATACAGTGGTACCTCAGTTTACGAACATAATCTGTTCCTGAAGTCCGTTCTTAAACCAAATCCGTTCTTAAACTGAGGCGTGCTTTCCCTAATGAGGCCTTCCACCACCAGTGCCCTCCCACCGTTCGGCTTCTGCTCATAGACCAAGGTAAAGTTCGCAAACCGGAACACTACTTCCAGTTTTGCGGGGTTTGTAAACCAAATAGTTCGTAAACAGGACTGTCCGTAAACCGAGGTACTACTGTAATGCGTTATTGAAACGTGACACCAGAGGGTGCTGCATAATCCACTCCTCATCAAATAAGAGGGTAGACCTTGTAGAAAAGGAAGCGAAAGAGAAACCAAATTCCTTTTGTTTTCGAACGCTATAAAAAACATTGTTCTAAGAACATTTAAAGAGTGAGTATAGATCCATTCCTGGTGTGAAAAGAGCATTTAAGCACTCAGCTGTGCGTGGGGATGCAGCACTTTAAGAGCCAGGGATGTTCTTGTGAAGACTTGTGGGATAATCCAAGTTCTTGTCAGCTCTCAAGAGCTAGTGCTGTGAGTGGGTCTTCCCCATCAAGCAAGGCTGAGAGCTTAAAAGCTTTTTTTATGCTGGGTAACCCAGACCCATCACAAAAGAGCTTCTAAGTTCTTGGCCTTGCCTGCAGAAGGAAAGCCCTGTTTAGTGCACAGGCTTTGGGAGTACTGGAGATGCTCTCTCTCACTCTTCCTCACCTGCTAGCTATGGGGCCACTCAGAGTATTGGAATATATGCAACTTACACATATATGCATAACTTTTGGAATCAAACACCCATGTAAGATGAGGGATTACTGTACTTTAAAGACTGGAAAATTTATCATAGCACAAGCTTTCATAGACCAGAGTCCACTTCTTTAGATGCATGAAGCATCATCCTAAATTGAAGGGATGGATATAAAAGGATATTGGTCTAAATAGATGTAAATAAAAAGATGAAGTACAGAAGTTAGCATAATATGAAATGCAAAAAATGCAAACTGTGACAATTATTGTGAAGCTGAAATATATGTAAAATAATCACAAAAACTTTTCACAAATCTTGTGTTGATAACAATTTTTTTGGCACAGGTAAGCTAATAAATACATATAGTGAGAGAAATGATATTACAGTATAATGATTCCAGACACAGGCGATAGAATTTAACTTCATGATAAATTTTAATAGTTACATACTGGAGAGTTACTTTGAATTTCCTGTGTTCACAATTGGCTACTTTAAGGTAAGTTGCTGATTTTCTTTGGAGCCTGTCAGCTTTGCACCATATTTCATGAATGCTTATGCCATTATAGATTTGCTGGAGTTAAAGGTACAACAAAACTTACTGTACAAACTTTTTCAATTTATCATTAAATAAACAATGTGTTCAATGCTCACATTTTTTATAATTCTCTTAATTATGACAATATAAGAATAGTATCTGCACAGAAACCTAGTTGATAGACTACAGGACAAAGTGTTTGATAATGTTGCCCTCCAGAGGAGGAATGAGATACCACAGGAAGAAAAGTGGGAAGAGGAAACAATTTCCAGGCATTCTCTAATGGCAATCATGGTACAGTGGTACCTCGGGTTACATACGCTTCAGGTTACACACTCCGCTAACCCAGAAATAGTGCTTCAGGTTAAGAACTTTGCTTCAGGATAAGAACAGAAATCGGGCTTCGATGGCACGGCGGCAGCAGGAGGCCCCATTAGCTAAAGTGGTGCTTCAGGTTAAGAACAGTTTCAGGTTAAGAACGGACCTCCGGAATGAATTAAGTACTTAACCCGAGGTACCACTGTATTTCACAAATGATGAAGTAAGTAGTGGAGAGAGTCTATTCTTTCTAATGGGCCTATACTCAGTTCAATTGTTAATAATTTATTTGGCACTTTTGCAGTCCTGTCCTGTTAATGTTTACTCAGAAATTGTCTGCATTGGGGCTCAGGATCTTCACAAACTTGGCGGAGTTTCAGGCCTGATGAACATAGCAGCTCATGCCCTGTAGGTCCTACTCCATGAAATCAGTTACTAAGACTAAAAATTGCTGCCTCCCCACAACCGTCTATGTCTCCTCCTCTCCAGGGCTTCTTGCAGGCAATCAGAGATCATGTGCAGCTTGTCTTTGCTCTTCCTGTTTCATACATTTCCTGGTTCTGGGAGCTGGGGGAGAGGAGCTTGTCACAGCAGGAGAGGGGAGACACCTGTGACTCTTCGCTAGCTTGATTCATCTCTGCCTCTCAACCTCTCCCCTCCCACTCACCTACTTCAGTTTCTGCCCCTGATTCTTGACTTCTCTCTGCCACAGGCTCTCCCCACTCTCTAAGTCTTGCTACCCCTTTGGCTTCCAACACTTCCTCTTCCCAGTCTTCTCCCTCTTCTCCACTCATCATTGTCCCACCACCACTCCCCAGGCTCTGAGCCTTCTTCCCTTGGTGGTTCCCCAGCTGGGGATTCATCTGTGTCCAACCAGTCAATGACAGGTGGATAGACATCTTTCTTTGTCTGCCTATATACATAAAAATGTAAATCTGTCATCACTCTGCAGTTTGCAGTCTTCCACAGTATGTTCACATAATGTGTTACACTCCTAATACCATGTGTTGTCTTTAACACACGGTTCCAGAATCAATGCAGTAGTTTAGAACAGGTATTTTATTAACAAGCAAACACCCATGTAGGAACAATATCCACCAACTGATCTTAACCTTCTCTAACAGAAGAAGCTAAGTGACAGGCTTCATCCAAGTGACAGGCTTCCTCCCAAAAGTGGAAATGTGTTGACTCATTGGCCCCTTTCAACATGGGCATTACATGAAGGGGGATCACACATAGTATGGGGTTGTGACACCACACCTCTGGTTCCCCTTCTGCAGTACTACATAAAAACATGAGAGCCTGCAGGATCAGGCCAGTGATTCATCTAGTCTAGCATCCTGTTCCCACGGTGGCCAACCAGATGCCTATGGGAAGCCTGCAAGTAGGACCTGAGTGCAACAACACTCTTTCCTTCTGTGGTTTCCAGCAACTGGTATACAGAGGCATATTGACTCCTTTGACAGTGAGGGCTAAACATTGCCGTGGTGGTTAGTAGCCATTGATAGTCTTATCCTCCATTAATTTGTCTAATCCTTTTTAAAAGTCATCCAAGTTGGTGGCCATCACTACCTCCAGTGGAAGCAAATTCCATAGTTTATATATGCACTGTGTGAAGTTATTTTGTTTGTCCTGAATCTTCCTACATGTAACTTCATGGGATGTCCCTAAGTTCCAGTGTTATGATGGAGAGAGAAAAATGTTTCTCCATCCACTTTCTCCATTCATGCATAATTTTATACATGTCTATCATGTCACTTCTTACTCGCCTTTTCTTTATACTAAAATGCCCCAGATGTTGTAACCTTGCTGCATAGAGTTGTTCCATTCCTTTGATCATTTTGGTTACCTTTTGTTGAACCTTCCCAACTCTACAATATCCTTTTTGAAGTGAGGTGACTAGGACTGTATGCAGCCATGCCATAGATTTGTATAGTAGCTTTATTATATTAGTAGTTTTATTTTCAATTCCTTATTTTCAATTTCATCCTTGGCATGGAGTTTGACTTTTTAACAGCTGCTGCACATTGGGTCAACATTGTTATTGAACCATTCACCATGACCCCAAAGTATTGTTCCTGGGCAGCCACTGCCAGTTCAGACTGCATGAGCATAGATGTGAAATCAATATTTTTACCCCAACATGTATCACTTTACACTGAATTGCATGTGCCATTTTACTGCCAATTTACTCAGTTTGGGGTGGTCTTTTTTTAGTACTTCACAGTTCATTTTTACATTAATGACCCAGAAAAATATAGTATCAACATTACTGGCCTCATCACTGGTGTCTACATGTGAAGAATGGAATAAGGGAAAGGTTATGTATGTAGACCTCTTCATGTGTAGGCTTTCTCTGAGTTCTGGATTCCTGATTGTACAGGCCTAACAGCAATGCCTAATGTGGATCCTGGGGATGTGTCCAGGTACATTACCTTTCTAATGTGATTCTCCTTCTTGTGACAACGTAAGTGTGAAGGGACTATTGCATGTTCTCAAAACTAGTTGCCAATCTTTTCCTCTCTTTCACATGGTCTGAGTGCATTGCGAACTCGTATAGATTATGACATTATATGCATCACTATAGCATATTGCAAGTTTATTTGATAAGCAAAAGAACTTAAGATATACCTACATCAAATTTCCTGTAATATAAGTGTTTTAAAAAGAAAATTACAATTCTGAACTGTCAGTGGAGAGTCATGTTGCTAATGTTTGGTGAAATACTCTGCAAAAGAAGAAATATGCACTACTGTTTTAACCATGTTTATTTTTATTATATTAGAATGGAACAATTCTACAGTTTCTAGATTTCTAATCCCCATCTGAACATGTTGTTCTCTTCTTTTGCTCAGTGTCTTCAGTTTGTTTGCTTCCTTTTCGTATCAGATGTACAGAGATCCATTTTTAATGCTAGTTGTAAAAAACTACCTTGGCTTACTGACATTCTTTAGGATCCCTGTAAAGAAACAGGAGGAACATGAGGAAAATGTAGCCTAGGAAAGCAGATAACAGAGTGTGTGAGAAAAAGAGAGAGAGGAAGGAAGCAGAACACAGAGAGCTGTCATATGTCTTTGTCAAATTCAGAGTGCTGTCATGTGTCTCAGCTGCTTGACGTAATATGAAAATAGTAATGTGAAATATAATAATGTGAATTACATGAAGCATCACATGAAAATTAGATCTTATTACTGAAAAGTTGTGAACACAGCTGAAAAATACACAGCTTATGAGTGTGCATGCAGGGTGGTGGCGGCAGAATATCCTTTTTGGGGAATAGTATAGTGGAAAATGGAAAAGAAATGAGGAAAAGGTGTGGCGGTAAGACGAAACAAAAAAATGGCAAGATTACCTAGAATAGAAGGGGGAAAGAAAGGTTAATCAGAAGTGGGGCAGTTATACTAGAAACAGCTAAAGAGTGCAGAAAAAGCAACAGTGTGAAAAGAGAGAGAGAAAATGAGGGAAGAGTCAGTTTTTGACAGTTTATAGATGTGTAATGAAAAAACGCACAAAACAAACAACAACATTTTGTTTTCCTTTCAGTACCAGAAACTTTGTTCAAGTAAGCAGAAAGTGACTGTGAATTCAGGGTAATGACTCAAGAACTCAAGTTTGACTTACGGTATTTTTTTGCTTTTGATGCTGGTGCTATTTTTCAGACAATGAACTGGCTAAATTGCAATTCTGGTGCTGATGACCTTGGCACATATTTTTGGTACAATATTTTATATAATATAGCTTACTCTGCAAGCAAAGGTAACATTTCAGTCTGCCACTGCAAATCCCTCCTCTTCCAATCTGAGATTGAATAACGTTTTCTGCACCTCTCTATACTCTTGCACATGTGGTTAGATTTATTCTTTGTTGGAATGCTCATTGTGGGACTATATATTCTCCATTTTGAGCAAGAGAGAAAATGATACATAATTTCCTGGCTTTTCTAGTAATCATGGTATCTGGAACTATACATATAGTTTACACTAGGGGAAATGCCTGTACTATCTTTTTATTTCCACAGGAGGCACATATAATTATGGTTACATAATGCAGAACTTAAATTCCATTTAAGTTAATTGCATAGTTTATATGCATACAGGCTTACAATAAAAAAAAATCATAAATGAATTGATTTCTAAAAGGCCGTAATGCCCTCATTCTTCAACTTAACACCGAGCATGTTGCACAAAAATGTTACTGTTGCATGATGAAATTTAAACTACTCTTGTTATGTTAAGCTAAGAAAATGGGCATATGACACTGCACACTTTCATCTGTTTATTGTTCCACATTCTGACCTTTACATTGGCATGTAATGAAATACTGTTAGTGCCTTCCAAACATTTTGAAGAGGTTCTGCACAGTCACTGAATTGTGTGTTTGTGAGGGGAGATTACAGCAGCAAAGCATGCTCCCCCCTTTGTACAGTAAGCATTTTCCAGGTGTCTGAAAGGGGGCTTTGAAGTACAGGACTATGGGCTTAGATTGCTTTTGCTATGCTCAGGGAAAGAAGGAACAAAAAGAAATTAACAAGATGCTGTAAGATTCAACAATTCTTCATTGGCTCTTTGAATTGAGTTTATATTGGCCATGATGACTTACAGTGAACAGCTTGACATTTAGACTTTCATTTCTATCCATTGGTTGTGTTACCTTTCTAACTGAAGCTTTTCTCAAACCCTCTTTGAATTTTTTTGTGGTTTGTTTCCAGTTATAAGTGAGTGCTCATAAGGATGCAATACATTGAATAATGGCAAAGAAACCAAAAAATACACCACCCATATGGCATCAAATTTCCCCCACAAGTGAAGCTTGGATTCAGTCTCTCCATTACATACAAGTAATGGACACTGTCAAAGCTGAGAGCACTGAATTGAGCGAATGCTCATCAAATTTGCAGATGACACCAAACTGGAAGGGGTTGCTAATTGTTCCACAATTTAAGAAGGATGTTGACAAGCTGGAACGTGTGCAGAGTGGGGCAACCAAGATGATCAGGGGTCTGGAAACTCAGCCTTACGAGGAGCCCTTGAAGGAGCTGGGTATGTTTAGCTTGGAAAAAAGGAGACTGAGAGGAGATATGATTGCCATCTTCAAATATCTTAAGGGCTGTCACATCGAAGAGGGAACATGCTTGTTTTCTCCTGCTCTGGAGGGTAGGACTCGAACCAAAGGCTTCAAGTTACTAGAAAGGAGATTCCAGCTAAACATTCAGAAAAAACTTTCTGACAGTAAGAGCTGTTTGACAATGGAACAAACTCCCACAAGAGGTGGTTGACTCTCCTTACTTGGAGGTTTTTAAGCAGATGTTGGATGGTAATCTGTCATGGATGCTTTAGCTGAGATTCCTGCACTGCAAGGGGTTGGACTAGATGATTCTATGATCACCTTTTGCAAGTGTGTATGTACACATAGCTTTTCATGCATAGGAGATAACATAATCCACATGCAGAAGACTATTTCTGCAGGCAAATCACCCTCTCTAGATTGAGGTGACAGGCTGTAAAATACTTTGTTGATGAGAAGCAAGTAGTGTCACAGGTAAGCAGATAATTAGAGTTCTTCAGGTTGCCTGATCAAAGCTGATGTGAATTAGGTAGTAAAAGATTATTCAATTAAAAATATAATTACTGAATACTAAATATGATTCACAGATAAATATCGACTTCATAAACTACTCAAATGCCATATATGTATTTCTGAAAATATATATTGCAAATCTTTGGTGGGGGAAGAACGCCTGTGCCCACCTCAATCCCTGCTCTGCTGGCCCAGCTTCTGCTCATTAATTGCATGGAGTTGAAATGCAATATGCATAGTCCTCCAATAAACCAAGTATTTACTGTACTGTCCAAATGTGTGCTGGTCTAGATTGCACAAACTGGACTTAGAACATTGAATTTTATGCTTTATTCCCCATTTAAAAGTTGCTTCCAAAGTCAGCACAATTCCATTTCTTCATCATGCATAGATGCTACACACTTTCAGATATAGATAGATGCACAGAACAGCACATAAGTAGATGCCTGAGATATCTATATGCCTATCAGGAAATTAAAAGCTAGCTTTGTATAATGTTTTAGGGCACTTGTTATGATTGCAGTGCCACAGGTATCAGAGTAAAGCACAGAATCCATAGATTTGTAAACAGATGGTAGTTTTGGCTGATGAAGTCTGATGAAATCAATAAAAGAAAAAGAAACACTGAAGTAAATGCAGTCTTTCAAACCTCTGAAGCTATTTTGGAAGTTTTGACTTCAGTTGACTGAACTGGCTTAGCTGCTGAGGTGTTATGGAATATTTGTAAACATCCTCACAGCTCAGAAGTTAAACCACATGCACACCAGATCTCAGGAAAGATAGCAAAAAATTGTTCATGTGAGTGCAGATGAGAGGGTTATGTGCATGATGTATCTTTGTGTATATGTATGAGCACTACATGAATGCTGTAAGTCTGTCTAAGTGAAGGAGAGAATGAAGGAGAAATTGCATACAGAGAAAGTATTACAAAAGTATTACGGAGAAAGTATTACAAAACTCTTCTGCAAATGATTATAGGTCTCCACATGTCATTGCCCTAATGCTGGACATACAGCAGAGAGTGTTGGACGTGTAAATATATTTTTGTGTGGCTGAATTCCAAAGGGTAATGACTGTTTAACTCACAGAGACAACACAGGTGTTGTTTTTATTAGTCACCTTTGATTGGACTTAACCGTCCAGGGGTCTTTTACCTTTACCTTTTACCTTTGTTTTTATTTTTATTTATTATAAATTTTTGTTCCTCACCTTACAGAAACCTGTCCCAAGGTGGCTTGTAATGAAATATAAAAATACAGTGAAACAAAAAGATCAAAGCATGATAATAAAACAACAAAACCAAGAAGCAGAAAAAAACCAGGCACTGGAGATAAACTAGACAAAAATGCCTGTGAAAATAAATATTTTTGCCAAGCACCAGAATGACATTAAACTAAGCAGCAAGTGAGAGTGTTCTATAGTTGGGAGAACACAATAACAAAGGTCGTTTTTCTATTCACCACCTGCCGCAGCTGTGACAGCAGCTCCCAAAGAAACACCTCTGAAGATGGGGAATTCCCATGTTGCATAACCCAGAAAAGATGAAATACCACTAAGCTGAATAGACAGACCATTCGCCAGTGGCACCTCCCACTTATTGGGATAATTTTTCAGTTTATGGCTCCCATATGGAAAAATATAACTATAATAGCTATGAGGGCAGAATGGGAAAAATCATTTGAAATGTCATTCATACCTGCAGTCTGCAGTCTTTTCCCCGTAATAGAAAAAAAATCTTGTCCCCTGAAAACAGTAAAGATAATAATAATGATACTTCAATTGAAAGCAATAATATTGAAATGAGTTTCTATTTCAGGGCTGTACACATCTAAGCAAATAGTTTCCCACCTCCATGCTTACTGAATAAAGCATGACTTTTCCAGAGATGAAGCAGTGAGTGGGAGGGGAGGGCTTTGCTTTTTGCCGTCATAACCTTTAGTTCTGTTTTTGAACTGTGAAAACTGGCAAATTACTCCCAATTAGCTACATATAGTTGTGCTGCCTTTGCTAACTTATGTGGGAATGTAAATATCACAGATCTGTAGTTCTTCAGCTTTTCAGATCCATGGCCCATTTTGATAAATCCATGTGGACATTTTATGACACAGTTAATAGCTTCAACCGCACAGCCATCTAGTCCCAAATGCCAATAGCAATCTTTCTCTTTTACAGAGGGGGAAATGAGCCCATTAATTGAAGAAAGGAGCCACAATGACCAGAAAGTACATTCACTTTTAAAATGGCTTTTCCCCATTAGCTACATTAGCTACATTTGGAAGTGGTACATTAGACACTAAAAGGTGATTTTAGCATCACTTTTGAAAATGACTATTCAATCTGTGAAAAGGTTGGGAGTTAGACTTGGGTCTTACAACTCCTATATAGCATTGATTGGATCACATCAGTTCTCAACATATCAAGTGCCCATCAAGTGCCTTTTGTTAATGATTCTCTTCCACCCACTGCCAAACAGTGATTAAAGATAATATTTTAAAGAACACAAAGATTATTAAGTCTGTATGACCTAGTACATTATTGTAAGTTTCTGTTCTATGGAAATAACTGACTTGTAAAGTTAAAAGCTCTCTGCTCAAAAATTATCAGTGACCCTGGTAATATTTTTGTGCAGAAGCTCACCATAATTTGAGACTTGCTACACTTGGTTTTGATTATCTGTGTTTTGGTATCTTGCTCTAAACAAGGCTATGTCCATCTTGGGTCTAAAACTGAGATCCTACATTCTGAAAAAGGAGCTGCCTATGAAGCTGAACTTTTTGTATTTTATAATGAATTCCTAAATAAATCCTCAAGTTGATTAGGTTAGTTTGACAGCAATGACAAACTGAGCTTTTAGTGTCATTGGTCCAGTCCTGTGGAACACCCTGTCAATAGAAGTTCAGCGGGTGTATTCTGTGCTAACTGTATTTTATTTTTATTTTTTTAAATAATATTTATTAATAGTTTCAAAATTACAAGAAAAACAAAAAACAAAAAACAACACTACAATAATAAAAAAAAGAAAAAAACACAAAATATGAACAACAATACAGCAAAAGAGGGTAAAAAAAGAAGAAAAAAAAGAAAAAGAAAAAAACACAAATCCCAAATTGCAAATCCATCATTTCCATTTGCTTGTTTCATTGACCTCCTCACACCTCCGTTTTTGTATTCTAGTTTAGTAATTATTTCAGCAAATTCTTTCCATCTTTCTCAATTTTTGTTATAAAATTTTATCTTGACAATTTAACCTAATAATTAACTTGACAAATCCTTACCATCTTTCCCCATATTCTGTTATTCAAATTACCTTAATTTATTTAACCTTATCTTACCCCTAAGTGCCTTAAGACTTAAATCTTAAATTTCAAATATACATAGCTCCTGATATCATTTCTGCTAGAGTCGTATAGTTTCATTCCCACATTTTCCCTAATATTCATTAGCTGATTCTAAAATTAAAAAATTCCATTATAAATTCTCTTCCAATCATCATCCAGCATCTCTTCTTCCTGGTCTCGGGTCATGTCAATCCTTATTGTCCATTCCGTCTAGTCCATCAACCTGGAAGCCTTATGTCCGAGGCCCTTAAATCTCTTCCATGTCCCTTCTGCAATTCTTATTCATCTTGTTTGTGCTTGCCCTTTTCCTTGTCTCTTGTTGGTCTCTGTCTTAGTTTCTTTCCTTTCTCATTGAGGAGTAGGTCTCTGGGGGGTTCCAACCCAAAATTATCTCCATCACCCTTCATCCAGTCCCACAGTCCATTCCCCACAGTCCCACTCCCCACAGTCCTCGATGTAATCCAAAATGAATTTAAAATCAAATTTCAGAATCTCTCCAAAGCTAGAAGTCTCCTCATTTCCAGACTCCCCTTGGCCCACTCCAACTTCAATCTTCAATAACAGTGGCTTATGCTCCTGTGGGGCCTCGGGTCTCTCCATTTGTACTATTTGAGGTGCAGCCACATCCTCCTCCATTATCAGCTGCACTTGCCCAGTCGGTGCAGATTGATATTAACCACAACAGTCAAAACCATTTTCTCATTCATCAAGTCCATCTTTTCATGCATTTGTTCCAGCAAAGCATTTGTCTTATATAGAGCAAGCAACCAGTCCTTTTCCCAGCTCATCTTTGTTCAAGGTCGAAAAAGTCTGTTCCCACAGTCTTAATCTCACAGATGTTGGGTCTCAAATATGCTGCAACAACAATTTAGCAAGCTCCCTCTAGAGGAGACAATCTACTTGTAGCCATTTTTTTTTAAAAAGACAAAGGAAAGTTACTTTCATTTTTCAGATATTTCAGACGTTTTTCAGATGTTTTGTTTCTTTAAGATGCAAAAGGCAAAATTGGAATCAACTTGTTTCTCTTCATTAGCTATCTGTCAAAATGTTACGTTCACCGTCAATGAACCTCAGCAACAGTTTCTGTCTCTGACACCCCGTTCCCAGGTTAGAGACGATGGAAACTTATCCTTCTTCACTCCCTCTCCTGCTAGGGTTAAACAGAGTCCCCCCCCCCTTCTCCTGCTTCCAAGGGAGTTTCAGTGGTTCTAAATGAAGGAAATTTAGTCCTTTTTTGACAGCTTCCCGGCTTTAGCTTGCAAAATTTTTGCTTTAGTCTATATACAAGGAAACGGAAGGCGGACTTCCTGTTTACACCTTCCCGCTTCTCCGTTTCTACTCACGGGTACTTGTTTTAAGTCCAATTGTCCACAGGAAAAGGGATTCCCCGCGAGTAGGGGGGCGCTTCTGGTGCCCTGCCGAACCCCACATTCCCAGGCTTCCTCCGCCTGGGATTTCTAGCGGGTCCCCACCTTCGCCGCGGCGGGAAGACGCGGGCGCTGACCCGGAAGTCCCTGTGCTAACTTTAAAATGCCTGCTGAAAACTTTTCTATTCAACCAGGCCTATGCAGGCAATTAAAAGTACGGTACATCCCCCACAGCAGTCTCTTGTTTTTATTTTTTACTTTTAACTTGCTTTTAACCTTTTAATGATTTTATTGTCTGTTTTTATGTTTTTATATTGTTGCATAAATATTTTTATAAAGAAGGAAATAATAAAGAGCTTGAAAGTCTGTGTTACTGAGCAGACAAACATGATGTAACACAAAATAAAATTGGAATAGATGCTGGAAGATTGTGTTATGGGTTAGTGGGGGAACAGGGATTCCTCCAGATCCCTGGATGCCAGATTTCCACCTCTAGTTTCTTGGGTGCTGGGGTTTAATCAGAGCTGACAGGCTGAGCTTGACATTAAACCACCTACAATACAAAAGACCCTACAGGAAACTGAGGGGGAGGTTGCCAGGTCAACGTGGGTGTGATATGAGTCAGAAAAAACTTGTCCTTTTATACAGGTTTTTTTGGTAAAGTGTTCTAAGAACAAGAATGGGGAAGTAAGGAGTACTCCAAGTGGTGCTGGCTGGAGGACACCAGGGGCTATGACTGGCTGCTGCTTTGAACCTAAGCTCACTGAATCTATTAGAGGAGCCATGAGGTACACTCTTGGGGCATAATGTTCTGTACCCCCTCCAGTGAAGGCTGTAGCTGTAAATATGTGTAAAATAAAGACACTAGTCTCCACCGCACCTCAATTTTCCAGCAACCCTGGCTGAGCACCTGGAACCCCCTGGAATCTTGCTATCGCTTGGCAGAGATTGTGGGTGGCGTGTAACAATAGATAATGATTATGATGGATCACATACCTAGATTTACTCCTTGAGATAGTCCTCTTCATTAATTCTTGACTATACTTCAGTTTTTCTGAGTTTGCAGCACTGGGATTTTTCATGCAGCTGTCAGAAGAAACTGTGGCCTGGCTATGGCTCTTAGGAAATTCTTCAATAGGACCTACTATATCAGAAATGGTGACTCGTTTTGAAGGCATTTTCTTGATTATTTCTGGTTTTATTATTGGCTCTTCGCTGCTTTGTGGTTTTGTGGGAGTTTCTGCTTGATTGTATCCCTTTGGGAGCAACAAAGACAAGAGGGAGTATAGCATATGTTAAAAGCTCAGTACAGAATCAGTCCCACTCACATTCTTTGAGCTTGCCATGGAGAAGTGTGTTCAAAGTGACGACAGTGATTAACTGACACACACTCAAAACAGTCTGAAACAATTAAGTGAAAAAGAAACCCAGTATATATCACCCTTCATCCAAAGATCACAGAGCGGTTTACAGCATAAAAATACAAAATGAAAACACAAAATACATATCTAGGACTACATTGTGCAGGATGGGTTTCTTGGCATTGGGCAAACCAACAGGAGCTTGCTCATGCAGGTTTTTAAAAACTACACTTTACAAAAAAAATTACCATTTTATGTGCTCAAGTTCCCCCCCACCTTTTTTTCAACAATCTTAAGCTATATACCCAAATAGCACTCACTTGTAGTGCCTTGCTTGTTGTGGCTCTGTTTTCCTCCTGAGTCTTAAAATCTTTATATAGGGTATTGACTGAAGAAGTTTTATATTTAGATTTCAGTAGACTGATGAGCCGCACCCACTGTCGGAAGAGCTGGGGCTGTTTCTGTAGTGGCTCACAGAGTTCTAGGTAGTAGGCACGGCCACTCACCAGCTTCAGTTTGATGCGTCTTTTCTTAGCATTGTGAACAGTAACGTCTACAAACTTCAAGGGTAAGAACCTACAAGAAAATGATTGTGTGAATTCCTGCTAGCTGTACTTCACTGAATCACTACATAAAGTGAGAGGAAAATGGGATCCAAGAGAGTAGGGAACTGACTGAAATAAATGGAGGCATATTTCAAGAAGGCCGCTGTGCACTGTCAGTTTGGGTTACATGTAGGCAACAGAAAATAAAGGCACATAGTGTATCCACTGTGTTTTTGTATCATAGAAAAACTTACTTATGTGCATATGACAGCAATAAGTCACATGGCATTCTTTTTCAATCCACCCTGATCTCCCAACCGCCTGCACTGCTGGTAAAGAGAACTTTGGCCTAATTGTGCAGTCCACAAAGAAGGATCAGCTAATGTCACTAGAAAAACCTGTCCAATTATGTACCTTTTCAAGGTAGCCCTCTTTTTTGCACAATGGGCTAACTAAGAATACGGAATTCCATACATACACCTACTAAAACTGCCATTTGTGGGAGAAATTCCCACCATTTATTGTGTTACCTGTTACTTGTGTTACCTGTTACTCTTGTTGAAGGCTTTAGTGGAAAAGTTACTCATAAATATTCAAAATAGGTAATTTATTTAACTATAAAATGGCCAAGAAATTACCGTAAATATGCACAATAATGCCCGCATTGATAAGACATAGCGGGTATTTCATTCTACAGTGGTGAAGGCGGAGCATTCTTTGAAATCTGGAAGATTTGTGCAAAATAAAATTCTATGGCCTGGGACTACCTTGCTTTTACAGTTCTTAAGCAAGCTGCTCTGGGATCCTTTTCATTTGAAGAATGGGGTAGCAATGCTTAAAAATATATAGTTCCTGCTTCTTGATCTCTTGTTGGCTTTTGATACCATCAACCATGATTTCCTCCTGGACTGGCTCCAGGGAATGGGATTTGTGGGCATTGCATTACAATGGTTCCAACCCTGCCTTCAGGACTGACTCCAGTCTTATCTCCGGTGGCATGTAATATCTACAGTTGTTAGGAGATTTGGGCTAAGGTGCTATCAGTATGCTGATGATGCTCAGCTTCTTTTTGCTATAATATCTGAATCAGAAGAGGCTGTGAAGTCCCTGGGTCATTGCCTGGATGCAGTGGTGCAGTGGATGAAGAAAAACAAGCTGTTGAATCTTGGCAAGACAAAAGCAGTATGGGAGAGTAGCCAGGTCTGAGAAATTGGTCAACTGCCTACCTTGGATGGGGTTGAACTCCCCATGAAGGAGCAGGTTCACAGTTTGGGGAGGCTTCTGAATCCAGCTCTGCCACTGGAGGCTCAGGTAGCCTCAGTGCTAGAAGTTTGTTTTATCAACTGTGACTGGTTTGACAGCTATGGCCTTGCCACAGTAGTTCATTCATTGGTTACTTCAAGACTGGATTACAGCAATGCACTTGTATATGGGGCTTCCCATGTGCTTGATCCAGAAGCTACAGTTAGTGCAGAATGCTGCAGCATGATTGCTAACAGGGGTGAGGCCTTGTAAACATTTAATATCTTTTCACAGATATCTGCACTGGTTGGTGATTTGCTACTGGGCCAAGTTCAAGAAGATTGCCTTACCCCACATGTACCCAGATGACCTCTTTGATGAGTGGAAATAGCACTACCACAGGTGCCGCATAATACCTGTTACGCAGTGTTTAGATTGTTTAGTGTGGCAGCACCTTCACTTTGGAATTCCCTGCCTACTGATATCAAGCATGCACCTTGATTGTATTCTTTTTGGCGCCTACTAAAAACATTCTTGCTTAGACAAGCCTACCCAAGTGCTTAGAAAGTTGACGTGAATTTTAACCTGTTGTAGTATTTTTACTTTTTGTACACGGAGGTGCTAAAAACTATGGCAAGCTGTCTCCCTAGATGGTTTGTGGGTTGCCTCTGGTTCTGGTGCAGGTCAAATAAATACAGCCCCAGCTCCCTCATTCTCTTAGATACAGGCGGATGGCTAGGGCAGCTCGGAGGGGCCTTTGCACAAACGTGTGTGTGCGCAATGGTAGAGGCCTGGCTGGAAAGCTTAAAGCCTGCTGCTGCTACATGGGAGACAAGATTGAAGAAAAGGAAATATGAATTGGCTCCACCCCGTAGCTTCAATAATTGCAGCTAGGAGCAGCTAAGGGCTAGATAGAGTCCTAGATCTAAAAAAAGTGTAGATTTGCACTCGCTGGGCAGATTCCGTTTTGACTTGAAATGTTTGTTTTGGGCTTCTCAGAAGTACATAAAGTCAAGAAAAAGGAGTGGGGAGTGTTGGCCCAGCACCCTCTGGCTGAAAAAACAGCACTGCTTATATTTCTGTTTATTTAAAACATGTATACACTGCCCTTCATCGTACCAGATTTCAGGGCAATATACAGAGCATAAAACAATTAAATAAAACTCAGTCTGAAGATAAGAGCAACCAAGCAAATCTCAAAACTGACACTAAAGTGCCTGGGTAAATAATATTTTTTGCCTGGCACTGAAAAGATGGTTGTGTTGGCACAAGGGAAACATATTTGGGGAGGGTATAGCCAAACCTGGGCTAGCACAGCTGAAAAAGCCCTTGCCCTGAGTGATGTCAGCCTCAGTTCAGAAGGGAGAGATCTTTCTCTCTGTTCTGCATAAGTGTCTTATGCCAGTCTTATAACTATGGATGGAGGACATGGCATTGTTTCTCACCCCATCCCCTTGTGTAGTACTAGAAATTCAGGCATTTAAACAATGTTGCCATTGGAGTTGGGGTGCAAACATCACATATTTTCATCCTATCAATAAAAGAGTGCCACCAACTGGACAAATTGTGCTGCTGAAAATTTCATTCATGATGCGCATTGGTGAAAAAGGTTTATGTATAGATACTTTACTATTTTAATACTATGTAGAAATAGTGAAAATTGGGAGATTCTGTTACCATTTCCCCATACCAAATTATAACAGTCAACTTGAATTTATGCAATATCTGCAGTCTTTTCATGCCTCCTCAGTACTAACTCACCTGGTGAGCACTAGTTCATCTTCAGAATTTGATTGCCTTCTACTTGCTGGGCGTGCTGAAATGGCTTCCTGGGAGGACGAAGAAGCTGTATGTGCAAGCACCATCACATTTGGCAATGACTGGCTTGAGCTGGAGGCACAAATGCCCATGGTCACATAGTTGGGGCGATTGTGAAGGTAGATTGATTCACCCCTTCTATTCACCTGCAAAGAGATAAGAGGTTATTTTAGGCATATAAAATAAATATTATTTCAAAAGCATCTGAAAACACATTGTATTGCAATTATGATATTGGGAAGGGAAGGAAGGTTCAAGAAAGATGTGCATGTGAGAAAAGAGAAGAACTTAAGTCAAAAGCTTCCACATAGTGGAAATGTTGGAAGTAGCTTCAAGTGTGATGCTGGAAAACCCAATGACTGCTATCCTGCAGGCAGGGTGGATAAAAATCTATGATTTTTTAAAAAATAAAAATGGATTTTTTAAAATTTCAATCAGATTTTTTAAAATTTCAATTGGATTTATAAAAACAAAATGCTTTTGGAGTAAAAATCTTTCTAAAGATAGTTTTCTATTTAAGTTAAATTATAGTCCAAAGGCTATTCATCAGGAAATAAGGAATTGTTTTTAATTATGTAGCATGAGGCTTTATATGCAATGTTTAATTTTTTTGGTAAATGAATTCCATCAATCCATTCACAATGTCATGCTCTTCCAGAGGTTTCTGTAAGATTATTTGGGGCAATTTTTCTAACAAGAATATATTCTCACAGATGCATGTTGTTGCAGTTCTCAAAAGCGTGAATTTGTGTCTGCAGAGATAACATGCCTTTTCTTCACAGGAAAAATGTTATAAAATAAACATACAGAGTTGAGGGAAAAAACTTAATCCCCTTGTTCCTTTGAAAATTTATATACACAGAATCAACCCCTTACCTTTTAAATGCTAAGTTCTGTGTGAAGCAGTAAAAATGAAAGTGCAGCCTTATGACCAGAATACTCCACAAGTCTTGGGATCTTTGTTTCAATAATTGTGCAAGTCAGTTGCATGTCTGTGCAACTCAAGACTTGAGGCAAGTGCTGAATGTACTTCAGGGCTGGCAACCTCTTCCCAATCCCACTGGGTTCCAACAGCTGCACTGATACTTAACTGTACAGAATAGGCACCTGAATGTAGAAGCAAATCCAAAGGTGGGGTGGTGGAAATAGTAACTGGGATCTGTCTTTGGCGAGACCTTGAAGTGCTTGCCAGTCAACTAATAAGAGTTCACTGGTTCCAGGCCCTTCTTCCCAGGGCTCACCTGACATTGTCCAAACAATAAAGTCTCTACCTGGAACTTCAGGCCTGTAGCAGGAATCCCTGAAGTTCTACTCCAGTCCTTGGTTCCCCTTTTCCAGCTTTCCACCAGCCTGTTTCTCCTTGACCTGTTCTTTGAGCCAGCCTGTTCCTGCCTAGGCCTACCAACTGTATCTCACCCCCCCCCCCCAGAAAAAGGAAGACCAGCTTCTCTAAAGCCAGAGCTGCTGGGAGATATAGCCCCTATAAACAGTTAACTTACGAAACCTCACAATAATTTCACAATTATCTGTCTATGTATTTCTAATAGTATAACCATATCAATAATTTCTGATATAACTGTAAAAACTACTCTGAAAATTTATTATTCCAAAAACGAAACCTTATAGCAGCAAGAATGAGTCTTTCTGTAAAAAAATTATTTAAATCAATTTAAATCAAATCCACCCTGCCTGCAGGACATCAACATTTACACTATCTGGTTCAACATTCTGCACTTTATGTATGTATTTATTTCATACAATTTATACACCACTTGGTTGTAAAAAAACTCAAATCAGTTTACAAAGGATAAACTCCTGGTTCAGCTCGGGAGTTCATGGCCTCCATGATCATCAGACATCCCTTTGCACTACACATTTGGCAGGTCATAAGCCTGATTTGTGTAAGGCATCAGGATGATTGAACCAGCAATTCTGGTTCAAATCTAGAATGGAGATATGACCCAGACAGTTGACACAATGGGAATTCAGAGTCTGCATGACCACAGGCAAGTTACCCGTGCTGTTAATCATCCTGGACTTCTCGGAAGCATTCAATACTATCAACTATGTTATGGTATGGTTTTGAGCCACCTTGCTGAGATGGGATGGGAAAGGCACTATTTTGCCATGGTTGTCATCATCTCTGGAAAGCTGGTTTCAAAAGGTTCTGTTGTACTCTGTGGCTATTGGTTCATGGCGTGCTGCAGGGAACAATCCCCTCTCCCATGCTTTTTAGCATCTGCATAAAACTGGAAGAGGAGATTTAAAGTAAGGTGTCATCAATATACTGATGACACCTGTTCTATCACTCTTTCCATCAAATCTCAGGAAGATGTGCAGGTCCTGAACTGGTGTCAAATGGACTTGACACTGGTAAAGAAAAATCCAGTCTGGGATCGGGTGTATTGCCTGCTTGGTATTTGGTTCTTATTTTTTATTTATATAATACCATCTGCATAGAGCAGATTCATAGAGCAGACTGTTTCCCCCCCGTATGAACCTACCTGAACACTCAAGTTGGCCTGGGGTATACGTGTTTGAAGTATGCCAGGTTGTCAGTTGAGAGAGGCTCTTTCTGATCATGGTGCCTAAGCTGTGGAAAGTTTTTATCAAGGTCCTACTGGTTCCATTATTGTTCTCCTTTGGATGGCTGGTGAATACTTTCAGGGGGCTATTTGAGAGGGCTCTTAGGCTGGGTAGAGATAATTTAGTTACTATTGCTTTGGATTATTATTTTTTACTTTTTTATTCCAAGCAGTTCTACATTTTTAAAAAATCTGTGTTGTTAGCCATCTTAGGGGGAGGCTTTCAAAGAAAAGTTGGGTAAATAAAAAATAAGAAAAATCACCTGTTGATGAAGCTCTTGTTTCCGTACGCCCACTTCTCTGTGCAGCTCTACAATTCCTGTAAAACTAGATCTGAGTTTCTAAGCCAAAACAAGCCCCAGGGGTAATCTTTTCAGGCAACCAGGGCAGTTAGCCTTGAAACTTAACTGAAATTGATCCAGACACTTTGGAATTTATCCACTGGAATTTCCCCTCCCTCTCCTCCACCCATATACTCCTCTAGTATCCCCAAATATGTTCTGGAGAGTTGAGGAACTGCCAGAGCGGATTTGGGGGGTGCACAGGGAGAGGGGAGGGAAGGAAAGTTCCCTTGCGCTCATGGAAGTCTATCTGTAGGTACTAAGTTTTAGCCTGTATACACATTACCACTTCACTCTGGCTTCAGTGCACACCTACCACCGGTGTTTGAATTTGTGTACACATTTTCCCTCAAACGCTCATGAGACAGCTTCATGAATAGGAATTTGGAGGGTTGCAGGCACGGTAAACTAGACTCTGTTTTCTACAGTTGAGTTTGTGGCATTTGTAGGCATTCATGCTCTGCTCAGTTGCCAGTCTAAACAGTAGTATTCTAAAAAAATTAGTTACCTGAACAAAATTGCTTTCAAACACAGGAGCAGATCTCAAGGGAATATATTCTCCTCTTTCAAGAATTTTTTTAAGATCTCCCATAATAGGAATGTGAAATGCAGATTTGGTGTGTTTAGTGGGCTTCTTAAACTCCGGTTGCTTTTACGCCTACACATAAGACAAGAACAAAATGACATTGGAAATTAATAAGACACAGCATGGAAAAAGGCTAACTCAGAATAGCATAGAGAGCTAAGAAAATTTATAAATCTTTGCCAGGCACATAATGTAGTGAAGTTATTACTATTCTAAATTACCGTATGTTCTCAGGAGCCTTTCCCATAGGCTATTACACATAGAATCATAGAATTGTAAAGTCAGAAGGGACTTGAGGGTCATCTAGTCCAGCCCCCTCAGTATAGGAATCTCAACTGGTCATTTAGTTTTTTCTGGCATGGCTTGAGTCCTGGAACATCTATCAAAATGTGTTGATCATTTTCCACAGTCTCATGTTAGTAAGTCAGATACATTTATTAAGGATACTACACATTTCATTCAAATCATAGAACAAAGTACAATGATGGAATCAGATATTCTAGTCACTTTAGATTTACACTCTTTGTACACATCTATTCCCTTGGATAAGGGACGTGGGTGGCGCTGTGGGTTAAACCACTGAGCCTAGGACTTGCTGATCGGAAGGTCGGCGGTTCGAATCCCCGTGACGGGGTGAGCTCCTGTTCCTCGGTCCCTGCTCCTGACAACCTAGCAGTTCGAAAGCACGTCAACGTGCAAGTAGATAAATAGGTACCGCTCTGGCGGGAAGGTAAACGGCGTTTCCGTGCGCTGCTCTGGTTCGCCAGAAGTGACTTAGTCATGCTGGCCGCTGTACACCGGCTCCCTCGGCCAATAAAGTGAGATGAGCGCCGCAACCCCAGAGTCGGTCACGACTGGACCTAATGGTTAGGGGTCCCTTTACCTTTACCTATTCCCTTGGATGAGGCGAGGTTAGTTCTTGAGGATACTCTAAATGCTTGGAAGCCTTTTGACCCTCTCCCTCCCTTCTTCCTGATGGAATGAATTGGCTTGATTTTAGAAAAGATTTCCCCCTCAGGTTTGATCACAATTTATATTACAAAATCAGAGTTGTTTCAGTGGGTTCACCATTTGCCCCTAGTGAGGCAAATTTATTCATGTGTCAATCTGAAAAACAATGGGTTTTGGATCCCAACACTAACCCTTATTTTCATGATATTAAGTTTTTAAAATGCTATATAGATGACACATTTAATATATTTTCCAGTGAACAGCATTTGGATGTCCTGGACAATTGGCTTAATTCAGTTCATCCCACGGTTAAATTTAGTTTGCAACATAACAGACAGGCCATCTCCCTTTTAGACATGACTGTATATATAAGCTTCCAAAGGGCAATTGGGCATTAAAAATTATACTAAATCTGCAGATAAACATTTCCTTTAAATATATGAGTCCTTTCATTCAAGACACTTGAGAGACAGCCTCCCTTCCAGTCACATGATTAGAATAAAACGGAACTCATCTCAACCTGGGGGTTTTGTTCAGGACTCCAGAACATTAGCTAAACAAATTCAAAATAGAGAATACCCAGAACACATTATCAACAATACAGTCCAGAGGGTGTCCAATATTAATAGGAAGCAACTTTTTCAAAAACAGGAAATAATTAAACAACAGAGGATAACATGCAACTTTGAGTTTTCTAGCTTATCTATGAAAATCAAAAAGTTAATAAACAAACATCAGCACATCATTCAACACATCCCCAGATGTGATCTTCCCCCTCTAATTGGTTGGAGAAGGGGCAAAACTATTAAACAATCCTTAGTCATATTCTATTCTATTCTATTCTATTCTATTCTATTCTATTCTTCAACAGGAAACATCTCCCAATGCAGTTAAGGGTCATTATGTATGTGGGCACTGCAGGGTCTGTGATATTTTACTTAATGTTAGAGAATTTCAGGATCCACAGTCTGGACACATTTGGAAATTGAACCTTTTTGCAATTCACCTGTCATCATGGATCATGTATGGGATTATACGCCCATGTGGCATAATGCATGTGGGTATGACACTGAGATATGTATGGATAAGAATTCTGGAACATATGTATAGAATTAGACAAAATATTATGGATGCACCCCTGGTGCAACACTACATTGAATATGGCCATACAGATTAGGATTTACAGTTTTTGGTGTTACAGGCTTACAAGTATAAAACCTTGCATTTGTCCCTGTTGAAATTTATTTTGTTAGTCCTACAATCTGTTAAGGTCATCTTGAATACTGATTTTGTATTCTGTGGCATTAGCTAACACTTTGGTGTTATCTGCAAATTTGATGAGCATCCCCTCAATTTCTTCATGCAGGTAGTTTATAAGGATGTTGAACAACTCCAAGCCCAGGACAGAACCCAGGGCACCCCACTTGTCACTTTTTTTCTAGGACGATGAGGAACGCTCTTTGGGTTGGGTCAGTCAACCAGATACAAATCCACCTAACAGTTATGTCATCCGGCTCACATTTTACCTGCTTTTCTGCAATAATATTGTGGAGGTATTTGTCAAAACCTTACTGAAATCAAGTTACACTACATCCACGGCATTCCCTTGATCAACCAAGCTTGTAAGAGGGTGGGGTGTCTTCTAGCTTTGTGCTAGTTGCTGTGAATAACTAGAGCAAGAATGAGGACACAATTGCAGACTTCTGCTTTTAACTATGGGTCGCTATGACAACCCTCATTTTACATACCCATGAAAAAGAGGACATGTCCTGGAAAAAGAGGACATATGGCAACCCTAAAATATGTTACCAAGGGAGGGAGATACAGGGCTGGTGACAAGTTTTGAGGGCTTTGGGGCATATTCGCCTAAGATGGTCACTGTAATCTAGGGGTTGGAGGAGACATGGTTCGTAGGGGTAAGGGGGGTATGCACCTCAAGTATGCATGTTCATGGCCCTTTGATGAGGGCAAGACCAAATATGCATCAAAATGGCAACATTGGCTCTCAGCAAGTGGGAAAGGTGGAAGAGAAAGGACAGGTGGGCTGTTTAGCTAGTCTGCGTTCTCGTAAGTACCTGACTTTGATAATTTTAAGCTCAACCATGGGAAAATACTAAGTAACAATGTTTTCTCTGAAGCATGCAGTAGGTGTAGTTTTGATCTCGTATTGTAATCAGTGAAACTCATAAGTCTGATTAGGCAGATAAAAACAATTAGCTTACCGGGTTTTTAAAACATTATTTAACTAAAAATAAATAATAGGTTGGGCCAGTAAGCAATGATGTATCCCTTTAATGCAAACAGTAATTGTGCTACTTATCTGATTCCCAATATTACATACTTTCGTCTAATATTTTGTCTCCCTAAAGGAGCTTCTGTATCTTATTCTCTTATTTTAGAAGAGTAATGTCTTACATGGAGGGCCAGACCAAAGGAAACATGTGGCACCAACATTTGATCCAAGTCAAGTAGCACGTGTTACTTTATAGAGTTTCTCTAGGCAATGGCTGGTATCTAGAAGTGAGGTAATGCCATGTCACAATAGGGGCAATCTATAGAAAACAGAGTCTTGAAGCAGTGTCATCATAGTGCAAGGCCTAAGATGAGACAATAGAACATCAGTACACATAACAGACATTAAAAATGCTTTCAGAGAGAAGGCTAGACTTGAACCCCTTTCCCTGACATCCTAATTTCTGGGTCTAAGCAATATTCTCTTTGTGTGGGAGCATTACAATAAGTACTCCACAGCTGTTGCTTTAAGTAGTATAGCTGAGAAAGAGTTTTCCATTTCATCCTACAGCATCATAAATAAATGTGTAATCCCAGTTAGTATTGCATTCTAATTCTTAAGCAAGAATCTTGCTGCAAGATCAGGAGTGTTGAATTGGGTTTGTCTACTGCAGAGGACGAGATGGTTGGATAGTGTTCTTGAAGCTACCAGCATGAGTTTGACCAAACCGCGGGAGGCAGTGGAAGACAGGAGTGCCTGGCGTGCTCTGGTCCATGGGGTCACGAAGAGTCGGACATGACTAAACAACAACAACAACTGCAAAAAGTGGACCAAACAAATTTTCCCATCATCACTAGCAAATATGTGGTTGGGGCGGGTTCTGTTGTAATTCTTGGTATTGTTAATTTTTTATAAGTAGACTGAAGACACCACACCCTTCAGAAACATACTATGTTATCAGATATAGTTCTAGGAAAGGGGCACAGTCAGGGTGTGATGGGAAAGAAATAGGATGGTGGACCACCATCTAGGCTTCTAAACTACAATACATGCGGCTATTCTAGTGCAAACGTGTAGGTCTACTATGTTGTAATAAGGCTTCAGTGGCTCAAATCCTCACTCATTTGTAAAGTTCATTTTGATGACCTTGATCCAATAATTATTACTAGTCTAACCTATTTTATAGGGTTTTTGTGAGGATAAATTGGATCCCTGTATGTCACCTTGAGCTCCTTGGAATAAAGTTGGAATGCTATTTACTTTTTATTTAAATATTTCAATGCCATTTTTTGCAAAAACATTTCAGAGCAGTATGCATCAATTTAAAACAATATAACTATTCAAGAAATATAGACATCATAGTCTAGATTAAGAATAAACAAAAAATGAGTGAGCTGGTGACATACATGCAATTTCAAAAAAATAAGTGACATAGCAAGATAAACCTGCCCACCTGCCTGAAACAAGACAGTGCATCCCTGTTTGTTAGTGAAGCTAATTCAGCTATGCATGTGTGTTAAAATTGTGATTTCTTACTAAATTTCTGTATTCAGTATTTTTAGAGATCAACTTTCAAAATATGCTCACAAAATCAGTTGACTAGTTTAGATTTACAGTTACATAACAAAGATAGTGATTAATCAGAAAGTTTAAAAATTCATAATTTTAGTTCTGAAAACAACAGGTATTTAGAGATAAATATTCAAAAAATTTCATAATTGAGGTGATGAATATATAACCAAATAAATACACTTGCCTGTATAGTTGCTTGTGTAGGGTGCTGGACTTGCTTTCACTCTTAACAAAAATCTAGTTTTCTTAATGCAGAAGATTGTTGAGGATTGGTTGGCTGATAAAATTAGACTTGTAAAGTTGGCAAGCTGCATTGGCATTCCATGGTTTCTCCTCAGAAATGCCAAGCTCCTTTTAGCCTTTCATGACATCAACTGGACGATGACCTCTGTCCTCAAAAGGTCCTCCTTGACCTGGTCAGGAGCAAATAGTGTACAAGTAACAAAGGTTTGAAAACTAAACCAACCTTCCCTGTCCCAGAAGGTTCTGAGGTAATAATACCTTATTAGCATATTTCAGTCAAGTAAAGCAGTCATTACTGTCTTTGCTTTGCAGCCTTTTCTAGGCTAGGATAAGGAGGATAAGGAGATGTCGTAAGGTGCAAGCAAAACACCAGGGCATATCACTATTTCCTGATGTAAAATTTTAAATATTCTGGTGCTGTATGCCACATTTGTTAATATGGCAAACCAAATTTGGTGACAGACACCAGACTTTGTGAAAAAATAAAATCAGTAAAAAAAATTGTAAGCAGGAAGTTAGAGTGGAAAAATGAACAGAAAAGTGTGTGTGTGAGAGAGAGAGAAGGAGAGAGCTCAGACGCTTGAACACACATTATGCTATTCAGAAAAGACATTTGAGGTTCAAAATGCAGCTTTGAAAAATAGTCAGCTCAGCAGTGATACGATCTTGTTTCCATCCTGTCCTGAATTCCAGAATTGCAGACTCCTGTAGAGTAGATGCCAGTAGAAATTTAGAATAATTAACAACTTCTAGAGATCTGATCAGGATCAGGCTAGAGTTCCCCTTGCTGAGCTCAAGAAACGATATCTGTATTGAATTGTGCAGCAATCTTTGTTATTGACCAGAGTTTCCAATTGTCTTTTCTATTATGGACCATCAGCCTGCCCCTTACATTCAACCTCCTTCCAGGTCTGTCAATGTCATAGAATTTACGAGGATTTTAAAAAGATATTTTTTTGTTCTTTTTCTTTAGTGTAACTGGTTTATTTAGTGTAAAACTTGACCATTGTTCGTGTTTTACTTTTTGTTTTCAGCACAGCATATTCCCATCTTTAACTGACTGACAAAATAGTGCTTCTGTTGTGCAGATTGACTGCTTTTCACATCTCTGTTTTCTCCTAGATATGTCTCTAATATTGAGCCATTACAGTGGTGCCTCGCAAGACGAAAATAATCCGTTCCGCAGGTCTCTTCGTCTTGCGGGTTTTTCGTCTTGCGAAGCAAGCCCATTAGCGGTTTAGCGGATTAGTGCTACAGTATTAGCGGCTTAACGGGCTTAGTGGATCAGCTGATAAGCGGCTTAACGATAAGCTGATAAGCGGCTTAAGGATCAGCTGATAAGCGGCTTAACGATAAGCTGATAAGCGGCTTAACGATCAGCTGATAAGCGGCTTAGCATCAGCTGATAAGCGGTTTAGCGGCTTGGGAAAAAGGGGGGGGAAAGGAAAAAACCCCCGCAGGAACTCGCAAGACATTTTCGTCTTGCGAAGCAAGCACATAGGAAATTCGTTTTGCGAAGCACCTCCAAAACGGAAAACCCTTTCGTCTAGCGGGTTTTCCGTCTTGCGAGGCATTCGTCTTGCGGGGCACCACTGTACTTCCAAAAAGCAAAATTGTCATTTTCCTTTTCTTCATCCACTATTTAATTCAACCAATATTCAAATGCAGTAATTGTTTGATTCAACTGGGAAGTGTAGTCAGTTATAGGGTATAGAATATGACTACAGATGACTAGCAAGAATAGTTTAGAAAAATAATGATCCAAAATGGTGGATGTGAGACTTAATAGTACGTTATACGCTATACAAGTGCAAATATGCTGAACAATACATAACTGGCATATTTTTGTGGATGGGAGAGAGATTTACAGGCCCCAGGGTAGAAGTGACCTCCTCTCCAGAATAGAAGACTATGCTATTACATTGGCTAATATCTTCCACACACCATATGCAATTAATGTAAATGAAAATTGGGCTTGTAATCAGTAAGATTTGGTGTGGTGATGTAAAACCAGAACTAATTAGGAACTGGAGTTTTTGTAAATTTAAATCTTAAGAGAATGTACTGACATCACCAATGAATGGCTAATAAACAATTGGTGGAATATAATGTGTAACAAGACTAACATTTTCAGTTAGCAATAGACATTATTATCATCATCTGAGGCAAATTTGACTAAATCCTTGATAATAAATCTCTTAATATTCTGATCAAGCACATGGCAATTCTTAGGAGTTTAAGAAACCCCTATCAACCACCTTCTGTTTTCACAGCTTTCTCTGACAGCTAAGTTGAAGAGTTCATTACATTTGTGATTTTCACAATAGCACTGGACAGCTTTCGGATGATAATTTTTAGCTCTAGCCATTTCCCATAAGCTTTGAACTAGTGACAAATGAAAGACTCGACACCTATTAGCAAAACCCTTAGTCATCCAGTTCTCTAAAGGTGATGTATTATCTCTTTTATGTGACATGAAGGCTGACAGAATTTAATATCCTTCTACAACAGAGAATGAAAAATGAAATTGTTGTAATAAGAGACTAAGAAATAGGTTTAGAAAAAAAGCTGTTAGGTTAGCTCATAATTCTGCTCACTCAGAAGATAGTGTGGGAAGTGTTCCATAGATGAGTCCTGTGTTCAGGTAGTAAGGATTTCGGTACCAGCTGACCCACATGCAGAGAGGGCACAGCTAGATTTGCAGAGCTTCATGAAGAGAATTAAGAACTGCTGAAAAGCATTTTGAAGTATTCTCATGACAAATATTACAAAGAAAAGAACAAGAAGGAGAAAAATCAAAGAAAAATTGAGATTATAGGAAAATGTCTATTACTTCATCCATTTAAACATATTTTAACTTTTCTAGTAGTTACACTAGATTGAAACTGGCATATGCATTCTTTTGACCAGGTCATGTAGAAGAGCAGCAGAATCACTTCTACCATTTTACCTAAAACGTATCTGAGTAAAAGGAGCCAAAGCTGCCAATATTATGATACTATATATGCCAGATAAAATTTGTGCTACCTATAGTTTAGAACCCAAACCATGGTTTAAAAGAAGAGTGTCCACTTTCATCTCTTGTCTGCTCAGTACTCCAGTAGATGCAGAAAAGCAAAGATCAGTTGTATCCAATGTGCCCTGAACGGAATTCTGCTCATGAAATGGGAATTCTACTTTTTACCTCTAACTCAACTGCTGCTGCTTTTGAGGGCATGTGTGGGGCAGCAGGGGAGAGGAGAGGAAGTGCATGCGCAAGTGGAAGTCACTTGCCTCCCAGAACAGGAATGTTGGATACTGCACATAGCACAAACTATAGTTTGCAAAACTGTTTCAAACTATGGTTTCTGATTCTGGTTTTCTAGCAAATAGCAAACAATGGTTGGTCAATTTAGATGGCATGTTAAACAATAGAACATAATTACTTAGGGAAACCCACCCTAAGGTAATGCATCCTCTATTCCCAAGAAATTGCAAAGGAAGCCATTAAAATTCAACTCACAAACTATAATTCAGAAGCAGTCTGCCATTACTAGCCTAAATAAACCTAAGAATATAACAATTATTTCTGAATAACATGCACCATATGAGCATAAACACATGAATACATTTGAAAGAACACTAAGTCAGCTTCAAAGTTTTAATCATTCTCTCCAAGGCAGCCAGTAAATCATCTAGAAAAAAATAAAAGAAAACCTAGGACCAGTGAGATCCATCAGCTGGAATCAGGTGCAAAGATATACACTTAATTAAATAGTTTTGAGCCCAGTAATTAGTTTTGAATACCAGAATGAACTGATGTTACACAAATTCATTTGTTAGTCCCAGTGCTTTTTTCTGGGGGTATGCATACCCCTAAACATTTTGTGAATCTAATTTTGGACTCATTGAGGGGCGGTATGTCAATATGAGTAGGAAAATGAGAGTACCCCATAACATTTATTTAGAAAAAAAAGAGCACTGGTTAGAACCAAGCTTTTTTGATTTCAGCAAAATATTTTGGCGCATGAGTTCAGTATTTCACGTAATCCCTGTTTCTCAACTGTTTCTTCAACTTGGCTCCAAGTACTCCTTCCACTCTGCCTGCTAAAACAGCCTTATTTGCACTGATCTTGTCTTGGCCTTTGAACTATGAATTCACCTCATCTTGGTTCCTCTGCTTGGCTACACTTTCTGATACGACCTTCCTGGTTATTCTTGTTGTTCACCAATGTTCCTGATTAGGCAGAGAACTGCCCCTTTCCCAAGGCAAGACAGCTTTTATTTTATTTATTTGTTAAATTTCTATACTGCCCTTCATCCAAGGATCGTAGGGCAGTTTACAGTATAAAGTCACCTTTTCTACCAAAGATAAAGTGCAGGGTTTCAACCTAGTTTTCATCATGTGAACCCTTACATTCCACCTGGTCATCTGGGAATTGTGTTGGGCTGCTGTTGGGCTTCCAAGCAGATAGTGCTACATATGCAGCTGGCACAATCTTGACAATGATGGCAGTTCTAGGGTCATTGCACTGTTAACTTGAAGCACGAAGCTGAAAACAAAAGGTTGGTGCCAGACTTGTATTCTAAAAATATTTAAGAATAAGCAATAGGTGTAATATATACATGGTTCACCACTGAAAAGGGCTAAATGTGTGGAGAGGAAAAGTCCAGTTTGCCTGGTCACCATATTTGCATTGTCTTTGTCTTCTTAATATTTTCTTCTTATTGCTGACACAAAAAAATGATCACACAACGGGAAAGCATATTTTTCATTGGATCATCTGGTTTTTTTGGCATTGTTTTGTGCAGTCATGCATTCATGAAAGAGTTTTGCTCAACGGTACAATGCATAGTGATATTTTTATAAGTTAATATTATAGGGAGAAGCATAGCCCCACTAATAGCACAAGGGAGGAAGTAGTGCCAATGAAGATTGGGAGCAGTTTTTTCTGGAAAATAATGAACAACTATTTGTAAACATGCGCTTCATTTCTAATTCAGCAGTTAAGATACAAAAGCAGTACAAATCCTGTGAAAGAAACACCACGTACATCTTGAGCTGTCTGAAATTGTAACATAGCCAAACTCTCAGTACACTATTGGGCAGCTCACTGATGCCACAATGATGTGTGTACCTGAAACACTTTTGCCACAGCTTTTCTCTGCACTAAGCTTCAAGTATTTTATAGTCATAATAAATATAGTTAATGCAGAAAAGAGGATGGGTAGATTATCTAAATTATAACCATAAACAAATAAAAGAATGAATTAGGTGCCCTGTGCACCAGACAATATCACACACACCTGACAATGCTATATTCACATAGTTGGTTTATGTGATAGTTGTACTGTGTACAGGGTACTTTTTATGTGAGTCTTTTTTTTTTAATAAATATTGTTAAGAAGGCATAACAACAGTAAATCTATTTGCATGAAGAACTCAGATGAAAATCTGTTTCATTATTCCACATCTTAAAGGCAATTCTTAAAACCGTCTGCCTGAATTACTTGCATGTTTTACTTAGTAACCTGGAAATACATCTATTTTAGCCTAGGGATTTTTGGTGTACACTATACTTTAGTTGCAGCAAACTGTTTCCAAAATAAACAATTGTAAAAGTGATGGGGAAGTTGACAGAAAGAGTAGTTGTGGCAATCAATGTTGCCATTTCTACACTTGAATCTCAGCTCATTATTTCAGGACTTAATTATCTACATGTGTTAGCATTGTGTCTTAGAGCAATGATGTCAATTTCTTAGGACCAAATGTTTTAATTAAATTAAATGTCAACATTAGAGACACATACTCTATATAGGTGGCATTGACAGTTGCCTACGTGGATTTTATGAGCTGGATCCAAACAATCCCGTGCATAAGCACTAAGTGCAGGATAGTAATGGCCAAATTCCCTTTCCAGCTATGTCCTCTTCTGCTAAGTTTAGCCTGATTCCATAGTATCCCACAACACCCAGGAGTGTCTTTTTTCAAGGATGTAAAGGACTGGATGGGGAGCACCCAAGTAAGCACTGGTATGTGTGTGGTAAGCTGCATGCGGTCCTTTGGATCCCTGTCTATTTGTATACATCAGTGCAACATATTCACTGAAATTTTGTCCAGGGACCCCAGTCTAAGATTGCACAAATAAGAAGATAGCACTTCATATTTTTTTAGAGAGGTCTCTGCAAAATCTCCCCATTGGCATCCTCTTTGCTCAAATGTGTTCTTTAACCATAAAATCCCCACCTCCCAAAAAGAAAGGAGAGTTCTTTTCTCTTATTAAACAACAAGGCTAACACAGTCACCTTTTAAATAATGATCCAGGATTTTTTTTTATTCATTTAAGTTTCAGTATCATTACAGAAAATGTTATGGTACAGAGTTGTTTAACATTAGTTTTATTTCTTTTCTCATTTAATTTCCACACGAATGCTGGTAACACTAATATCTGTACAAGATCAGTCTTTGATTTTTTAAGATTTTAATTCTGTACATTTTTAAATGTATTGGTTAAAAAGGCTGTCAGCACTTAAGGAAGCAATTTTTGTTGTTTGTTTAAACAAAAGGTATCCAGTTACTGCCCAATAGTACTGAGCTGGGTGGCTGCTGGGATGACAGATATCCCTGAACGCGCAGCAAGGGGTGAAAACCTCGGGGCTTGGTCGGGTTCCCAATGCAGCCACTCTGCTTTTGGCACTGTGCACATCAACACGAGATACAAGATAAAGAACAAGCAGAAGCTTTCTGTGAAGCGGTTATGAAGCATACTAATAAGGGAAATCCAAGTGTTGTCTACGCTAGTATAAATAAGCAGACAGCCTTGTTTTAAGAGCATAAGTAGTTGTATCTTAAAGATGAGAAAAAACACAAGTTCTGCAGGCACCTACCGCTGTCTACTAAAAGCTACCGCTATCAGAACTAGCATTGAACACACAAAGCAATTGCAAGAAAGGAAAAAGTTGCTTTGATATAATCAGAATAGATTTCTTTAAGATTTGTTTTTAAAGTTTTTTTTAAAAGGTATTTATTTAAATTCATTTGAAATATAGTTCAAGGTGTTGACTATACTGATCAACTTTTATCCAAATCAGAAAAACTAGCTGTGCCGTTGCATATTACAGGATACAGTCAATGATATGTGGACATGCATCAAAACTTCTCTCTTGCTGGTGACATCATAGTCTTCCAATGACCATGACATCAACCACCTCGCCCTTATGAAGTTCCACATACTGCTCTGTCTTTGGAGGTAGCATCAACAGTCCATTGGCACTGCGCATACTCATCAGACGACTGCTCATCTGGTTCCCTACAGAGAAGCAAATAAGTCTTGTTAGCAGGGTAAATGCCACAGAATAGTGCAGCGTATGAAGCCAGTTCCCAAAAATTAATTTTAAAGCGACAATGGTCACAAATGGTGAAGCTCTGTTGTTTGAAGTAAAATGTGGACAATATCCAGGAAATAGATCTCTCTTTCCCCCTTAGAATTCTCATGCAGAAATGCCTTTTGACCACATCTTTTTTATTTTAAGCTTGCACATTTTAATTATCACATGCACCACTTTCCTAGTTTATCTTCCAAATAACCCCATACTGAATTACAATCTGCACTAGGATGTGTCAAAACTGAACTACTACAGCCCTACCCCCAAATTTGTTTCATATAACATTAGCCTTAACATTTAACATATACCACTCAGAGATGATAGTGTTATTTTTTGTTCTTTCATATCTAAGATTATAAATAGTATTCCAGAATCTGAACACTGGTGTGGACAAAGCAGTTCACATATGAGGTTCCTGTGCAATTTTTAGCAATGGTTTAAAATCTTCTAGAACTAAATAAGCCTCAAAGAATACACTTCAGAATCTAGATATATTTTTTCCATTTCCAATATCAAACTTAGATATTGAGTTTTATTAGAAAGGAAGCTTGAGTTTGAAGTGGGCAACTTGTCTAACATATGTCAGCTTTTTCTCCTGAGCTGTGCAAGGTTTTAAAAGCTTTTAGCGTTTCTCATTAGCCCAGACATTGGGTAGAGGTAAAATGGAGGCTCTCTCATTGGAAGTGACATCACAGGTAATGTCCAGTAGTTATGTAATACCTCACACACTCCTAAGAAGAAAAAGTCTTGAGGTGCTGACAATGAAGGGAATTAAAATATTGCTAGAAATGATAGACTGCAGTCTGAACACTAGTAAAACTTGTTTTCCCAGCAAAAGAAAGAAAGCCTGAAGGGAAAATATCTGTACTCCCCTACAATGTACAATGAGTACAAATGGATCACTACCAGCCAAACTCAACTCAAGACTAGGGCTTTTTTTCAGCCATAACTCCCCAGAACTCAGTTCCACCACCTCAGGTGATGTCCGGCACCTCTTTTTCTAGAAAAATAGCATTGTTCAAGACCTAAGTGAGCACAGCATGCCAGTGAAAATGGGTGAAGCTTCTTGGTTCTCAAGATGGACACAGTGGCCATGAGACCAATGCAGTCTTCGTCAACCAGATGTTTTGGATTACTATTCCCATCAGTTCCAGCCAACATCTTGAGGGCACCAGGTTGGTGAAGGCGAGTCTAATGTCTATTGTTGCTGTCTTGAGCACATTCTTGAGGAAAGGTAGTGTGTGCATGTATGTGTGCATTTGTATCTATATACAGTGGTACCTTGGGTTACAGATGCTTCAGGTTACAGACTCCGCTAACCCAGAAATAGTACCTCGGGTTAAGAACTTTGCTTCAGGATGAGAACAGAAATCGTGCAGCAGTTGCGCGGCGCCAGTGGGAGGCCCTATTAGCTAAAGTTGTACTTCAGATTAAGAACAGTTTCAGGTTAAGAACGAACCTCCAGAACGAATTAAGTTCTTAACCCGAGGTACCACTGTATATGCATCTCTAAGTATACACACACACACACACACACACACACACACACACAGGTACCTCTACTTACGTTCACCTCTGGTTACGTATCCTTCGGATACGTACGTGGCAAACCTGGAAATATTTTTCCAGGTTTTGCTATGCGTGCATGCACAGAAGCGCTCTACCGCCGCACACACATGCGCAGAAGCGGTCCCTCCGGTTGCAGAAACCTCGGGATCCAACCGGAGCTCAGGGACGGATCCTGTCCGCAACCGGAGGTACCACTGTATATATTTCTCTGTATCTATCTATATATTTATATCGGTATCTGTATATTTTAGGGGTAGTAGTATGGCCTGCTGGCCTGATGTGTATAGTTTGTGGCCTTATTATCTGATAGAACATTTTTTCTTCATATAGCCCAAACTCCTTTTTCTGAAACAGTAGTCATGCTGGCGGTAGTAAAGGTAAAGGGACCCCTGACCATTAGGTCCAGTCGTGACTGACTCTGGGGTTGTGGCGCTCATCTCGCTTTATTGGCCGAGGGAGCCGGCGTACAGCTTCCAGGTCATGTGGCCGGCATGACTAAGCCGCTTCTGGCGAACCAGAGCAGCGCACGGAAACGCCGCTTACCTTCCTGCCGGAGCGGTACCTATTTATCTACTTGCACTTTGACGTGCTTTCAAACTGCTCGGTTTGCAGGAGCAGGGACCGAGCAATGGGAGCTCACCCTGTCGCAGGGATTCGAACCGCCGACCTTCTGATCGGCAAGTCCTAGGCTCTGTGGTTTAACCCACAGCGCCACCCGCGTCCCTGCTGGCGGTAGTATCCATGTTCAAAGAACAGGAAGCAATAGTATTTGAAGATTTTGCTTCTATAGTGTTAAACAACAAAACACTGG